CAGTTGTAGGGGTTGCAGTTGTAGGGGTTGCAGTTGTAGGGGGCGTAGTTGTAGGGGGTACAGTTATAGGGGTGTAGTTGTAGGCGCTATAGGCGTTACTTACCTAGGTGCTATAGGCGCCGTAGGGCGACAGTAGGTAGTGTTATAGGCACCGAGAGTAATTTAACGCGTAATCTCTCGGTACTATAAACCTTACAATTGGAGTATTCTTGGCAATACTATAAGTAGATTAGCGTTTCTGCGAAATAACCACCCTATTCTGCGAAATACCTGATGCCGCCGGGATGTCAGGTGGAGTCCCCCTCTGGCAATGAGACGTTAATAAAATATGAGTTCAAGATGATGGCATTGCGCCGAAACAAAAAGCAGGACAGAGCCCTTGTTCGTCCTTATTCAACCGCAAATCCAGTTCTAGCCACTAACAAATTCTAGCAGAAGACCTTGGTTGTAATTATTCAGCTAACTCGAAGGACTTCAACCAGCTGCCAGTGAGGGTAATTAAAATGCGATTAAAGATGATAAGCTTCGATGCTTAAATTTATGGTACATTTATTTGGGTTAGTTTAATGTTTCTGCACCCGCACCCACACTGCACTGCAACAAAGGTTGCGCTGATCCCCGACATTTGTCCGTCTTGAGTCTCTACACCACTTGCCGGAACGTGGGTGCGGAGAGAAACACGATATCCATCACTTCCTCTCGGACCAAGTCCGCATATGGGATGGGTGGTTCATAAATCTTTGTGCAGGCATGGGTGTTTGATGTGTACCTCTCCGTTTTCTTGACGCAAGTATGGCTCCGTTGTCACACTACATCTTGAGTGTGGCTAGAGGTTCCCAGACATGCTATGTTTTCTCCCAGGCAGCTTGGGATAGAAGACTGTAAGAGCGCTCACTGCGCCGGTTAGCTCTTCGCATCGGTTGGCTTTTCTTGGGCTGTGTTGGCTTGTTTGCTTGCAGCTCGAAGATTGGCGATTTGGTCATCCAGCAGTGATATTTCCGCTTCAAGCTTAAGTAGCTTATCCTGGAGGAGATTTTCATATTCTTCGTCCGATAACGACTTCATTGGTATTAAGCCCACCAACTTCTGCTTTAAACCTGAAGAAAACCTGGAGGCAGGCGAAGAGCCATCCATTCTATTGAGTCCTGCTTGCGTGATGGCGGCAAGGACTCCCAGTGTGATACCTCCCGGGATTATGCTCCCTCTGGGTACTGAGAACGTCAGACCCTGTTTCTGCATAATTCACCGATGCCACTTACAGAAAGCTGCAGACACCACCCCAGCGCAAGATCCCGCAACGCCACTGGCGGCGATTCGGTCAAGGTCACCATTTCGGGACAACGGTCCTGCAAGTAGTGCGCTACGACAATCTTCAAAAATAAGTCAGACACACATAAAAATGCGGGAGAACGGTGTAAACCAACAGAAAAAGGTCGATCCGCCACAAAACCATTGTAACCCAGAGAGCGTAGTGTATATGGTCGGCCTGGGCGACTGGATCAAGACGGAGGCGATCCCTCCATAAGCAACACCAGCAGCACCTAGAAATTCGAATGAGCATGGCGGACAATATAGCGCCTCTCTAAGCCATACCTGCTGCAGCACCAACCTCGAGTGCAGGCCAGAAAGGGTTCACCAAGGCCGGTGGCAGTGTCGAGCTTGAAGTTGGGTCGTCTTCCATCTTAACATCTGGCAGTGGGACCCCACTGGCACTTTGCATCAACAATGGGCATTGAGAGAATGTCACCGTCGCCAGGTTATTTTAGCCATGGGTATTTGCGACGAAAAAGCGGACAATCTGAGTGAATTGTCAGTCGTGACCACCTTCACTGGCATAAGGCATTATGGTACTATTATTGTACAACTTGAACGTTGTAGTACTGCCGCGGCCACTGCCAGGCGAGGCTCCCGATGTCCGTGCCAAGACTGATGCACGCCATGCCCGATCGGGAAGCAGCTCGGAAAGAAACTTGAACTCGACTGCAAAGTGCAGACTCTCGACTCTCGACTCTCGACGTCCCCTCCAGCCTTTATCCAACAACAAGTGCCTATTGTCAAGGCGCGTCGATCGATCACGCTCACAAATCAAACCCCCTCTCGCCTGCAGTCTCTTGTGTGTATCTGCACATCTCGAGACAGACCCGCGGTCGCAACCCGATTTCACTTCAGCCGGTCGCACACAATTCCGTGCGCCTGCTGAGATTTCGCAATCATGGGTATGGCCACATGCCTTGTCGGTTTGCGATCGTGGTCGCAGCTGTCAAACTCTGGGAATTCACATGCTGACACCCAACAGCTCCGAAAAAGAATCAGAAGATGTCCCTAGGGACCTTCTTGCAAGATGAGAGTGAGTGGTGTCGGAGATCGGATGCAGCCGATCTAGGTCGCTAACGAGGTGCAGATTTTGGTTCCTGGGCTGATGAAATGGAGGATATGCCTCTCCCTTGTATGTCACCCCTTTAAGCTCTCAATTCGCCTGCTGTGTGCGAGGACACTCAATGTTGACCCTACACGTGAACAGCCTCGGACTCCCGACCTACCTATGGAAGCGAACGACGAACCTTCGGCGCCTCTAGCGGCATGGGCAATGGGTTTCCTGGTGAGTGTCGTCGCTCTATTGTTTAATAGCAAAGGTCTCTGACATTGGAGGGACAACAGAACGACGGGCCGATGGGTATCATGTTCGTGAAGAGCTGCCGCTACCCAAAGAACCTCCTTTCACTGCGCACTTGGCAAACCTGTCCTTCGATGCTACTCAAGCAGACATCAACGACTTCTTCAGTCAATGTCAGGTTACAAATGTCCGAATTGTTGAAGACAAGTTGGATCGCAAGCCCAAAGGTTTTGGCTACGTTGAGTTTGCGACGCTGGATGGCCTGAAGGCTGCATTGGCCCTGAGCGGTAACAATTTGGCCGGACGTCAGGTCCGTGTTAGTGTGGCAGAACCACGTCAGTAGTAAACTTCTGCGCTCAAGAGCAACGCTAACGCTGTTGTTTAGCGAAAGAGAGACAAGACACTCGTGACTTCAGCGACTGGTCCAGGAAGGGTCCTCTCCCAGATTTACCGGGCAGTCAACGCAGGGTTTCAGACCGGCAGGGCGGCTTCGGTGGCCGAAGCTTCGATAACATGTCCGATGCGGGAAGTGACCGAGGCGCTCGACGAGGATTCGATCAAGGCGATGGCAAAGTCAGGGACTTTTCGAACTGGGAGAGAAAGGGCCCGCTGTCACCTGTCGGTCCGGCTCCCACCTCTTTGCGCGAAGGTGGCAGACAACATAGTAAGGACGGTCCCGGAGCTTTCCGCCGAAATTCCCCTGCTTGGGGTGAAGGAAGATCTCAGGATGGCTCCCGACCACCTAGACGCGAGTTTACCGAACGACCACCCCCTGAGCGACAACCGACCGCACCGGAATTGGACAATCAATGGCGAGCAAGGATGAGGCCAGACCCGCCAGCCAAGGAACCAACCCCGGAAACCAGCGAGCCAACTTCTCCGGCTGCGGCTCATGCCCCGGCGACGCGACCGAAATTAAACCTGCAAAAGAGGACTGTGTCGGAAGCAGAACCAGCGCAACCTAGTGCGCCAGCGGCAAGTTCAAAATCTAGCCCTTTCGGAGCAGCGCGCCCGGTTGATACGGCAGCCAAGGAAAAGGAAGTTGAAGAAAAGCGACAACTTGCTCTTCGACAAAAGCGAGAGGCAGAGGAGAAGGCGAAGGCTGAAAAGGCCGAAGAGAAGCGTCTGGCTAAGGAAAAGGCCGAGCTTGAGAAGTCCAAGGAAACCTCGGGCTCGGAGGCGAAAGAATCCACTCCGGCAAAGGAGACCAAGGAAACAACTGCCACCAAGGAGAACGGTGAAGAGCCTTCTCAATCAGGCCCAAAGTTTGACATTCTGCGCCGTGCCGACACTGGAGTCAATGACATGCTTGCAGAGGAAGAAAATGAAGAGGAGGGTAATACACAACTCCCGGTTGACGACAAGGCGGTTAAGCCCAAAGAGGTGGTGCAGGATGCCAACTCGGGCAAGACCAACGGTTCATGGAGAAGTGCTCAACCGGCCCAAGCACCCGAAGGTAGCACCACGGCGGCATTGGAAGAGGAGGGCTGGAGCACTGTGTCGAAGCCGAACAAGCAGCGCAACAACCGCCGAAACATGCCCCACAGAGCCATTGCATCATGAACTACTCCAGAATCTTATTGATCTACTGTTCCTCATCATGATCTGCTGGGTCAACGGCTGGCATGCGGCTCCATGTACATCTAGTTTGTCTTCTACCTCCACTCTAGCCAGCCTCGGAAGACCCGGAATACAGTAGGTGGGAGGACAGATTCCAGCGACCTTTTTTGGCTATGTTTCTATGCGGCCGTTACTTCCTTCTTTGGGTCATCCTCTTAGGGTTTGCGTGCTTCGTCGGCTCATCCAGCATTCAGGCGTTCGGGAAAAAGTGCGAGCATTACGACGGATTAGTTTGGAACCAGGACGGATTCGAAGATTCGAGGCTCAGTCTCTCCACTCGTAAGGTGCACATGTACCTGCGCCCGGTTGAAGCTAGCAGAGCACAAACACTCCTTAGAAGAATAGAACATACATTGCTTCAATTCCCAGGCTATTCAGCAGAAGATTGCATCAGATACGGGCATTGCAATGTTGTCCGAATGTACATTGTAGTCCAGCCTGGGCCTTGTCCACACCAGGTCAATTAGGAGTCTGACTAATCTGTCTATGCCAAGGCCATCGCTTACCTTAGTCATCAGAGCGTAGCCACTCGCGGTCTTTCGTAGGAGGGCAAAAAGTGAAGGGCGCATGAGCCAAAAAAGCAACAACCCGCTCCGTCTCTGATTCGAACCTCCGTCTTCCTGTTTCACGTCTGCCATTTTCTACACCACCAAATCATTGCTTCATGACATGGAGTCCAAAGGATGGCGAAGGGCTTGGATGATCTGATCCAGTATCTGCTCGAGGAAATAGCCCTCAGTGGGAATGAAGGTCAGTTTTCGACTCACTTTGCCTGCTCCCGTAACGGTGTGCAGTCGGGTTTTGAGCCGGGTGGTGCAGTGGCAATTCATCGCTCCTCGAGCTGCGTCTTTGTATTCTCCGGCGCATCCTTGTCTCCAGCAATTATCCACTCTCTCTGCCTCTTACCCTGTCGCAGCCAATCCGTCTTCCGGCCCATGTCTACTTTCTCTTCCCTGGTTCCACATCTGGAAATCTGGCTGCTATACAGGAGAAGCATTCCTTTGAGTCGCCATCCCTTGTACCAGGCACTGTTGCTGACGGCTGTGCTCACGTGTAGGTGTAACCATCAACGATGTTGCGGCATTCACGAGTGCCTTTTATCAAGAACCCGACAGCAATCATGCTGCCGAAGCGGCGGCCCCGAACTTGTCTTTATCTCAAAGTGTCGCTGTAGATGAGCGCTTCCTCAGCAAGATCTGGACTTGGTTTGGACGCCATCCTGATGTCTCTATCGGTGACAATGGAGAATACAATGAAATTCCGCTCTCCGAAATCGAGCGCAAGTTTCCAGGCTATCTACATATCAATGGAGAACCTGCACAGCCGGAGGGCGGTGATCAAGACAAGGATGCTGCTCAACCAACTCCAGCAGCTGACGAACCTCATCACACCATTAGGTCTTCTACCGTGAGTGATGGTCCTCGTATACGTGTCAATGATGAGCGTCGTTCCCTGGCAATCTGCGGTCACCCTCTCGACACCAGCAAAGTCTCTTCCCTGGAATTCGATCTGCTATCTCATATAGCTGCAGCACGGTCGAATGGCATCCTTCAAGGGGATCTGCGACAGGCAACTGGGCAAGATAAGCGCTCGGTACCCAAGAGGACCGACACATTGCAGAAGAAGGGATACATCATTAAGACTACCGTTTATCGAAAAGGTATCAAGACAAGTCGGCTCTTCTTGAAGAAGTTTGCTCCTACCGTTAGCCATGATGCCACCCAGACTTCCCATGGGTCGAGTGTGCGGGATGTAGTGAGAAGAATTTTCGACGTGCTCTCCAAGGAGAAGCTCGTGCCGCAGTCCAAACTCGCGGAAGTACTGAGCTTGAAAACTTCCGCAGAATCTGCTATTCTGGTTGGAATTCTGCATCAACTTGAGCGCCTGAAATGCGTCAAACGGATAAGGTCTGCGGTTGGGCCCTCTGCCACGGTCAGCGACCTACAGCATTTCGTTCAGCTTCTACGTCCTGCCGGACTTGATGAACTCGAGAATTTTGATACGGAAAACCTGAAGCTTGACCAATCCTTGGATGATCTGTCCTCTCTCGCCGATTTGGCCGATGATATTGACCCTGTCATCGATGTTTCAGCTACAGACGATCGAGCAGAAGGAAATGGAATATCTCGACATGTTGCCAGATGGAACCCAGATCGTCTCATATCTAATATTGTAGTGGATGCTGTTCGACATAGGGGAGAAGCAGGCATGACGAATTTGGTATTTAGGCCCTTGCTGCATTTGTTCTGGGCTAACCGTCAAAGGATGCGAGGCTGCTCATAACTGGCGTTTTCGTCCGAAGGACCCTGGAATCATTGCTCCATAGGATCTCGACGCGGTCATTGGTGGTTCAGCCACCACACTTGCGACACCTGGCAGTTGTCCGTATTTCCATAATCGTTGATGGAGTCGCTCAATACGTGCACTACTCCTGGGACGCGTTTCGGCAACTGGCTGAAAGGCACGAAGTTGATATCACCCTGATACCCGGTGCTAAAGAAGCACTTCAGACCACCTGTGACAGCACGCCTGATCCGACCACCACTGTCCCTCCTGTCCAATCATCGAGCAAGGTTGATCAATTCGGGTTTCCCCTCCGCGGCCCTCTTCCACTTCAGTACCGAAATGGAGAGGCTAGTCTCGAGGATCTCATCCGGACAGTTGGCGCAGCTGACCTTCTTCCCCGACCAGGAGAACTAACTGTGGTTGAAAAGAATGGAGTATGCATCTTACAGCCCATCGCTGAACTCAAGCAACTCCAGGTTGCGGACCCCGGGTCTAGTACAGGCTCACCTCGTCAGCGACAAGCTGGGGCCCCACGAGGCAGAAAAGGTCGTGCTCGTCAACAGTCAGAGACTGAAATAACCCTCGGTCGTCCTCGCAAATACCCAAAAGGGACGGAAAAGTTTTGGAGACTGCAATTTCAGCAAGCTAGACTGGAAGCCGGAGGTAAGTCCTCAGTTTCGAAGAGAGGAGTAATGCAAGATCCGGCAGGACTGGCTCTATATGCGAATCGCCCCGCTGGATTTGACGAGACCCTCGTTGCTGCTATTGAGGCTGGCTTACCGGTCCCTGCTGCGCCCCAAGACATCAATGATGCATGGGTTGCTTTTACCAAGAACGTTCTTGGGCGTCAGTCCGATGGTGTGTACATCTCGCCTGGAGGGATGCGAGCCGAATATGCGAAGCGCAAGTCAATGATTATGATAATCAAAACCCCACGACTGCGGGAGGTTGATGTTCATGACCGAAGCGAACTACAACCGTTCCGGCTGATTTCCTCCATGGTAGCTCACAGTTTCCCTTACATAAGATACCACCCGGATGTGGATGTAAAGCTGGCACCGACCCGAAAATCAGCCAGAAGGGCGCGAGGCCAAAGACTACCTCCTGAATTAGAAGAGGAGAACGGCCCTTGTCCACCCGCTGGTGTTTTTGTGGAGGACCGTCTTCCTCAGCCATCAGACACGCGCCTGGATCAAATTCCACAGAAACCGTACGTTCTGATCGATGGTTCCTTGAAAATGACCGACGAGGAAACGAGCGTGGCCCATGAGTCGGCTCTGAATACAAGATCTGTCGCAAAGGCATCTGGAGGCTCTGCCGCTTCAGAAGCCAGCGAGCGGAGCAGCCCGGCACCCCGTCAGGAGGCGCCTGGGCCGCCATCGGAAGCTTCGTCTATCGTCGAAGAGCAGACATCGGCTTCCGTCGAACCACTGATTCTGGATGCGGCAGAGACGCCAGTTAGCGGTATCGACTTGTGTCAGGACGTTGCACTGAGAAACCCGCCGGAAATGGGACAAGATCAGCACGACCAGAACCAACGTGAATTTCGCATCAAATCTGATACTCCTGCACCTGTCAGCAGTATGCAAAATCAAGAGGCCCATCGTGCCACATTGCCGCCCGAAGCCTTGGAGTCGCGACCTCTTGCATCGCCGCAGCTCGTTGACAACATCCCGGCTTCAGAACCTGCTCCAGTCGAGGTTGAGATAGGCGGGCTCAATACCGCACTGCCAGCTGCCCAGGCAATCCCATCTATCGAGGTCTATGTTTCAGAGCAAGAAATGCCGGTTCCAGATCACAATGCGAGGGACATACCCGGGTATGCCACTGACCATACCACCGGGCAATCAGATTTAATTAGCAAATCTGCAAACGAGTTTCCTGCGGCGGAAAATACAAATGAAGCGGAATTGCCTGCTCTCCCGATGGTCGAAGGGAATGCCGCGTCGGCTTCAATAGGCATCCCTCAAAAGCCTGGCAAAAAGCGCATGTCACGCGCGAAAAGTCGGCCTGGTCCGCAAGTCCCCTCATCGCAGGAACCAAAAACAGTCCAACTGCCAGGGAAAGGTCGAGTCCGGGATGCAAAGGATTTATGCAAGAAGATTATCTTGGAACTGATTTCCCAGACTTCCGGAGTCGTTCCAAATGACGCGTCCACGCTGAAGCGTGTCTCGGTGCCTCGCTGGCAAGAAGCTGGAGAGGAGGGCATACCTCTGCTTAAAACCATCAAAGCTGCAGTCAAGTCTTTGTGCGAGAGAGGAACAATAAAGCAAGTTACCTTTACATTTCGCGGAAAAAGCGGCATCATGGTAAAACGGACCGTGCTGTTTCTTCCTCATATCAGCCCTCATTCTGACCTGGTTGAGGAAGCCAAGCAAAAGATCATTGAGGCAGAACCAGCCGATTACGTGCCACCAGAGTGGGAGGCTGAAGGAGCCCGCATCCCTTTGGTGGAGAAGAAGACCAAACCCATGGTGTACAAGTCCGACAGTACTCCTCCAACCGGAAGAGAAAGGGCTTCCTCACCAGGATCGGATACAACGATCGACGCTCAAGCAGCAAGAGACACTAGAAGTGTCACTAGGGGCAGTACGAGGCAGCCGAGCCCTTCTCCGCCTCCGCGAGTGTCGGCTGCAACGGGGTTTTTAACTCTCAAAGTGCCTTCTTTAGGCAAACTTGCAGTGGTACAATCCCACAACCAGAAGATGACAGCTTCCATGAGTACTCTGTCCTTTGATAATGCCACCTCTGTGGCAGGCCAATCAACACCCGTGCGTGGTACCGCTTCCAGACGCGGACAAGGTAGAGGACGAGGACGGGGCGGCCGCAAACCAACAGCCCGCTCTGGAGGACGCTCGGTTGTATGGGTCAGCGATCATCCTCGGGACTTTCCCTCATGTTTAGACGATATACTTGGACTGTCATATCTCAAAATCAACTCCAGAGATCTCGACTCCGCAGATTCTGAGTGGCGACGATTTGCATGGGAAGTAGAGGCTGTGCGTGCTTGGGAGGTGCAGGAAGAGTCGTCTCAAGCGGAACGCACGCGGTACGCCTTTATCAATCACTTGGTGCCGCCAGCACTTTACTCCTCCTCGAGTTACCCTCCCACGATTGAGTTTGCCCCTTTAACCTCGACCGCTGAACATGGTCACGAGATTGAGCTAGCTTACCCACCAACCGAGTCGTGGCCGGTGTTTGTGTCAGCGCTTCATGAGTCGCCCGAAGTCGCCTCACAAATCACACGAAAGGAGCCTGGGGAACGAACAACTCCAGCGCCACCGCCTCCGAAAACAGCCAAACCTCGTCGTTGCACTCGGCCGTCCAAGCGCAAGTTACTAGGAGACAATGACGATGCTGAAGACGGCACTTTCGCTCCTCAAGCAAAACGACCCAGAGGGGCTGGCAAGGGATCCGGCGCGAAGAGCCGTTCTCGACAGATGATTGCTCTTGGGAAGCAGAGTGACACACCGACCAAATTGTCCCGAGGGCCTCAGTATCTTCGAGCGTTACCAGAGGAAGTCATTCATCGTATCAGAATATCCGTGATTGTTGTTCGTACTCTAGCAGGAGGTGTTGAGTGCTACATTGATTGGCCCTTAGTGATGACGCTCTTTCCTGGTCAGGAAGAAGACTTCATCAAGCGTTGCTGGCGCACACTGTCGACAAGAGAGCGCAGCGATATCCGCGCTCTTACGGAAAGCCTACAATGGAAATACTTGAGCGCGCTGGAAGCCGGTGAGGTGCCATCGATCAATTTCGAGGACCTCAAGGCCACAGACTGGCATGGTATTGTCGGTTGGGCAATGAAGAATCTCGACAAGTTCAATATTAAGCAAACTGCTGATGATCTCCCGGATAGCCGTGACAGGCTGTTGGACTCTCACAAATTGGATTTCAGCCAACGGAAACGCTCTTGGCATATTCTCAGCACCCCCTCATGGGTCAGCAACCCCTTCAAGGAAAGCATTGTCAGTTCCGTTGTCTTTGGCGCAGATGCTCAAGCGATGACGTCTACACCTAGCCTTGAAGTTGCGTCCTCACGGTATGAACTGGAAAGTCCAGATCCAGAACTCCGTGTGGCAAGATCATGGGTTTACTCCACGGTGCTTACGCCGGAGGAAACGTTCTCCCCGCTGCAAGCCCATGCAAAACTGTCTACTCTGGCGCCCACTCCGGCGGAGAATGAAGCTCTTCTGACTCGTGGACTTAAAGTGCTTCAGGATGCCAAACTCTTGCAACGTGCGAACCGGGGCATGCACCAGGGGATGACCATGCGCTGTTGGGACGGAAGGCGGAAGCTTTGGGAGCGGTTCGAAGAACGGCGAATGATGAACCGAACCATTCTTCGGCGCGCAGTTACGTACAAGTTGCACGTCATGGACCAGGCTTTTGCGGCGGGCGGAAGTGTGGTTTTGGAAAAGGAAGCCATCGTGGACGACGGCGAAATGGTGGCGATTCTGAACCTCATGGCCAGTGGTCAGATCCGAACCCGGGCTGGCGCTGATGTGCCGAATACACGATACGGATTGGACCACGAGCGGATCGGGTACAGGACCAAAAACATGGACAAGGGCCTTCTCTATTTCAGTGTCGAATTTGTTTCCACTGACGCATATGTCTACGGCCTTCCGAGTGGAGTGCATCGATCAATAATCCCAATCCCACGTGGTGAAGCGGATCAGCCAAGAGGCCATATCCCACCTTGGATTGATATCCATGGGAACATACAAGATGAGCTGTGGGAGATGTTCCTTGTCGGTGTGATTGGACTCGTGATGCAAATGCCTGGCATCACCGCGGCGGAGCTTTCAAGGGCTCTGGGGTATGCCCTGGACCAGGGCGAGATCGAACTCATTCTCAATTGGTGTATTCAAGGCGGCTTTGCCAAGATGGAGATGAATTCAAAGGGCTACGAGACAACAGAGGACTGGTGGTGGTGTCTGTATGCGTCCCCTACGTCGGGCGATGAGAACAACATGTGATTTACGGCAGTACTGGGGGTGTTGTGGTATGGGGTTTTGGGAGGCAAGTTCTTTTTCTGATACCCGCATTACGGCACGTGGTTTGTTGATGGCTCAATTGGCGTTTAGAAGAGGGTTCCTATGCTGGACGAAATAATACACCAAGGCCTGGGCTGGAAGGCCACGCGCCTGGTTTTCGCGCCAATGTTGTCGCAAATCGTCCATCTCCTTACTATTGCGGTTCGTTTTTCTCTTTGGCTGAACTCGACAAGAATACAGTAGTAGATGGCCCTGACATGTTGGACTTGGTGGTACACGTTCCAGGCACGTCTAGGAGGTATACCGGTAGGTAGGGACCTGTCTTGAAACCACTGTTTATGGCTGACGACGCGACACCGCGCGGTGTGCATGGTTGAACTTGAGTGCGTACGTGTTTACTGCTACATCTACTCGTATTGGCGCTTCCACTGCACTGGCACCGTCACGGCTGCCACGACTACCTCGATCTAGACCTAGCACCTAGTACTCGAGGCTTACGTAGGTGCTGACGAGGCTGCGATAAAGGGGGAGGAGTTTAACAGGTGGGGCGGGAGAAAGTTTCGAATGTTTGGTCCAAGTTGTGGATACTGGATATACAACGGATTTGATTGTATACACGCAACAGGCTACAGGCAGCACGGGTATCTTACCTTAGCACTAACGATATGGAATAACCTTGGAATGTAGTACAACGAGGTACACTGTAGATACAGTAATAATAGTGGCCGAGTGCCGTAGACACGGGCGTGCGGGACCTAACTGGAGTCATGGCGCAGTTAAGCTTTCAGCCACATGCCCGCCGGCAGTCGATCTCTTCGGGCACCACTGCAGTTGGATTTTCTTCAGGCGAAACATTGAATCAGCCTGTTATTTTAGGCTTGTTCAGTTATTCGGAGCAGCTACAACAAGTACCAGTAGCCTTGTTTCAGCAGCCACAAGTTCACAATTAGGTGGTTGATATACGTGGCAATCAGCAGGGTGAAAGGTGTTGATGGCGAACAGAACACTGGCGGTGCAGTGCTGGTCCGACAGACTTGACATTGGCAGCCGCTGTTTCACTTTCTTATCTTGCCGTTGGAGATTCTGTTCCGACACGTCACGCAATTCTGGATCATGGCTGAAACAGGATCGACCTTGTTCTAGCCGCCTCAAGTTACTGATCAGTGAGACTAGTATCTAGCTTAACCTACCTATAGTAAGCGAAACATGCGTAACTGTGTTACGTGAGATATGAGGTATCTCTGGGAAGCCTAACACTCGGCTGAGGTATCTATAGTACTAGTATACCGCGTGGTACCATATGTGATACAGACCTTTTTATAGTACTGTCCCTGCATTGACTGCTGATTTTCACGTGCTGCCACTCTGGAGCGTTGTCATTCTCGGAACCCTACCATTGCAGTTCTCCAGCTTCAACCTTCAAGCTTCAGCTTCACCTAATTGTACAGCTCCTGCTCCAGTTTTCCAGCTCCTGTCCACTAATCGTAGTCGTCGTCATCTTGACTCCAGTCAGAGTCAGGGTCCAATTCGGCCATTCACCGTCCACTGGGCATCTGATGAACAAGTCCGTTGAGTCCTGTGTCCTCTTTTCCACTCTCTCCATCCACCTATCCACCTCTGCTACTGCACCGGCGCCGTTCTTCCCCTTCGGCCACTGCAGGGTTCCTCATTTCATGCAGTCCGAGTGTCCGGATCACTGCCAGTGCCTGTGTACGTGGCCGACTCTTCTAGGTCTGCTTTGTCGTCCTTGATTTCAACGCCTGTGACTCCCCTCGACGCGCATCTGCTTCAGCAATCCAGTCCCGTCTGCTGCTGCTACCTCTACCTATCCTACTGGTGAATGCGTATCTCGTCACCCTCTCCCACCTGCTCTGCCAACATGGCTGCTCCCTGATGTCCTACGTCCTGCCCTCCTACGATGCGAGACCATGCTCCTTCCTCGACCCCGAACCCTCTCCCGATCATGGCATCGTCGAAAAGGCCTCTTCGTGGCCCAGCTGCTGGGCTTGATCTGCTTTGTCCTCTTCGTCCATTCTCTTCTACCGCGCCCGGTTCAAGAAGCCCTGCCCGCAGCTCTGTCTGCTCCCACCGATGCGAAGCCAACCAATCCCTTGTTGAAAAGCCAGGCCGCCTTCTGGCGAGATCTATATCACATTATTTCGCGCAATGACCCCAACTGCGAGCATCCTCCGGAGGCCGTGGTGCCCCAGAAGTTGGATATTGGGTTCGACCCGTCCCACAACCACCAGCGACCGGATATATTGTTCATGGACACGGCAGATATCAGACGGATGCGGGAGGCACATTCGAACTTTGTTGGCGAACTGAAGAAGAGTCCTCCCAAGATGCCTTATGAGCCAGACACCAGGGGTATTGTCATGACGGCAGGGTTTGAGCAGCTACCTGTCCTGGTGATTTCGCTGCGCATGCTTCGGAGGACGTGGTCGCTATTGCCAGTAGAAGTGTTCCTGGCCGATGCGGCCGATTACGATGCCAAAATCTGCAATGAGGTGTTGCCCACGCTAAACGCCAAATGTGTCATCTTCGCAGACATATTCCAGGCTGCGGAATCCAGGGTGTCGATCGAGCGGTTTCAGTATAAAATCATGTCGGTCCTCTTTTCCTCCTTTGAAGAGGTGCTCCTGATTGACTCGGACGCATTTCCTCTGTACGACCCGCTCGATTTGTTCCTAGCGGAGCCCTTCAACCGTACGGGGATGGTTGTCTGGCCGGATTTCTGGTATGCCTCGGAATCGCCCTATTACTTTGAAATTGCCAACATCAAAGACATCCCGCCCCTCAACACTCGGTCGGCGGTTGAATCGGGCGAGCTGATGTTTTCAAAGTCCAAGCACAGTCTGGGACTGATGTTGGCAACTTATTACAATTTCTATGGTCCCAATTATTATTACCCCTTGCTTTCCCAGGGCGCTCCTGGCGAGGGAGACAAGGAGACCTTTGCCTGGGCTGCCACGGCTGTCAACGAACCCTTCTATCCCGTCTTTGAACCTGTCAAGGCTCTGGGTCGGATTGACTCCTCGGGCAATTTCATCGGAAGTGCCATGGCCCAACACGACCCTAGACCCGATTATGCTATTGCCCAGGACAGATGGAACGAGCATCATCAGAAGACAGTCACCAAAAGTACAGGCAATAATCAAGCCGTCAAGCCCTTCTTCATCCATGCCAATTTCCCCAAGTTCAACCCGGCCACCATCTTTGGCGAGCAGACCCGTGACTTTTCGGCGCAGGTAATTGGGTCTGGTGGGCCCACTCGCGACAGCAATGGAACCTGGGTACGATGCTGGATGGACCCGGTTCGTGCTGTTGAAATGTTTGGGTTCGATGTCGAAAAGCGGTTTTGGGAGGAAATCAAGGGCACCGCCTGTGAATATGAGCATCAGTTCGGTTGCTGGAAGGGCAAAAAAGGAATATGTGATCGTGTCAAAGATTACTGGAACGAGGTGTTTGAAACTCCCCAAGGCTGAAAAGGGTTCAGTCAGGTTATGATGAAGGATTGGGATTTGAATTGTTGAGGGGTTACGCATGCAATACCAGTACCACACAGGGCAGGGCGGACAGGACAGGGAAGGGCAGGATGTTCTGGAGTCAAGCCGTTTTGCGAATTGTCCTGATGATTGTACACATATAGCCTTCTTCAGAAGGCCTCTGACTTGCTCACATTGGTTGTACTTGGGCCCTTTGTGGTCTCCTGTTTGTTTGGCGATTTGGGACTGCCTGGTCGAAAAATCGCAAAAATGGACATGTCAAATTCGGTATACATATGTACAGTTGCAGCTGTCGGCATCGGCATGGGCGTCAGAATTAGCAAGCTCGGCGTCTGAGGTTTACACAAAAGCTAAAGCAATATCACAGACCACCGAATGAACGAATCGAATAAAAGTTGAGTTGCAGAAAAAGGGCAATAAACTAAGTAAGTAAGTAGTAGTAGTAGTCGTTATCACGTTCCAAGTAAGGTACCTAAAGTACAGTACAGTACTGGTAGTACAGTAGTACCTCGAGTCTTTCGAAGACAGAAAGCCCAAAAAAAGAAAACAAGTCATCTCTGCTCTGCTCTTTACTGTCAAAGTCAACACCGTCCCGGTCCGTCACCCTTCCTTTTTTTCGCCTTGCATTGCAAATGAATACAGAGCCCGAACACTGCAGGCAAGTCCACGTAGTGACCTGTAGAAGACAACCCGAATCCAAGCCGCGCCACCCAGACAAGCAAGAACACAAACAGCCTCAAAAAGCATACAATATCAACCAACGGACCTGATAGTTATCGAAGCAAGCGGATCGAGTCTACAAGGCTCCGAGAGAGACGTCAGAGACACCACCCGCCCTTTTTGAGCCAGAGAAACCGCCAGTGGAGTGGGTACAGTAAGTAGTAAGTTCGACAATCAATATGTCTCTTCCAGCTCCGTGCTCCAAGCCGCATCGCTGCCTTCAACTCGGACGCTTGTGCCAGCACCAACACCAACACCAACACTGGTGTCAACGTTCTCATCCGACATCTCTCGAAACCGCTCATACTGAGACGGCGGGCCGTGGTAATGTGCTGCAGCTGCATGGAGCTGTTGTTTCTGATGGTGATGCAATTGAGGGTGGTGGTGATGGTGTCGCTCGTTGTCCTCGGCGTGATGCTGGCTCTGGCTATGCGAATGAGCATTCACTCTGATCTTAGCAGGCGGAGGTCCCATTTGTCCATGGCCATGTGTATGTCCATGTGTATGTCCAGCAGCAGAAGAGGTTCCCAACGCATCTTTACCTGCTGTCATGGGTCTCTTCAAGTTGCCATTCAAGCCAGTGCCCATCCCCAGCGCATTCGTCGTCGTCCCACCTGCACCGGCGCTGGCTTGCATTTTGGAATAGTAAGTATTGCGGACGTCTCGTTCAGGTTCCATTTCCGAACCGTCCGAATAGGTTTCCCAGTTTTCGCTCCCGCTGGCTGTCGTGCCAGTGGTCAGATTTGATGACGTGTTCGACGTCTGTCTAGACGTGACAGACATGGCTGCTGAAGGTGGTGCTGAAGGATGAGGAGGACGAGTGGTTGTGCTACGATCAAAACCATTGCGTATTGATCCGCTCGTTTGAGAGGGTGGATGCGAAAAGTAAGAGTCGGGCTGGTGATATTGTTGTTGCTGCTGCTGTCTGTCACGATTTATCAAAGATGCCGACATGTATGACATTCTTTCTCGATCGTCATACACGTCTTCAGGACTTATAGGCCGGACATAGCGACCGCTCTCGTTCGATCCCGAGGATATGGTGCTGGTGGGTCGGGTGGAAGAAGGTGGTACTGCAGGATGCTGCGATTGAGAAGAAGAAGAACCCGTCATCATTGTCCCAGTACCTTGACTCGACTCAGGGGCAACAAAAAGATCTCTCATCTTGGGCGGAGGGGCCCGAGGGGGTCCCATTGTTCTAACACTTTGCGAGAAGTTTTGCTGCACCGGTTCCTGGGGAATGTTGTTGCGCGATGACGATGCTTGATGCTGGGCAGGACGTCGTTCAGGCGAATTGCTACCATGTTTCAAATTACCCAATGGCACGCGAGCCGGTATCTTGGAAGGAGACCTTGTCTGGGGATGTGACGCCGCGGCCGTCGAAACAGATGCTCCGTGTTGTTGTCTGCTCGTCCCAGCCGTGGCTGTGGGTGTCTTCGTGGTTGACCGAGGCGGAGCTGCTCTCATCACGCTTTGCGGTCGAGCAGATGAAGCGGGCTTTGAGGCGCTAACTGCCGGTTTGGCAGACTGCGCAGGAGTCTTTGATCTCGGCGGTAGGCCATTCGGCGTCTTGGATCGTGCTGGAGGTGCTTTGACTTCGGCTTCTTCGAGCTCGTCGAGAAATCTTTCACCGTGCACCAAAAATGGTCGACCATATTCATCCTCGTACTTTTGCAACACCTTCTTCAACTCCGCAGTGACTTTTGGCAGTTCTTTGGCTATCCGTTTTCTCATCTTCTCTTCTCTGAGTAGTTTACCAGGATCGCGCTTCTCTCCCTTTTGCGGCTTGAGCAGCAATCTGGACGCGTCGCTGGCAGACGCCGCCAAGGCATCACGGTCGGCAATTAGAGATCTGTACTTCTCGACGGCTGCTAATGTCGGGGCTCGCTGTTCTTTGAGAGTCGTTAATCTCTCGATTTCCGCCTCGTGAGCGGACAGCAGAGCGTCGCTGTACACGTCCGAAAAGGCTGGGGTGAAATCGAGCATCTCCTCCTCCGAAAAGTACAGAGCGTCCCAAAGCTCTTGAAGCCTGACCCGCGCGTCCTCAACAAACAGATGAAGATTCTGTCTCTTTAGCTCATTCAGTCGCGCCAGTTCGTCTTCGAACTCGTTGATGGTTCGTAAGCCACAGCCGCGGTTAGCAGCCAGAAACGCTTTTCTGTCCGCCTCTTCTATCCCGAGCCGGTCCCACAGCGTCTCAATGTTCTTCTTCAGGTCCGCCAACCTCTTTTCGCGACTCTTTTTTTCATCAAGCAACTTGTCACGCCGACTTCGGAGACGATCCATGTCAGCTTGATGAAGACCTAATTGTTCTGGAGAGTCGCGATAATTCTGTACAATCATCGAGTCCGTCTGTGCTTGTGGGATCCCCAATTCTGACCACAGTCTCACGATTTCTTCTGCAGTTTGTTGGACGACGACGACTCGTCTGTTGTATTCGTCATAGACTCTAGAGAACTCATCGTCGAGGGTTGCGACATATGATGGAGAAAGGTCAAAGTTTGGTGGGCAGGTGGTGGAGGATGTCGGCGGTAACCGGATTTTGACGAAGGACGACTCGAGATGTGAAGAGTAGGACTCGAGAGCCTGCACGAGTTTCTTGACTTGCTCGAAACGTTCGCGGTGTAATCTGCTAACGACGTTGTATTTCTCCTTGAGGTCGCGTAGACAATCGATGAGCGGGTATGTGACGCGCAAGCCGGTAGTGTCTAGGTCATAGCCTCTGTCCTTTTCATCGTCCAGCGATGCTTCCATTTGTTTAATGGTCTTGATGATGTTTTGCGCTTCTTCGGTCATTTCGGTTTTCTCACTAAGCAACAGGACACATATGGGTCAGTACAACAGCTAGATACAAGTCGGCTTCTGCCCAAGTTTGTAGACGTCGCGGACGCACTTGTTTACCAGGCGTAGCTGGTTATGCAAAGTCTCGGACAACGCTGCAAACAGCTCTGTCTCTCGGGATTCTCGTTCATTGCGCGGCACGCCAATCTCGTCGAAGATGGTATGCAATTGGCCTATAATCGTCGTGACCTGGGTAGTTAGATAGCTCGTGTCCATTGGCGCAGGCATTTCGGCGATGGGCGGCGCTCGCGGCCGAGCTGGACAGTTGATGAAGTTTCTCTCAGAAGCAAGGTTCGACCGCCGTGACAGAGACAGACAGACCGTGACTGAACTGGCAGCTTCGGGTTCGAAGAAGACACAAGGGAAAGGACATGGACAGAATATGGTCACCAAGTGGTCGCGGCGTCGGTCGAATCACGTACGAGTGGTGGGTTTGGACGAAGATGGTCAATGTCCGCAAGTCAGTTGTTGATGGCGTTGGCAGAGCAACGACTGCGACAGTAGTCGAACTAACCTCAATTGGATCGGACAAGGCTGCCCAATGATTCAATCTACCGGTTACTAAGCAAAACCTCAGCCTCGTCGTCTTCACCGCCTGCGAGAGCCTGAGGTGCACCGGCAGAATCCCCGCCATGGTCACTCGACCGACATCAAGCAGTACCAGTCGCCTCTTTTGTTAAAAGTACTGACAGTGTCCCAAGCCGTCGAGCATTCGCAGCCGCAATCCCTTTAGTGTATCCGCTCAGCATTGCAGATAGATACACCGACTGACAAGCGTTTCTCTCCCTCTCCCGGTGTCATGTCCACCCTATCTGCCATGCGGACCTGGGAGGCCGAAAACGACATCATCACGGTCGACCCGAGCCAAAATGCCCTGTACAACCTACCAGACCCAGCGGCCTACAAAGCACTGCAAGACGCTGCGCCATGGAAAAAAGACCCCAACTACTTCACCCACGTACGGATATCAGCACTGGCGCTGTTAAAGATGACGATACACGCACGATCGGGCGGAAATCTGGAGATCATGGGGCTGATGATCGGCTACGTGTCTGGGCGGTCATTGGTCATCACGGACGCATTCAGACTACCCGTCGAAGGGACCGAGACGCGGGTAAACGCACACAGCGATGCGGACGAATACATGGTGAATTTCGGGATTGCGTCGCGGGAAGGAGGTGGGCAGCTCGAAAACGCCGTGGGCTGGTACCACTCGCACCCGGGCTATGGATGCTGGCTGTCGGGAATCGACGTCAACACCCAGATGACGCATCAGATGGTTAATGACCCGTTCGTTGCGGTCGTCATCGACCCGGACCGCACGGTGAGCGCAGGCAAGGTCGAGATCGGGGCGTTTAGAACCTACCCGGAAGGACAGCGGCCACAAGGTGACAAGAGTTCTTTCACCGACGATAGTGACGAGTTCCAGGCCATTCCTATGGGAAAGATCGAAGACTTTGGAGCCCACGCCAATTCATACTACGCTCTGGAAGTCACACACTACAAGTCGACTCTGGACACCCATCTTCTGGGTCTCCTGTGGAACAAATATTGGACTTCAACGTTGTCGCAATCTCCACTGTTCACCAACCGCGACTATGCTAACAAGCAGATCGCCGACCATGCTGGTAAAATCAGAGAGGCCGCTAAGAAACAACGCACAGGTGCTAGCAGCATGGCTCGGCGCACCCAAGGCTTGGCCGGCAGTGCAGATCAGAATTTTAGAGTTGTCCGTGATGGCTCACTGGAGAAGATTGTCCGAGGTGGGAACAAGATCGCATCTGAGGAGATTGCTGGTCTGCTGGCCAGTGATGTCAAAAAGAAGCTGTTCTGGGGTGTTGTCCAGGAGGCCCGGCTCAAGGCTGCCGAACAACAGGCAACCAACGCTGCTGCTGGGGTGACCATAACAAGCAATGGAGGTTGAAATCGACAAAGCCAGAAATCACGGAAGCACAGCTTGCTCGCTCGCTCAAATCAAGCTCCATATGATCGACGCAAGTACCACAACCCTTCGCCAAACAAGCTGCCCCGAGCTGGAAATTACCTTATTCCTACCGACAATGAACGACTTTATCCAGCATTTGAGTGTGGTCACGAGGACCCAGCCAATATCGATTGTGGGAAAAGAGCTGTCATCCCACCCATCATTCATTTCACCTAACTCGTGACGCCATGGGGCGATGCGCTCTTTTATCTGGGCATAACCATGTGCAGCTGGGACTGGGCTAGCATCGTCACCATAGAAAACGGTCTCAAGCATCCTTATCGAAGCTCTTTGTATCAGCGGAGGCCTTGCTCGAAAACCCGATTTTCTTTGTCACGAGTCAATCACGGTCCGAGTCTACCATTAACCATCGACAATGGCAAACCTGCTACTTGGTCGAGTGTGGCCGTACAATGGTTCTCGCCAGATTTAGCCTCGTGACCGTCATCGCTGGGTCGGCATGGTACATGTGTCCGGTACCAATTGACCGGAGCTGTTACCCTAAGCCTCAAATCATACCGCCTCTATGTTTCAAGATGGTCGGGGAAAATCAAAGAAGCTTGCGTGCAGCAAACACTACGGGTGGCTACTGGTAGTACTGGGAGAGCAAGGTCCAGACAACCTAGATTAGAATATTAGAGCCGAGCAATCAAAGTCGTCCAGTCCACCACTGGTTACACCTACAGTACTTCCTGAAGAGACCAATGCTAGCATGTGGAAGAGACAGCGGATGTTCATAAGATATTAGCTGGCCGTTGTCAACCCAGAACTTGACATAGCCTAGGCCGTGGACGTAGCTATCCTTCCCAGTCCATGCACCTCAATCCATCCAGTCCCTAATACCCAGTCCGACCTGCTTCCTAGGTACATCCATACTCTGATCACGGCCGTAACATTCTGGAAATTCGTGCCCATATCTCTTTGTACATATTTCAGCCCAGCTAGATGTCCACCTAACCATTCTTGAATCAGACCAATAGCGGAAAGTGTGCTTTGGCTCCAGTCCGAGATGCCTTGATGGACATTTTGCTCCGACTGTGGCCATCACCTCTTCAGCACATCGCTCCATCACTGGCAACGAGACTGTGCTCTGCGTATGGCCAAACAGGACGGCAAGGCATATTCCACCCATTTTGCTGCCCTCCCTTCAATGCGCAACTTTCACATATTGAACCGGCCTCTACACCCAACCTTGCTTTGATCCCACTCCGGTGAACACCCGGTCACCAAGAAGCGGGCATCAATCCAAACCAGAAAGCCGAACCTCATGTCAGCACAATCCAGCGGTGGAGGCATGCCTAAACCCTATCACTCCCCCATGCAGTTCCCTCGGCACACGTCGAAGATCAAACAATCCGCGCTAAAGGCTGAAAAAACATGCTGGAATAAATTAAACACGCTGAAACGCAACCAAAAACAACACAAAAATAGTTGGACCAGTCACAATCGGATATGTCTGGTTACTCAACTCAACTGCTCACGCCCTTGTCCTCCTTGGGTTGGTCATACGAAATTGCGTGATGTCGACGACGATGGAACTTTGGTCGCTGGCGTCGTCCACCTCAATGTTATCGGCCGCCATGCCATTATTGACACCAGAAGCGGCAGGAGTACTGAAGAATGCTCCACGAGACTTCATATCTTCCAGCGTATGACTGATCATCAAGTGGCTGCGTTCCATGCCAGTACCCAACTTGGGGGTATGAAGAATGTCGAGGGATGGCTGGGTGGAGAGTGTGGCCTCCGATTCCCCACAGCTATGGGTGTTGTCTGAGTTGTCACGGTCAGCGTCCGCCCGTTGCTGATTTTGCTGCGGCAAGTTCTTGAGGGCTTCCGCCACCACAGCAGCCTGGGCAAGCACCGAATCAAACTTTTGACGTATGGTGTCAAGTTCTGTTTTGCAATCGCCATCTCGGAGGAATTGATGAGCCGCGGTCTCACAGAGGGACTGCACCGACTCTAGCTCTTTGTCAACTAGGAAGAAAGATGTTTCATCTCCTGGTGTTGACGGCCTGGGCGGGCCAGCAGGCTTCTTTTCCGACACCATCGGCGAGGAGCTGCGGGATACCGAAGGCGTCCCACGGATGCTATCAAGAGAGGGATATCCTCTACTGGTCCGCGCAGATATGGAAGGAAGAGAAAACCCCTTGGCCGCAACGAGAGCGTTTTTCCCCTTGCGTAGATTGTTTCGACCGACCCCGATGGTCTTCACCATAGAGTCCAGCTGTTCCTGTAGATAAGCATCGTAATACACGACGACTTGATTTTTGTTCCTGAACTTTTGAGGCCCTGAAGCCCCCGAGCGGATCGAAGTGCCCGGTCTCCTTCTCCTCCTTGCCTGTGCGTAGAGGTACTTATTTCCCGCTTCAAGAGGATTGATCTCTACGCGGCTGAGAGGGGTGGGTGCGTTCTCAATGCTTGGGATAGCATCCTCATGCGAATCGATTTGTTCGTTGTCGTCTGTACGGATCGATGATATCGAGGGCGACCTCCGGCGTTTTGGTTTGATTTGACTCACCAGACGAGCGTAGTCGGCAACAAATTCGGCATGCTTTTGGTCGGCATGGGCTGATAATTCGTCAATCGTGGTTTTCCACTTGGGCACGTTATCAAGAAGGAAAACGAAACTCGCATGGGCGTCCATGGCTTGAGCCATGAGGATTCAGCTTGACAACTGATAAAGTGGTTGGAGTACAAGATGGTTGGACAGATTATGAGGGCATTATTTCGCTGGTTCGTTTTCAGGTCGTGGGACGTTGGTATCTCATTGACGGGAGGAGGCGGCAGAGGAGGATCAGACGGCCGTCAAGTGAATGCGGTGAGTGGCTGCCCAGGTCGAATGATGCCACCAGAGAAATAAGATCGAGTATCGAAAGCTAAATGGCGGTACTGTTCGGCTCGTACAGTATGCAAGGACGCCACAAAGCTGGAGAATGTTTGGCGAACGAGGATGAGGGAGAAAAGGGATGCAAGATTATGTGTAACGGGCGAGGTCGAGGAAGTTGTTTTGAGGGCGCGGCCAGCAAGCAGCCAAAAGTGGGAGATTCGCAGTTGTGGTCGTCACGGTTAACGGTGATGGTGGGAGGATTGAACAGGTGGAGGAGGAGGATTGGCGAGATGCTAACCCTTGTGTCTGCGATGCGGTGTCAGACAGATGCAAGCAAGCAGCAAGCAAATCAATCCGTCAATCAATCAATCGAGATATGGACTGGTCAGGCAGGGTGGGAGTGGTGAGTGAGTGGGTGGCAGCAGTGAGATGGATTCCTGCTCAGCTACAATGTAGCTGGCTGTAACATTATTAGCGAGTAGCAGAGTGTGCGATGTGACAGCGGATGTGTCTACGTGCGTAGGTGGAGAGGCCCGTAGTAGTAGCCCAGCTAGTTGTGACGCAGTGGGACTGGCACCTACTGGAAGGTGAGTTGGAGCAGATGAGCAGGCGATCTAGGCAGCTATAGTAGCAACTTCTAGGGAGCTTCCAGGGTATCGGCCAGGAAGGGCTCGGCAGCTAGCGGGTAGTGGGAGACCCTAACAATGGGGCCGGGCTTTGGCTTGGAACTGGAACTGGAACTCGAAGGCTTGGGCTTGGGCTGCACTTCGGGGGTTCACTGGTCCCAGCGGCCGATAGGGCTACGGAGGCACGATGGGGCTTCTTTAGGCAGGCTCCTTACTGAGGTCTTAAGCAGTCACGCAGTCCACAGACTTTTTCTTTCTCTCAGATGAATTGAACAACAACGTTTCACCTCAACAGCGTCAGCATTAGCATCAGCCCGACTACCAGAAGGGGAAGCTCAGAGTCTCGGGGGTCTCGGTGTGTAATGCCTTGCCAACCAGTGATCAATTAGACTGAGCACGATTTCCAACAACGCTACTAATAACGCGGTCACTCGAACTGCACCACTGCATTCTCAGTGTGACCTTGGAGGCTGCAGGTTGCGCGGGAAGAGTTCAAGTTGTTCGCTTGCGGGCTGCGCCAACTTCAACCCCCGGCAAACTCCCATCGCCCATCGCCTCCATCGGTCAATCATCAACCTCGCCCTCATCATCTGTATCCACTCTTGCTGCGATACTTTCCATCTTCCCTCCCCCAGGCCAGCCCAAAAAGCCTCCTACTGCTGCTCCTCTTCTCTAGTCTGTGCACGCCTAATCATGGCACATGGAATAGCCGCTGTTGGTGGCTTCGGACCCTGCGAGCTTCTCTGGCCTTTCTCTATTTGGTAGTCGCTTGCCCGCTCTACTAGTACCGCTCATTGGCACCATCCGCGCTGTCGATCGACACGAGTCGGCTCAAGTCGACTCGACTCCTCCAACCCATCAATTTCTGCCCCAGAAGAACCCTCCCCCGTGTTCCTAAAGGCCTCCAGAAACACCTGAAATGGCGTGCGACGACTGAGGGGTGGATGCTGAGGATCGAGGCGAGAAGCTGTGTGCCTGCACGACCACCCTAGACCTGTCCTCGGACGGTCCGGCACGCAGCTTGGTGAAAAGGAGCCTCAAAAAGCCAGAAAGTCACATCAAAAGGTAAAATTAAGATACATTAACTTAATAACAGTGACCTCTAGCCCGGCTAGATATGTCGATGGTGCGAGCCTGTGACAGCACTGGATGATAAAATAGTACCCCCAGGCACAAACATGTCACATCGCATCCTTTCTGGGTATCGAGGTGGTACAGTCCAAGCTGCAATTCCCTCGACGCTGGCCTCCCTCCGAAGGCATTTGGCCCAGGAGTCTCGTCACCACCACTACATCCAACCTTGAGGTTCTGACCGGGCGTGCAACTCGCGTCTACAAGCTCGTGCAACATCTCCGAGCAGGGGGTTCGAATACAGTAAGAGGAGCTGTCCCCAGTGCTCGATTTGTCCTTTCTTTCAACCCCAGACATTGGGGCCTCGAGGCGGACTGTTGACCAGCAGCGATCTCCAACAAGTAATAGGCGAACAAATAAACAACCATGTTATCACTGACTAGGCGGTACGCTGTCGACCTAACATGATGTGAATGATGAGTATGCAGGTCACTCCGTCTCCTCTCAGGCGAATGGCCTCTTTCGACTAGCCGGGCGGAATCCAGTCCTTGATTTAAGCACTACAGCAAGTGTTGCAGGGGGTCTATAATCAGCAGACATTATTGATGTGTTTGGCAACTGACCAGATGTTTGCAAGTTGGGTTTGCTGATGTACCAGGCTCACCGACATTTGTTGACTGTACCACAACCTCTCCGGATTGATCGACGTGGCCCGCAAGCTAACACTAGATTTCCAGTTCTGTCTAGGCTTTAAGGCAGCCAATATCACCACAGCTACAATACACATGGTCAAACGGACAAGGAGCGATGCATTGGTCGAAATCGATAGTGTTGCAGATACCTGTCTGTCTTCTATTTTATTGTATCGTAACCGTCGACTCCGTTGGTCTCAGCGCTATTCATCAGCTCCGACGTCAAACTCCTCAGGCATGGCAGCGTGCAAGAATCACTTAGCGGTCCGTGATGGTTGTGAAGCACGGTTCTAGACCAAGACCAAGACGCTCCCACGACACGCTCAAACATCCGAAGGTGCAGACATCGAGACGTTATGATTGCATTTCCGGAGCTCGACGAGCTCCACCTCCCTGGCTAAGGTGTCTGACCTATCACTGTCACAGTCAATAGTGTGCACTCCGGATCGAAGTTGAATTCGCACTTTAATTCAATTTCGATGCAGCTGGACAAGTTGACCTTCCTTTCAATGCTCTCATCTGAGGTAGGCGTGAGTCTTCATGGTCCAGACAATCTCGGCACTCTGCGAGGTGTCCTCCAACGGGCATTCAACATTTCTTTCCTTGGTGCCCCGTCGGCCATGACCATCGTCGATGAAGCCAGTTACCTGATCGACACCGTTGCTGGTTACTCTCAATGTCCCTAGAACCAACAACAGCACTGCAATGCCAAAACTCTCTCGATCAGAATTGACCTCCACGGCCGGCTATACTTGGCATCTCTGAATCCGTGGCACAGGATGCCAGTTGATATAGCGCCACACTTGATGAACATTTATTATTTTGCTCGAATCAGCCGCAGATTCTTGCCAGTGCCAAACTCTCACGGGCAGCCTCGTTCTGAGCTGACCGGACCTGACGGCGGACCCGACATGCCATGTTCATGTCCACTATCATGGCCGTTCGAAACCGTTGAGGACGCACTGTACAGTGGCTGAATCATTCCGGCTCGTCGCACTTCCAAGAGGCCTTTTCGGCAATCCCTGGCCGCCAGCGATTCCCAGTGAAAGCAGTGGTAAGGAAACACTCTGCATGGCTGCACAAGGCACCAGGTGCAAGGGATCGCCAGTCCATTTCTCAGTGACGCCACGCCAGTCCATCGATGCTTGACAGACCTCTTTCCATGGTACTAGTACTACACAGTCCTCCCCTCAGCATCATCGGTTTCAAAACTGCAGCGCAATGGTTCGAACAGTAAGTTGGATGCTGCTGCTGCTGCCCTTGAATCCGAGCCAGATATCATCACATCACCACGCGGCAGTCTTGTTTTGGCCCCTGGGACCGCATCATCAACTCGTACCTACCTACCTAGCTCGTGCCCAGGGCACTACCTACCTAGGTAGAACTCTAAGATCACTGCTAATATCACCAAACCGCGAGTCCTCTTTCGGGACCGTGTCGTCAACTCACTTATCTAGATTGTACCCAGAGAACTACCTAAGTAGTAATGTACGATCACCGCTAATATCAAGGTGTTTGTTTCACTTGGGACACTACAGACCCGAGTGAGTAAACAAGCACATGCATCACTCATCATTGCAATCCGCTCTTCAAGTTCCTAGACCAGAAGGGAAACCTTGTGTAACGACAACATAAACAAGCTTGATACACAATACATACTAATAAAATACCTACATAATAATACCCATTCCATTTGGTACTGCTGCCCGATACCAGCTATTTGTTTCAGTTTCAATTAGGACTTCTGACCTTGAAGTTGCCCTTCCTTGTCTGTCTTGTTCGGATTCCCACACTGGCACTGGCAGTTGGAATCCTTAGTAGGCAGCTTTCTCTTACTCTTCGTATTTTCATACTTGAACATTCCGTGTACTTGTTTGTAGCCACCATCGCAAGTATCTTGCAAGAAAGAAGACCGAGGGTGGAACAGGAAGACATGCGCAGAGTGAAGCGGTTCGGTTGGTGCTCCCTGTGACGCCAATATTTCGCAACAAGCTCTTAGTCAACATAGTAGTAATGATGTCCCGCGGGAGCATCATAGTAAAACCGACGTCTCTCTCTTCTGTCCCTATCCCCATGATAGTACCGTTGCTCTCGCAAGCCCCTCAATCTCCGGATTTCGTCTTCTCGAATCCGGATCTCCTCCTCCCTGTCGCGGTCACTGAGCTCCCCAGACTGATGTCTGAAAAGCGGTTCTCTCATCCTCTCACGCTGGTAGTCCTCGAGTCGCGAGCTGACCGGGTCGATATCTTCGCGGTAGTAAGGCTCATGGAAGACTTCGTCCTCTGGGTAGTGCAGAATAGGCAGGCTTGATTCGACGGGGACGAGTCGAACATTACTAGGATGGTGCACAGCGACCACTTCTTGAGATCGAATCCCTGGTGTGTGTGGCGGATCACGATACACAACTTGCCTCTCCTCGAGAAGCGGCGTTGTGGCATATCTCACAGGTCGCGCCGGCCGCTCATACCGCGCGCCTTCGGCTGGCGGCCTGCCATATGTAACAAACGAGCTGCGGTACGACCGCGCTGGAGTGATGACCGGCTGCTCAACATGGTATGGACTTTCCACGTATGAAAGTGAACGCGTGGGCCCTCGATGATGTTTCTTATAAACAGTATCTGGGCGTGGTGGTAGATTCACCAGGCTTCCCCGACGAGGTACACCGCCCGGGCTGCCTATCGAAGTATTTGAGCTTCCGTCGTAATCGAAGCCATAGTGACTGGACTCACTGGCTTCCGAAGACGAACTGCCGGCGTCGAAATATTGTGGTGCACGTTGGTCAGGGAAGTGCACCGAGCCTCGACGGGAGCGAGACTTCTCGCGCGACTGAGCTCGTGCATCCGCGTGCGCAGCACGGCGGCGAGAGTAAGATCGGGTAGTATTTCCATCAACAACAACCTGTGGGTGCTCGTGGGGTGATTTTCCTCTTCGGCCCCGTTGATCGGTTGGCAGCTCCCCAAATAGTATGTCATCAGGAAGGGAATCCATGGCCCCGCCCAAGTCGCCGTCATCGCCGACAGCGAATATGCCATCTCCGTGAGAGTCGCGCTGGTCGCGCGACTTGCTCCGTTTCTGACTTTTGTCATGCTTTGTTCTCTTATCTTCCTTTTTGAGTTCCGGCTTGGCCCCTAGTGGCTTGTCTCGGGGAATCTGAGGCGGAAGGTTGGTATCATTGAAGTGTATTGGGCCATGCTCGTCTCGTGGCATTCCATCAGTGTCAAAAACTGGTAGATTGCTAACGCGGTCGGCTAGCATAGCCAATCCGGAATCTTTCCTAGACCGACCATAGGAGTCGTCGGCATATTGCTTGCCCTTGCTGGGCTTTGCCTTGCCCTCGTTGATAATCTTCGCGGGCTCCCGGACTGCAGCTTTTGTGTGAGCTGTTCCCCTCCTATTGCGCGCAAGTATCACATCCATCTCGGGGACGTGTACTGTACGGTTCCTCTTCAGCTCCTTCCTCGGCTTGATGTAGACCACTTCCCAGTGCGCATCGCCGGACTCGAGGTCATTGGCTTCCTGGACGGCTTCAGTAATCCGGTCTCGGCGCAGTTGTGACATGCGCTTTAATTGTTCCAAGGGCGTACCATCGCGGTGGATCTTTGTCGCTTGCTTCTCAATTTGCTCGACAGGCGCCAGTATGGGGTATCTATTGGCTAAGCTCCAGTCGTCACCCTTCTTTTTGAAGCGATAATATAGGTAGTCTTGTGATAGAGCTGGACCACCACTTGATCGTTCACGAGCGTCCTGCAGGTCGTCATCAAGGAGAGCGAGTTCAGGTATGCGCTGCTTGACGGTGGGTCTGCGCTCTTCGTACTGAGCGGGTGAATTGAGATCATCATCTAAAGCCCCGCTCATATAGTACATGTTAGACTCCACAGGATCAAAATGATGCGCAGGTGGAGGTGGAGGCTCCATCAAGCTGGCGTGTTGATCTGTAGAACTGGACAAGCCAACTGTAGTTTGTTCTTCGGAGGATGCGTCCTGACAACTAGAAGCGATATGAGTGAAAACAAAAGCGAACAGGTTTGGCGGGGAGCGGAGACCGATGGGAACGGATCACTAAGGGGGCTTGGAACGTATGTGAAGTATATGCAGAGTCGAACACTACCGAACTGTTCTTGTACGGGAGGGTTAAAGCTGGTCTCTTCGAGCGAGGGTCATGGTTAGTCCGGTGTTAGACCATACAGACAAACAATCCTTTCGGTTGGAGGAACCCAGTATAATAACCCACTGACACCGGTTTCAACAAACGCTGACCGAAGCACATCCCATGATGGTGTCTCTGCGGCCAGCCGCCCAGCGCCAGATCGAGCTGTTTCGGGTCTTCCAAGACTCCAGGCAGCGAGCGAGGCGGTTCAAAACGCGGCTTGCCGGCTACAGAGGAGGGCGAGAACATGAGGCAAGGACGGGCAAGACGCGGTTGATTGTCGAAAAGGCGGTGTCTGGGGTCATGGCTTTTGGTTGGAAACGGGGCAAACGGAAAGGCCTCGCCAGCTCATGCATGCAGTAGCGGTACAGAGGGGGCCGAATTGCGCAAATGAGGGCAAAAGGCAACTGTCTTAGCGTTCTCGTCAGTGACATTGTACATGCATTGTCCACAGGAGTTGATAGATGCCTATTCATGCAGGATGGCCCTGTGCATGGGATGATGTTCGGGCTAAGAGCAAACAAGTGTAGACAGGGACTGTCTGGCAAGGCAGAACTTGAATGAAGCTGTAGTGGTGTTCATCACTGTTTAATTGTAGTTCGAATTGCTCCATGAAGGACGCAGCGAAGGCCACACGTGACACTGGCATTGCTTAGTAACACGCTGCAGTTCCTTTCATTGGCTAGCACCCGTATCGCAGCCCGCAGCTTGCAAACCACCCTGTAACCACCTCCGTCGCCTTCTCAGACGTTAGGGTTATTTCTCTGTGCATCATGTTCATGCCGCGCGTAACTTTACTGCCTCAGTCTGAGCAGCAAGGCCTCGGTCGTTTGGGCAAGAGCGGTGAGAGCAAGACAACCCAAACTCTGCCGCTCCAGCAACCAATGCCCGTCTGGAGTTGTAGGGAGAGCATGAAGCGCTGCTGCATGGCATCCGACCTCGTACCCCTAACCTTGTCTTCGACGACAAGCTAGCCTGATCCGGCGACCAGAGGTCATGCCGGGCTGAGGGAGACAACGAGCATCCTTGGTGATGCTCCAAGGACAGCATTCATTTCCCTCTCAAAACATTTTGCGCCCCGTCGAGTCGACTGACAAGTGAGCCTTGATCTAGAACACAGGACGAACTGCCGGATAAGGAAGCGGGGCGTGGCGTTTCGCGCGACTTTGAGCAACAGCCTGATCGTCTATGCAGTTGGCCGCCGATTGCCTTGCAGCCGTTGAACACAGTTCGCCCGTGTAAAGCGCGAGGCGAACGGCTTCTTCGGTTCATCGAGCCTCATTGCGCCCATGTAGGCACTTTGTGCTCGTTTTCGAGAAGCAACGCCTCGCTTTTCGAAGCCCGCCGGCCCTACCGAGCAAGGAAGCGAGCCAACTGACCAAAGCAAGGAAATAGAAGACAGATAGAAATGTTCGTAATTGAAAAATGGGTAATGATGTTGTAGTGCTCGAGTAAACCGCCCGGTCCCAAACAAACAACCTGTAAAACTCCGCATGCCTCAAAGTAGGGCTATGCTCCCTATCCGCCTTGCATTATGGTGTCTGGACGCCTACACCCACACGACATCCGAATTTTTACAATTGGCAATGCGCCTTGACCCTGGGTCAAAAAGATTTCAAACAGAGACTCTTCTCACAACGCACCGCCACACTTCGTCAACAATCACAGAAGCAAGACATCGGCGCCCGTGCGATGCATTACCGGACGTGCCGCGTCCTCTATCGCAGGGGAACTTTGACATCCTGAACGCCGCGCTTAATGACCTCATCCAAGGTCCAGCGGGGAACATGAACCAGTGACTTGGCCATCTTGTCGTGCTTTTCCAGACGTTTACGGCTCTGTTCCAATTCCCAGGTGACACCTTCGGCTAGAGGAGGTGCACCACCCGCAATGCCACTCGAGAACTTGAGCTGAAGGACATTGCCGATTTCATCGCATGCGGCCAGAAGACGATCAAGATCGTCCTTATTGTGAGCTGCCGAAACGCAGAATCTGGCCCGGGACGAAATCAACGGTGTAGCTGGATATCCTACCACGACGACGGAGATCTTGCGCTTGAGCATCTCATGGGAGAAAGCAGGCATCTTGGCTGGGTTGTACAGCATGACAGGAATGATGGGAGAATCGTCATGGCCGTAAACAATGAAACCCAGTCGCTTCAAGCCAAGTCGAAGATAACGCGAATTGAAGGCGATTCTTTGAAGCCGCTCCGCGCCTTGGCCGGGAAGCAACTCTCCGTTGATAAGTCTCAGGGCGGCAATAATTTGGGCCAGCACTGCTGGCGCTGGGGTCTCGCCGTACACGGTGCCAGCGTTGGAAAGGCGCAACTTATCGATTGCAGCCTTGTCACCAGCGACATAACCGCCGTTGGCGCCAAAGGACTTGGTGAGCGTTCCCATGAGAATATCCACCTCTGCCGGGTCGATACCAAAGTAGTCGCAAACGCCTCGTCCACGAGGTCCAAGCGCACCGATTGAGTGCGCCTCATCAATGAAAAGGTTGAACTTGTATCGTCTCTTGAGCCTGATAAGACCAGGCAAGTTGCACATTGTCCCTTCCATTGAATAGAGCCCTTCGACGACCACCAGGATTTTCTTCCAGGGCCGGTGTGTGCGAGGCTGTCCCTGAGAAATGGCTTCGCGGAGTCTGGTCTCCAGATCAACCATGTCATTGTGTTTAAAGGACGAAATCATTGCCCCTGACAGCCGCGAACCAAATCTGATCGAAGCATGGTTGAGTTCGTCCGAGATGATCAAGTCGCCCTTTCCCACGAGGGCTGGAAATATCGATGCATTTGTGCCGAACCCCATGGAGAAAACCATTGCCGATTCTTTACCAACAAACTCTGCAATTAAATCTTCGCATTCGACAGCAAGATCGGACGTGCCAACTTCGCTCCTTGCGCTGCTCGTGGACAACCCATACTTTTTGATTACTTCCTCCACGGAATCGGCACAAGGTCCCTCGGATTGGGCGAACCCGAGATAGTTGTACGAGCTCATGTTTAGAGTCTCCGTGGTTGTGCCGGTTAGCGTGAAATGGACATTGCCGTCATCCGAAGTGCGATCCAACAACGTGATGTAGCGTCCTGGAACGCCGGTAGTTGGTCTGTTAAAACAATCGTTGATACGCATTTTCAGGCGACGCACGTAGAAATTGTCGAAATCGCTGTTGAGGGCGGCATACCCGTTGCGGGCCTTGAGATGTCTGTAGTTGTCCTCTTTGAGCTTCATGCCAAAAAAGTCTCGGACGTGTCCGAATATGATAAGAATCAGATAGGAGATATAGGTGGTCAAAAGATAGTAATAGGGAGGCTCGTCCATGACAGGATCAGGAAACTCGCCGCCCTGATGTCTGCTTGTGTATCGATGCGACTGAGAAATCAGCGGGCCAAATTGAGCGTGTTGTTTTGCAAGTTTTCTAGTCTCGGCCGCCGAAGGCGGTTGAAAGAGAGTGGTGGGCGGTTCATCCATGTTGGCGGAGTCAGCTCGAGCAGTTGACAACGAGATGCTCGGTAATGACAGGGAAGGCACAGAAGGCATTGGTGTTCCTGAGGCCAAAAAGGCTTGTTCTTGAGCTTTGCTTGCTGCGAGCAGCGCAGCCGCAGCCGATTGTGCTTCCTTTGTCTTCGGGGACGTAGAAAAGAACTGAGCAATCTTGCTTGCTTTCTGAGAAGTCTTGCTGACGAGACTGCCGCCCTTTTCAGTTGGGGAAAAGGACGGCCAAGGGGTCGGAGGTGAACTGCTTAGGGGGGCGTTGGACAATCGACGAGGCATGGCAAAACGACTTGATGCCCGTTACTCGGATATGAAGACCAAGTCCTCAACAACAGCGCCGTCGACGACGCTTCAGAGAGCGCAGGCTGTTGAACTTGTTCCCTCTCTTTTCACTGCTACAGTAGCTGCGTCGTCGGTAAGCGCGTGGCTTAGCTGAAGTGCAGCACGGGTAGTCCAAGCTGGTCCGGGCGAACAGCTGGCTGAAGGGCGACAAAGCAACGACTCGGCGCGGCGATTATCGAGCTGCTTGCGCAGGTATCGAAAGGGCAAGGCGTTGAAGGATTGGTGTCTGAAAAGAGGACTGCGAATTGTATGTATGACGAGGAAAGAGGAAAAGATGGCGGCTTGAACGGATGGCTGAGGATCCCGCTTTGATCCGGGGCGAGTGCTGGTTGGATAGATGAGCGTGTGCCTTGCAGCAAGCGCCCGCGGTCAGCCGCACTCTTTCCGCAATAGACGCGAAAAATTGCGGAGAGCGTGTTCTGAAAGAAATACGAAGGCGAGAGGAAACAGAACGAACAAGAAGACAGATAGCTGTCTACCGTAGACGAGGGAATCGAAGAGCACAACAGACACACACGAAAGGAACGCGAACCGGCACCCGGATGTACAAATGTAATTTGAGGTTTGCTGACAGGATCAAGGTGGCGGGAACCACGACAAAAACTGCGTGGTTTCAAATGACATGCTGCGGACCTTACTGGTTGTGAGTCTTTTAAGCAAAAGGGGAACAGGGGCTCGAAGAGGCCGATTTTTCGCCCAGCGTGAAATTGGCTCCAGTCTGTAGGGTCCTGCCAGTACCTGGGCCTCTAGGGACCTCATTTCGGGGATGCACTTTCGAGATTGCGAGACCCTCCATCATTGGCGACAGGCGCTGAGTAAGAGGGGCCGCTACTCGCTAAGGCTTCCCTAGCACCCTACAACGTTAGCAGTCGAATTGGGTGCCCCTGGCTCCAAAGGACCTACTAGCATAGGTAGTCAGAACCTATACGGTAGCTGGCGTTTGGATCTCAGCATCGAAGATGCAGAATCATCGATATTGGTGCCACTGTTGTACTTTTCGAATCTGGGTCGATACCTACCTCGAGGCGAGACGGCAAGCATCCTGCTAACGACATCTGATGATACCAGCCTACAGTTACTGCTTACACCAAGGACAACTGAGCCAGGCGGTATTTCTGCCTACGACAATACTATTCTGGATTTCCCGTCCATCGAGAGCCGTGAAGGTTCTTCGTGCCACTGCAGGTTGGCTTTCCCCTATCGATAAGACGCACCGAACCAGGTACAGTTGTAGACAAATGCAGTGCAGTGCATCAACGGTTGCCCATCTTGTGCATGCAGCACGTGTGTGTCCAGTCGACCTTTTCCACATCACCCCGATACTCGTGATGTTCTCAAAAAGTACCTGAATTTTGATGGCAGGCCGGCATACACATTCCTCATCTGCGTTGCGTTCAAGCGCCTCCCACTGCCAGAGTGCGACAATGTAGGTAGATTTCGTGAGCGGGCACAAAGCCGTCCCCTCCACGCACCGCGAATCAGACCCGGCGCCGAGGCTCAACATGTCCTGCGGATTCCCACCGTAAATACCCGGGGCTCCACTAAAAAGTGCAGACTGAGGGCGGGTTTACTTTATACACGGAGTATCCGCACGATGGTATCCTCGATGTTGACTGCAGTGCATTATCCCCAAGGACGGCGATACAGTGATCACTACTATCAATACAATGTCGCAAAACGGCGTCAACGGAGACGTGGCCGAGTCCGCAGAACTCTGGAGGCATCCCCATCCCGAATCGACGGAATTCCATGCCTTCCAGCAGCACGTTGCAAAGAAGCATGGCGTCTCTACATCATCCTACAACGACATCTGGCAATGGAGCGTTGACCACCCCAGCGCCTTCTGGGAGGAAATATGGCACTATACCGGGATCAAAGCCAACAAGCAGTATGATTCTGTATGAGAACACCCTTCTGCTCGGCGTTCAAGCAGACATCTCTGACTTCAAGTGCTATCGCTCCACTACTAGGTCCTCGACGAGTCCGCTCCAATGTTTCCCAAGCCGACCTTTTTCGATGGCTGCGAGTTGAACTTTGCCGAGAACATCCTCTTCCCCTCCTCCAACCCTGAACCGAACTCCATCGCAATCATCGCAGCGACAGAGAGCACGCGGGAACAAGTAACGTGGGCGGACCTGCGTGAGCGTGTCCGGATATGCGCCAGTGCCATGGAAGCTCATGGCCTCAAGAAGGGAGATAGAGTCGCCGGATATCTGGCCAACCATGTCAATGCAGTGATCGCAATGCTTGCCGCGACTTCTCTGGGAGCATTGTGGTCGGGCGTGAGTCCTGATACAGGCGTGCACGCGGTTCTAGACCGACTCCGTCAAATCGAGCCTGTGCTCCTCTTCGCAGACAATGCCGTGACATACAACGGCAAGACCCACGAGACGCACAGCAAAGTGTCTGAAGTTGTATCAGCGTTACCGTCGGTTCGGAACCTGATCATCTTCGAAACCATACCAGGGCACGCATTCGATATCCCTTCGATACAGAAACACCCTGGGACGACGGTTGAAACATATACCTCCTTTTTGTCAAAGGGCGACTCTACGAGACCTTTAACTTTTACATACCTACCTCCTGAGCATCCTGTTTATATCTTGTACTCGTCAGGCACGACAGGAGTACCCAAGCCAATTGTACACGCTGCTCTTGGGACTCTGATCCAGCACAAGAAAGAACATGTATTGCAGTGCGACATCAAACCCGGCGAGCGGCTGTTCTACTTCACAACAGTGACATGGATGATGTGGCACTGGCTAGTGTCCGGATTGGCCAGTGGTGCAACAATTGTCCTCTACGACGGCTCGCCCTTCCAACCACACAAGGAGATGAGCATGCCACTTCTGATCGACGAGCTAGAGATCAACCATTTCGGCACTTCAGCCAAGTACCTCTCAGTTCTGGAACAAGCCCATACTCTTCCTCGGGAAGCATCGCCCAAAAGCGCGACGCTGAACTCTCTCAAATCCATCTTTTCCACCGGCTCTCCATTGGCGCCGAGCACATTCCAGTATGTGTACAAGAACTTGTCACCTCCCGCACCGCACCCAGGGGTATTGCTGGGTTCGATCACCGGCGGCACAGACATCATATCTCTCTTCGGAGCGCCGTGCCCGATCCTGCCCGTCCACGCGGGCGAGATTCAATGTCGAGGGCTCGGCATGGCCGTCAAAGCCTTTTCGGCGGACGGCGTCGACATTACCGAGACCGGCCAACCGGGAGAGCTTGTTTGCACGGTCCCCTTCCCCTGCCAGCCATGCATGTTTTGGCCTCCGGGGCCTGCGGGTGAAGCGCGGTATCGATCATCGTACTTTGAAGTGTTCAAGAACCCCAAGACCGGCCACCCGATCTGGCACCACGGCGACTTTGTCCGCTTCAATCCGTCGACGGGCGGCATTTGGATGCTAGGCCGGTCCGACGGCGTTCTGAATCCGATGGGCGTCCGCTTCGGGTCCAGCGAGATTTATAATATCTTGCTCGAGCATTTCAAGAAGGAGGTCGAGGACGCATTATGCATAGGCCGCAAGCGCCCACAGGACACCGACGAAGTGGTGGTTTTGTTTATGAAAATGGCCGCCGGACACCAGTTCACTCCTGAACTGGCACACCGAGTCCAGAATGTGGTCAGAAAGGAGCTCAGTGCCCGTCACGTGCCCAAGATCATTGACGAATGCCCCGAGATCCCCGTCACGACCAATGGCAAGAAGGTCGAGGGCGCCGTCAAGCAGATCATCAGCGGCACCCACATCAAGACCAGCGCTAGCGTGGCCAACAGTGCCTGTCTGGAGTGGTACAGGGAGTGGGCAAGAACTCATTGAGGTTCTGTCCTGTAGCTGTAGCAGTAATGCCAAAAAGTAAAAAGTAAACCGCCGTCCCGGCATTTGACGAGCATCAAAAACTTGTATGCCAGTATGAAAAGCATAGTTTGTTCCTCCCCCGCAAGGACAAAAGATTTGAACGTCAACGGCAACCCCGGCCTTGCAGCAGAGTATAGCATCTCGTCTCGAAACCTCCACGAGAGACATGTCAAAAGTCCCTACTGCTCTACGCTTCGACTAATTATTGCTGGTAATGAAGCTCGATCCACGTTCGGTTCGAATTTTGGCCTGCCTTGACACAAAGGAGGTACCTACTGTGCCAGCGGCACGACGACGGTATTTGGTTGTCTAGGACTGGCCCATTGTCTCATCGATCCTCACACATCGAAAAGTCATTCTTATGCTTGAGGGGGTGGGGAAGCTCATGTCAAGAACAACAACAAACGAGGGGAATTGTACTGGTACTACCGTAGATTGTGGACAGAGTCCAGACGTACAGTACATACCTACCTATTGTCGAGTCGGACTGTCGGACCTCGATGTGCTGCCGGAGGCTCCCTCTTGGTCACGGTGAGGTGGACAGCCAACGATCAACCGCATCCGTTACAATCACATTGAGCGAGCCTGAGTTGCCCAAACAAAACCTGATCATCTTTTCAACATCTGCCTCAGGTATGTTGGTACTGTCCATGGGAAGGCCGGACAGTTGTCAACAGCAATAACAGCAGGTTAGAGCTCCGATAAGCGCGTTGTGATATTGTGCTTCGCCTCGTCCTTTCACGTTGCCGTCAACTCATCAACCGTCCTTATAGATAGTACAGTACTGTACTCTATACACAGAGCAGAGGTTACACCCATCAAAGCAGGGTGACAGCCTTCAGAAGTCTCCGAGGGTACGGCAGACCCTTTCATACTAGTAGGGAATAGGGATCAGTTTTCCCCGTCTTGGGTTAGATCCAAATCCAGTACGAGCTGTCAAAGGAGTACCGATCAGCTGAATCACAGGGTGCAGTAGCCGCGGATGATGAGGGAGGAGGCTTTCTCGTGTTCAGGGGGTTGGTTTCTGACAGCCAATTGAACTTGACAGGGCGACAGCCGTTGGACCAGGAGTCGAACTCAAACCGAACTGACAAATAGATAATCATAGTCCTAGACATGGACGCCAGATGGTGTCGAACTCGCTGAAATACTAGTACTGTCCTTGGAGATCCATGGGACTAGACTCGGACTTCTCGGGCAATAATCAGAGCGGAATCCGCAGGACCTCATGTTGGAACCCTGAAGTCGGACTGTATGTTTGCAGCTGTCGATGGATGTCAATGTTCGCTCTTGTTGTGCGGCACTGGCAGTTCCGAAACAAATCCAATAACAGTCGCAGAGTAGTAGGCGTGCAGTGCTAGGAGAATCCTGGCGCCGAGAATCCTGTAATGACACTATCGTTGCCGGTTATTGGAAGGATTCCCCAAGGGAAATGGTCGTTTTCTCTCTACGTCTTTTCCCGAGTCCCCAGTCCACTTTGTGCGATACAAAGATTCTGGTTTTCTATGCTCTTGCAGCTTCCAGGCAATAGAGATAGATAGAGGATGACCGGCCTATTAGCGTATGCAAAAGGCTCATCAATGTGCAGGAAGTGCATTCCATCCTTCCCCGGGTCGCGACGGAAATGGTGGTATCCTGTTCCTGCGTGCCATGGATTTCGGATGTGGGTCATTCTTTACCAGTGCCGTCAGATGCCCGATCGATTGGATATGGTGATTAATCGGGAGGCTCCACAGTTATGTTCGGCAGTCGGATTCCTCCGCCACACCACTGCAAGCCGACGACGTTCTCAAATTCTCTGCCTCTGTCTGCGTTGCCATTTTCATTGTGTTGATGGCTGGCTGAAATCCTTCGAGTGCGCTGGTACTAGTACCTTGCGCCGCAGAAGCAAAACCGTTCGCAAAAGCCTTCGAGATCGGTGCGCTCGCAGACGGTGGGACGTCGACATGCGAGGAAACCAGCGCTGCTGCAGGCGCAGGCGTTGCGGCAGGTATCAATCGTAAGGACTCCCTGTCCACAAAGTATGGTCTCGAATGTAGCGACGCACACAAGATCCGCTGAAGTGGCTATGGGCCAGCGAGTTGCGCTTTTGTGCTTGTACTTGGAAGGGTTTCTGTGGGAAGATGGGAACGTGTAGCCACAGGAAGTCGTGATCAGTATACCAAGGACTGCGGCCAGGAACGAGATCTTCATCGTGGGAGGTGTTTGGAGTATCCGCGTAGTGGTCACATATCTCTGGCTTGGAAGGTGAATAGTCCAGTATACTAAGATATCGGGGTCCTTGTAGTTTGTAGGATCGAGGAAGCATTCAATGGGCCACGAATGTAATATGTAGTAAAACCAGCGCTGTGCTGTATCCACCTATGTTCTATGGTGAATGGACTGTTCCGGTTCCGGCAGCATTGGCAAGCATCGACCTGCGTCTAGAGTTGGGAACGTGTACGCACCATCTCCTGAGAGTGGTACACAGCGGCTGTAGGTCCTGGATGACGGCATTTAGCTCAACGGTCCTGATGGGGCTCAACTGTGCTGTTTGGTAAGATTCCTTCTGATCAGACACTGGCCCTGGGTTAGTTAGTAGTGGTCGTAGAAACGAGCCCCTGGGATTTCAATCTCGTAAGTCTACAATTCTGGCATCTCGAATTTCGAAAGAGGTCACCGTCTCCATCCAATCCTCGTTATCGGATCTTGGTGGCGTCTGAAGCAAGCCGCTGAATTCCTCAATGCTCTTGTCAATAGTTTGTTCTTTCTCGCCAGACCGAAGACACTGGAGGTATTGGGTTATTCTGTTCGTAACCTTTTCCTACCTAGGTATTGATACTACCAGTTCAGAACCAGTCTTGGCCACATGACCCCCTTAACTTTGACATAACCAGCGTGATGAGGACTGCAGAAGTTCTGTGAAAAAATTGCAGTCGTCTTTGCCGGATAACCCGGTGCTCATGCCTATCGAGGGTGTAGGGAGGCTTCTGTCGACTGCGCATCGTCTTTGGCCTCTTCCTCGACCGTTGCTCTCGTCTCAAAACAATGCAAGCATTGTTGTCGAGTAAGGGCGATTTGGTCCGGGAGATCTTTTGTCTTATATCCTGACAGCGGGAGAATGTTCCAAGCCGGTTTGCGCTTTGAGACCAGGGCCCCTGGCGACAGGACCTTGCTCGAGGACGATTCAGGAATGAAGCCTGGTGGAGGTCTTTCTGCCTCAATTTGTCCCTCCACGTGGCAGCTTGCTGCACGGCGAGAGAGATCGTACGGTGATGTCCAAACTCTTCATTTTCTTTGTGCCTGTGCTGTTGGTACGATGTCAGTGTCTACTTGCCTCAATAGTTCAATGTCCGATAGCCATTCGACTTAGGACTGCCTCCCACGACTGCGTGATCAACACAGCAAGAACGGGCGATGAAGATGACAGCACCAACGGAATTTTCCTCGGCATCAGCGTATTTAGAGGTTAGACAAGGACTTGACTGTATGCATAACTTGGTGAAAACGCATCCCAGCTAGTGGCCTGCTGACTTATGTGGCGATCCGTCCCGGGGTCATCAACCCAGTGTTGCGCCGACATAACTTTGGTGGTGACAAGTTCACGAGAGCATGGCTCTATCCGGCCAACGATTGATACTCGGGCCAGTGATAATCCTGGAGGCTGCGGCATCGTCATTGCTGGAAAGATGCCAGTCTGTCCTTGGAGCCCTCCCGCGGCATACCAGCGACGGCAGTTCACCGCACTGCGGATGACAAGACGCAGCCACAGCGTCTGCCGGACTTACGCACAGAGGGAGGGTTCGAATCACGGTGTGGACAAAAATAAAATCAAACCCTCAACTTTTTGGCAAATCAACAAAAACTCTAACTAGGAGCTCAACCACCGGTCTTGATTGAGATCCTAGTCGAGGGAAACCTCTCAGTCGTGTAGAGAGAGTTTTTTATCCGCTCGTCAGGTTACTCTCCTACCATAGGCCCTCGGGGGAGGCCATTTTCGGTAGGAACCTTCGTCCTTCGTCTGTGGTCTCACCACCGCTACACCGGTAAAGTGTAGGAGCAGTGCTTCACTCAGAGTCCGTCCAGTTCAGGGGTCCGCCTCAAGGATTCACGGCTTTTCCCAAGAGTAAGCTGTCTCACATCTGGTGTGTCCATCCCTTACGCCCTGACTAGCCTGGTTCGAGCCCACCGGAGAAGGCTGTCATTACCAAGGTCAGAACCCGGGAATAGATATGAGAATTGTTGGGGTGAATTTGGAACTTGTAAATAATAACCCTTGAATTTTGTCCTGCGGTGAAGCCGGAAGCCCGTCGGCCAACCAAGTAGAGACCTATAGGGCGGTGTCACTAGAACTTCACTGGTCTGGGTTTTTCGCTGTCAAGTGCCACCCCGTGGAACGGCTTCTTTCGTCTCTATTCATTTTGCTTTCTGTATATCGCAATTCGCTTGAAGCATTCCCGGACATCTTGCGCTGTTCCGGACATCCTGCGCTGTTGCTGGATACTCATCATGCATGACCCTAAGCCCGTATGACGTTGGAGCCACCGCGCTCAGGGCTCTTGTTCTCGACTGTGTGAGGCCACCCATTTACACTTAAGCGCATCCTGGACCAGTGCAAAAAAGACAAGGTCCGCAGAACGGCTTCCGCCATAAGGACTGGTCTTCCTGAAACATGGTCTGAGACCAAGCTGTGAAGTTCGGCGTTGGAGAGGATTTACGCAGGTTCCCGGGACATACGCTGGACCTACGCCAGATTTCGATCATCCAAAGCCCTATCAAAAGGCCTAGCGGTCTCAATAGGTAGGAAGTCACGGTCAGATCAGGATCTGGTGAGTCCTGAAACAAACGAGTAAGGCAGGAAGTCGAAAGAAGGAATCTCAGCATGACTCAAAAAAGCAAGCTTGTCGGGTCGAAACGACTCGTACAGACAATGATCTGCCGCCCCGCCTCTTTCCTCCACCACCGGGTTCCGGCTACACCGTGGGTCATGCCGCCACGTTAGCATCCAGTTACCATTATGGTTCATGTCGGCACCAGGACGACGAGGAGAGTCTGGGATGGTCTAGATGCCCCAAACAGCACAAGCGAATGAATCCAAGCAAACAATATCGGATCGACTCGAAGCTCTGAATCATCAATCTCCCCAACTATACGTCAACGCCAGTTTTTAAGGCACACAAACATGGGCAGACGGAAATCCATTCCCGGAGCGAGTGCAATGTCCCAGGGCAAGGTTCCATGTGGAAGTGCTTGCTGACATGGGAGCATAGCCCGATTCCGGGATCGTCAAGCTGCAAGCCTTGTTACCGCCAGTGGCTTTGTCGGCACGATTTGTGTTCAAACATACAATGTTGTAGTCTAGATTATGTCTCCCGGATTTGTTGGCTGCGGCCAACGAATTGATCGAATGGAAATCGCAAGTTCCAATCACTCTCAGCTGGTTAGATGCCGCAACGAAACCTGGCGAGCTCAACACTGTCGGAATATGGTCCAACGTCCGAAACACGTCAAATCATACAACAAACGGCACATGGCGCATCGGTGAAGATAGCTAGGTGGTATGACACCTTCAAATCGACGAGCACGCAACATTTCGACAGCCAATTGTAATACAATAAATATCAGGGGAGAAGATGCCACTCTCACCCTGGAGCAGTGCTGAGTTACCTCACCCAGGCCTTCGCACTTCATAGCCCCTCGGCAGGACCTGACTGTTTCTATGATTGGTCCACGCCATCATACCACCGTATTATGTATAGCTCGCGCATGATTTGTTGAGCCAGCTGCTGTCCCCTCCATCAAACAGATGTGGATCTACTTTTCCTCGGCCTGCAATGTTGTACTGTTGAAGTTAACTCCCTGGGCAGGTTCTGCATACGACTTGAATCTTGTACATACACGCCTGCGGTACCATCGCCAGGCCTGGTAGCTGGTTACTGCACTACTGTACTTGTACCGTTGTAGCTGGAAGCCCGACGAAGGTGTTGACATGCCGCCCGAATGCCAGGTGCTCGCTGTGCCTCCCAACATGCACGAACAAGGACAGTCTTTCCGCAGCTCGACCAAATGCCCAGCCGAGCCCGGGGTAGCCTGCCTACCTTGGAGTTCCACTTGCAGGTGGAAGGAGACTCGATCGCACAACTTGAAGGAGGGGCAATTGGAACTCTGAGCCCCAGACCGAGCAAGTGGAGTGAGGGCCTCGCGGCCCGTGATTGGAATGCACCTCGCTAATCTTTGTCTTGAAAAGGTATAGACTCGCTCTCAATATCTTCTTGCAGTAATTTCCAGCGAGACCTCGCAGAGGTGCCAGGCAACAGCGAGGGAACCAGTGGAGAAGTGAAACGGTTCACTCCGGCAACTATTACTATTTGGAGTATTGGCGCCCGCTCAGTACCCACGATTAGCACTAATTGACAGCCGCCGAGTGCTTGTCAATGGGCGGGGAAGAAATCCACGGAGTCCTCACTTCGTTCCAGATCAATGTTGCCAGTGGTACAGTCGTATGTTGCAACAAGAACGGCGCTCAACTGCGACCGAACTACTGGTGGTATTGCATGCTCGCCTCCGCATTGTGCACCGTAATTGCCGAATTTGAAAGAGTGCTTTAGTAATTCCTTCTCGGTCATTAGACGCTTGAGGGGCGAATCCAGAGCCGCACGTTTATAAGGCGCGGGGTATTCCTCACAAACCCTCTTCCTCTCACCACTACACACACTCTCTCTCATACCCCCAACTACCGAGCGATAGAGAGAGCGGCTTTCGTCTCTATCTATCTGCGAGCCTGTTCTTTCTACCATCACTTCCTCAGTGAAATCGATCCGAGTTCTCCATCATGGGCGAGTGTCCAGTCCACAACCCTCTTCGGACCACCAATATCGGCGGCGGTGGTACCAAGAGCAATGACTGGTGGCCAGATCGGTTGCAACTTGGCATTCTACGCCAGCACAACGCGGTCTCAAACCCAATCAAAGATGTCGACTACGCAGCGGCCTTTAAGAGCCTGGACTACAATGCCTTGAAGAAGGATCTACACGCACTGATGACAGACTCGCAGGAGTGGTGGCCTGCCGATTTTGGTCACTATGGCGGTCTGTTCATTCGTATGGCCTGGCACAGCGCAGGTACCTACCGTGTCTTTGATGGCCGTGGCGGCGGTGGTCAGGGACAGCAGCGTTTCGCCCCGCTCAACAGCTGGCCCGACAACGTCAGTCTCGACAAGGCACGTCGCCTGCTATGGCCCATCAAACAAAAGTACGGCAACAAGATCTCCTGGGCCGATCTTATCCTCCTCACCGGCAATGTGGCCCTCGAGTCTATGGGCGTCAAGACCTTTGGATTCGCCGGTGGTCGAGCTGATGCATGGGAAGCTGACGAGTCTGTTTACTGGGGTGGCGAGACAACCTGGCTCGGCAACGATGTCCGCTACTCCCAGGGCAAAGAGGGTCTCGCACCTGGCCAAGGAGTGGTGGATGGTGATGAGCACAAGAAAGGTCACGCCGACATTCACACCCGTGACCTAGAAGAGCCGCTTGCGGCTGCCCACATGGGCCTCATTTACGTGAACCCTGAAGGACCTGATGGTATCCCCGACCCTGTGGCTTCGGCAAGAGACATTCGCACAACCTTCAGCCGCATGGCTATGACCGACGAGGAGACCGTTGCTTTGATTGCCGGAGGTCATACCTTCGGTAAGACGCACGGCGCAGCTCCCTCTGACAACGTTGGTCCAGAACCCGAAGCTGCACCCCTTGAACAGCAGGGCTTCGGCTGGAAGAACAAGCATGGTTCTGGTAAAGGACCCGACACTATTACCAGTGGTCTTGAAGTGATCTGGACCAAGACTCCTACGAAGTGGAGCATGCATTATCTTGAGTATCTGTTCAACTTCGAGTGGGAACTCACCAAGAGTCCGGCTGGTGCAAACCAATGGGTGGCGAAGAATGTCGGAGAAATCATTCCTGATGCCTACGACCCCAACAAGAAGCACCGCCCGACGATGCTGACGAGCGATCTTGCGTTGCGCTTTGACCCGTCTTACTCGAAGATCGCAAAGTATTACCTTGAACACCCAGACGAGTTCCATGACGCATTCGCACGTGCGTGGTTCAAGTTGCTGCATCGTGACATGGGTCCTCGATCCCGCTGGCTGGGTCCAGAGTTGCCCAACGAGGAGCTGATCTGGGAGGATCCTATCCCAGCTGTGAACCACCCTCTTGTTGATGACAAGGACATTGCTGCTTTGAAAAAGGAGATCCTCGCAACGGGTGTGGAACCGGCCAAATTTGTGAGAACCGCCTGGGCTGCCGCATCCACTTTCCGCGGTAGTGACAAGCGTGGCGGAGCCAACGGTGGTCGCATTCGCCTCGCTCCCCAGAAGGACTGGGAAGTGAACAACCCACAGCAACTTAGCGAGGTGCTGAAGGCACTGGAAGGTGTCCAGAAGAAATTCAACGACGCTCAGACCGGAGGCAAGAAAGTGTCGATCGCTGACCTGATCGTCCTGGCCGGCACTGCTGCTGTGGAGAAGGCTGCCGGTGTTCCCGTGCCCTTCACTCCAGGTCGCACCGACGCCTCCCAGGAGCAGACTGATGCCCACTCATTCGAGCACTTGAAGCCCAAGGCAGATGGCTTCCGCAGCTACGGCAAATCATCCTCCCGGGTGCGAACTGAACAGTTCCTCGTCGACAGGGCACAACTGTTGACGCTGACCCCACCGGAGCTGACCGTGCTTATTGGTGGTCTCCGTGTGCTCAATGCCAACTACGACGGATCTTCTCTCGGTGTTTTTACCAAGCGTCCTGGCCAGCTAACTAATGACTGGTTTGTCAACCTCCTCGACACCAATACCGCGTGGAAGGCGACAGACTCCTCGCAAGAAGTTTATGAGGGCACAGACCGCAAGACTGGCGAGAAGAAATGGACTGCTACCCGTGCCGATCTGGTCTTTGGCGCTCACGCAGAACTTCGTGCCGTTGCCGAGGTGTACGGCAGTGTTGATGGACAGGAGAAGTTTGTCAAGGACTTTGTGGCGGCCTGGGACAAGGTCATGAACCTCGACCGTTTTGACCTCCACAAACCAGCCGACCCTGCTAGAGCGCGGTTGTAAGCCTCCAGATGGCCCCTGATAGTTGATAAGACGCGGCGTACTGTCTACAGCTATATTGATAGTCCATACATCATTCTGTATGATTTGCAGAACGAATTCATGAATTGCTTGCCTCAGTGGATTTCTCCTGTTGATCTTTCGAGAAGCCCGTGATCGATTTGACTGTTGCATCCAAGCACTGCTACGCTGCATACCGCACATTAGCTGCAACGGAGAGCGTGTGCCTCCTACTACTGTGTAGTCCTCGCATGTACTTTTAAGTACTGATGTTTCGATGGAATTCAGCGGCGACACATCGGCTGGCCTTGGCGCCTGTTCGGGACGGTAGCCTCCCCCTTCGTCGCGTTAGCAAACCCAAGACGGTGTTTACAAAAGGACATTTACACGTTATGCAGTCTTACTTTTGACGTGATTTTTATTTACCATCTTTACTTAGTTAACACTACTACGAACCATACTCAATCATTGCTAGCCATCTGACCTTGCTGAAGATGGCAGATGATAGCAAGTCCATCGCCTCGTCAGCTTACTCCGGTGATAGCAAGTCAGAGCAGACCGCGACTATCGCCACCAGAATTGAAAAAACAAGCGCCAACCAGAGGGTACAGAGCAACTTCTGGACAGAACATCCGCAGAGGCCGAGGAGAAACGGCAAGAGAACAAAGCCGCGCGCAACAAGGAGGCCGGAACTAAGAAATAGGCAAAAGTACGCATACTGGTGTGCTTGTTGAGGGGCTTTGTATAGATCGTAGCTGACTGAGATGGTTGCTCCATTCATGGCGTTTCTGCTCGAAAAATGCCACAGTGTCAACTCTCCAGTATTTGGCCATAACGTCCTGAAACTTGCCGGCCTCCTCTTCTGAATGGGAAAACGCAAATTGAGGTTGTATTTTATTGACGAAAATATTGTACGCGATCCGCGGGATTTTGACAGCGGTCAAGTACCAGTGCTGCTTTCTGCGAAGAGAGTCTCTCATTGCCTGAGCATAGTCACGAGGACAAATTGGGAATGTTTCCCCATCATCATCATCATCTTCCTCTTCGAGGATCCGAAGGAATTCTTCACAGGCACGCTCAAACTTTTCTTCGTTCTCTTGTGTGCCTTCTCCATCAAGATCGTCGAGCTCGTGCCCCGAGAGCCAGAAGGGTGGATGTTGCATTTCCCTGGGCAGAGCACAGCTGAACTCAATGTCTACAATTCCTGTGATACAATAGTTTTCGTCCACAAAGAGATTGTCTTCGTGTAAATCCGTGAATTGGAAAATGGGCGGCTCTCGCTGTAATGGCGTGCTCATGAACGTCGAGTACAATGCCCGTAAAGCGACAATGGTAGCCATCTGACCCTCCAGGTCGAGTTTACTGCGGGCCGCATTCGGTTGATGTATTAATCGCTGATCGTGGCAGTTGATGAGGTCAAGGAGGTACGATTCGGTAGATGAATAAGTTTGATTTTGGGGAATTTTCGTCGGAACACCTGCATTTTCCAGTACAACCAGTCCCCTTGTCAATGGTCGATTGGTGAGACACACTTCTCCAGAGTCGTGGACGGTGAAGGAGCCAATTTTGGACAAAGGGCGCGCCAGGTCGAGAAGTATCCTCCGCAAACTCCGGAAAAGTGTTGGACGATGTTCGGGGGGAGGGTGCCCCACCGCAGAGAGCGTTTGACCTCGTTCCTTCTCAAAACATTCTATCAACAAATAGCCACTCTTGAGCGAAACACGGCTTTGAAGGGGTGCGAATGGACGGAAGTAAGATCGTCCACAAGCCCGTGCCCAGCACCATCGGAGAAATGTCGAGACTCGCTGATACCAGGGTGCGTGTTCGAGCGGTGAAAACTATCAGATTGTGAGTCAAGGAAGAATGAAAGCAGTGTGCCACTCACTTGTAAGCCGCCTGGAAGTCCAAATCCAAATAAATGTGGAATGGGAACACGAGGGCAGTTCCGAGAGAGCCAAGCAAAAGAAGCTGCCTCACAGCGTAATTTCTCTTCCATTAGCGTAGTCTTGTGCAGTCCACCTAGCCTGTGAGGGAACGGGCATCTAATCAGAACCCGCCGCGCACGCCAATTGCTGATGAAGACAGGTATACAGACGTTATAAGTCCCTCCCATCCATTCATATCTTTTCGCAACGCTGCACGTCTGATGTGCTTTTAAGTTCAGATGTTGAGCAACGATTGCTTTGATGGTGGGTCTTTCGGTTTCAAGATACTGGAGAAATTCCTCTTCCAACCGATCCCACTCCATGTGTATCAGCATATTGTCGTCTTCTTCCTCAAGGTCTTGTATTGGCTTCTCCCATTCGCATCCCTCATCTGTCGCGTCTTCTTGTTCCTCTGACTGCGGCGGCATTTTTGAGGTGTGAGGGCAAGCCAATATTGGCCAGAGTACGGGTACACGGCGAAGAAGGTCGCAACGTAGTCAAGAATCGTCAACTTCATACACATTCAACGAGTTTACCAGTCGCGTCGGCAGGTTCGCGCTTAACAAAATAGTTCCGCAGCAGAAGCCACCGCTGTAGTTATCGGATGACTCGGAGGATTCGCGTCGACGCCTCTGCGGGCTTCTGGCGGCATCTTTCGATGTTGACCTCATGGTAAGGAATAAATGTAAGGAATAAATTAAAATCGGGGAAGCCATTTCACAGACAAACACCCCAAACATACCAATCAAAAACATCATCCGAGGTGTATATACAGTGGTAGTGCACTATCCCAGGTTGATTTGCCACTAGCACCAATGCAGTATTCAGATTGGGTGGATAATATCATTCATTCACTTTCATTATTAGAGTCCTCACTGCTAGTACTTTCATCGCTCACGAAGCGGGCAGCGCCTGGTCTTCCGCTTTCACGCCCCCGATCGCATGGCCGTCATGTAAGAAGTGGCTTGTTCTTTACAGAGCATACCTAGCACATTATGAGCTCGTCGTCGCCTTCGCTGGTCGACTCTACATCCCTCTTCTCCAGCTCGGACATCGAGCAAACCCCGCCTCCCAACAGCGCACCACAGCGGTCGCCACAATACCAGCAGCAGAGACCCGCTCAACCACCACGCCTTCCCTCTCCCAGACTCTTCCGCGATTTCTTCAATGCCATGGCCGAGACGGGTTCACACCGACAAGCCACTCTCCCCCGCACAAATTTTCAAGACTCCGTCCAAGGCGTCAACCAAGCCCTGCGGAGCGCAAACAGAGCCTTGCAGAGCGCCCAGGAGGCATTTCAACAAACGAGAAGACTGAGAGAAAACCAGCAAAACAACCAGACTGTTGACCTGACAAGCAGTCCGCCTGACCAGGTTGCAGAAGCTCGCTTCTTCTCGCAAATCACACACCCTCACGACTCCTCATCGAACTCAAGAGCAAGAAGACTCAACACACTTGACGAGCCTGTGTACGGCCCACCTTCGAATTCCCATCCTCATCCTCCAGTCCTCAATCCTTCGGACCCCTTGACCCTCTTCAGACTTTGGCCCGTCCCTACATCGAACCCGCCTCGGCTGCCGCACCCGGATCACAACGTGCGATTACAATCTATGGTAGAGCAAGAGGCTATCAATCGGCAGCGGGAGAATCACACAAATTGGGAACGCAATCAAGCCAGGAATCGACAGCGTCTGCAGAATACGGCGGCGGCGACGGCGGCCATGTCTCCTCCCTCGCAAGTCAGTCAACCAGCATCGGTTGTTCTAGACGATCCTACAATTGAGTCTGTCGATCTTACTGGCGTTGATGACAGTGCCAGCCTGTCAGCGGCGCTGGCCAAACAACGCGAGGACGCCATTCTATCTCAAAACACAGGCACGGAATCTGGCCGAACACCGCTCACGGCGTACAAGTGCCCTGTTTGCATGGACACTCCCACGGACGCTACGTCCACAGTCTGCGGCCACGTTTTTTGCCACCGTTGCATCATGGACACTTTAAATTGGTCTATCGAACAACGTCGCGATGGCGCACCACCCAACCGGAAAGTGCGCGGCGTCTGCCCAGTCTGTCGCAAACCCCTTGACACTAAGGACACCCCAGGAGCGTCAAGGAGCTTAATTCCTTTGGAGCTCAAATTGCTGGTCCGAAAGCGAAAAAGAGATGACAAAGGCAAGGCCAAGATGGTCAAGGCCGAGACTCTCAGTGACGATGAGGACGACGAAGGTGATCAAAATAGGCCCAGCAGCGGAAAAGAGAACATCCGCGCTGGCAAAAGAAAGAGGGAGAGCACAGAGGAAGCCCTTTGGGGTCAGTTCATGGCGGATTAGATTGACGCCCACTAACCCGGTGGAACACACATGGCCTGTCTGCGTTATCGCCGGCGACGACAGAATGGCCCTTGTGCTTTTGTCTTTCTTATCAAAAGTTGCACGGGCAGGTTGATGGTGCTTCGATGATACCCCTTCGGATGACTCATGAGGAGAAGCCAAAGAACCCTTTGTTTCTGCATTTTTATGACCTAATTGTGTGAAAGATTTAGCGTGGCGTTGGTGGTGTTCAGGTTGGCAGAATGGGAGTTTTACATGGTTTCCTTTCAGAATGGAAAGGCCCAAGGCCAGTTTTGCTCTTGTTTCGTGTCTATATGTCTTCATGTCTTGCACTCGTGACACCAAAGAATTCACCCAACTCCGCGCTATAGTAAGATTATGTACTGGAAGTCCGTATTTGTGCAACCCCCCATTATGTACACCACGGCAGGGACCGGGCCAAAAAGATCTTCACATGTCTCCAGGATCGGCGCCGTACCGAGAAAGAACACCGCCCAGACACGGCGAGGACAAGGCGCACTCTATTAGGATATCTGACTACCCAAAGCTGCCAGCAGCGGCATAGTCACTATCACTGGCGTTCCTCTAGCCTCCTCTTCCTGCCTCGAGCAATGAGGGCTTTGTTGGCCCAGCGCACAACAGCACGGGACATGACATCCCGCATCAGCAGTAAAAAGACGACGACACTGACCGGGGCAGCGAGGACCCAGAAGAAGCCATCGCTATGCTCGGTGACGCCGGGAAAAGTGGCAAAGTTCATGCCGAAATAGCCCGTGAGGAAACTCAGGGGCAAGAAGAAACACGTCACAATAGTCAGCTGCTTCATGCTTTCGTTCTGGTAGGCGGAAACGGTGTTGAAAATCAGGTCGACGAGGTTATCGGCGCTGCGGCGCATTTGATCGTACGAATCCTGGATGAGGAGCGCGTGGTCCTCGACGTCGCCTAGGTACGTGATGGTCATGGGCGAGATGGACACGCCTGAAGTGACGCCCGTCTGCTTGCGCTGGAAGCTGGGCGGCGCAGTATTTGAGTTGTGCTGTTGTTGTGCAAAGCCAAAGCCTAGGCTGCCGTTGCGGTCTGGAGACGGGCTCGGGACACGGCCCACAGCGGCGGCGGCGGCTTGAGCGTCGGTCTTGTGGTCTTTCAAAGCGCCGATCAGTTGGACGATCGGGGCTATGCCGTTGCGAAGAATGGCGATTTCCGATGTCAGAATGTACAGTGTCGTAGATTGGTGGATGGCCGGGTCGGTGAGGACGTCGAGTTCCAGGTCGCCAATGGAGTCTTGGTAGGCCGTGGTGACGGGCAGGGCGAGGTCGATGATGGCGTCGAGGATGGCCTGTGCAAGCATGGATGCATCGGCCGACTGGCGCAGGATGGTCCCCGGCGACTGCAGCCGGTGGATGATGGGGGTTTGGACGTCGTTGGCGGAGTATTCGAAGAATGAGATGACTGTGTTGTCGGCGCACAGGAAAATAGACACTTGCTCGATTGAGACCCCAATGCCTTTTCTCCGTAACACGGCATGTCGTTCCATGTACTCGATGCGGTCTTGGTTCGGTCCCGCGTGGTACCGCTGCATGGTGCGGATGTGTTTGGGTGCCCAGGGGGTTTCGATCTTATTCGAGACCCGGAGATTGTTGGCTGATCTGATCTTGTTGACAATGTCGGGCTGCCCTGCCGGCATCTTCCTCTTTTTGGGCTTCCAGATATCGTCCCATAGTGAACGAATGGCGCCTTTGCGTCGCTTCTGTTCCCGCTTTCTTCGCTGTCGCTCAGTGATGATTCTCGCCCCATAGTCGGATTCTCGCTCGTTGACGGAGCCCATGTCGGAGTCTGAATCGTCGGAAGACGTGGCCTCCTCTTCGTCCTCGAGATTGATGAGCTTTTGCAGAGGCAGAACCATGTATGTGTGATCACTGTACCAATCCACTTTTGTCCGGTTCTTGGCGTTGAGCAGATCCTCGATCGCCAGTCGGTGTAGTCGCTTGTGGTTCCCTAGAACCCGGATCACATCCCATGACAGCCCGTTCACGTTGATCCATCTGACCTCGGCCCAGGGCGCAGGTCCTTTCTGGAGGAATTCTTCGATATTATCGTTGTCCAGGTCGTACGTGGAGACTTCGTCGCTGCTGAAATCCACCACAGTTATTTCACATCGCTGCTTCAGGCTTTCGTGCGGTAGAGGGTCCGGCTGGCCCTCACTGTACGGCGGAGCTGGTTTGCTGGTGTCTATTCCAGGTTCCAGTCCTGGTACCCAGCCGGTAGTTCTGCTCAGCTCCTCTGTCCCGTATATCACATTGTTGGCTGTGTCGGAGCGCCCTCGCCTCCGCAAGGATTTCATGGTCGACTTGGAGACATTGGTATCGGTGCGATGAAGGTCCGGCGAATGGTCTCGGTGGTTTTTGTTGCGGTGGTGGTGTTCCTCCACTTCGGGGTTGTTTTGGATATGGACGTGGTGTTGGGGATGAGGATTGCGCGTATGGTTTGAGGAGGGGGGAGGAGGAGGGGTTTGTGCTTCGACATCAGGTTGGTGCGACCGTCGACGATGGTTTCGAGAATGGCGTCGCATGGCCTCCTGCGATGAAAGCGACTCGGTAGATCTGCTTTCATGGGAGACTACGTGAGTGCCATGAGGGTGCGGCATCGTCGACATTCCCGATTACAGTCTCGGGCGCAGGTGCGCAATGGCACCAAACGCGTCAGCTTGTTGAAGAAGATGAATCACACTTGCGCATATGCATCGGCTTGAGTGACATCCCACGCAGAGAAGTGAGCTTGACAGATGCGCGCAGACAGATATTGAGACTGTTGACGGTACAGTGTTGTCAGAATCAATGCACTCAAACTTGAAGTGGACTGGAGCAATTGAAGACACCATAGCGTGGGGCCAGGATGTTCAGGGCGGAGAACACATCCGAGTTCTCCTTTTAGACATGAAACAAGCATATCATACTGCAGTGGTGGTGGCTTAGGAGGCCATCCCCCAGTCACCATCATGAGCGGGCTCGATCGCTAGAAGCCAATGCGGCACTGGCCCCGACATTTATTCTAGAACTGGCATAGGTCCCGTCACGTAGTACTACGCTAGTACCAGCCGTGCCATTCTGGGGACTGTCGGCAACGTTTCCCAACCAGGACGGGAATTACGTTCGTCTGACTGCTGCCTTTTATGCGACTTTGCTAGTCGAAATCTGCATCCTACTATGGTTTTCTTGTAATCCTCTGTCAGACATTTGGCCCACGCTCAGGAGTTGGGAACCTTGGAATGTATCACTGCGCACGGCCAGGTCGGGCACAACGACCATGAGACTTGCTTTCGAGAGACCACGTTGTTCATAGTCACTCTCGATCCTCGACAACCATTAAGTAAAAGGGGCAGAATGCATCGACGCAAGTGCGGCTGCTTTCCCTGAAGCGGCCACTTCTACAACCACTGCCGTGCCACAAGTACCTGAGGTAACTTGCCAGATCTACCCGTATATATATGGGCGCGAAAGAGGTACCTCAAGATACTCAACAGGTGATTCTTCGTCACAACCATATGACCAAACCTCTTGGTTTCAGCCCACATGCTTAACGCAAGGGGCATCGTGGTCTTTTCCGGCGGAAGTGCTGCCAACAGCCTTGTCGACGTCTTTGAGACTGTGCGAGAAAACAAGGATTGCCCACTGAGCTACATCATACCCATCAGTGACAATGGAGGGTCATCTTCCGAACTCATCAGAGTGTTCGGCGGACCTGGCATTGGCGATGTCCGCAGTCGGCTCGTTCGACTCATACCCACTGAGCCACCGTCGCCCGAGAGATCAGCAATCTCGGCTCTCTTCAGCCATCGCTTGTCGTCGACTTCTTCCGTCGACGCGGCCGCCGAGTGGCAGCTGATCGTCTCAGGGACCTCTGATCTCTGGAAAAGCATCTCTTCAGCAAAGAGAGAGATGATCCGATCATTTTTCAATCTCCTGAACCTCGAGATACTGAAGCGGGCGAGGCCCTCGTCCACATTTGATTTCACCTCTGCCAGTGTCGGAAATCTTTTCCTGACTGGCGCAAGACTGTTCAGCGGCAGCTTCGAGTCTGCCATCTATCTCCTGGGCAGCATCTGTGCGATACCAGATGGCGAAGTACGCGTAATTCCTAGTATCAATTCCAACTTCTCCCATCACATTGCGGCAGGCCTTGCCAATGGCGAGGTGATCATGGGTCAGAACAACATCTCCCATCCTGCAGCAGCAACGGCCTTGGACATGCCAACGGTCTTTCCTGATCCCGTCATGGGCCACAGGGCCCGCCTCAGTCTGGATCAGACGGAGGAGGTGGAGGATGCCAACGTTCCTGGGACGCTTCCCAGCCTTCGTGGAAGAAACATAAAATTTACTAAAGACCAAGATGAAGATCTGCCGGCTCGAATCGAGCGGATATGGTACATCAACCCATACGGACAGGAAATGCTTCCGCCTGCAAATCCGCGGGTCATCTCTGCCATCAAGGAGGCACAGGCGATTATATACTCCATTGGATCTCTCTACACCTCCACCATTCCATCTATCGTTCTCAAAGGTGTCGGTGAGGCTTTGCGCTCGACGCCCGCTCGCCACAAAATCCTCATTCTCAATGGATCAATAGATCGTGAGACCGGCCCCAGGTCCCACCCATTCACTGCTTTCGACTTTGTCGAAGCCATCACCCGTGCTGGCGAACAGTCACGGGGTAACTCTTGGAGACCGATCCTCCACACTTCACGTTCGGACGAAACTCTGCATTCCTCGGTTGCGACGTCTCCCACGACCCGCAAAGGCGATTTTCTGGTTCCTGGGACAATGGCCCGACCCAACATTCACACTCACGCCCCGGACAAGGATTCCGTTTATCGAAAATATGTGACGCACGTCATCCATCTTAATGGAGAAGGGACGCCGCAGGTTGACCGCCAGCAGCTTGCTTCTCTTGGCATCGACTGTTTGAAGCTATATGGCCGCAAGAGCGACAAGGGCGTCATGCTATATGATCCGCAGGCCCTTATTGGAGCGATTGAGGCCGTCCTCGGGAAAAAAGGCGACGCAATGGTGCTGACCAAGAGTCGTAGAAACACTTATGATGGATAGCTCACCTGCCTCGGAGAGAGCCGCTTGGGTCTTGTTCGCCTCTGTGCTCGGGTTACAAAAGATGACAGAGCGACAGGCGGGGCGGTTACACTGCCAATATCATAATTGTTTCCTCTTGTATCTTAACCATGCAACAAAAGGCAATTTCCACTCCACTGTCCGGAGACTCTCGTGGAAAATATCAAAGTCGACTTTTTGCAGCCGGTTGAGCCATAGCTGGGTGCTGACAGCGGGACCCATAACAATACCAAATCCCTTGTTGACCTCTTCCTGCTGTTTGCCGGGCCCATGATCCAAGTTGCTATAATCATGGCCCTCATCGTTGATGTGTTCGAACTCGTGTCCGGGGTCTTGATGTTGTTGAACATTCTTCAGCATGGCTCTTGCAGTAATGAGATGGTCAGAGGCTCGAGTAGCAACAGCAAACACCGCATCCCGCAGGCCTGCCGCGTCCGGTCCGTTTCGGAACACGTCTTCTTCCCGCACTCCGCATTGAGACATCACATCTAGCGGCAGCGTGACCACTCCCTGTCTTTCTCGTGTCTCGGGGAGCCCAAGACCAGGAGGGTTCTTGGAATGCTGATTCGGTGGTGGAGGGAAAGCGAGTAACGGGACACCACGGAGGACCGCCGCGATCCCTGCCGCCTTGCCAACGTGCGATGCCAAATGATCCACCGTGAGCGACGTGAGAGGCAGTGCAGAAAGAGTCAAGTATAGAAGGGTGGAGTAAGTCGATTCGCCATATGACTCAAGTTCCTCCAGACTTGTAAATCCGGGATGCGTCAACTTGCGATCTCTGGCAGTGATGATCCGCTGAAACCAGCCCTTGTTCAGTTTCACGCCTTGACGAAGGTATGAAGCGAGCAGAATAGCCACTGGTTCAGATGGAGGGGCCAATTTGAAGGCTTTGTCGATGGTCTCTCGCCAAAACTGCATTCTCATCGCACCTATTTGAGGCATTGACACAACGTCTGGTATACGAGCCAGCTCGATGTTGAAGGCACGAATGGCGAAATAGGCGGCGTGCATATGAGGCGGAATGAAATGAGCCAGTGTGTATGATGGGGAGTCATAGTTTCTGCCAAACAAGCTCAGCATAGGGCCAGAGTTCTCATACAGTGTACACCACCGGCAATTGATGTAGAAGTGTTCTTGCCAGAAAGCCTTACCGAACTAAGTTTGAGCAATACGCATATGCCTTCTTGACATCTGGTGAGTCTCGATCCAGCGACAATGCAGCTCGGCTTGTAGTAGAGAAAGCATGCTGAACCAGTGGGCTGTGTTTTCGAATAATCCAAAGCGTCTTGCTCGTCGCCCGTTGGCCACACCGCTGAAAGATAATTTCTCCGGTATTCAACATATCTCAGCACTGGCTGCTTTCGCAGGAATAGGGTCGCGAAGCCAACCACGGATTAAAAAGCGGCATTGGCCTTGCCTGCCACTATCATCGTGAGAATATAAACTTTGAGCAAAAGTTAGGGACTGTTGCCGTCGAATATAAAAGAAGTACCTCTCTGCGAAGCCAACAGTAATATCACGACGACAACTCAGGCCTACTATTTGTAGGAGACGTAAAAGTGTCGTCAAGGTGGAACCCCCACAGGCCTTGCCGTCGTGGTGCCCAATCGGAGCCGGACAAAACCAAGATCAATTAACCACGTCGTCACGTGCAGGGCTCGACTTTGTCCCGCGTCTCGTCAAATCGCGTTCCTCGTGGCAAGGTTCAAGTTCCTCCCTCCCATCATCACCGATGCCCAGTTTGAACGGTGTCACCCCAAGCCGGCATTCATGGATGTCGATGTACGGCCGAGGAAGAAGAGACGATTTTTCGTCGACGATCCCCAAGTTGTGACGGAACAGCAAGCATCGACATCGCCAGCGACTACACCTCATCGGACCAACTCCGCATCCTCATCTACACGAGAACAGCAGACGTCCGGGCCGACTGAAGTAAACGACAATTGTCGAAAACCCTCCACCGATTCAAGCCCTCCAAGTTTTGACATCGATACTTTCCGCACTTTCGTTGGTGAAAATGTCTCTCAAGATGTTGTGCAGCAAATCCAGGCTGCGGCGCATGGGGATATTGAGCGGGCAATCAACATGTACCTGGATGGTTCATGGAAGAACTCTAGTGCTGCAAGGCCGCCTGCTCCGACTTCCCTACCTCTGAAGGGCGTCGACCATTGGCTTGCCACCCCGGAGCCGGTACCCAGCGCCTCTAATCCCAACGCGCGCGGCGAGCAGGCCGCAGATATCCCGACGCAAACCACATTACATTCAATGCCAAAAGAACGATATGTCGGGTCATTTGGCGTCGCAGCTTGGATGACAAAAAGCGGTTCTAATCTGTTGGCGCATGGCGAAGCAGTCCGGATAGAGAGATCTAGAATTACTCCTAGGACCAAGCTTGGGAGAGGTGGAAAGCTTGTACCGGTCATTGGCAGGAATCAGAAAGCGGATGTCATTACACGGTTCACAAACTCCAGGGGCGAGGAATTAGGTCGTCTCCCCGAGGAGACAGCTGCGTGGGTTTCTCCTTTGCTGGACCAGAAAATATGCCGGTTCGAAGGCACCTGTGTATATGCGCCTGACCGTGTCCGCGTGAATGACACAGTATACCTCCAACTTCGTGCCTATTTTCTCAAAAGTGCCTTTGAAGCCAATGCTTTTGTGAAACCCAAGGACGACAACAGAGCGACTGGATTTTTCGAAGAGAAAGAGAGCAGTGAAGAGAAGGACCTTCGTCTTCGACAGGTGGCTCTTATCAAACTTTTTGACGAAGTCAATCTTGTCCCAACATCCACGAGCGAGACAACTGCAAAGCACAAGAAACAGGGTCTCCTCAGGGCAGCAGAGATGGCAGAACAGTACGACAAAGACAAAGACTCCAAAGCGAAAACTGGCACGTCCACTCCCAATTCCGATGAAGAAGAGGGAGAAGAGCTGGAAGAAGACCAATTGGACGCATTGTACCAAAAAGCTCAGTCGTTCGACTTCAATACCCCGGAGGCCGAGCCTGCACCAACTTTTGCGCTGGAGTTGCGAAAGTATCAGAAGCAAGCCCTACACTGGATGCTCTCCAAGGAGCGAGACGAAACATGTACCAAGAAGCAGTCCATGCATCCTCTTTGGGAGGAGTATATCTGGCCCATTAAAGATGCTAATGATGTCGATCTTCCGGTAGTTGAAGGTCAAGACAAGTTTTACGTCAATCTCTATTCGGGTGAAGTCAGCCTGGAGTTCCCAGTTCAAGAACAACATTGTCTTGGGGGTATTCTAGCTGATGAAATGGGCCTTGGGAAGACAATCGAGATCTACAGTTTAATACATTCTAATCGCTCCGATGTTGATCTTGCGGCAGCCGATAAGTCTGTCACAACTTTCAATCACCTGCCTCGACTCCCGCAATCATCGACATCGGTTGAGCCCGCGCCATGCACAACACTGGTGGTGGCTCCAATGTCATTGCTGGCGCAGTGGGAGAGCGAAGCAGTCAAATGTTCCAAGCCAGGGACCCTCCAGACCTTGGTATATTACGGAAGCGACAAAACTGCAAACCTGCAAGTCCTATGTTCCGCCGCGAATGCAGCTTCGGCTCCCAACGTTATCATTACTAGCTACGGTACGGTTCTATCAGAGTTTAACCAAGTCACAGCCGCGGGCGGAGACCGAGGGTCTCATGGTGGACTTTTCTCCGTGGACTTTCACCGCGTCATCCTTGACGAGGCACATACCATTAAAAACAGACAAGCTAAAACGTCAAAGGCCTGTTACGAGCTCAAGGCGAAACACCGATGGGTCTTGACCGGTACACCCATTGTCAATCGGCTAGAAGACTTGTTCAGCCTTGTTCGCTTTCTCAAAGTGGAGCCTTGGAGCAATTTCTCTTTCTGGAAGACCTTCATTACAGTACCATTCGAATCGAAGGAGATTGCTCGGGCTCTTAATGTTGTACAAACAGTGTTAGAACCCCTGGTCCTCAGGCGAACGAAAGACATGAAGACACCAGACGGCGAGGCTCTTGTGCCACTACCTCCAAAGACCATTGTTATTGACGAAGTCGAGCTCTCAGAGACCGAGCGGGAGGTTTACGACCTCATCTTCACTCGTGCCAAGCGAGCATTCAACGAATCCCTGCAGGCAGGGACGTTGCTAAAGTCGTACACTACGATTTTCGCTCAAATCCTGCGTCTACGGCAGTCTTGCTGTCACCCGGTGCTGACTCGAAACAAAGACATTGTGGCAGACGAAGAAGATGCTGCGGTAGCTGCTGCAGCAGACGGGAATGGATTTGCTGACAACATGGATCTTCAAGACTTGATCGACCGGTTCACAACTGACACCGACATGGCTGGAAAGGAAAATGCACCTGTGAAAGATCCTATCACCACTTTCACCACGAACGCACTCCGTCAGATTCAGGATGAATCAAATGGCGAGTGTCCCTTATGTTATGAAGAACCAATGCAGAACCCTGCCGTCACGACTTGTTGGCATAGTGCATGTAAAAATTGTCTGGAGACATTTATTGCACACCAAAGGGACAAGGGCGAGGTTCCACGGTGCTTTTCGTGTAGAGAGACGATCAACCCCAGGGATGTTTTCGAAGTTGTCAAGCACAACAGTCCTTCTGCGTCTTTCGAGTCCGAAGGAGATATGTATGCGGCGGACGATACGAATTCAAAACCCAGTAAGATCTCACTTCGTCGAATCCATCCTTATTCTCCAACAGCTTCGACTTCGGCCAAGATCGCGGCGTTGCTGAAGCACCTGTCTGCTCAGCCTAGAGGCACCAAGTCGGTGGTCTTCTCCCAATTCACGGCTTTCCTGGACCTGATCTCACCACAGCTCACCAAACACGGATTCTACCACCTCCGCTTCGATGGTACCATGTCGCAGAAGGTTCGTGCCCAGGTCATTCGGGAGTTCAACGCAGACAATGCATCTGACCCCAAGGCTCCTCGCGTCTTACTCTTGTCCCTACGTGCCGGAGGTGTGGGCTTAAACCTGACAAGTGCCAGCCGATGCTACATGATGGATCCTTGGTGGAGTTTCGCTGTGGAAGCACAAGCTATTGATCGCGTGCACAGGATGGGACAAACGCAGAAGGTTGAAGTCGTTCGATTTGTCACGAAGGACAGTATCGAAGGCAGGATGCTTCGTGTGCAGGAAAGAAAGATGGCCGTAGCAGGCACCCTTGGCGTCGGCCAGTCTGGAGGAGGTGATACTGAAGAGGAGAGAAAGAAACGACGTGTTGAGGAACTGGAGATGTTGCTCGGTTGAGAGAAAAGCATCTCCGCCGGACCAAACGATGTCTAAAACGATGTCGTTGTCACACACTCATCAAGGCTCAGCGAAAGTGAGTTTAGGATCCATCAGGCTGCGCATCAAGGCCCATACTAGTAGTAAAACATCCGATTGGCTGGATTGTGGGAAAACGATGATCCGGATCTGCACTAACTGAGTTCCACCTCTTCCAAAATATTCGGTACATTCAAGCTTTGCTGTACAAAAGTTGTACAATTGCAGTGTGATATTACATCACGTCCATACTCGTTTATCTTGTCCATGATGCCACAACTCCAAGACACCCGCTGGTCCAAACACGTTCTACCTACCGGGAGGCGTCGATCCTTCGTGGACTCGGTCGCCCACGGCGGTCCCGCTGTCCAGTGCTCGCTCCCTCATTTCAGGGCTTTGCACGTGTACTGTACGAGCTCAAACTTGTGTTTTTCAGCCGGCTCTCCCTGCATGCCAGAAGTTTGGCGGTGGCGCGGCTGGCACGGGCAGTACGAGGCGCAAGTAACAGTCGAAAGATGATTTGCTGGGAGGGCTCTGCAGCTTCCAAAAACTGTGCAGCCGCCCAATCCATGGCCACGGAGCTATCACCTGTACAAGCATTGTGCCCCCTTCCCACCATTGATTGGGTACAGCCAACCTCCGAGCCTCCTGCAGAGCCAACTATTATGATGATGTCGCCCTGGCAGTTTCGGCAGATACATCCTAAGTGCCAGGGTTACCTCAAAAGCTATGATGAACACGAGGATCCAAGCTGCTTGTAAGTCACGGTGGCTGGGGTGGTTTTATCTTCGTCATCATCCATCTGCACCTTACACCCATCTCTGTCTGGTTATTGCGCTCTTTTGTTTTTGTCTCCAGTTCCAATTGCTCTTTTCCGGCGCAAAGCCACCAGTTTTCAAGTAGAACGCTTGAAGAGGAACGTCAAGATGCACACCGACGTGAGTATGAGAGAGATTTCTCATCAGGTCCAGGTTCGTAGCCAGCGGAGCAGTTTGTGAGGAGTTGTAAGCATTGATGCCGTTCTCCATGCAGCCCAAAGATGAATGGAAACTCGAGCAAGGCCTCGCAGCGGCAGAACTCCCCATTGACGACCAGACCCATCCTGAGGGACGGGCAGTTGCGAAACTCGAGGCAAGCGACGAGTCCAGCAGCGAGGACGACGCAAAGGCAGACGACATCGCCAAGGAGGATGATCCTGACGTCTTGTTCGCTGAAGAACGAGAAGGCTGGCACGGGTGAGCTTTTCCAATAAACCTGAAACGAAGGGCCCTTGACGGCGAGATTGTCCTCAATGTATTAGCTTACACATAGTATCTAAAGGTACATTGAATGGGAAAGCTATCCAGAGAAGAAGGCCAAAGCACACAAGATTCTAATCAGCCAGAACTTTCCACCACCCCCGGAATTCCAACTTGGACCTATTCCAGACACAAACCCGGTCCTCGAAGGCGTCCGCTGGAAGCTATGGCACAAAGCCATTGGCGGACCTTTGACGACCGTCCCCGAGGAGTCGTGGGTGCGTGTGAGCCAGGAGAAACATCCAGACATGCTACACCTGCTCCAATTCCCATATAACGGCGAACCGCCCAAGCGACTAGTGACGGCCAAACCAGTGACGCCGAACCCACTACATTTCATCCGGAACCACGGCGGAGTTCCAGACATTGACGCCAGCAAATGGGAGCTGAAACTAGACGGCCTAGTCAAGCACCCACGCACATTCACGCTGGCCGACCTACAGAACGAGGAACTGTTCCCACGAATGGAGAAGCTAGTGACGATCCAATGCAGCGGGACACGCCGAATCGAGCAGATCCAACTATACGCAGGCGAAGGGGACGAGATGATCAACGCGCCCTGGGCCGAGGGCGCAATCGGCACGGCTCGATACGTAGGCGTCTCATTGAAGAAAGTCATCAAGCAATGCGGGGGCATGGCCGAGGGCGGGAAGCACCTCGAATTCCACGGGGCCGACACATACTTCAAGCAGAACGAAGTCATGAACTACCTAGTGAGCGTGCCGTGGTCGAAAGTAAAAGCCAACGAGGTGATGCTGGCCTGGGCAATGAACGGCGAACCATTGCCAAAGATCCACGGGTATCCAGTCCGCATGGTCGTCATGGGCTACATCGGCGCCCGGAGCGTGAAATGGGTCTATCGAATCCGCGGACTCGCCAACCCCAGTCGCGCCCCCGTCCAGAGTAAAGAGTACCTGTACTTCAACCAGCAGGTCGGGAAACACAACCAGCTGCCCACCATGGGCATCCAGATCCAGGAGATGCCCGTCTCGTCCGCCATCATGTCCCCCTGGAACAAACAGGTCGTCGTCCACGAGGGCGCCATCGAAGTGAAAGGCTGGGCCTACTCAGGCGGAGGGCGCTGGCCTGAGCGCGTCGAGGTTTCTGCAGACGGCGGCTTCTCCTGGTACCCCGTCCCAAATGAGAACTTGTCCCCCAAACACAAATTCGCCTGGCGAACCTGGGGGATGCGTCTTCCCTGCGACGTCGAGGGCTGGATTGAGCTCGTCGCCCGCTGCTGGGATAACTCTCTCAATACCCAGCCTCTCGAGATCCGCTCCGCCTGGAACTGGGGCCTCCACGTCACTTCGTCCTGCCACCGCGTCCGCATCTTCAGCGTCAACAAGTTCCACGAGCTGACTCGCAAGAGACTCGCAGAGTTCGAAAAGCACGGCGAGTCCCTGGCCCCCATTACCCGTCCCACAGACTTTCCCATCATGAGCGCAGAGGAGTACGATGAATTTTGGCGGAGGAACGAGCCGAGAGATGTCGACGACTAGATGTCCGACCTTAGGCGGCAGTTTTATACGACTCTCCGGAGCTGTGTCGATGGATAAGCTTATATGGTTAATGCGGCAGCGCAACAGGCCTGGCAACAACAATCTCGAGACTGAAAAAGAGAAAATAGTCCGTATAAGGTAGGAAGGTACTGAAAGACAGCCGTATTTTGTAGTAACAGCTTGACAGCGCCGTCTTATTATTATTAGGTGACTTTGTCATTATAATGATTGTCACAGAAGTCTATGTCGCTAATCTAAGAAGTGGAAGACCCCTCCCTCTTGTGAGGCTCAGTTCAAAACTCGCTCTGGGGTTTTGACTGGTTATCGTACCATTCTGTGGTTGCTGGATCATATTTGGAATAAACACCTGTGAACCCGGGGCCGCGAACCTGTGCCTCTGCACCATCATATTTAATCCGCTGTACTCAAAAGACTGGATAATGAGTAGGAACGGGAAGGCCAGAGCTTCCGACAATGCTTGTAACCCCGTCCAACACCGCAAATGCTTTTCAAACACCATACTAGGTAAAGTGCCGACTCAAAAACAACCCGCTACTACTGTCGAGGGTATCATGTCAAATCCGATTATCCGCTCACTTGGAACTCCAAAAGTGAAATTCGTTTGTTTCGTTTCGTAACATGCTGAAGAAGAGCATAAAGACTGTCGTTCAATCGCTGCTGACAGGCGTGTTGCCTCGCAGTCATTTTGATGTGGATTAGGGCAAAGTAGGGGTCGCCACAGCTTCCTCTACATCCTCGATAGGACCGGCTTCAGCACCACTGCTGGGATCTTCCCTTTCTCGGAGCGCGTACTGAGGGGGTTCGGCACCCAGTTCGTCGTTGGTGAAACGCGCAATCTGTCTCCTAGCTGTGCTCGGTCTCGATGAGCCTTCCATAGGGCTGTCACTCCTGCTATGAGGTCGGCTCTGAGATCGGCTTTGGGGTTGACTATCAGGTCGGCCACGTAACGTGAGGCCACTTGTCCGGTTGCTCATGTCATCGAGTGGTTCATACTCGAGCTCGGGCCCATTGTAGTCTTCCATGATAGCACCACCCCACGCACCGTCGTTCCTGTCGGAACTACCGTAGCCCGGCGGGCTTGCTGGAACATCCTCGTACATGGGTGGCATTTCTTCATCCCAACTGATACCCATACCGGCGCGTTCAGTGACGAGCAATGCAAACTGCATCCTTAGTACACGGGCAGCGCCCGTAGGAGTAATCAACTGGGTGTTTTTATTTGGGCAGAATTCCTCGGCAACAATCAACTCCAGCACGAGATTGTGCTTGACTTCAATTCCTCCAGCAGATTCCACGTCACAGCATGCTTTGTGGTTGGATCTCGTTGCCAAAGAGGCTTCGAACTCCATGTTGATTTCTCCACCAGCGGTGTCGAAGTCGGTCTTCCAGCCACTTTTGAGCTCATCATTGCCGAGCACTCTAGTTTCGGAATGCAGCATCGTCTTGCCTTCGCTCACTTTGTGCTGGTGCTTAGAGCAAGGAGTCGAAATGACCTTGCAATGCTCTTCAACCCGCCATGAAAGCTTTCGCAGTCGCCAACGAGTTTGGCTTTCACCCTTCTTCTCGACCACACCGCTCAAAGACATGGTGACTGGGAAGGTGCCAATCGGGTGCACAACAGGTGGTAGCTGGACGCGCCCGGTAAGGTTGGTCGGTGGGAAGATACGAATGCTCGACTTGTCCGGGCCAGGTTGAATGGCTCTTTGCAGCGTCAAAGGATGAGTCAGAAGGATTTTCTCGCCATTGGAGGTGACCGCTGTGGCCACCAACGAGTATTGTATTGAAGCCAGCTGTGAGTTTGTACTGGCGGGGAGGTTGCCTGGGAACAGGTAGGAGTAAGGGAACTGGTTATCCTGATCTTTGTAAAAGGTCTTGGGCTCAGAGAGGAATGTCCAAGACTTAAGTGTTTCTGTCTTCTCGATGCAATCCTTGCAATCCTTGCTCACTGGCTTCTTCGTCTGCACAGTGGAACGCAGGACCATGTTGAATTCATCGAGACGGACCTGACCAGTTGGGTCGTCCACGAAGAAGTTGATGCGGCCAGAGAGCAGAGTTCCAGTGGAGTTGCTCGGATTCCCATACATGACCAGAGGAGGAGATTCAATGACCATTTGAAACCGGCCTGGCTGGTTAGGTACTACTCGAGGCGAGTGAGTCGAGCTGCGATCTTTGGATTTGCTCGAATGGCGCATGGTAAGCGACTTGCGTTTGTGGCCATGGCTGTCGCGGTCTTTCGATTGTTCGCGCCTCTTGTCCTTCTTGGGATGTAGTAAACTGTCCATGGAAAAGGCCGGGCGGCTTGGAGAGATGACCGTCGGTTGATCGGGATGGTAGGTTGTCAACTTTCTTTGCAGGGCACCTACTACGTCGTTGACTGTAATGGGTGACTGTCTAGAAGAATATGAGGTACCGTGGTGTATTTGGAGACGAGGAGGCATGATGTCGCTTCAAGATCGCCAAAGATCGCACGACAGGGAAAAGAGTGACGCGGGGGCGTAAATCGCAGGCGCAGGCGGCGGCGCAGGTGCAGGTGCAGCTGAGTCCACCCGCCCGTGGAACCAAAAGTTCTCTGTCCAGGGGGGATCCTTCCGCCGGCCAACCACTGACTCGGACGCCCAGAGCCAGTACCACCCCCCAAAATTGGCAGTCACTCGCCTATTATTATTGATGGCCGGTCCAGGTGCCAATAGATCACGATCCTTGTCCGCCCAACAGAGGCGCAAATGTCCGCTGCTGAGGCTCGCGGGCAGAGTGAGGGGAACCGCCACTACTTCGCGTGGGTGACGTCGGACTCAGTGCGGATGGTGGACGGGATGTAAAGCGCAGCAGAGAGTAATGCCTGCGCAGGAGATTCGAATATGCTTTCGTCGTCGGGTTCGGGCTCCGTTTCGTCTCGTGAGTCTCAGAGCACCGCCGCAGAAATCGAAAAGTGGTGACGATAGATTGTATGGAGCATTGGCGAAGAAAAATTTCTTTGTGAGCTGTTTACGCCTGCTTTGTATGTTTAGGACAAGTCTGGCGTGATGCTCCAGGAGACGCACGGTGTGAATAATAGAAACTCGATCGAGACAGGGGCCCTGCGGCTAGCTGCCATGATGGATCGATGCGATTTGCTCTATAGGGAACGGGCAGAGATGCAGCGCTCAACAAGGTGGTCAAGTGGCAGCGGGCGGGCTAAGGGCGTTCGTAGACTGACAGCGCCCTTCGGTCGCACAAGGCTAGCGCTGGGACTTCCTGTACGACCATTCTCCTACACTACGGGTACTACGCCGAGTCAGAGACAGCAGTCCTCATGTGAAACGTTTACAACCGCGTCCACATGAACTTGTGCAACCTGTAACGTCTGGACTATGGCGAAACCTCCAGCCAACATTACGAAATCCAACATACAAGGAATCTGATCCCTTTTGCCGTCAATATCACCAACTCGGCCATTGCTACCAATCTAAGTCCATACCTACCTAGGTAGTATGAATTTCATGCTGATGCGTTGTCAGCTCCTGCGCCTGGGCGAGACATGCAGTGGCTGCTTACGGTCTGTCAGGAGGTTCAGGTTCTCAGGAGAGGCCAGTACAGCAGCTGAAGGCGAGTCTGTCTCTGCAACGGCTCCGATCCCGCAATGATGCGGGACACGGGCCGCCAGTCAGACGCATCCGCTGGTCAGATCAATCGAGATGAAAAGCCTGGCGAGCCAGCTGACTTGTTCTGACTCAATCTGACCGGGCCTCAGGAGCCAAATTGGGCATCGTACGAGGGTTGCATGGACCAACTGAACGCCTTTTGGCTGACAGGTTTTTCCAAATGGGCTCTGGCTCGATCGATGAGCTTGACGTCCAAGTTCCAGTTCCGCCCAATTAATTGTCCTCTACGGAACTGCCACTTCCTCTAGCACCCCCACAAAATTCTCCGATCTTCTGTGTTAAAGGTAGGTTTTCATATCACGACCTGCCTTTTGCCCGCCGGGTGTCGATCTGATGCCCTTTGATGTCTTGTAATATCACAAGTTTCTTTTCTGAGTTGGTACAGTACAAGCGAAGAGTCAGAGTCAGTTGTTCGTCGGCTTCTGATCCCAACATCCGGTTGTGGATTGTGGTAACCCTGACTGTCCTCATTTCATGTCAAAAGCCACCAACAAGTCAGTGTCCACCGGGTCGTCGGCAAGGTGACATTGCGACTCGAAATTCCGCCATCATTGTTGTACTGCTGCTAGTATTTGCTTCCCACATGCAACACGCCCTGTGCAAATTTTTCCCCACGTGGTACGGAGGATACCATCCGCTGGATATTCGCAACCCCATTGCTATAGTGGCCGTCGTGCCATTACTCGATAATATCCACATTTCTTGCTTCTCGACCACTCGATCTTGAAAAACATGCCACTTCCGAAGCAGAAAACCACCAGTTGGCCGAAATTCAACGTTGTTGTGCCACTGCACCTTCCCAATCGGAAATTTTCTTCACCTGAAAAAGCCCATCGGGGTTGTCCGACATGCTCCACAGGCTCTAAGTGCAAAACTTTAGAGACGCCCCATCGGCCTACTACTTTTGCTGTCGACCGGCTTGAGGGAGCCTATTGGCTGGCCTTGTGATGAGCAAGGCTGTGGTGCGACAGCCTAAAAACTGTCCACTATGGCGCCATGATCGGGTGCGCTCCCGGAACAAGAATGGCTTCCGCTGTACAACGTAGTTCTATTCTTGCCTGTGTTCGGCGCCGTGAATTCGTGGTTCGTGGTTCGGGCCGGATGTTTACCATCATCCCACGAACTCTCCTGATCAGGCTGAAGTCTGGTATAGGGTATGTGCCCTACTGTATGAATTCTCTGGGTCGGCCGTGTCTGCCTCGGAGCGAATGCACTTGTATTCGGCATTGCTCTTTCCGTCTATCGTTTCCGACGTGGATCTCGCATGGCGGTCTTGTCCGCCATAGAACGGAGTATGCCAGTCGCTGCCACACGTGGAGAACCTGGAGAAGAGAAGTATACGACAAAGTCTTGCCTTCAAAAGATCCCATAGCCATTCCACCAGGCGTAAATGCCCGGTCCGACAACGCCAGCCAATGCCCCGAGCAGTCCCAGCTCCAAAACTGCCCAAACCCAGATCGTACCAATACTGGGGGCGTTCTTCATCACAGCATAGTAGCCTTCGTCGTTCGTAAGATAGATCAGGTAGCATCCCGCCACATTGGCAGTTGCCACGTACGCCAACTGGCGGAGTGCAAGCGTCCACAGCCGCACGGGTTCTGGCACTCTTGTTGCCGAGACGGGCAACAGGAGCCCGTGAAACAAGGCAATGACAATGGTGAGCGTAGGTAATGCCACAAACAAAGTCTTGCGGACGATGGGCGGGAACTCCAGTTCCTGCGCGTATTGATGTGCAGTCAAAGCCTCGAGCGTAAAGTGAATGGCCGAAAGGGACATAGACAGAAGGAACGTGTCGAGCCATGGCGTCTCCACCATCCGCTCCATGGCCTGCGTCTCGGAGGATGGAGACTGAGGATCTTCGAGAATCTGCCCATCCTCGCCAACCTTGACGTGCACCACATTGTTCGAGTTGAAGGCGTCCTTGTCAAAGGACTGCCCAGGGTTCAGTTGCGCTTGTCTCTCCGCCGCTATCTCGAGTAACGTCTTACCATTCGGGGGTTTCGTTCGGACCATGTCGGGTCTCTCCAAGCGAATATCATCCGCCGTCTTGATGGACCCCTCGTTCAACGTCGCCAGTGTGTCCTTGGCGCGTCTTTGTTTTCGGTTCATATTGACCTCGACCAAGATTGCGATAGCAGCAGTGCCACAGTGCTGTATCTTGAATAATGTCGGCGATTTCTTTTAGAGCCGCATACCGATACTCAAGCACGGATCATTGACTTGTTTCCGCGGCTTGCAAATATTCTGGGTAGGCTGTGGAACAACAGTAACTCGTGGATTGATCACACCAGGCAGACGGATACGTATACAATGTGGCATACCTCTTTCTTTATTAGTATCTAAATACCTTTTAGTACTGTGACTGCAGTAATTTGACTCGAAGACCGGATGCCAAGAAATTGACCGACTTCCGCCCTTCTCAGCCTCGGGTCTCAGCCTCGTCTCCGTTACTGACGAACAAGGACCTTACAAACAGCCGCAGCCACTGGCCTAACACGCCATGCTGCCCAGATACAGTGCTCAAACGCATATTGCCCTTTCTGTCACGTCAGAATGCGAATATGTACACGTACGACGCGTTACATAAGGCAGGTAGGCATATTGTCGTGGAGGTCCCCGGCCGTGTCCACTACAACGCTCCCTTGGACCCGACCGATGCGGATCAATTCTCAATTTTCCACTGATCTACGGACAACGCACGGTAGTGTCGAAAGCACTTCGAACAAGCGCTCCAACCGCGAAGGAGTCAGGTGATTCCATGGTGTTGTCAGATTATGGGATTTCGGGTTCCCCAAAAAACAAACCAGCCCCCGTGTTTTATCTACACCTACCCAAGGCGCATTGAGGACGAGCAGGGCCTACCCAGTAGGTAAAGATAATTCATGGCCAATCAAACGATACAGAAGCGCCGCGCTGAGTGTGATGCTCATACCCAAACATGCCTTGAACCCACGTGTGCAAGCCGACATGAAGCCTGCCAGTGGTGAGTTTAACCAACATTGCTTCCCGGCCAGCGTCGGCACGAAGGCACCACAACCATACTACCAGCGTGCCAACTGGCTTTGCTTCTGAGCGATCCATTGTTGGACTACTAATTGTGTCAGACCCAATCTGTGTACCTGAGGCTCCAGGAATGTTGAAGAACAATACTAACGGCAAATCCTTCGACCCACAGGAACAATATTAAGCTCGAGCTTTGTCTTTACCAGGCGTCCTTTCCCTTTCTCGGCGTTCTAGGGCTGGTTACTGTATTGTTTCCTCCGGAAGAAGGCTCAAACGGATTTTGCCAGCGGCGAAGACGGATGTCCTCGTTGGTGGTGTGCTTGTTTGACCTGGAGATGGTCCTTCGAGAGGCGACAGACAAAGGTTTCCTTTCTCTGACTTCCCCCGGCATCTTATCGTGTACAAATACTTCTATAGACAGGGACAATGTCTATTTTCGATATATATTTGATTCAGATCAAATTTAAATCAATAGCGAACGATTACACTTACTGACTGACAAGGATGGTAGCAATCAAACACTCGGTCGTCCTCTTGGCGTCACTCGCCACATTCAGCACCGCACTCCCTGGCCCGGGACAATGGCAAGAGCCTAACGGAGCACCCGCTGGTGTTTCCCAAGGTGCAGGCCACACTGGCATTCAACAGGGTGTCGGTGCGGCTAAGGTTGAGCCGCACCCATCTGCAACCCCGTCTGCCATCTATAAGGGTGCATCGTCCGCACAACATAAAGCTGAAGGCTCGAGCGGCATTCACGAAGCACAGCATAAGAACGCTGGCGGCTCTCCCAATGGCCATGCCGCCTTTCCTCCTGGAAATTCGGCAGAGCACAAGTGGCAAGGCGGTTCCACTTCGCAAAGCCACCCTCGAGACATCGAGCATGGAGAGCACCACGCGGCTCCCGCTCATGCTGAGACAGCTGACGACGCTGTAGCAGACATCAGATTTCCCCATCTCAAGCCTACCCACGAGTCTGGCGACCTGCACACCCACGAGGCTCGCGGCACGGTCCGCGGCATGTACGAGTGCATGAACAAGAACTTTGTGATGCCCTGCACATACACACCCGTAACCAGCGGGCAGTGCTACAATGCCAACTACGGTAACCAGGGGTCCATGGGCCCCGACAAGGGTCTCAGCTGCACTCTTTACGAGCGGCCAGACTGTAACAAGATCAATTCAGGCTGGGGACACGCTGGAGGCTTCGAGTGGCCCGGCATCAAGAACTACCAGATCAGCTACTTGCTGACCTTGGCGGGCTTTCCTGATACTGGACCCAAGAGCTACAGGTGCACCTTCACCTCTGAGAAGAAGGGCGGTTAAACAGTCCAGAGCCGTTACAAGGGAAAAGGAATCCGTTCTGGATTACCGACTGAACTGTGGTATACTTGAAGAAATGACTGGCAAGCCATCATGGACGCATGACACCTCTTGCCGGTGATTTCGCAGTTGTTTGGGAGTGGAATGACATTCGCGCTGCAACTTAAGGGTGCCACTGGCCGACCTGGCATTTCTTGTGTTTATAAAGAAAGACCTTTGTATAGACCTAGGTAGTGACTCTATCTATATTTGAAACTTCTGCCTGTGCCTCGATTTGTCCTCATTACTCCGCAAACCATGGCATTCTCCGGCTTACACTGTTGCTGCATCCAAGGCTTCAGTCCACTCCATGTGACGATAGGATGCAGGATGACGTAGCCTCCCCGTTGTCAGTCTGCGGCGGGCCTTGCTCAGAAGTACTACCACTGCACAGCTGCACCAAATTGTTGGTGTTGTAGTAGTAGTACAACCAGCAGCCATAAATGGTGGCGTGTTGACGAGACGAGTCTTGGGGCAACCAGTACTCCATTGTATATCGCAGCCTCTATCGTCATCGGTCACCCGCCGTCGTCCGCACCGCCAAAACCAGTTGTCTTACCACGCTACTCTTGTGTGATAGGCTTAACAGTGCCGAAAAGCAAGATTCGAGCTTACTCCTACTTCGGCAGCCACGGACATACCTGGTACCTCCTAGTAAGTAGGCTATCGAAGGAATCGGATGCCCATGTCCGCACTTGCTGCGTAGATATATACACCTTTGTGGACTGCAAAGATCCTACTCCCCTACTCATATGCTCTTCTCCTTCAACTGACCCCAAGCTATCATTTAACAAGCCAGCAACGTTGAAGAAGCTACCCATCAATATCCTTACAGACCATAGTTTGACCTCTTCTCTTTCCGCGCATACCTTCCCCCAACTTAGAACCCAATCAACACAGGAAACCCCAGACAAAATGAACTCCCTCCGAAACGCGGGCAACTACATCTCCAACAAGACCAAAGGAGCCGGCCACTCGGCAAGCAAAGAGACCAACAAGCAGTAAGTTTTGCGTGGCTGGCTGCTCATTCAAATCACCTAGATCATCTAGTCGACCGAGAGATGGAAAATAAAAAGAACATAAGAATCGGTCATCACTGTTATGGGCGTCTGTATCAAAATCCGACCGAGAGCAAAAGTTGATCTGATTTGTTTCACATACATACAGGATTGCCAAAGATCCCAATGTGCGAACCTCTACGCGCCTGAGAGCCGCTGGCGACGCTGTCAAGGATAAAGTGCACGAGACGAGCCATAATCGACAGGCTGATGTTAACAAACAAGCTGCGAAACACAATTACTAAAATCGGCACTGGGACAACTGGGCAAGGAAAGGGAAGTGTCGAAACGGGGCGATGATCGGACCAAGATCTTTCGGGGATGATTTCCGGGTTTGAAGGGCTCAGGTGGTTGGGTCGACAGCCTTCGCTTCGCAACGCGGATCATGGTTCAATCTGTGAATTGATGGGGACATTCATTTCGCGTGGCCCCCGAACGCGAGAAGTTTGGACGATGTCTTATAAGACCTCCATGCCTGTTGCATGGTCAATGCGGGCAAGGGATCTTTCAGGGGAAATTCTCATGGTTATTGATGGTATGGTTGATAATCGCGACGTCAAACCCTTTTCTTCTCGTGGGAATCAACGCTCTTCATAAGCCGACATTGTCGAACATTCGCTTGCGGTGTGCATGACTAGAACAGTGTTAATGAGCATCATCCATAGGCGGCTCAAGGGCCAGAACATGCAAGTCAGACGACGACCATGGACAGGATTTAACCAAGCCAATCGTTTGAAATGGTCTCTTTCATTTCTGTGGGTGTCCGCAAGCCGGGTGTTATATACAACGGCCAAACGGCTCCGAAAAAACGATGCTCAACGCCAATTGAATCACTCATTGCCTTCTGCAAGGTTGTCTCTCTTTTCCGCATGAATTTGCTTCAGCACGCGGAGTGCACCATGCGTAAGATCAGATGGCTTCACCCACAGGCCGCTGTTTAATCGCACTCATGTATATGCTTGTTTCACTGTCCTATTTCGTTTTGATATGCTTCAACTTTGGACCCGGCTCGTGGAGGAAGTTGTTTGCATATGCCTTTGGCACGAATCGCCGCTCCTGTGGTTCCTGGACATACCACTCATAGCCTTGCTTTTCGGCGAATGCGACAGCGTCTTCCTTCGACTTGAAGCCAATCTTGGTCCCTTGCATGAAATCGGCCGAAGATTGCCAGCCCATAAGGGGGTTTTCCCAGCGGTGGCCCTTGGACAGGATATCCCAATCCATGCGCCAGGCATGCGATCCCCATGTCCCTGACTGCGTAGCGGGCTTGGCTTGCTTGTAGATTCTGTTAAACGACAGAGTTTAGTCGTTGCATTACAGCAATGAAAGAGAAAACTGATTCCTGCCTACCTGACAGTTCGTGCCTGTAGGTCAATGGGAGCGCCCGACAAAACCGCTGCCGGAGTAGTCTTCCCGGGTTCGCTACCGTCCATCACACGTCTCGGCACAGGCGAGACCAGCGATGTGCCGTGGTCAACTGGGGCGTTATAATTAGGTTGGTGATGAGGATGGTACGTCTCTAGAGTGGTCTCGGGAGGATGATCGATCTCAACGAGGGAAGCTTGGTCTTCCGTTGCTTGCATGGCTAAGGCATCTGGAATCGCTCTTGGGTCCGGGTCGGTTACTCGTCGCTGCGGCGTTTGAGACAGCCATCTGGCTGAGGTTGATTTAGGGGCCTGGAAACAGGCTCTTGAGAGCTGCCGGGAGCTCGGTGACCGCAAGAACGACATTGTTACGGCGCTGCTGGTGGAAGTTGAACAACTGCTCGAGCTCAGAGGTTCCTATGTCCCTCTCTGACGGCAGCGGACTCCGGCTCGCATCTCGACTTTGCCAAGACTAAGCTTCCATTTTGGGTTTGGCTTCAACGACTCAATTAGGAAGGCTCTGGTTGGTTGGGGGATTGGTACTTGGGAGCAGCACTGCCAGTGCCTCCAGTCCTGCTGATGTTGATAAAGTCCACCTTCCAATGCTACTCAGTAAACTGTCCGTCGATAAGCCTGGTACGTGCGGCTGATTGGGGAGGCCTCGCTCCGGATAGTAAGGCCACTGATGGGAGTGATTGTCAACTCCGCACAGCCCTCGGACGCGTTTAAGTGATGCGCTGGACTCGCTTGTTCCCTCATCTCACAATAATGTTCCCATGAAGTCCGCTGTCTCCTCACAATATGCAACGCCCGGTCCTCGCACTCGTTTGAGACGCAACATGGAACAGGTGATGCTACACAACTATAGGACCAGAAACAGTGTCCATCTGCGGCTGATGCGCAGCAACCCCGCCTCTTCTTCACCTTCTGCCCATCACTGCATATCCCCCCTGTTGGGCGCCTGCACGGGTGTAGCCCTCAAGAACATGTTGTGCATCGGTGAGTTAAAAGTGGGCCGCCGGTCTTGCTCGTGGCTGGATGTCTTTCGTATGTTCTATTACTACCAAACAGACTAAAGCATAGTTGTGGCCATTCAACCATTAATGTCTACAGCAATGTCTTGAAGCTGGCAGCCCCTCGTCCTGCACAGCTCTGGGAGCATTTCTACAAGTCCTTGCGTGGTGACAGCCGAGCCGACCCTTAACATGCATCAGAAGGGCTGCATCGTTATCAAAGGGAAGTGCAATTGGTTTACCTGTTAACCGAAGCGCGGGATATGCTGACCCTTTCAACATTAGAAGCCAGCGCAAACCGGTGAACAATGGCAAGCCGCTAGAGGTGCTGCACACGCAGGATGGCTTCGACATTCGCTAATGGGGTCCCATTAGCCAACTCACATTCTTCCTTACCAATCGTTCTCTGGAACCAAGACTGATGTCGTCGCCAGGTGCAGTCAATGCACAGCCATCTTCGTCTGAGCAATATCAGAGAGCGTGTCCGCTCTTGTCAACCGGCTGGCACCCAGATTGTTTTGACTAACTCTTCACTTTAGCAAGTTCTTGACGAAGTAAGCAACCACATGGCTACAGGTTTAGATATCGGTGTTGCTGCGGTTACTATATTGCAAGCATCATGTCAGCTTGTGAGGTTTTATGAACGGTCTTACCGTTCTTTCAAAGGGGCATCTAAGGAAGTGAGACGCCTTCATACATCTGTATCGCATTTCATCGGAGTCCTCCACTACTTCTCCAAAACTGCAAAAGATCTGCACCAGAGGAATCTCGGCATATGCAGAGACACAAACGCAAGAAAACTCCTTTTTGACATCAGAAATCAGATCCAAGAAGAGGTGACCAGTATCAAGGAGGCCTTTCGAAGGCTTAAACCACTTCATGATCCAAAATGCTCGTCAATTTCTCGCTTGCGCGCCAAGATAATGTGGATGCTTCTTGATGAGCACGACTTAAAAGAGCTTTTGGCCCGTCTGGACACGATGATCCTGTCTATCTCAGTCCTCCAAGGCACATTCAACCTTAATATTAATATGGCGATTTGGGACCAACTGAAAGCTTCGGGTCAGCAAATAGATCCTGCCAGCAGGCAAGAGATGTGAGCACAGAGGCCCCTGGGCGACGTTTCCCACCCCCCCCCCCCTTTTTTTTCCTTTTTTTTTCTGAGCTTCTATGCAGTAAGACTGACTATATGTCTCAGTAAATATTTGAAGAAACACGTTGAGTTGCTTAAGCGGGAATGCGCAGAAGCCCAACGCAAATACGAGAACCTGCGTGCTGTGAGAGTGGATGGTGGTAGCACCGCTTTCTCCGACCAGGTAGCACAGGCCCGATTTATCCACGGATTGATTGAGCGAATAGAAGAATTTGCCGATGAGCAAGTCTCTGCTTCGACGATGCTTGAAGAGAGTTCTGGCGCTGCGACTACCTCAGCCGGAGGGAGCAACATCTCCAACGGGGTGCGCGCCGATCAAGAGGCCAGGCCAGAGGAAGTAAGCGGCCCACCTATACCTGCAATTCACGGCGCTGTTATGGATGCAGCTGCAACTGCGGACAGCTTGCCATCACACTCAAGCCGATCAGAGCGCTTTCTACGGTCGCCAGTAGAGGAGAGGGTAGTATTACCAGCAGGGGAGACTCTTCGGAGCTCAAGCCCTTATTCACCGAGCGAGATTGGGCCTGGGGGGTATTCTGAGTCTGAACGGCATGTGCGACAACCAGACGCCGCAGATATCATCACAGCAGATACTGAGCAGGAAGCGCCTCCTGAACCGGAATGTATGTTTGTGATTCATGGTGACGGCACTCTTGTCACGGAGGAATGGCGACGACCGCGAGCACCACCACCTCGACGACATGAAGCGAATGGAGCAGGTTCTAGTGCAGGCTCAGTCGCTTCAATGCGGAATTCAGCAGGATCATCTGGCGACGATTCCAGCAACAGCAGGTCAAAACGGGCATGAACCACAGATATCTAGTGCCGCAGTCCAGCGCAACCTCTTCTATTGGACTATACGCCACATGAAGACACCGGGATATGCCCGGTTGCTCAGAGTTGGTGCCCCTAATTCTTAGGCTGCCAAAGCCTTTGTTCGCATCCTAAACGGATCCTTGGAGATGTGACATAGGCAAGCTGAGGCTTCCTCACGATATAGATATCCGGGCCCAACCCACCACCCCAGACATAGGCTCGTTGCCTCGGGTTTCTATGGGGACAAGCTGCAATCTTTGACGAGCCCTGAAAGAGTGGCTCTTGCCTCCGCTGAAGGCATGATCATTGCTTTCATTGATTTGGACAGATGCTGGTCCACCAGCAGCTGCCGCCTTTTCATGGGTTTGCCGTTCAGGGACGTCTAGTGTCAGCGCAATGACGGACCGGACTGTGGCTACCAATTCAGAAGCCAAGGACGCTCCTGTGGTTGCCTCTATATTGGTTACATTGACGGCAAAGGCGTCAATCTCATGGAGCACGCCTGCCTCGGGCTGGCCCCCATTTTCAATGGTGAAGGGAGCACTTCGAGACTGCCTTGAACCAGGATCTGGAAGAAATGTCAGTTGTATTGGGTTGAACTTGTTCAGCAAGACTGTTGCACTTTTGCTCAGGCGTATGACGACATAATTCCCGGTCAGAGTGCCGTTGTCCCCTAGGTGTACACTGTAGGAATTGACTCCTTGAGGTGGTGCTATGAGACTGAGCTGCCTGCCCGCGTTGAGCAAGCTACTGGGGGCCCAACGGAGGCCCGGTATTGGGAGTCTAGGTGTGTTCAAGAAGAGAATGTTGATCGGAAGCGTGACTTTATCTCTGAGAGAGATCCAAAAGAGGGCCATTCGCTCATCCAAGGAAGTCCTTTCGAGGATGAGTCGAGTATCCATATCAAACAGTGCGGCAAGAGCCAGCACTTCGTCAGCACGCTTACTAGTGGTGCGGTAGCACAGTGACTGGTGTATGAAACGCAGCTCATTGGCATCCTTTGAAAACAACGCCCATAGATCCGGTTGGAGCGCGCCAGTGACCGGATCCTGAAGGTCTTTTGCTCCTTCTTGAAAGCACTGCTGCAGAGGAACAACACCATCCCTGAGCGCAATGAGTGGGAGCCGGGACAATCTACCCTCGGGAAGAGTCCACATCCTCTGCATCCAGGCCGCGGTCATTATCCACAGCAGCATCCGGCGGGTACTGGCAGAAGGTGAACGCATGAGCTCCGGGTCAAGGACAAGAGTTGTGTGCGCCTGACTGTATACTGTGTTGATGGTGTGAATCGACAACTTCCGCAACCTTCTATCGCCGGGGATGCACAGCGAGTCGATCCAAACGAGCTTGGAGGCGTTGTTTGCTTCGATATAACCCCTCAACATGTCAAGGGTGCATTGTGGGAGTCCGTCCTCTGATATACTACCCAAACCACTCGACCAGACATGGGAAACAGCACAAAATGCCGTCTTACCGGATTCATTCGGTACCACTTGCACAACTCTACCATTGCCATCGTCAAATATCTTGTCCAAGTCTACCAAAGGGACTTGTCCGCTGTCCAAAACCTCGCCGATCCGTTGAAGGCTAGGCCGTACCCACTGACATTGACAATCCGCCCGAGTGTGGAGGGGGCTATATGTACTTTCGTCAATATTGTGTCTCACGCATCCGGCAGCAGAACATGCATCATGACGGAAGCGTGTTGCAGGCGGACCGACAATAGCAGCATACTCCTGCACGATCAGATTGAACGGGCTCAACATGGTCAGGATATACGGACACCAACCGCGCTGAATCATCCGCCCTGTGAGCTGCTCCTGGACGGCCATCGTGAATCTCCAGGGATTCTGAAGTTGCGAGCGAAACCCGGGTGTCACCCATGCGGCAAGATAATCAGCCGTGTGTTGCAAAGTCACACCAAGCAGGGTGAACAATCTCATCACGCTGTGGAACGTCTCGTCACAGAAGTCCGGGTTGGCATTGATGAAGAGCTGTGGTTCGCTCAGCATTCGATTCCACAGGCTCGCTGCGGCGAGAACACGCTTCAGACGCTCCATGATCTCAGTCTTGCTTGTGTCATCGTTCCCAGCAGTGCTGAAATGTCTCACGAGCTCCGCGACCAATGATTTCAATGCCTCACTGCTGAACTTGGTTCCTGCTTCTGTCGAAACAACGAACAGATCTTTCCCTAGTGGTCTCCCCAGTGCTGCTTCCCACAGACCGATGATGAACCAGCTTTGGAGGAAAGGTTTGATACCCTCTCTTTGCAAAGAGGCAAGCCTTCCTTCTTTAAGATCTAGCAGTTCGTCTGTTGACCGCCCACGCTGCAGAGCGTAGTCGTCGAATGTGCCGACTGTTGTAGAGGGTTCATGGTTATATCCCAGCCATGGAATCTCCGGGATAAAAGCACCGTAGTCTTTCATTTCTTCCCGTGTAAGGACATGGTCCATCTTGCCTAATGGTTGGAGGCCTCTCAAGGACGGGCGCCGATTTTTGTTCGACAATTTGAATTCTTACCGAACAGAAGACCTTACCACGGACAACTCCTTCGCCACACCTGTTTCGTGCGGAAATCAAAGGCATGGACAACTCACCGATGGCACTGGAGACTGGCATAGAGCTATATCAACTTCTGATGACAAGGCTTGATTATGAAGAAGACAGCAGTAAGGCAGCCCCCGCATGCTTGCGGCAGATGCATGATGACAGTCCTACCTTACCTTTCGTACACTGCACGGTGCATAGTACCATGCACCGTCGTCTCGGTCAGTAGATTGGATTGCGGGCTTTAAGGCCTCCAACATGTGCAGTGAGGCATGAGATCAATAATAGGTTAATAAATTTGGCCTGGGCCTGGGGGGTCCGTGTCCGCCTGAACTTGAATTGTTCAGTGTTCGAGACACGCGCAGTTGGCTCTGTATGCATAGGATCCTAGCAATCTTTCACGAATAGAATGAGACCGTCAGATCACCCAGTGACAGATCGGGTTGCCTTGGATGGAAAGAACCAGGGGCATTGTTTCCAAAAGGACGGAGGCGAGAGGGACGAACATCATCAGCTCATTTCAACGGGATTGATTATTATCTCGGCTAATCAATTACTGCACAAGTAGACTCCTAATGAACCACTGCTGCCACGGCCCAAGCACAACCTCCACAGTCGACCGCCTATACAGTCACCTGGTCGGCCAGACCATCGAGTTCCCGGTCCCAGTTTCTGTGCTGCGAGATGTGCCAGAAGAACTTGCTTGTGAAGTCCGTGGCTTCCTTGGCAAGCTTGATGCTGTCCTTGACAGAAGATCCAGTGTCAGGCTTCTGAGCGGTGACTACACCATACCAGTCCACAACATCAGTGGAGCCTTCAGCAGCCAATTTGACGCCCTCTGCCTCCCTGAGGGCGACATCAACTAGCTTCACGCCCTCGCCGCTGGCAGCGATAGGCTTTAGATGCGCGAACGCCTCGCGAACCCAGAATCTGGCGAGACCAATGCCCATGAGGGTCTTAACGGACTGTTCACCGCCAGGGATGAAAATGGCATCGAACATGGTCGAGCGCTGACCATTGAGGAAGTGGTCAGGTTTGGTGGACGAGGTGCCGTTGGAAGCCTTTACTTCCTGACGCTTCGTGGACATTGTGAATGGCAGAGCCAGTTGAGATAGCACAGCTGCCTTCATCGCGTCATAGGCGGCGGCATCGTAGCCATCAGCGATGAGGATAGCCACGCGTCGGGATTTGATGGTTGGGGTAACTGGCAGATATTCCAGCTGACTGAGCCCCTTGGCCTTGTGCCCAGGGTTTGGCGTTGCCTGTTTGGTAGGAGTCGGTGCACCGACTTTCTCGGCAACTGCAGCGGCAAGTGAGAGATCAATCTCGGTCAGACGAGACACCAACCGTTCGTAGACGACAGGATCATCGCAATGGTCGAGCTCGAAAGAGAAGGCGTTGATGATATGTCTTTTCTCAATTGGAGTCATGGAGTTCCAGAACAACTGAGCCTGCGAAAGATAATCCTTCCACTTGGGTGCCAGCTTGCGTTGTTTCATGCCTTCGTCGCGCGAGGGGAACGACTCGAACCCACCATTTCCATGCCCAGTCGGTGGGTTGGCCTCGTAACGGTTCGGCCAATAATTGACCTTGCCTTTGGTGATTGTGTGACGTCCCTGACCATCTCGGTTGAAGTTCAGCACAGGGCACACAGGACGGTTGATTGGAAGCTCTTGCCAGTTGATACCGAGACGGGAGAGCTGGGTGTCGAAGTAGGAGAAGTTACGGCCCTGCAGCAATGGGTCGTTGGTAAAGTCGATACCCGGGACGATGTGACTAGTGCAGAAGGCGACTTGTTCAGTCTCGGTGAAGTACTCGTCCACATTGCGGTTCAACTCCATCTCACCAATGTAGCGGATGGGCACGAGCTCCTCAGGCCACACCTTGGTTGCGTCCAAAATATCGAAGTCAAACTTATGCTCGTCCTTTTCCGAAATAAGTTGCAGACCGAGCTTCCACTTGGGGTACGCCTTGTTGTCAATGGCTTCGTACAGATCCTTACGATGGAAGTCGGGATCCTGACCGGCCAACTTCAGGGCCTCATCCCAGACGAATGAGTGAACACCGAGCTCTGGTGTCCAGATGAACTTGCAGAAAGTTCGTTCACCCTTCGCGTTGATCAAACTGAAAGTGTTGACACCGAACCCTTGCATCATTCGGTAAGATCGGGGAATGCCACGGTCGGACATGGCCCAGAAGAACATATGAGTAGCTTCCTTATGGAGGTAGACGAAGTCCCAGAAGTTGTTGTGCGCAGTCTGGGCCTGAGGGACTTCATTATCCGGCTCTGGCTTGACGGCGTGCACCAAATCCGGGAACTTGATGGATTCTTGGATGAAGAAGACCGGAATGTCATTTCCGACGATATCCCAGTTGCCCTCTTCCGTGTAGAACTTGGTGGCGAAACCTCTGACGTCTCGGACAGTGTCTGCACTCCCTCGGCTTCCTTGTACGGTGGAGAATCGAACAAAGACTGGCGTGGTGCGGGAGGTGTCGGTCAACACGCCAGCAGTAGTGACATCCTCCGCGCTTTCAAACAGTCTGAAGGTACCGTGGGCTGCGGCACCTCTGGCGTGGACCACTCGTTCAGGGATACGCTCATGGTCGAAGCGCATAATCTATGGCCGGGTTAGTGCTTCTGCCGTCGTCAAGTAAACATCGGATCAACGAACCCGTTCACGAGCAATCTGGTCCTCGAGCGCATGAGGGCCGATGGTATTGTTCTGCTCGTCCACTGGCTTCAACCAGTGGTCGAGGTCAGAGACCTTGATGCCATAGTCGGTCGTGGTGTTCTGCTTGCTGTGCGCATCCTTGACATTCTTTTGGAGGTCTGCGACCTTCTTGTTCTCAGTCATGGCTGTGACGGATTCAGCAACCGATTCTCCGATATTGCGGACTTTGTCTGCGACAGAGGACGCCATGGGTACGATGATATGAAAGGATTTAGGGAGCAGCTGGTGCGAGCATGCAGCATGATAAACGACGGAGGTTCACTGGAACAGGCACAGTTTACATGGGACGTGGTCGCCGTCCTCGCCCGGACCTACTGCTTGTGGTAAGAACCGTTGTACCTCGTCTCTCTTGTGACGTACAAATATGTGATGTTTCGTCATGCTTGTGAGCGGGGACAGCGAGCATATGGGACGTGGAACGCGGTGAATGCTGAATTCGAACGCTTCGCGACACGTTTTGCAGAGCCTCGACCAGGACACGGAAGTGACATCCAGGCAACCCACGCAATCATTGGATCTGGTGTTGTCGCGGTTGCATCATTAATTAGAAAGCGGGAACCCGTGATTGGTTACAGCGACCATGCCCCGTAACTCTGACATCAGGACCAGGAGAAAGTTGTAACGCCATCAAACTGCCGGCAGACACCACCGCGACAACATGTGGACAACGACGTTGCTAAACAAGCCAAACGGATGTTGATGGAAGTCATATGGAGTGGACGTTGGAGTTTGGTGATTGACAACTGCCCTTTCGGATTGGGAGGCAACACTCCAATTACTGCACGATTACCTAGAGAAGCTATCATGCCGAACCTTGGCCGACAAGGCTGCGATAGAACAGTTGCTCCTCTCCATTGCTATCCAAGACGTCTGAACAGAGAGTGGCTAAGAGGGGTTCTTCGAGGGCTCGCACACACCTACCTAATTAGGCACGATCGACGTTGGTAACGCCCATCAAACACGGCCCTGAAAGCAGTGTTTTCTGCTAGAGGAGCGCCTCGTGAACTCCCATCTCGATATGAGGCACCTCCGAAGCTGGTGCATCCGGCAGAGCTGCAAGACTTACCTGAGTAACCATGGTCTGAATGATGTTCTCCGCTGATAATGTTTGACGCACAACTACAACGCTGTACACCAGCGTGATGTGCCAGGCGGTGAAGGCGAACCCTTGGCCAGGTTTCTTTCTCTGCCGGCAATACGGCGTCTCAAGTATTGCCCCCAGCTGTCCTCGTTCTCGTTCTCCTCCCCCTCTATCGCGGGCAGACCTTGCCCGAATGCTGAACCCGGCTCTGCAAGAGAATTTGCCGGGAAACAATGGCACCAATTCCTTGACTGAATATGTGCTAGACTTTTCGAGAGCCTTAGCTAACCCTTCTTTGCAACAGATTGTAATCAGGTACTGTAAAAGTTTGGCGGTCGGGGGCGTGGGAGAGTGAATCTTTGTCAAGGCTCCAAGAACGCCCAACACGTGGTGCCTGGCTGAATTGCAGCGGATGGAGGAGATTGTGACGGGTCCCTTTCTGAGCACACTGTGTTTGAACCACTGCTGCAGCTGCTGTGTTCTGTTCCAGCAGGTACATCGGGGGTATGCTCGTGAAAGAGCGGCTAGTCGGAGCCAAATCGACAGTCACCGACAGACGAATCGAATCCTGTCTGTATTTCACGTTGGCAAGGTCGTTGACTTCCAGCGCCTGAATCTGGTCAACAATCCAACGGTAGCCTTCAGTTGACATGCGCATGCATCATAACGCATGGCTGATCGTAGTAGTCAAAGGCCAACCGTTTGCAAAGGCCACCCTGTGGCAGCGCTTTGAAGGAGGCATTGATCCATTTTCGGGCCTGTCCCAATATTTGACGTGGGAACCACGCTCACCTTTCTGCCCAGGTCGAAGATACTGGGCCAGCTTCGGGAGAGTGGCTAAATTTCCTGGTAATATTATACAAATGATCGATTTTTGGCGGTCATCCCACGAACAAAGAAATGTTTGTCAGTATCGGTGGCCTGAAGGGCGTTTTTTGCGACTCTTATCTTTTTCTTCTTGTGAGATATCAAATTCCTGATCCACTCCCTGAATGATTGAAGCGAACACGGGGAATGTGTTTGTGGGGGTTACATTGTAGTGCTGGGTACCGCACTATATATTGTGGTCACATGCGGAGGTGAGGGACAGCTGCCAGTGCTTGACACTTGACACCGAGTCAGCGGCGTCGCAGAGAACATGGAATATCACCATCTCTTCTTACAGAACACCACTAGCTACAACTGTAGGTGCTGATAGTTGGGTTCTTTGCTGTGATATAAGAAGCTGGGCTATTATTACTGGAATTGTCCACCAGCAGTGCCCGCCGTACTGTCCTCTGCTATCGCCCTGCAAGTTGGTTACCGTGATGCTGAAGTCCGAATTGTTGTTGGAGTCGCTAATAGACTCGTCCCACGCCAAGCGATCCTACAATGATCGAGGGCCCCGATCCGGCCATTAAACGATTGGATCTCGAGACTCTTTGAAGCTCCTTATCAGTTTCTCTCGACTCATCAGTCCCGCATAATCGATCGTAACCGACAATCTGCATCCTCCACTCTGCCTACCTTACAGTTCTCTCATTTGGCCTGCTATCTCTACAGCTGGACGGCGACCACATGAGGCCGCTCTTTGCCCAATGTATCGCTAACTAGTCTGCGTCTGACCAATTTCATTGTCATTGCGCATTGTCATGTGCACACAAAGCGAGTGCTATCCTCGGCCTTTCTAACGCTGCCCCTCGATGCAGCCTGCCAGTGGGTTGTATGTGATCGAGCCACCCGTCAGTGCTTTGGTTCATCCACATGGAGGGCGAGGTGACTGCCTTATCTGCGCATCTTCATGCGTCAAGACCGTCGGACTTGTGATCACCCGCGTTCCCTCCTCCTGCTTCTCTCTGTATCACTCTGCTTCCCTGCTTACTGCTTGATAGCAATTTGCATGTTTCCTTCTGTCATGATCCTGTATATGCATAGTTTGCGGTGTTACTAGCTACAGACGATACTCTCTCCGCGGCGGCCTTCATAACGTTCACCGACGACATCCTGCTTGCCCTCGAGCCACCACTTCTTGCCATACTCGATTCGATAGCCAGGTCTAAATCCGCACATCCTGAACGCCTTGTTAAGATCTTGGAGACACACGTTGACTGTGTTTGGGATCAAGAGGGTTGCATCGTTCATTTCGATGGGCGAATTGCAAGAAATGATAAAGACGGAACACCTGGAATAGCACATCACTTCTCTACAGGCGCCCGTGCTCACGAGGCTCGTCATGCCATTTCCAGTCCCATATCTATCAAGGCCGTCACTTCCAGATCACTGTTCGCCAACCTCTCCTTTCCTCGCCGATGTCGCGGGGTACTTTGGAACATGCATACCCACCCCTCTGGCCGCTCTTTCAACGCTGCTTGGGACTTTGTCGATAGTGTCATGGCTATTTGCACAAATGCCCCAAATCTTCAAGAACTACCACATCAAATCTACCGCGGGATTGTCTATATTCTTTTTGGGAGAGTGGTTGTTGGGCGACTTGACGAACCTCTTGGGCGCCTTGTTTACGAAGCAGGCTTCATGGCAGATCATCATAGCCAGCTACTATGTCTTCGTGGACGTGTGTCTTGTTGTCCAGTATTTCTGGTACAGTTACTGCACGAAATGGATCTATGCTGAAAGCCTCCATTCGCGTGGGAGTAGCGATTTTGATGACGCAGACAGCGCCATTATCAACGGGCTCTCCCCGATCAACTCGAGCTTTGTCGAAGACGGACCTGAGTTGAGTGATCGCGACGAGGGTCCCCCCAAGACGGCTAGTGCAAGAGAGGTCGAATCACCTCATTTTACGCATGTGAACTATGGAGAGAAGAATAACACTGCGCCATACAACATGTCATATAACGACAAATCGGGCACCAGTTGGATGATGTCTCCTTCTCCGCGGACATTGATGTACGCGGCAACAATATCTTCGCTGGCTTCGAATGCCGCGGCGGCTCCTATACCGTTTCCTGCAGACCGTTACAGACACGGCATCCGCCTCCTTCGTGTGGACACTCCGCTCGAAATTACCGGCACCATCTTGTCCTGGTGTTCGACGCTGTTGTACCTCGGATCACGACTACCTCAGCTATACAAGAACTGGTGTCGCCAGTCAACTGCTGGCCTCTCGCCACTGTTGTTCTTTGCTGCCTTCTGTGGCAACTTCTTTTATTCCACCTCTTTACTCACAAATCCGAATGCTTGGGATGATTACGGTCCTTATGGTCACCACGGCTGGGTGGGTTCCGAGGGGTCACAGAGGTGGGCTTGGGTAGCCCGTGCGGCTCCCTTTTTCCTGGGCGCGGCGGGTTGTCTAAGTATGGATGCCCTGATGGGCGTTCAGTTCATGATGTATGGAGAAAGGGAAGAGCGTATTGTGAAGGTCAGAGATTCTCATGGGTACAGTCACTGGGAGCGGGTCAATGGATGGATGAGAGGCTGGATCCCGAACATGGCTGGCAAGGATAGAGTGGTAGACCTTGCTCAAAGTCAAAGGCTGCTGGGAGAAAGCGGACATCTCAGCATGAGCCGCAGGAGCCACCATCATGATTATGGAACGGCCACATAGATACGAATTACGATCTATAAATCAGCTGTCAGAATACTTGTATTGATGAATGTTTAACCTGGTGGATTGATCACTACTACAGAGTAGTAGTGGTTTCTACATCCAAGTTGTACAACGTAGGAGTACAATGTTGTACCGCGAACGCCGCACGCGAGATTGACGTCAAGCCGCGGTCGTGCTCCGGCCCTTCTCCGCAATTCTATGATGAGGGACCATCCGAATCTCGACAATTTATAATATTGCACGATCGTTTCGTGAGAGTTCTTCTGTTAGTAGTGTATTGTGAGATCGAGTTAATCACAGCTGTTCTTCATGCTCACTTCACGTCTCATCAGACCAATCCTGTCCACGACTGCCGCACTTGCAACGTTCATCCGCCCTGCGAATACCCCACAACTTCTCGGAAGCCGAGTTAGCATTGGATCTGGCTCGACATCGGGACTGGCACGACAGCCATTAAGGAAGATGCACATCCTAAGCATTCCCATGTGTAGGTAACTCCAAACGCGGGTGTCGAGACTACCAAGTGGCTCCTGGTCATGTCTGTTCTCGGGAGGTGCAAGGACAGAGGGTGATAATCCAGGCGTTGGATCCTGGGGTGCAACCCAAATCATGGAGTTGTTTGCAAAGCGATGGAGGCTAACAATGGTGGTGGTCGACAGGGGTTGGCTCGTCCAACAACTATGCCTATCTAGTGAGCGACGACGAGACGAACGATGCGGTGATCATTGACCCTGCAAACCCTCCGGAGTACGTAGCGACGACCCCGAACCCTGAATACAGTCTTTTCGTGGCAACTAATGACTTGCTCATCCGCATTACAGAGTCCTGCCCATTCTCCAGAAGAAGGCCCAGAGCCTGAACCTCACCGCCATCATGAACACACACCACCACTGGGACCACGCCGGCGGGAACAAGAAGATTCTACAATCCCTGCCGTCGCCGGTCCCCGTGATCGGCGGGAAAGACTGCGAGGCCATGACAAAGACGCCGGCGCACGGGTCGACGTTCAACATTGGCAAGAACATCCAGGTGACGGCGTTGCACACGCCATGTCACACGCAGGACAGTATCTGCTGGTACATGGAGGACAAGAAGACCGGGGAGCGGGTCGTGTTTACGGGCGACACGCTCTTCATCGGCGGGTGCGGCAAGTTCTTTGAAGGCACGGGCGCCGAGATGCATGCCGCACTCAACAAAGTCCTTGCGGCCCTGCCGGACGATACCAAAGTCTACCCGGGCCACGAGTACACGAAATCCAATGTCAAGTTCTTGAAGAAAGTCGACCCGTCGAACGAGGCCGTTAAAACGCTGGAACAATTTGCCAACGAGAACCGCGAGACACAGGGCAAATTCACCATTGGCGACGAGAAAAAATATAATGCCTTTATGCGTGTTCACACCGAGGATATGAAGAAGGTCACGGGCAAGACGGATCCGAATGAAGTTATGACCCAGTTGCGCGAGTTGAAGAATGCGAGTTAAAGTGTCTGCTCCCGGGGACAGACGAAAGCATGGGCACACTGGTGGCGAAATGCTCGGCGATAAGTTAAGCTGGCTGGTACGTAGAGAAACTGAAAAATGTATATATAATATATTGCCTTGGCTTGCCGTTGCCACGACGATGATATGTACTGGCTCGGAATCTTCGCAGTACATGGATCTCGCAGCCAGCACATGTAAGGCAGATGCCCAACCGGGTGCAAAAGTGAAATCAGTACATATAATTACAGAAGTTCCTATATCAATGAAATATGGTGATTCTTCCAGAACACAGATTATCTGCTTCATCGAAACCAGAACAGATAATGTCATGGGCATGGCCGCAACAAGTGTGGTAGACATCATGAGGGAGATATACTCGTGAGATACTTAGCGCTGATTGAAAGACGCCCTGATGTCTTCGCATACGGTCCCAGACCTGGGACCAGAAGCAATGAATGGTAGGTATTCTCCTCTGCCATCAACTGACGGGTTTATATCCACGTTCACCTCAGAGCAGGAAGCCCTCCCTCTTCGTGAAGGCGTACATCCAGAGCGAGTCAAACCACCATCACATCCTGAGCGTACGTGGACACGGCAATTGCAGTCTGAAATCTGTGTCTAGACACCAGAGCTGGGAGCCGTAGTACGATAGATTGATAGTTGGTGCTGGTACCCAATCCTTCAAGGAGCAGGGTGACCATGCTATCGATTCGGCAGACCAGACCTCCAAGTTTCGAGTTGCTGTTAAGGTAGTGTGACCTTTTGGCGTCGGGTATACCATACTGCGACGTTATTTAGGAACAGGGGGCAAAACGAGGTCAGTACCTTGGGTATGTTCATGTCCCAAGGGATTTGACTGGACAGACGAAGCCCAACGTAGACTGGGAACTGATGAATCCTCAGTAGCATGGCCACGGTCATCAATATCACCCAACACGAAACATGCCCGCGGGTCCTCCTGGTAAAGACCATTCATTCCCAAACAGCAAACTGACTAGTACCTCGGTACCTACTTACCTTTTGGAACTTGGAAATGCAGTGAGCCACCCAGCATTGATTTCCACAGTGGTTGGTTGGTGTCTTTCCTTTCAGACTCGCCTCCAAAGAAAGGCACCTGGACTGATCCAGAAGGACAAAACGGACATATATGCTTTTCATTCGCACATTCTTCCTCCGCAACCGACCATAGAACATTCTTGAGAGAACAGCGCTTCCCGTCAGCTCAGCGGTACTTAAACTCAGTGTCGGCCGGCTAGTACTGACGTGGGTGACCAGTTGGGAATCCCGGCTGTCGATTGTTTTTTGTCTCTTTGCCAAACTGGAGATATTCTGTTATCTGTTTTTTGGGGGGGGATCTCGGGATCCAGGTTAGTATGGAACATTGATATCAGACCGTGCCAGGGCTAGCGCTCAGCTTGGAGATTTCGAGATGAAAACATCGCATCAAACGGAAACCATCTCTGCTGCTACTGCAGCAGGTATAGTACGTTTGCCGTATAACCAACAGAAGATTATAGGGATTCTGTTTCGAAATACTGAAAGCTTTGAGGCCCAAGTTCCCAGAGAGAATGAGAGCTGAAAGACCATCTGCAACGGGCTGTCCATGTCCATTATACCGCGGCCAAGGACTAGTTAGAGCACCGGTAGCTGCTGGAGTCTTTTCAGATACACACGACACTGTAGAAGTATGCAAATGAGCACGCCCGCTGAATACGGAGTGGTTTGGTCATATGTGCTGCTGCTACGGTACCAGGTATGTTGATATATCGCCGACCACCAATCCGCATGTAAAGGGTAAACCCATGTCGGTGCTAGGAGCCCGCCCAGTTGGCCTTGTACACTATTGTACAACTTGAACTGTACAATTTGTAAAGCAACAAGGTCACGAATAGATGGTGTATGCAGTGGGATGAGACAAACATCTTCACATCGACATCTTACTTCTAAAGCCAGAATGGATGTCCTCAGTAGTGGGAGCTCGTAAGGTCAATGGGAAAAGGGGAGACTTTTCCGGCATTATACTTCCGGCGCCCTCTGCGATAACCTTTGCCTTCCCACATTGCTCGACTTTGCCTTTGTAGACAAGCCGAGTTGGTCGAGAGCAAGGTTCGACAAACAGAAGCACTTGCAACAGGGATGGCAGCAACACCGGATTGCCCGCATGTGACTGATCTATGGTTGCTTACCTTGAAGTATCCTACGATTCAGCGACAAACTTCGTTCGCATTTTGCGGCAAGCTGAGGCAAGCTGGTCCGGGTGTCGGCATCACCTTCGTCGCACACAATAATAAGCCCCTGTTTGACAAGGCGCGTGGGAACCATTACTGGAAACAGGCTATCCCGCCAAACCCGCGGTTGCAAGTAGCGAAGGCAACGTTGTGGGAACTTTGCATGGTTCGCATATCCACATGAGATCCGCCGACGTCAAGACTCTTCAGACTCTAATCGATAAATAATTTCCCTGGTACGTGCGCTCAAGGAGACGGGGGGATACTAACTCGGATGAGAGGAGCTCCGCGACACCGCCTTTGTTGATCGACAGCGAAAAGGCAGGCCGCTAACGGGTCCAGACCACCTGCAAGCAGAACAAACGATAGTGGAATCAGCCACTGCAGTGGTGACGGTGGACCTGGACGATGAATGAGCTGGAGAGAGAGGCTCCACAGAAGAGACCACGCAGTACATTTCCTGCAACATCCCGGTTGGTCTCATCTTTAGCGGGCCCTGGCCTGTGATGACTGCGTGCCTTTTGGGGGGCCGCACTTTCCCAACGTCATCTCCCGAGAGCGTATTTCATACCGTTGAGTTTCATTTCCAAGCCCAAACGCACAATACCTAGGTAAATGCCAGGCAACCGAAGCAAAACCGCTGGACGGCAGCTGAATAGGACGCTGTGCGGTTTCTAGGCTTCCGTCCGGTAGGCAAGGAGAAAACTTCCCTAAGCCGCGGAGCTGTCGTCCTAGTAGGGACTCAATCTTCCTGACAGGCGGCCTGGTGAGCCCCCGGCGGCTGCAGATAAGTATACGTAAAGGGGCAAACCAGGGCGGTGAAGTGTCTGAAGCCGACCACTTTGTGGTTGTGGAACAAATAAGCCGAGGAGCGGATCGCTTGAATTTGGAGTAACCCGCAGAACTCTGTCACAACAATAATATGAAAACAACAATAATAATGATGGCAGGGGGCACTCCACAAAGCAGTCATGCGCACCGGAGGTTTGCAACCACGTAGTAGTGGAAGGTTTACGGGTTATAGACCCACTGACCGAGGGAGTGATCCTTGCGCAAGTGCTGCAGGGAAATGGGTGACTTTTGATAGAAACCCTGGTCCCGGCACGAGCGTACTACTGCATCCCTGCACAGGCGATGACTGGTGATTGAACCGATTTGGAGCCGATTTGAGTGGCACGATCCAGCGATGCTCTGCGTGCGTAGCTCGCCGCGGTGACCATCTCCACAATATCAAAAGTGGAATCCGGGCCATTTTGGCGGGATCCGTGGAGCTAACAGCTTGTGTCCAGGTTATGCCTTTTAAAGGAGTTCACTCGTCAAGTCTCAAGTATCCTGATCATTTGACCTGGCAAGCATCGCTTTTGAACTTTGAATATCCAGATACCATAATAAGTTCCGTGGAAGCTGTTGCAATAGTCCTCAGATGTTGCAAGCACTCTACAATTCAGGTTGTGTTGGGCACCCGGAGAATGCGGTTGGTCCCAAATGCCTGATCGGCTGATTTGTCCTGATTTCCACACCAACCGCCTCTGTGTTGTATGCAGTGCATCAAAATGCTGCAAGCGACCCTGCTTTAGTCTCATTTTCGTCTGTTGCTCTAGCCGGGTTAGATCAGAGCGAATGCATTGATATTCCTCGAACATCAGCCAAGCATAATTCAGTGACGCCAGGATCAACAAGGTCGATCATCAAGGTGTAATATTCGATCATGCTTTTCCGTGCCTGAGAAACTGAGATTGCCACCTGAGGTTGTCCTAATTGGTGACCTGTGTTGCTGACCGATCGATATTATTCACTTGCTGGGATTGTCCTGCTCGAGCACATGGTATCCGTCACGGTCTGCTTAAGGGACGATCTGGACACACATGCAGTTGGCATGTCCTGCTGTTGTCCTCCGTGTACAATAATGTACGATAGGCCGTAAATTCGGTAGTAGCTGAGTTCATTGTGATCGCCGCCGTCTCCGAGGGTATGCTAGGTCAAGGGATCCAGGTCGAGGTTCGAGGTTGGCCTGTGACAAGGGCCGAAAAGTGTGGAAAAGTAGCCAGGTGGGTGTAATAGTGGCGCCGCACTAGTATTCCACCTGCAAATCCTAGTTCCAGAGATGGTCTTCGGTAAGTACAGGAGTGGTTCCATGTCTGTGGCGCCCAGGACTAGTTGTACAGCGGTAGAGCACAGGATCGCAGCGCAGGCGCTGCAAGTGCCTCGCCTACTGCAGTGGTAAGTAGTAGTAGGCGTCAGCCAGTAGCAGACCAGGCCTAAATGTTAACTGCCCACTGGTGGCTGCTGACCTGGAATTAGCTTGGCCCTACCTTTCTTGTGGTTGGCTTTTGTGATCAACCACCGCCCGCACCGCTTGCGGAAGCGCATGCCAGTGGGGTTGGACGCCCGGGAGGCAGGAGTAACGGCAGGGCTGGGCAACGGGATGGTCGTGACATGAGACGGACAACTTCGCCAGACCTCGCCCCCATGGCAGCCACCAGAGTGCCAAATTGCCAAGTGGACACAGATGTATTTTATTATTGTACGAGTGGCCGTCAAATTTCGACGCTGGTCGGCGGTCGCTGGCTACGCTTAGAAATGGAGGGTCACGCCCGTCATTGGTCTGAGATCCGCCGATCCTGTGCTTGACTACCTCAGCTTTCGATGTTGTACCATTATTGTAGGTACCTAGTCAGTAGTTCGATGAATATGCAAATGCAGTCATTTCCACCTGATGCAGCGGCGGTAGGTTGTCGCCCGTCAAAGACGTCGAGTAAGAGCAAGTATTGTAAAAATCATACTCCCATGTATAACACGGGAGGCACAGTTTGGCTACCCTGTTCGATCAGGGTAGGGTATGTCGCTGTGCTGACGCCTGCTCGGTGCATTGTACTGTACAACGTAGAGCGCTGCCCAGGGCTCCCACTCCTGTCAATGCACTTAGTACTGCAGTGTAGAACCGTGCTACTGTAAAGGGCCCCCGTTAGAGGCACGCGCATGCACGGTCTCAGGGGCGTTAAACCGCAGGCAAGGCCAACTGTACCTTGTACATGCGAGTACGAGATGATCAGGCCGGCGGTTGACGACGTAAGAATGTCGGCCAAGGAACAGGCAGTGCAGGTGCACCACTGGCACACTGCAGCAGCCCGAATCGACTCGTTGGTGACTATGAAGCGTAAGACCTCGCTTACCGTGCCGTGAAAAAATTCCCCTCCTTTCAAGTTCCGCCACAAATAGGGCGCAGCTGTTGGTGCAAATAATGACCCATACTACTAGTAGTCACATAGTATTGTTGGCGCGTGATCCGTATTATGATAGCTGCCCCTGTGCCATCGTCAGACAGCCCCTGGACCACTTCAAGATCGAAGATGCCAATTTTGATGCCGATCCGCTGTTGCTACTACAACATTGCTAGTAGCCGTCGGCTCTGCAGGCTCGCGCCCTGGTGTGTCTGATATCTCGATACATTACTTTGGTACAAAGGGATTTGATGAAGTGACACCAAGTGTAAGATGTTGACCATTGCGCCGCAACTCGGTCAAGACGACACGTTTTAGATACGCCTACGGCTAATAGAACCGTGGAATCATATTGGCAAACCCACGGTCCTCATGCTTCCAGGGCGCAGAACGTCCAAAAGCGGTGGGGACTTCAAGTTTGCGCCTCAACGGTGTCATCCCGCGTCCGCGAGTCCGGTAATATCCAGCGATTGAAGTGGCCAGGGAGGCTTAAGAGCGGGTCATTGGCCGGTAACTACCTGAGCGGGCGGTCTCTCCCTTTCTTTTGTATATCCGATGGCTGTCTTGACCCCCTGTCAAATACCGCACTTAGGTACTCCTGCCACCTAGGTGCCTGCTGGAAATCTCTGATCCTGCTGCCATGTCTTTACTACCACTGCACTACTAGTACGGTAGTACTGAGTCCCCAGCCGGCCACTCCCCACATGGCAGGCAGCCCGCTGTCTGAATTATCGATCCTTGCTTTTTCTTCGAGCTTCCATCAAGCGAGCCCCCATCTTCCGCTTCCTGAGACCCGCACCCTGTTTCTGTCGGGTTCTCCTTCGCCCCTCATGGTGCTGCCCATCTTGACCGCCGTCTCTTTCGTAAAGTGCGATCCACCTGAGAAAGATGGTTGACCTGAGCGTCTGTCGAGTCCACGTCTACAACATTGTATGCAAGGAGGCTCCGTTCCTTTGGAGAATGGTTGCCTGTTGCCTGTGCACAGATATCGCACACTCGCACAACCAACGAGAGAGACAGTAGCAGTTGTTCCCAATCGGGCATTAACTTGGTTCTTACGATGCGCAATTTCATAGAGCCTCCCTTGCGTAAGATGTACAGAACTGCCACAAAGGATGCCTCTGTCATTCATGGCCTCAATTGGTGCCTCGTAATTCCTCACACGTCGAGGCTCACCTCCGAGAACCCAAAAATTGAAAGTGAAGCCAGTTAAGGTATGGCTCCGGCGTGCTCGCCGGCCTCAGCCGGTACCCACCGCTTCGAGTCGTGGCCCGTTTGAAGGTGTGCACTGCACTGCATGCTTCAAGTTCTGGTGGGTGGTGGGTTTCCTACAACTGTAGGTAGCTTCCGGGCACTGGCACGAAATGAAAAGCGCGCGTTTCCGATCATTTATTGGCTACGGACCTACCGTTGGACGTCGGGGAGCCTGGTACAACTACCACGTACAACTAGTACTGTACCCAGGTAGGTACCACTTACGAGAAGAGTGCCAGTGGGTGGCTACAGCTGCCATGCTTTGAGTTCGGTCGCTGTCCGTCGTTTACACACTTCACCACCCTCACTTAACCGCGCCTCATGCTAGGAAGCCCAGTCCCAGGAGCGGCTTTTGCCCATTCTGTTAGTTTCATTCCATACAATTGTACACCTGACATCTATCGTAGGTACTAAAATCGCAGTCTCCACGCTTCTGTGCCCGCAGCCGACGACGAACCGTTGCTTCGCCTGAGCCGCCTGGGCCCAAACTGGCTCTAAAGGACCAGCCATTGCGGTGGAAATCGCCAGCTCTGACACAGTCAGTCAGTGGATCCCTGGTTATGGACACTCCCTGGCTTCATCCTAGACACAAGAGACCATGTTGACATTTTATGTTCGTGGGACCGTGCAGGTCTTGCATTCTGATAGGTTTGAAGCCAGGCTTCAGCGAACCCAGGCCAATAGTTTGTTTATTGATCGCTGCCCGGTCGGTCAATCAGAGTCTCTTACCGTTGTATCCGGCCGTGCTGCAAGAATACCTGGACTCCGACTCAACACTACTTCGGATGTTGCCCTTGTCGTTCTTTGCTGCGCTGCGCTCCTTGCTGCCTTGCATTGCAGGCATCAGCCCTTTTCAGTCAACACCCCCGCCAGTCAGAGCTTTGACGGAATTGAATAGCGCCATGGTGCAGGCTCCTACCAACGTCGGCTCCATTGGCTTTACTGATCCCAGCGCAAGTTGCACCGGCCTTCACCTTGCAGGACTTCAATGATCCATCCCTCCCCTACCCCAGTGCCCACATATCGCACTACTGCCGCCACCGCGATCTACCCACTGCAGTTTGACGCATCTCGCCAGCTTACTTTCCATCCCATTCCAACTCCATCCGCCTAGAACTCTGTTACCTGATTCGTGCTGGCTAGGTCCCTGGTGGTCGGTACCTGCCCATGCTTGCCATGCCCTCTGGTCGCCATGCGCTTTTGGCTTTGTGTGCTTATCCCTGGTTTTGGGTTTGGCTCATTCCTACCCACCTGGCCCAAACCCTGTTCCACCGCACTTGTATACCATGAGACACTAACCGTGAACTCCTCTGCGCCTTGCCGCGCCTGATGTGCCAGCTCAATCTCAGCTTGCTCGCCTTGGCCGTCAGGACCACCATTCATGCCATTAGCGCATGTCCTCCTTTTTGGAAGGGATAAGATATGAAGTACTGTAGGTGCCCATCCAGAAATCCCCCAATCCCGCAATCCCAGACTCTTCGTGCAATTCAGCACAGCATATCCCCCCAGCATGGACGTATCTCACTGCTGGGCTCAGGCTGCCGACCAAATCTATCATCCAGCAGCGGCAGCTAGCGTTTCGTCATATTTTACACGTCCGACAAGGGTGGTCAAATCTGGCAGCCGCAATAATAGTCCACGGTTACGACGAAGAAAGACGACAACAGCAGGCACAGTTCCTTCTCCAGCCAAATCGTTTGTTGAGCATCTCCGCAACAATGTCCAGACGCAGCAATGGCATCCCTCGGAACGTCCTCTATCCCGGCCTGTCAGTTGGCACCCAACTCCCGTTGAGGACAACAGCATCCCTTCCAATGCCCCGGTGACTGGACAAGATCCGTGCAGCTGGAACTTCTCCACCGCCCAGATCAACGGACTTGTCACGCCTGTCTCATATGCTGCATTCCACGAACCTCAAATGGAGGAGTATTTCACGCCTCTAGAACAACTTCCCGAGCCAGCGATGGGTTTCCCGTACGGATCTCAGCCCCTAGGCGAACAGACATGGCCCAGCCACTATCTACCTCAGACTCACCACGGTTCGTTTAGCATGCTATCGCAGCATGCTTCAGTCGAACCCTCATGGCAATGCAATCAGCACCCAGGACCAGCTCAAGTGCAAACGGCACCAAATTCACCGGAGACTCTTCAAATGCCCAGCCTCGATCTCGGGACACTGTCGCTTGCCAGCACCGGCGATATTGAAGACGATCAGGAATTGGTCGGCATGGGCTTGTATGATTCTCCCGCCGAAGTCCAGTCGTCAACATTATTTGGAGGTATTCCCTCTGGACGCAAGACATTGAAGCTGGAGGAGTCTTTTGAGCCCACGGATCTGAACGGAGAAGATGATGATGCTGGCGGGGAAGAGGACGCAGACGGTCAGGAGGAGGAAGTCTTTGAGCTCGATGAACCACAAAACGATACCCATGATTCCCTCGACAAGGCCGAATACCCTGACCAGTCGTCCATCGCGAGTCATCTCACGTATGGTCTCCCATCAGAGGTGAATCCGATCGCTTATAAATACTTGTCGACTTTGAGCCAGCTGAACAGCGCATATTATCCTGCTGCATCACATGGCTACGTTTGGATATGAATAATGATTTCACGACATCTGGCTTGGAATTGCCGTGGGCTTCTTAGTAAGCCTGCTTATTCGAGTTTTAGATAGTGATACCCAGCTTAGCGGTCCTATTCAAGGGGATATCCTTGTACCAACAGAATTATATATACCGAATAATCAGCCCTTCGTTACTGCTTAATAAGTTGCCGTCTCCCATCAATTCAGGACGGATGTGTAGTTGGTACGCCGTTTCTAGAAGGACTGCTAGTGGTGGTGGTGGTGGTGGTGGGTGTGAGCTTGAGTTCCGGGTCTCCAGCCAATAATAACGCTCTGAGGCACCATCACATCAATCTTCGTCCTTCCACGCTACCACTTTACCACGATACTGCAATTTCTATATCCAACACACTCAGGGACATTTCATGGATAATTCCCGAGATACTACATGATACGGATCCGGTTGGTCGACTTGATGTCAACCATACTCTACAACTGACACACATAATGCCAGGGGTTGCCTTCCAGCTAAGAATGCAGTGATTTCAAACCGTGTCAACGACGCCCCTTCCCGGGTGCAAGGGTGGCCTTCGCGATCATGTTCTTGCAGTCGTCACCGTGGCAGCATGAATCTGAATTGGCCATGGTGAGGGACTGGTTCTTCCCTGAACATGTCAAGCAAGACGTATATTCTCCGGCTTCGGGGTTGCCATCAGATATGCGACAACGGGCCGTGAACCGGGTGAACATGTGGCTTTTCAAAGCCGGTCGGCTACCCCCAGCACTCATCGCGACCGCGGGTTTGACCGAAGCTTTACTGCATGAGGAGAAAGTACGGGCTGGTGGAGGTGGCATTTCCGAATCGGCCATGCAGAGCATCTTTGCGATGGCGTTTGCGAGATTCGTCAACGGTTTCGTGGACCGCGACGTTGCTCGTTCCCATGCTGCTGAAATGGCAGTGGACGACGGCACAGATGTCGACAATGGCAGCATGTCCACGGCCAAGGGAGAGAATTCTATGTATGCGCACGCCGCTACAATTCGCATGCCGCAGACTTTTGTCGATTTACGGCACGAGGTCACCCATGGCCACATCCCAAACTTGACATATCTCAAGCGAATGACTCTAAATGCATTGCAGTGGTTGTGGGAGAGATGGTGGATGAAGAATGCCACGGGGGATCCTGCGCGCGCTTTGTGGGAGCTGCAAGAGCGGAAACGAGCTGCAAGGGACGCAAGAAATGCCAGTGACTTTCATACCAACATGACGGGTATGGTAGACCAAGCATACATAGCGAGTCAAGCTCATGATCGGATGGCCATTGATGAACTGGCGGGAGAAACTTAACAAATGGGTGCTTCTACAACCGAGGAAATTCAATCCTAACCCGCTGCGAGACTGTAGCATATCAATGTAGCCTACAAAATCTAGAGTGCGAGAATCTAAAAGCAGGCATTGGTCAAGACGCGTATTAAACCACAATTTCGAATCTGGATTGCAGCTGGGCCGGATTCGAGGTTCATGTGGAAGCCTTCAAGTCGTCAATAATAATCATTAACGCCATATCCGCCTGCAGTAACTTCGGCTGTCACTCGAGCGGCGACTCGGGACCCATCCTCGATGCAAGCCCTGTGGCATCCAAGTAAACAGCTTCGGTTGCGTCTGTTTGCCTCCTTCACTCGTCATCAAGGGAGCCTGCCAACTTCGCGACAGTGAGCTTGAGCTTGAATTACTACTATCCGGACAACCTTCGAAAAGGTCTACGTTCTGACATGCTTTGCAACCTCATCAGCACATATGCCAGTTCTTCGGGCCAGTGCTCAGGTCTTCCGCCGTCCTCCCCTTCGACATGAACAGCCTCTCGACCAGCGCAGATGAGAGCCCATTCTTTGAATCTGCTTTCCAGAGAGCGTCCTATCCTACGCTGACCAAGCTCAGCTCGACTCTTGCCCTTCTCATCCTCGCATATTATGCTGTTTCATTCCTCGATGCCTGGCCGTCTACTATCAAGCGATCCGTATACGAATCCTTGATATATTTCGTCCCCTCAGCCGTCATATATGCCATACAACAAGGCATGGTTTATTCTGGACGTCTAGGACTGGAAGACGCAAAATTTACAAGAGCTGATTTCGGGGACACCCAGGCTAAACAACAAGCGATTCAGAGAATCTTCGGACAACCGCAACTGCCGTTCGCACTGGGCAAGGTTCGCAGCCTGTCGGGAGTGGGAAAATACATTTCATTGAGCGACGAAATTCGTCCAGCGGGACTCGGAAATTGGGACAACTCTTGCTATCAGAATAGTATCCTGCAAGGGCTGGCTTCCCTGCCTGCGTTCTTTGAATACGTGGCGCGCAGTTTGGAACAATGCGAGTTATACGGTCCACTGGCGGACACGCACAGGGCTTTGCTGGGGCTATTTGAGCAGCTCACGGATCTGAACCCTCGCAAAACCACTGTCTGGACTCCCAATGTCCTCAAATCCATGGATAGCTGGCAACAGCAAGATGCGCAGGAGTATTTCACTCGGCTGCTGGAAGCCCTCGAGAAGGAATCGGATGCTTCCATTCGGGTGCGCAAACGTCGTTCTGTTCCCGGTCTGGAAAGTCTTGATGCTGTAAGCACCTCTCGAGATTCACGGCCAGCCTCCGAAATCGCACCAGATCCAGACCTGAGTCTCATCCAACTAGTACCTCGAAATCCCCTGGATGGCATGACCGCGCAGTGCCTTGAATGTAGGACTTGCGGGTTCACAGAAGGTTTCTCGTTCAACCAGTTTAATTGTCTCACGCTCAATATGGGCCGCCGCGGTCCTTCAGACCTTGAAGATCTACTTGATGAGTATACTATGCCAGAGGATATCGACGGGGTTGAGTGTGAAAATTGCACAAAACTGGCACATGGTGGCGCCGAAGGTGACGACGAGTCGGAGCAATCGGCAAAGGAGACAGCAAAGCGAAAGCCTGTGCTAAGGACGAAGACGAAGCAGATTACAGTGGGAAGGTCACCCAGAGACTTGATTCTGCACATCAACCGAAGTGTTTTCGATGATTATGGGAACCAAATGAAAAACAGAGCAGCACTCGCCGTTCCCCTGAAACTCTCCTTCCTCAGCCGATGGTGCGCGCCAATTGTGCGGAGTGATACCTCGGTGCAGCGGGTATATGAACTCAAATGCATGGTGACACATTATGGCCGGCATGACAATGGCCACTACGTGGCGCTTGGACAACGTGGCAAGGACTGGTATTCTTTCAATGATGATTTCGTGACAAGAATCGACGAGGAAGAGGTCTTGAACACGGGTAATGGATTCATGCTCTTCTACGAAGCAGTCCCGTTAGAGGTACAAGTTGATGGTACGTTGAATCCGGCAGAGGGTAGTGCGGTTGTTGAGAACGGAACGGCCAGCGTCGAAATCGACTCGGGCGACGATAAGCCGGAAAACGCAGCGACATGGTCGCATCCAGACTCGAACAGAGACGAGCAGGACTCAGTATCTATGCACGATTCATCCGCCGAAACTTCACCAGGGTCCGCGCACCCTTCATCTGCAGCCTCTGAATCGAGTGTGGATGATCTCGCAAAGCGCAAGGGACTAAATGATCCCTTTCCAATGTCGACCAGTTGTTCATCAGCCATGGGCGGAGGAACATAACTCGTCTAAGTCAGACATGGCTACTGTGCTTTGACATGGACAACGCCCTATGAACGAAATTATGATTAACGAGAAGCGAAAAAAATTGATACCCAGGATGTTTGGCGCTGGTAATGGTTACATAGATTTCTTTGTGATGGCACCTTACAGCCCACGATCATTTGTCTCAAATAATGCAATGTCAACAGGTGCAATGGTAGCCGACGGAGGCCTTGTTAGGCTTTCCAGAGGTTGGATGCTGGCCATGGCTATCAGCATGACAAAAGATTTCCCCTATATAATGTTGTATTAGTAGTTGTTCACCTATAGTTCGTAGAGAGCATGGCATGTGCATTCCTAAATCGGATGCTTAATCATCACTGGCACCTCGAAAACTGCGGGTTTGGCGTATTTACTCACGGCCTGCGGTTGTCGTCATGACCGATTGGGCTGCGACGCTGTTGTCCTGCCCGCGGTTTCCGCAACAGATTTTTGTACACTTTGGACAAGTATGTATGTCTTAGGGACGAGTTAAAAGCAAGGTCCCCAAGCAAACTCGGAGGCGGGCTCATCTCAGAGTGCGCGACAGCATGTCCGGAACAAGCGGTGTGCCGCATCTCAGCAGGAGGATCAGCGAGTGTTTACCAGGAAATGTACGTGTAACCACGAGCCAGAGGAATCCAAAGCACATGTTCGGTCGCTCCGCCAGAAAAGAATTGCAAAGCGTCGCGTTGCTGCGATCATGAAATCCAAGTCTCTGCGATTGCAATGCTGACAATGCGTAGCAGTTCCAGAGTGACTCCAGCAGCGAGGATGAGTACAACCGCAAGATCGAAGTGAGCCTACCGCGCAAACCTTTTCTCCTATGTTCAGCACCAACAGGTCTTGACATCTAGGTCGTCTTTGATTCTGATAGCGCCCGCCGCCGCAAGTCCTCCGTGGTACTTTCGGATCATCCTGAGATAGAAGTACCAATCAGACACCGGTCACAACGAACGAAATCCCAATGCATGGTTCATAAGTTGGTGGAGAAAACCACCCTCGGCCAACAGCCCCAAGTGGAATCGAAACTGGAACAAATAGACGAGGTTGATACACCGCCGTCAACGGCACGAAATGGAGACAAGTCCAGCAGGGAGGAGTTACGCGCGACAGAATCCCGGTTGCTGACAAAGAAGCAATTGAGCGATATGGCCATGAGCGTCAGATCTCTGGCCAAAAAGTTGTCCAACCTCAAGGTTAAACTCAAGATCCGCTCGATTTTTCTGCTCACAAAGGTGTACGATAAGACTTTGATTGTTAAGACCAGAGAAGTCGCTCGCTGGTTACTGTCTAAGGACAGGGCGGTTCCATACATTGTGTATGTGGAAGAGACGATGAAGGACAACCAGCAATTTGATGCCCAGGGCCTGATCGCCGAAGATCCTTCCTTCAAAGACCGGTTGAAGTACTGGACCGTTGACCTGGCCCGCAAGCATCCACACACCTTCGACTTTGTCATCACACTCGGTGGTGATGGAACAGTGCTATATGCGAGTTGGTTATTCCAGAGAGTGGTACCTCCAGTACTGGCCTTTTCCCTGGGTTCCCTAGGGTTCTTGACCAAGTTCGACTTCGGCGACTACCAGCATACACTTTCACAAGCGCTTAAGGATGGCGTCACTATCAGCCTACGATTGCGCTTTGAAGGAACTGTGATGCGATGTCTTAGACGAGATGATGACGCCGAGGTCCGAGATATCGTTGAAGAGTTGATTGGAGAGGAAACAGACGACCGAAACACCCATAGACCCGATGGTACCTTTGAGATTCTGAATGATATCGTCGTCGACAGGGGTCCTAACCCGACCATGTCGACTATCGAGCTATTTGGTGATGAGGAACACCTGACGACCGTCCAAGCAGACGGCATCTGTGTGGCCACACCCACCGGTTCCACCGCCTACAATCTTGCTGCGGGCGGATCGTTGTGTCATCCTGAAAACCCCGTGATACTAGTGACGGCCATTTGCGCGCACACTCTTTCATTCAGGCCTATCATTCTGCCCGATACTATCGTTCTTAGGCTAGGCGTGCCGTATGACGCTAGGGCAAACTGTTGGGCGAGCTTTGATGGGCGAGAGAGGTAAGTCCGCCGGGTTTCGTTGTTGAAACAGTCTAACATCTGCAGAATTGAATTATTCCCGGGGGATTATGTGACCATCTCAGCGTCACGTTACCCGTTTGCAAATGTAATGCCACCGGGTCGACGGAGTGAAGACTGGGTGAACAGTATATCAAGAACTCTACAGTGGAACTCTCGGCAGCGACAAAAAGCATTCCAGGAGTGGGATGGCGATATAGGGACTTCGAAAGAGAAATCGAAGAATAACCGGCAGCAACAGAAGGCCGAGGATGGGCAGGATCATACACGCGGTGAAGAGGGCCGGTCCGGATCGCATAAGATTTGAGTGGTTAACGACTTCAATGAAGAGTAGTACCAGTATGATTAGGGAGAAACATGGTTTAGCGAGAGTAGCACGTGTATTCCTCGATCAATCTGAACATAACTGTTGAGACTGTTATCAAAATCAGCGTATGGGGTCGTTGCAAGAACGCAAGGCTGTGGTCGCTCTGTGGTAAAAAGGGGCCCGGGGAACCTTCCCCGCTTGACCACCGTACTTTGTGCGTCACTTTATTTACAACGTAGGCTTCGACTCCGATACCACTTTAACAACACAACTCCGTGCAGGGAGCAACGTGACATGAGAGTACAACTACAACTTTCTTCCACAGACTACCACGAGGGCAGAGCCCATTAAAGACAATGGCAGGCGCGCCTCCAGGACAGATGGTGCCCTCGTACCCGTCCTCCCACACGACCTCGCCCTCAAGACACATGTCTCAATACTCCTCGACATCGAGCAACACTCTTGTGGGCGGCGGAGGCGGGGGTGCTACTACTCCGACGCCGGCGAGCATGAGCTCAACGACGCTCAGGTACCCATCGACCCGCAAGACGATCTACGACCGCAATCTGAACCGGTCACGGAACGCGGAACTCGGACGGTCCAGCTTCGCATATCTATTCATGGAAATGGTGTCGTACGCGCAGCGACGGGTCAAGGGGATCCAGGATTTCGAAAAGAGACTGAACGAACAAGGATATCCGCTGGGGCTGAAACTACTGGACCTGATGCTGTACCGCTCCAGCCCGGCCGGCAGTTCAGGCTCGAGTTCCTCAACTGCTCCCGCCGCAGGCGCTTCCAACCGTCCGTTGCGTCTCCTCCCACTGCTCACTCTGCTTACTACAAAACTGTACCCTTTGCTCTTCTCGCGGCCTGCCGATTCCCTCGAACAGTCAACCACCAACCCGGGCGAGTATATGATTATCGATAACACACCCTTGACTAACCAGTATATCTCGGTACCTAAGGAGATGAGTCAGTTGAGTGTTGCGGCTTATATTGCTGGTATTATTGAGGGTGTGTGCGACGGCGCTGGGTTCCCGTGCAAGGCCTCTGCCCACAACACGGGCACCGATGTCTGGCCTAACAGAACTGTGTTTCTGATTAAGTTCGAGGACCATGTCCTAGAGCGTGAGAAGGAGCTTGAACGCCAGGGGATCAAGTGATTGGACATGGCAAGGGAAAATCACCAAAAAAAGAGCTTCGGTTCTACAGCACTGGTGCGGGAAAGATACGCTGGCGTACTACCTGATAAAATTCCGATCAAGGTGGAATTGCTTTGAAATGAGGTGTGGAATTTGCTGCTATTTGATGCTTTCAACGTCCTGGCCGATAGCAGATCTCCCCGGCTACATTCGGGAAGATACATGACAAAGATGTCGGCCCATTCAGCTCGCCACTATCCAGCAACGAATATCAGCACACTGAGAGGATATTTCGCTCTCAAACTGTGGCTCGGACTATACCCCCAGCTACCTCGGATTGCATTGTCTCAGGCATGGTACATGTTGTTGATCAGCCATGGCCTGGAATCTGGACATTGGAACATCAATGTGGCCAAGGAGATCACTCCGAGTCACTCCCATGGCTCCGAGGTAGCACGGATTATGGCCCCGGTCAATTTCCCCTTGTCGGTGTCTACATGACTGCAAACAGTTAGATGCTGTATGCAAAAGCTGCCCCGTCGGGCGGAGAGCATACTCACCACTGATTGCCACATCGTCTGGCCGCGGCGGCGCATCAGGCGGACCCGGATCGGGTGTGGGCGTGGCCAGAGGAGGTGTATCGTATCGCTTGATGAATGGAGCAGCATCTCGACCATGCTCCTCAGAGATCGGTGGGCGCGGGGTAGGAGGACGAGGACCTGGCTGAGGTGGCGGTGTACCAGGTCCGTCCATCAACGGAGCCGCATCTTGACCACCACTCTTGTCAGAAAGCGGTGGAATTGGAGTCGGCGGACGAGGAGCTGGTTGCGGTGGCTGTGTACCGGGTCCCTCCAACAATGGAGCCGCATCTCGGAAAGCGGGCTTTGGAAATGGGGTAACTGGGGTCGGCGGACGAGGCTCTGGCCGAGGCGGCGGTGTACCAGATCTCTCCATGGCCGGACCCTGTGGAAAGTCGAAGATAATGCCTGTGACGGACAGACAGAAGTCAGCGACATTGAGGTCTTTCTCTCTGCAATGCTTGGCAAAGCAGGATCGAATAGGTACTTACCGGAAGACACCATCCTGATAGGGCTGTTCGAATGAAGTTGATACTAATATGATAGATATGATATATGTTTATCAAAGTCTGCTTGTGGGGTCAAGTCAAGAGTTGTTCTGGTTCTGGTTCTGAAGTGGAGAGTTGAATTGTTCGCTTTGCTTGATGGAGGAAAGGAAGAAGGAGAGAGCTTTGGAGGGCCATTCCATCTGGGCTTATATACCTTTTCCATTTTCCTCAAATGCAAACAGACAACACTCCGTTTGTCCCCAACCGCCGACTTGGGTCTTGCATCAGCGGTTCTGTCACAATTGCTCTGCTCATCTCCTGGTGTTGGTGGTCGAACGGTATCATCGGATACAAACGAAAAGGCAAGGCATGGCACCCACCCATCGCAAAAGACAAGGACTATCAGGTATCTTACGACTATGACTGAACTGAGGACGGATGTGTTTGTACCACCCCACTCTATTGGCCGTGGATCAGGCACTGTCCGTTGTATCGAACTTCGATCGCTTCCGATCTGGGTAAATCAGTCGAACTGCGACAGAACTACTAGTAGTCAGAGCAGATGCAGTCGCTCGCTGGCCGGCTGATGACCAGATACAGTACATTCCTCATCCATGGCATGATATTCGGCCATTTCTACCTAGTCATTACGGTCCGATGAATGACTACTGGATAGTTGGATCGGGCAGCCGTGGGACAAGCCCGTCGATGTACTGTAACAGCCACCAAACGGTTAAAAAGTCATGTACCATATGTATCCACGGAGTCAAGCAAAGTATGTCCACATTTTGCCAACCGACGGCGAGCCTTTGCATTAGGTAGCGGCATGAACATCGTGTCAGTCAAGCTGCGGCAACGCAAACCGGAAATGAAATTCTCTGAGAGAGAGTGACATATTGACATGCCGGGTCCATATTCTTCCTTCATTTCGTGGTCGTGATTAAGGTATTCGAAGAACTCTACATTATACACTGTTTTAGATGTCATATCACACTGCCTTTCCAATTCATCACCGTGCGCGCGCAGACTCCCGCTCTCTGTCCCTTGGACGGTCACGATTCCACTCCCCTTCATCGTCTGTATCGCGTCTCCGTCTTCGAGGAGACCGGGAGCGAGACCTAGACCTCGATGGAGAGTATGATCGCTTGCGACTATAGCGGCTCGTATCTCGGTCGTCATAACTGCTTTCTCTCCGCCTGTTTGACTCCCTGTCTCGGCGGTCATCATCCCGATGTCTGTCTCTGTCTCGTTGGCGATAAGAACCACGTTCTCGGTCTCGATCCCTATCATCCTTTCTGGAAGCGACTGCGGTTGCATTGGCGCCAGTCGGAGCCATCCCTCCGCCGCCACGGTGATTGTCAGGGAGGAACCTTTCATCCACTCCTTTCAAATCATTCCCAAACCCTCCCCCAGTACCTCTTCCCGCTCCGCCAATACTACCCTTCCATCTTTTCACATCCTCACCAAACTGGCCTGTGTCCTGACCCTTAAGATCAGTGTAGCGCGTCCGACCCTTTTTACCCAATTTAGTCATGTCCCGTAGACGCATGTATTCCGGCAGAGTAGATTTGTCCGTGACCTGGTCTTCGAAGTGAGCGCCCATGATGTCGCGGCGCCTAAGCATTTCTGCAGCCTCGTCGCCCTGGAAAAAGGCACCCTTATGATGGTACCGGGCAAGGAACTGCGCCTTGGAGCGACCCGATTCGCGTTCTTCGCGCTGCTTCTCGAGGAAATCTCGGTCTTCCTTCTCGCGTTCCTCGGCGGTCAAGTTGCGGCGACGCTCAATCTCCTCGAGCTCCTTCTCGCGTGCTATAAGGGCTTCACGATCCCGCTTCAACCGTTTCAACTCTCGCACCTTCCACGCCGCATATTCTGCTTCCGGATCGATGCCGTCGGTATCATCCACCATGGATTCGGGTAGCACATCATCGTCATCGTCCCATGCCTTTTTCCCCTGTGCCCGAGCCAGTGCGTCGCGTTCTAATTTGTCTTTGATGTATTGTTCGGCCTGCGCGAGACGGCGTGCTTGCATGTCAGCTTCGGATCCAGCCTCTGCTGTTGCCGCAGCACCGCCATTTGTCTCTGGTCCTGGAGTACCTGTGACCGATTGTTTCCGTGCATCCTTTTTTATGAATGTAGGCCGTTGGAATCTTCTCCGCGGTTCTTCCTCTTCGGAGGAGCTCTCTTCTTCTTCCTCCGATGACCCTTCTTCTTCTTCCGACTCGTCTTCCTCAGATTCGTCTACTTCCTCTTCAGACTTCGGCTGTCTCTGTTCCTGCTTCACAGGCGCCGGGCCTGTCTGTCCTAAAGAGGGCTTTACTGTCTGAGGTTGTGATTTTGCCTCATCTTCGGCTTCCGGTTCCGTAACAAATCCTTCCTCGTCCTCGTCCTCACTCTCTTCTTGTACTGCGGCACGAGCCTGCCGGGGCTGAGATCTGGTTGGTGGTCCCCGTTGCGGTTGTTTGGGTGGTTCTTGCTCCTTCTCGTGCTCCTCTTCGGATTCTTCGTCAGACGACTCTTGACCGGCTACTGGCTTTCCTGGACGATACCTTGCGGGCCGGGCTGGGTTTGCGGTCATCCGCTTCGTAGGGTTGGGCATAGGGGGCGGCATTTTGGTGTTTAATCAGGGAGTGGCCCGCCAGCAGGCAGATATTCTATCCGCCGAGCAACTAATTGTTAGCAGCCTCGAGCGTGGAGGAAATCGCAAGTTGTATTGTGTTTTATCCCAAGTGGGTTGCACGTCAATTGGGGCGGATTTACTAGCAGGCACTTCGCGACTATGCAGATTGACGTAGCCTTGTCCTGTAACAGACGAGCCTTGGCGACGGTGTGTCTATGCCGGTGCCGCTTCTACAACTTCACAAACATCTTGCTCTCCTGATTAATCAAACAGGGCTTCTACGCATCAGGGGCATGAAAAATAGCTAGGTGACCGGTTGATGCAACCGGCGTGAAACTTCAGTCATGTCCGAACAGCTGCAGTGAAAAGCATGAAGAGGCCGCGGCGTGCCTGCCGTTTGGGCCTGCGCGGATACTGCCTGATGATGCAGTCTGGTTCCTGCCGTTTGTACTTTTACTGACCAAACTCCTACTGACCTCTGCCACTGCATTAAGTTGGTTGCCTAAGGTAAGGCAGTCTTATTTCTCCCTGCGGTGTGATTCTACGCATCAAGTGAGTAAGATAATCTCGATTTATTCCCCCCTACGCCCTTTCATTTCCTTCTTACTACATTCAACTGGCATGGCGGACAAGACGCCAACCTTTCTCTCTCGATTGTTGGGAACATGGGAACTGCTCTCGTTCGTGGCAATAAACGTCGACGATCCCAAAGACATAACCTACCCCATGGGCGAGGCATGCAAAGGACAGATCATGTACAGCGAGGATGGTTACATGGCAGCTGTGCTACAATGGGGCTATGTCGAGTCTTACCAGACCGACTGGTTTCATGCTTCAATGGAGGAGTTTGCCAATGCAGGAAGGAAAACCATGGCCTACTGTGGTCCATTCTACCTCAATGAGCAGCCCGGTGACCACCAAAGAGTCTTTCATCATGCGGAGATCAGTATTCCCCCGAATTGGAACGATACAATCCAGCTTCGTTTGGCACAGATGACGGAGGAAGGCGGAGAAACCATTTTGACTTTGGGTCCGGAATGCCCGATGCAACAAGACGGTGTCTCTCGTGTCCTTCGTCTCAGATGGCACAAGTTGCCCAGAAATGAATCAACAAAAGCACCGGATGAGCATGTACTGTGAGCAGGAGATGACCGAGGTCAAACAACAAGCCTATACTTTGCTGGTGGGTTGCCATTTTATACTTTTCCACCAGTTGGTGTGGTTACTGATGTGTGGGCTGAAGATGTGATTGTACACAGTATTACGGAGGGACAATATAGTATCTGAAGAATGTAAGACATGGAAGCAAGATTCCAGACGCAGCAAAGATAGTTCTGGTGGCAGTCAGTAGATAAGAATTGTTGCTTTCAGTATTCCAACAATGGTGGGTGTTGCACACTCAGGTGTCCGAGAAAAGACGGTTCATTATTTTCTACAAGTTCAAGTTGTACTACCTTTTTGACAGCGTCATGGGCCCATCAGGCTGACCGGCTCAAGAAGTTTCCGGGCCACCCAGCCTGCACCTTCCCAACGGCTTGCAACCACTGCAAAATGTAGCCCCAACTAGGGTCAGGTCTTTAGCGGACTCTTCTTTTTCTCTACTTGTTCAAGACCATCTCCGCATTCGCTATGTCCGCCCAGGTAGGAAATGGCAGCGCAGTTCCCACTGAGTCGACGGGTGCCGACAAGGTGGCTGACCTCGCTTCGAGTGTGAGCCAAGTCAAGATCAACGAAGGACCTGTGCAGGCCGGAGAAACTCCCACCGTTAAATCCTCCCATGTGCCCTCAGAGCCTACCAACGGACCCTCCGCAAATTCTCAGGATGCGGCCACCCCGAAGAAGACGTTGAATCTGCCACGCAGCGCTGCGGATGGAATTATCAGGAAACCCTTTGCCGAGCCTCTAGAAACCGCAAAGCCTACACCACGACCGCCCTTGTCAACTGATCAGGAGGTCAAATATGAGACGTTGCTCAAGAAGGTGTCCGCATGGACCGGAATCCCAGAGACTTCTTCCAAAGGCTCAAAGACAAGGCCTTTGACAGATGCGGAACGCATGTGGCTCACTCGGGACTGTCTATTGCGCTACCTGAGGGCCACAACTTGGAACGTGGCACAAGCCGAGAACAGACTGAGAAATACGTTGGTATGGCGTTGCGAGTATGGTTTAGAGAAAATCACAAAGGATTACATTTCCGTTGAAAATGAGACCGGGAAGCAGGTGATTCTCGGTTGGGACATTAATGCAAGACCATGTCATTATCTGAGGCCATCCAAGCAAAACACCGAACGGAGTGACCGCCAAATCCAGCATTTGGTGTACATGCTTGAACGGTCAATTGACCTGATGCCTGTGGGACAAGAAACGCTTGCCCTGCTCATCAATTTCGCCGAGACAAAGGCTTCTCAGGGTGTGACGCTGTCTCAGGGGAAACAAACGCTCAATATCCTGCAGAATCATTATCCGGAACGTCTGGGTCGTGCTCTTGTTGCGAATGTGCCATTCTATATCTCGGGTTTCTTCAAGTTGATCACCCCGTTCATCGACCCGGTGACACGCGAGAAAATCAGGTTTAACGAAGACATGGGTTTACATGTGCCTCGGGACCAACTGATGAAGGAGAGCGGCGGCAATGTGGAGTTCGAGTATGTCCATGAGGAATACTGGCCAGCTTTGAACGAGCTGTGTGAGCTGAAAAGGTCCGAAGCTTGGGAGAGATGGGTCAAGGGAGGAAAGAGGATAGGCGAATACGAGGCTTATCTCAAGGGAGCAGAGCCTAGCCTAGCTGAGCGTGAGAAACAAGGGGCCACTGCGACAGGCCAAAATGGCAATGCAGCATCGGGTTGAAGATGGTATTAGATGGCGTTGGGTTTTGCCGAATTGCGGCACGCCACTGGCATTATAAGCATTGTATGCTATGAAAAGCATTTCTTTGGGTAGGTTTTGTGACTGCATCCACAATCCTCGAGGGTTAGATTGTGACGGGGCACCAGTAGACCAATTGATGTACGAAGACAAGAGTGATAATGCTGGTTGAACAAGAATCGCACTGTACTTCAAATTGTAGTATGTATGTTGGCTGTAGCAATCACATGCAAATCTGCAGGCTGCAAACCACGGCGCCCGAGTCCGCAAATTGAAGTGAACCGAACCCCAGCCCAACCCAACACACCCGCACTGGCACTGGCACTGGCACTGGCACTGCACTGCATCCTCAACCGCAGCCCGCCCACTGCATCCGTTATCCTTCAATCGTCATTCAACATCCCACCTTTCGGTTCAGCCAACCACACGAGTAATTCTTAGGTCGATGGCTTGAAGCCAACAGCGGAAACCATTGATTGCTTGCATCTTGGTTGTCTTATCTGCATACTAGTAGGGCTCGAAAGAATCCAGCGATCATCATTCACTGCCCCGTCTTTACCTGAAGACTCTCTAGCCTGACAATCCTCGTGCGCCGCCCACCTTCTCCACACTTTTGAAGCGTCACGGATCCCTCGTCCAGCATTTCTAATACCGCCCGGCCGCACCGTCTGTGCGAGACAAAGAAACACCTCCCCTCTCCAAGTGACAGAAGATGCCTTTCGATCGCCCGCCATGGCAGACAACTCTGAGGTGACCCAGGCATCCTCCCCTTCAAACGAACAGTCGTCCTCTACGAATCACACTCCTCCTGCCACTGCGCACTCGGCCCACCACCATGGTCACGAGGCTACATTCGTGCGACCATCAGATCTGCTTCGCCCACGGACGACATCTCGACCAAATGGGCCGCCGAAGCCTGACCGTCCAATAGACCGAGATCAAAGAGCTGGCTTGGTAGGCGAACATTCTGTGCCGTGCACGCGCTTCCATCCTCCAGAAGCTGACTTCCGCATAAGAAGGCTATACGGGATTTCCTGCGGATTCGCAACTGCTACGATGTGCTACCGCTGAGCTTTAGGCTCATTGAACTCGATGTGGGCCTGACAGTCAAAGAGAGCTTGAATATTATGGTACAATGTGGTGTGTTGGACTCCTAAACCCCGGCAAAAGACCTGCCATTAACGGTCGCAGGAATCGTTTCCGCCCCATTGTGGGACTCGTCGACGTCGACTTACGCCGGCTTGCTCACGGTCAATGATTACCTGAATGTGGTTCGGTATTACAACTTACACGCCGACAAATTAAAAGACGTGGACAGATTACTGCTCAGTGACCTGAAAGGTGAGCTTGCAGTGGTGGTATTGGTAGCCCGACTTCCAGCTGATTATGTGGCCAGATGTCGAGAAGGTCCTGGATGTCAAGCCGCCTGAGACGGTCTCAGCACCGCCGGAAGCAATTCTCTATGACGCCCTGAGAAAACAACTTCTTTCTCGTGCACGAAGAATACCTCTGGTCTCATACGACAGTGACACAGGCAGAACAATGGTGACCAGCGTCATCACCCAATACAGAATTCTCAAGTTTATTGCAATGAACGTGAAAGAGACCGATATGCTGAGGAAGCCCTTGGCAATGATCAAACTCGGCACATACGGAAACATCGTGCGGTGTACCATGGATACGACTGTCTTAGATGTCATAGACGAAATGGTCATGAAGAACATATCGAGCGTCCCAGTCGTGACAACCGAGGGTGAGTCTGTCATACCAAACTGATTAAGCTGTGACTAACTTGTTCCAAGGCGTCCTCTTGAACGTTTTCGAGGCCGTCGATGTGATTGAGATCCTCAAAACTGGAGACTACGCCAATCTCACATGGACTGTTGGCAAGACACTATCGGCACGATCACCAAACCATACGGGAATATATTGCTGCTCGCTAGATGACGGTCTCGATACCATTTTCGAAACCATAAAAAGGTCGCGAGTCCATCGATTGATGGTGGTAGATGACAACAATTACCTTAAGGGCGTTCTGTCACTCAGCGACATTTTGCATTATCTGCTTGTCGAGGGCCAAGAAGAAACAAATCAGAATTGAGGAACACAACTTTCAAAGTTTGTTGGACAGCATAGCCTGGGCGTTATGATGTATGACCGCGTGTTGGCTGGATAATGTGCTCTACTGGCTGGTGATTGCAGCGAGGAAATAGAGAGCAGAATGGTGATTGACCTGACAGAAAGTGCACTCGGTTTTGAGTAGGGCACAGTTTGTTCCGCTCCGGGCTTGCTAGAACCCCTACAAGAGGTCTTGCAGAAAGTGATGGAGAAAAGCTGCGGAATGTAGGGGATCTATTACTCCTGGTGGTGATCCTGATCGCTAGTCCCCTCTCAAGACAACTTGTACCACATAGAAGTTGGTCAAACACAACGGCAAAGTATTGCCTTCCAAGCACGAGTGGTGAGCGCAGCTTCGAAGTTATGGCGTACATCGGTACCGGTGTGCCACTTACGATGTACACTGCTAGTGCATTGGACTGCACTTCAGTGCCAGTGTGGTCGCAATGCCAAGTCCACTTAACACGTTCAAAGCGCGCCCCGCGCCCGGACGCGTCGCGCTGTTTACCCCGACCCAAGATATCTTCAATTGAAACTATTACTATTCTACAGAACTAACACTCTACCAATGCAGAACTGCCGCCATTGAACGCGTTCAAATCGACCATCGTCCACCATGACATCCGCCAAAGAGAAACTCAATGCCGTCTTCGACCCAGCCGGCCGGGGCCTGTCCCCGGAGATCCTGGACGTGCTGGAATCCACACTACGACTACACTCGCTGACGGTGGACGAACTGTTCGTCAAATGGGAGGTGTACTGTCTAAAGATGGGGAGCGAAGAAACAAAACTGGACCTGGAGACGACGCGCATGTTCGCCAAGGATGTCCAGGACGGCGTCGAACGAGGCGATCATTTGAGACCACACCACAACAGCAACAAGTCGGGGGCGGCGGGCGCGGTCAAGTCGGAGAGAAAGAGTGCTGTACATGCCACGCCTAGAGGGGCGGCCGGTGGTGCTGGAGATGTGTTTGGGATGTGGGTGGCCCCGAAAATATACGCAAGACTTGTCAAGCGCCACTTGCAATAAGATATGAATCTTACTGACATGGCAATGCGACAATGAATAGGTTAGATGAACTCACTCCTAATGCATTGGGTCGCCGGAACGGAAGCGTCAAGAGGAAAGCAGACTTCGAATCCCCCGTGCCGCGGAAGGTCAGTCGGCCGGAGACTATGACGACAAAAACACCCGCTAGAGGAGGAAAGACGGAAGGGTCTGCGTATGTTATGTTACTTCATGCCTTGATTTTTCTCCTCAGCTGATTCTCGATCATCACCAGAGGCATTCCTTTTTCCGAACGACAAAATGCAGGGCAGACGGTCGAAATCTTAAACGGCCACCTACCCTCCGCGGAGCCGCCTATTGCGCCCTTCTCTGAAGCCCGCCTCCAGTTCCTCCTTCGCTCCGATTTCAAAAAGTTTGCATATAAGCCTATGGCGATGCACTTGTCCGATTCCTCCGAGGTGTTGGACGACAGAATCGACGATTTCATGGCATTGATCCAACAAGCCCATAACTTGGACGAGTCGGCTTTTGGCAATGCAGCGGCTCAAAGTACCAGCGAGATCGTTGCCGTGGGTCGAATCGCGTCCGACACTCCAGAAGGGAAACTAAATTCGGCTTCCTTGGTGCTGGAGATGTCTAGACGGATGGGTGCTGGGCTTCGTGTCCCATTGAAGGTCGACGCGTTGCCTTCCTATCAATTCTTTCCCGGACAAATCGTTGCCGTACGAGGCACGAATGCCTCCGGACTCTACTTTACAGTCAAGGAGATCTTGTCGGCCCCCAGACTGCCTATGCCTTCGTCCACTCCAAACCAAATTGAAGCTATCAACCAGAAACTCGGTGTATCCGACGATTCCGATTCTTCCTCGCCACCTCTCAACATCATGATCGCTTCGGGCCCTTATACGGCCGAGGATAACTTGGACTTTGAACCTTTCCAAGAACTGTGTCAGAAAGCCGCCGAAAACATGGTCGACGCCCTGATCTTGACCGGCCCCTTCCTTGACATTGAACATCCAATGCTTGCATCTGGGGACTTCGACTTGCCAGATATCCGAGGGTTAGACCAGGGAGCGAGTATGGCGGCACTCTTCCGACTGTGGATTGCTGGGCCTCTCCAACGCCTCTGCTCCGCCGTGCCGAGTATCACCGTCCTCATCGTCCCCAGCGTGCGGGACGCAATCAGTAAACACGTCAGCTGGCCCCAAGAGCGACCTCCGCGGAAGGATCTTGCTCTGCCAAAGCAAGTTACCATGCTGCCAAATCCCTGTTATGTCTCCCTGAACGAAGTCGTGATTGGCATTTCCTCGCAAGACATTTTGTACGAACTGAGCCGAGAACAGCTGTCCCATGGCGCAGGGTCAGACCTCCTTACCCGATTACCGAGCTTCTTGATTGACCAAAGACATTTCTTCCCACTGTTCCCGCCCATGTCACGGGACAAGCTGTCAAGTAACGGGGTGGTCAAAGCAACGGGCGCATGTTTGGATGTCGGATACCTGAAGCTGGGCGAATGGATGGCAGTGAAGCCGGATGTGCTCGTCTTGCCTAGCATTTTGACCCCTTCCATCAAGGTAGGAGAGATTCCTTGTCGTAACTGCCCATGCTGACAAAAATCCAGGTCGTTGACGGCGTAATGATCATCAACCCCGGACAATTGTCGAAACGGAAAGCGGCAGGGACGTATTCTCAGATGACTGTAACTCCCCGGATACTGAGCGAGGAAGAAAAGGCAGAGAGAACCGTTTTGCACAAGGTGTTTGAACGTGCAAGAGTCGAGGTCGTGAGGATATAGTTTGTGAGCGCCGTAATAGAAGGCCCATTTTCGCTGCTAGGAGACTTTGCGCGGCTTCGTCCGGTCAGCTTTAGATGTTTGTCCCCATATCATAATTGGCGACCATGCCAACTGACACATTCTCTTTTCCTTCCCGGTTCACCGTAACAGCAAAACTCCAGTTCTTTTCCCCTCTCTTCTAGGCGGCGGCCTCGCCCCAACCGCACTACCAATCCTCACATCAGCCACCAGCGCCGTGAGGCCTAGATCTCTCCAAGCCGGCTCCCTCTGGACACCGGCATTGCTCGCCTCACCACCGGGCTCGACGGCACCACCACTTCCACCAACACCACCTGCTGCTCCGCCACTCCCACCTCCGCCTCCACCGATACCGCCTCCGCCTCCGCCCTGATTCTGGCCTAGGGCCCGATTAATCCCAAACGCCGCATGCATGTCCGGCACCACGCCATCTTCGTCCTCTGGATTCATGGGCATCAAGTGTGAAGGCAGGGCTATCTCTTCGAACGGCATGAAATGGCCTGGTAGCTGGGCCATGCCTGCCGCATCTGCGCTTCCGTTGGCTGGTTGTTGTTGTTGGTGTGGGTGTGCGTATGGGTGGTGGGGGTTTGTTGCGGTATGATGCGCGCTGTTTGACAGGCCCGGAAAGCCCGTTGTGGAAGATGGGGGTCGGCAGAATTCTTCGAAGAGGTCGGCGTTGCGGGAGGCGCTCATGTGGATGTACGTTGCGGAGGAGTCGCGAGACTGGTGTGAGAACAATGGTTAGTGAGAGAGGTTGGTGAGGCAAACGGAGGGAGACGAGACGAGACGAGACGCTGGGTTGCAACGAGGAGAGGGTAACCGCGAGAGAACAGGAACTTACCATGATGGTGGTAACTGTTTAATCATTCAACTTAGTAGGACTCGAAAAGTTGTTCATCTGGCTGCCGATCAGATAGGGAGAAGTAGATGGTTGGTGTTTCTTACGCGAGGGCCGGGAGGCTTTGTAGAGAGTCCTCGCGGTGTTGGTGGTAAGGGCACTACTGTAGTAGGATGGTAAACATGCGGCGCGCAAAAGTTGTGTGGGGAAGGATGCGGTCACTACTAAAAAGGCACCTGCGTATCAGCCGGGCACTATCGCTAGCGCTGTACAGCCTTATCACCCGCTCCGCTTACTGTAAAATAGAGTATCCCCCAGAGTTCTGCTGGTACTGTAGCATCATAGCAACGGTAGGGCATACTGCATTTACATTAAGGTGGTACTGCAATTGTCTTTATAAATATATAGCTTCTCCAGTCCGCCAGCGATTAACTGAAGCCGTGCTGGACCAGATACAAAGATTTAATGAGTCCCAAAAATCGCTGTTATTCGTTTCCATAATGAATCAAAAAACTAGAAGACAGCAACTAGGTACTCTTATCCAATCCATCGCTGGTGGTACTGGCTTCACCAAAAAGCCGAACCTGAGATCTTGACGGAGTCTGCGACTGCGACTTTGTCTGAGGTCGAGGTCGAGACTGAGGCGACGGCTGAGACCGCGAGCGTGAGCGGGACAGTGCCTGAGAATGAAGCATACGTCGCTCCTCATCCTGCTCCCGTTTCCGCGGCTGGTTCCAACCCTCGTTGTCTCGTGAATCCCAGTCCCGACGCCAGGTGTGCTCCGTCCGGTCATCTTCTTCACAACCAACCGCCACATTTGCGCGTCTCACCACCGCCCAAAAGCGAACTTTGATTCCGTTCCAAGCCGAATGCCCATCCAAGTTCCAATTCTGGTTTCTGCTTCTATCGGACCAAGGCCTGACGAGCCCTCTCGTCGCCTCAAACGTAACCAACAGATCGTCCAGTGGCGATCGACTGAGGAAAAAGTCCCTCACACCAGTCAAAGGCCGATGTCCCCCGGTAGCTTGACCTTCAGGATCATCATTCTGATGGTAGAGGTACTTCTCCTTCTCATCACGAATATACTCGTCGTCACCATAACACGCTTCTGGATCTCGAGTACGAGACAGTCCGCACCAAACACTGAATGCCGAGAGACACGCCACAGGGACCTTGGTCAACCAAAACGTCCTGACGAACTGAGTAAACGGTGGCGACCCCTTGGATTTCCAGCACGCAAGCACGATGCAGAAATAGATGGCGAGGGTAACAAGGCTCAGGCGCGCAATTTGGATTAGTAGCGTGATACTTGCGTAGATGAAGACATCGAAAAATTGGTCGAGGTACAACGTGACGGGAACGACGAGGGAGCAGATGGTGCGACGGATGACAAAGGTCTGGGAAGGTGATGAATTGGGCTCGGATCCGGGGTTGGGAAATTGAATTCGGAACGGGAGATGGGTGTCGACGACGGTCGTGGGTGGCGATTTGAGCTTTGTCGTATTGAACTTGATGGATAGCAAGGGTGGGAATTTCTGAGGTGTGTCGCCGGGGTTGCGAAGGCCTTTGGCTCGGTCTGCATCCTGAAAGATAAAGAAAGAGGATGTGTTAGCTGAGACGAAATAATGAGACGTGATAACGGGAAACGCAGAGAGTATGGCATGGCCGGGGCTGTGCTAGACGAAGAGGCGATGTGCGCCAGGTCCGAACAGAAGCTGGAGTAGCGAGAAGGGGATCCTAGTAGAGAACGTGATGCGAAAACAATAAAAACAAGATCACCACTCACCCAGTACTTGGAATCAGGCCAGATCTGCACAGTACTCTCATCGACAGCCCTCATTCTCAACGGCAACTCGGCCACTTCCCGATAAATCTCCCAAGACAACAGCGTTGCATCGGCCTCCGGAAACGAAGGTAGCATGATACTGAACCCTTCGTCTGCTGTCTCATCCACCGGATCACCGGCTTTGGCATGCAAAATGAACGGGGCAGAGACGTGCGGTAAGGTCGACGAATAGAGGAGCGCAGAGATGTTGTAGATGTGACTATCGCTATGGAGGTGGTGGCTCGAATTCGTTCGTTCTGGTCTTGATGTCGGTCCGGTTTGCGTTTGTGACTGAGATTCGTCGTCTGAGCTCTGTAACGTCCGGCTACCTGAACAGTGGCGGGATGCAGACTGGCATTTTGATACACCGGCGCCGGCGCCATTACCGCTGATTGTCAACTCTCCTGTGAGAGAACAGTAGTGGTAGTCGACGGCGAAGGAAGTGCGTCGGGTGTTGCGGGCTTCTTGCACAGAGGGCAAAGGGTCATTTAAGGGGAAGAAGTCGGCGAAGCTGGTCAGATGGACAGATGTCAGCATGGGCCAAATGATATGTAACACATATGTCAACGGTTTTCGCATGGTCGGTCAATCGCGACGGACCATGGAAATCCTTCTTTTCTTTCGGCTCGAAAGAGTGCAAGCCGCAGAACCCTAGATGCTGGTCTTTTCTGATCATCCTTTCCAGCCTGTGGCCGCGTGGGATGACCAATTCTAGCATTACCAGATCTTGTCGACGATAGCCTCCTCTCGCAGATATATGCATCTCACATAAAATCCACCATCCTCAACGCCTTATCTTCTCCTGCTAATTGCAAGGGCACGCCCACGTAGACTTCGTATGCGCATACACCGTTGCCGACACAACAGCCCTTCCTTTCCACCTCTTCTCCCACGCGCCGCACTCCCCTTTCACCAGAGTCCATGTGTTTCTCTTACATCGATGTTCCATATATTTATCCTCTTCCAGAACCGAACCAAACCGAACAGTGATACAGCGGAACAGAATAGAAGCAGAGTATACTCACTTATACACCCTCGTCACCACGCCCCCATCCCAGAGATATTGCGAAGGATCATCATTCCACTCGACCGGGTTCACAGGGAGAAAGATCCACAGCGCGACCAGCGCGAGCCAGACCGTCGGCGGGATGAGGAGGATTCGCAGGAGCGACACTCGCGGAGGCATCGAAGTCGCTCGAGATGCGAATAGAGTGTAAGGCAAGGGTATATATTTCGAGGCGCGGCCGCGATGTCGGCACGGTTATGTCAAGCGCTATCGGCTTCAGATTTGCAAATCTCTGGACTTTTCGCGTCGCAAGACTCGTCCGCTCGTCGCGACTTGTCGTCCGAGACAACCTCTGCGCTCTCTCGCGAAGCGGTTGCGGTGCGGCCGCGTCGTTCAAATCTCGTGAGGAAACACTGAACCAGACAGAATTGGAAGTCTCCTTGCTGCAAGATAATGAGGTGACCGTATCGCTACTATGGGGTATCGGTAATGGTCGTGTAGTAGCGATGTACCACCATCCAATGTGGTTTGCTGTTAGTGCTGAGGACAAGATCCAAAGGCCATGGTTCCGCAGGCAGGCACGAAGGCAGGAAGGAAGACTGTCCAAGAGCAAGACAGTAGTAGGATGAACATCTGAGACACTACCACACTAGTAAAAAGTACAGCGCCTGCGCACCCCGGAACCCCCTCGGGCCCCTGGCGAAGGGCACGGAGCACTCACTAGCATATTGGAATGAGTAGGAAATGGCCAGACCATCTGTCAGACGCAGCCTCGCGACAGCGCGCGCCCCTGAAAATAGTTGATTAGAAGGCGAAATTAAACGACCATTGGTGGGACGGAACAGAACAAAAATAAGGGGCCCGAGGCGAGTCTCAGCTGGGGTTAGTTAATCCAGAAGGGTGTTAGTATAGGTGAGCCCGGCGAACCTGAATGGCTGATGCCAGTGATTGAGGAGCTCAGCCTCGTCGCGAAACCTTGCCGTCTAATTGGACACAGAAATGCCTTTTATACATTGTAAGTCAACTCGCCTGTACTGAAACATTTTGAACTCAAGCGGATCCTAACCCGGGTGAAAAATACTAGGTAGTCAATCTCGGTGATGTAGTACCTGAGGTATAATTGTATTCACCTTCTGCCCGCAACCTCACCAACATCAACCCAATCCAGTCGAACAATCAACTCATCCACAATCCCAATCCTCTAAGCATACCCGACCAACATGCCCATCATCAACGCCTCACACTCGTCCCCGGCCTCCAACCACCCTTCCCGCTGCGGCAGTTCAAGCAAGGCGTTGGCAGTTGCAAGACTGCCCACGCGACTGCTCCGTTGAAACCCGGTACTTCTCGCGACAAGTAGTTTGGGATCCGCGGGATCAACTGAAACCACAACGCGGTGGTACTCGACGCGGGACTTGTCGCACCGGATCCGGCTGGACAATTTGACCTTGACACGTTGTAATCCGACCGGCGCATTTCCATTCCCATTTCCACTCCCCTCTCCTCCTGCTTCTTGGACTAACCCAACCAGCTTCTGCAAACACGGCAACACGAACAAATTCGCCGTCACGAGCGCACTGGCCGGGTTTCCAGGCAAGCCAAACAACAGTTTCTCATTTTGTCCTTGTCTATCCCCACTGTTGTTATCCTTGAAATACGGAATCGTAGCAAACGTAGTCGGCTTGCCCGGCTTCATACTAACTCTGCCGAACTGGACGGTGCCGCCCAGGGCACGCTCGACCGTCGGTTTCAACAGATCGAGCTCGCCCATGCTGACGCCGCCGGTGGTGAGCACGACATCCAAGTCATGCAGCCGGTACGCAGAGCGCAATTTCTCCTCGAGTTCGGTGGCCGGCGTGTCGCGGGCAATGCCGAGATCGACCACTTCTTCACACAGCCGCCAGCCCCGAAGCAATGTGAGCAGCGAAGGCCGGTTCGAGTCGCGGATCATGCCGCCCGTCAAGGGCCCGGACTTATCAGTGATGTCCGTGACTTCGTCCCCCGTAGACATGACTCCAACCCGTGGTTTGCGGTGGACAGGCACTCGGCGGATCCCGGCTGCCGCGAGAAGGCCGATTTCCCCGCCCAGAGGACTGATTTGCGTCCCGCGCTTCAGGATCAATTCGCCTAGGGAAATATCGCTGCCTGGTTCGCGGATGTTTTCGCCCGCCACAATTTCATCTGTCAGGATCTCCACGGTTGCTTCTTCCGTGCCGTCCGGCGTCACGCTGGCAATCCTCGTGTCTTCCACCATCACCACGGCGTTGGCGTTGGCGGGCAGCGGCGCGCCCGTAGTGATTCGTGCAATCTCGCCCGGTTGGAGCGGTGGTGGAAGTGATGCCGCTTGTGCGTGCGACACGGATGCGACGGGGAATATACCTTTGATACTAGTAGTGGTGTTGGCTTGAGTTCCAGCACCAGCGTGTTCTTGATTCTTCTCAGGTACTATCACTGCATATCCGTCGACAATGCTAGCTCGATATGCCGGTACTGCTTCGGCAGCACGGATGTCTTCGGAAACAATGCACCCCGTCAAGTCGGGGCTGAGATCGCGTAGTTCAGGCGTAGGTTTGGGAGTTTTCTCAATGATTTTGGCGACCGCCTCGGAAACGCTGAGCATCGGGTACGGCGACGAGCGGGCGCGTGCCGTGGCCCCGAGTCGCGGGTCGTTTGATCGCGGCAGCCGTTCTGAAGGGGCAGTGTGTGCTCTGGGGACTTTGTGACCATGGCCATGGCTGTGGTCGTGATGGTGATGCGAGGAATAGGTGTGGTCATGATTGTGTACATTCGCCGTCACATTACCAGAAGGGGCAGACGTAGATGCACTCGTAGAGCCAGCAACACCAGCCTCCCTCTCCAGCTTCTCAACACCCCCCACATGCGCGGCTCTCGAATCCTCCCCAGCAGCCTGCATACAAGCATGAGGCAACAACTTCAACACAGCCTGCAGATTCTCTTTCGCACCCTTCGGCGACCCCGGCAGCGTAATGATGACAGACCTATTCCGCACCCCCGCCACAGGCCTAGACATCATAGCAAATGGTGTGACTTGGAAAGAAGCGGCGAGCATGCCATGCACAATGCCCGAAGCATGTCGGTGGATCAAGGGCGAAATGGCTTCTGGCGTGTTATCCCTTCGGGCGAATCCTGTCCCTCCAGTCGTGACAACCAGATTGATCCAGGGAGAGCGAGAGCGGTCATCACTTTCGCTGTGCTCCCGGTCCGTCCAAGACCGCACCACGCGCTGGATCTCAAGCACATCGTCTCGGACTATCTCGACGATCGGTTCGGCCCATTTCCCGTCCCCTTCTTGGGCAAACGTTTCCTTTAGTATGGGAAACGCTCTGTCTGTGGATGGGTCCGCGGCAGCTGTGTCGGAGATGATGAGAATGGCGGGGCGGAGGAGGGTTGAAGAGCCGGTCATTGTTTTAAGTCGTGCTGTGGAGGAATCTCTCTTAACTTAACTTTTGATTTTCCAAACCTGAATTGCACTCTGGAAGTATGTACACATTGGTCTCTCGGACTCTCGACAGGGAATTAGGAAGAGGAGGATGATAGTCGCTACGCTGAGGATGTATTGATACTACACCAACCGTCTCCGGCCTTCGGCAGCCCCGTCTGCCGGGTTAACTATCATCCGATCAACCACCGACGCGTTGAAGTGGTGCCAATGGGCAACGAGGCTGACTTTCGCAATGGCATCCAAGGTTGGGATTCAATCAAGAAACATGCTGATTACTACTAAGCACAACGAGGGAATAAGCTCTTTCGAACTCCATGGTTCGACAATGGGACGGACCGGCTGCACATCTGAAGACTTAACCCCGAATGCATTTTCGACTTTGACGTCTTTGAACGCTGGTATCGATTCCATGCTTCTGGTGCATGGGTACATAAGTATATTTAATTGGATAGTGTATACCTGTAAGGTACGCTATTTCGGACATCTATACACCATCCCGCGCGCTTATGCCTCTCCTGAACCCGGGTCCCATCCATCCTCTGTCTATACATCATGCTAACGCCGTAACAAGTCCGTTGCAAAAGTGCAAAAAGGGTATCAATGTCGTAGAAAAACCAATGGTACCCCAGCCCTGCCTTATGCAGCATCCTGCCGTGCCATGCCACGCCTATCATACCATATCATGTTCTCATCTGTACCAGTGCGTGAGAGCCTGCAGCGTTTCAGTTGCTTTCGCTTGACTTGACTTCGCCTTGCTCTATAAAAACACCAGTCACGCCAGTATGCAACCCCAACACCAAGCAGTTCGGGAAAATGCATCGAGGCTGTATCCTTATTCCAATCACCTGTGTATACGCCCTGCCACCAACAACCAATACTGCCCCCGACCATAACGACACCCCGTTCTTCGTTTTCTTTATCCCAATGCAGGCCTGTCATGCAATATTCCCCTTCTTGTATTCCCTCCTTTTTACCGCCCTCAGCACCGGCAGCGTATGTGCCCTGCCGGGCTCACGCCCAATCTCGACGACCAAAAACCGGACAAAATCCTGTAATATCCAATAACTGCTATGCGCACTGAGCATGCTGAGGTACTGGATCTCAAGAGGACCTCCGCCCGAGTTCAGAAACCAATCGATCTGCCCATTGTCATTAAGCAAATACATGCGCTTCTCGGCGATCTCCTCCCGCGTGAAATTGTGAGTTTCCAGTTCCACCGTGCTAGGCAGCTGCTGGAGTTCAGGCCGCGTGGCTGGTACTGCCCCGGAAGTATAGGGGTCCGATGTAGATGGAGACGTCCAGCGTAAAGTATGCCCCAGTCGTCTCATCAAGCTGATACTGGCGCTAGGAATTGACGCCGGTTGGAGAGATGCGGCATACAGCTGATCGACTGCGGCATTCTGCAAATAGGAGATGGGATCATTCCGATGGCAAATGTTGTACAGGTTGTCCACTGCCAAACAACCATATTTGGCTTCACTGGCGATTCCGGGCTGCCGGTCTTCACCCTCCATACCAGGTTTATTTCTGCCTTTTCGGGGAACCAGACTGGCGTTGTTGAGAAGCAAGAAGAACCCGGATGGGCTCCCACAGCAGAACAAATTCGCCGTGTCAAACTCAAACATCTTCTCGCTCGGCTTCTTGCTGTCAAACCTCATGTCCTTCCCGATTCGAGTGGGCTGTTGGCTGAGAATTTCCATGGCCATAACAGACCCAAGCGAATGGGCGATGAGATGTACACGGCCGTAATCCTCGAACCCTGGGTTGTTCCGACACCACAATCGAAAAACTCGATTGGCTTCGCGAATTACTGCCGATGTCATCTTGTCTTTGTGGTGAGACAAGTAGTATGGGATGTCCAACATGACATCACTGATCAGGGATCGGACACCTGGCAGAGTATCAGGGGTGATATCCTTGAGCGCATATTTGTTTTCTGCATCCTCCTGAGAAGCCTTGTCACCCTCATCGAAAGAAACGGTTAGTCGCCAGTTCACCGGCAAGACCATGATTCCTGTGCCGGGTCTCAGATTGCCTTTGACTGCTTCCGTCGACAGTTCCACGTTGAATTCCCGCCTCAAACCATTGACAGCGTGGGTGAAGTGGAAACTGTCCACTCTCTCCGACAGTTTCTGCCCAATACCGTGAATAACAAGCACAAGGTCAGAAACCCGCGGCGTCTCGGTCTCTTGCTCACACGCGGCGCAAGACGTACGTTGACCTCGAGTTGTGGCATCTCCAGACTGGGACATGTACGCTCCAACTTTCGCATAGGCTGCTTTGGCATCCAGTTTCGGATCAGGATGAATCTTGAGCCAAGCTTTGCGGTCGAACCCACGAACAACAGCCACCCCTATCTGCCTGCCTTTCCTAAGAGAGCTCAATGGTCGCCGGTTTTTGCTGTCGGATGGTAACAGGCTCGGCCTTAAGATTTGGGCATTTTTGGCATCGGTATATATAACGCTGTGCGTAGCGAAAAGCCGTTTTTCTTTAGGCTTCTTCCGAGGGTCTGCCGCTGCATTGACCGACCTTTCTGGCAACGGCTCTGTAACCGACTCCTGTGATAAAGGTTGATCCATTTCCTTCGTATCCGCAGCACTTCCAGGCCGACTCAATCTTGGCTCGTCCGGCCAAAGCTTATACACCACCTTCATTTCGGCAGATGCACCATTTTCAATGCAAGCCTGTAACTCTTCCTGGTAGGACTCTGCATAAGGTTTCATGTACTCGTAACCAATCTCAAGCCTGTTTGCAACGTCTGCAGGCACGGGTAACATGGTGTCCTTGTAGAACCAGGTTGCCCGAATGACATCGGACGTGTCATTGATAGGAGACCAATAGATGGGTTTCATGATGAGGTCCGGCAACTCAACCAGGTGTAGGCGCGACACGCCTACGGGTACAAACAACTTTTTCTGCTGCGCTTCTTTCCGCCCATCCCGCCCAGAACTATGGGATCGACTGCGTCCTTTGCTCGAATCCAGGTCAGATTCGTCGAGAGGGGGCCATGATCCTCCATAAGCAGATGCAGAACTGATATCGCGTCCACTGGGTGGGCGGGCGAAGGGTCTGCCACTGATATTTGAATTGGAGCTCGTATTAGGTCGAGAAGAGTTCTCCCGGGAGTCATTCGTTTGCACAGGGTTGGGCGAATCGTCACGATCTCTCTCTTCTGCCTTGTGCCTGTGCCGGAACGGTGAGAAGCGTCTCTTATGCTTAGCTGGCTGGTCTCGGAGTTCCCGATCTTCATTTAGCTCTTGTTCATCCACGGGCTTGGGACCTGATCCGGCGCCTGAATCCGGGTCCAACATGACATCTGCCTCCTTGGGCGGCCCCGTTCCTTTGTTCGCTATACTTGGTGACTGTCCGACCGGCGATTTGTTTCCCGAGGCCGCAGCGGTCTTTCTGAACTCTGGGAAAGAAAAGACCCCCCGAGCAAAGTTCCTTCGAGCTCTTGCATCCTTGTCACATTCAGAAACAACTTCTGATTCTTGGAAGGATTGCCATGCTTCTTCCAGCGCGGCATTGTCCCGAACAGAAAAAGGTTGCGGCGGAAGTCGGGTGGTCTTGTCGGCGGAGACTGGTGGTAATGGAGAAAGCGGATCATCGATTGGGAGGGACGAGACGTAGAAGAATTGTGCCTTGATTTTGGGCGGATGCGAGGCGTCGGTCGGCGCGTCATCTGTGTCTTCCTCGTAGTATGCGCATGTAGGGCCCAAGGAATGGACATTGCGAGCCATCGCAATGAAGGTGGTTACCAGGCAATCTGCTGGTAGGTTGCGCTTTGCAGGACGGCAATTGTGGCATTCATGGGTAGATGTTTACATTGCCACTGCAGCCGAACACACGAGACTGTAGACCCAAACCGGTATCCACAGGACTTCTTCGAGTGCATGGAGGAGAGGCAAAGAACAGACCGGACACTCCCAGAAAGTTTATGCCCATCTATAAGAACAAAACATCTTAAAGTGGCAGCCGGGAGCGCGACGGAAACAACACGACGGAAATTCAAAGTACAAGAATATGGTGACGTAGTGCTTAGATACTCCTGAAAGCCGGCAGCCTGATACGTTGTCTCCGATTACTGCACCGACGCGTACCTATATGCCACAACATGCAATGGAAAATGACATTGCGGCTTATCGACCTCCTTCTCAGCGCAGGCAATGTCGTCGTGAATCATATAATTGATGGAGCCATCTTAAATGGCCCTTGATGTAAATTTCTGGCGAATCTACCTGGTACTCTGCCAAACGCCGTCCATATGCACCCGCGCCAACATGAAGTTGTCCTCCGCCCTGTTTGAGAGGGAGATTATTGTTAGAACAATGTTTGATAGATACTCTCGTCAGGAGACCGCCGGCACTACAGCGCTTCGCCGACACATACTTTGCGCTGCTTCACCAGCTGTTGCATGGCCGCCAATGGTGAGCAGTCATACGCTGCCTCTGTGTGCAGTTCCACCTCCTACAAGAGCTATTGACGTAAGGCCTGCTCCGTAGCGAAATCGCCCGCGCGAGCTGTGATAGTTCAGAGCTGTCCTCGTGAAAAATCGGAGCATTCGCTCTTCAAGAGAATTCGGTGGCCTTACCGCTGACCAACAGTCCGATGATCAATCCGAACAAACCCAACACACTTGAGAAGATCTCAATGACCAGGACTTTGACGAAAAGGCTTGCATCGGCTGCATCGGCCAGGGCGGCACTGCTTCCGTTGATTCCAACACTGACACCACAGATGAGGTTGCACATGCCCACGGTAAGACCGGCCCAGAAGAGTGCGTAACCGGTGTAGTAGTTTGATCCCGTATACAACGACTCTTCCGGCACCATCGTAAGCTTCGATGAGAAGACAATCGACATAATAACCCCGTAGATGGCGACAACTTCGCAGAAGATGATGGAGATCAGGTTCTTCGTTCGTATCCGAGGGGCTTTCACACCGCCACCGAGGATGGACGTGCCCGTGATAAAGATTCCCCTATGCGCGAGGAGGTCAGCCAGCCTGACCACAAAACCAAAACAGTCCAGCCTTATTATAAGGATCTCCGCCGGTCGCCGGCCGCCAGCCACCACAAGTCTTGTCTCTTACCAGGCTGCTCCCACAACAGACAATCCTATGCATAAACCGATGCCCATGTCCGCCCATGCGTATGGAGACACTGTCTCAAGGAACCGGCCAACCTGCATCAGAAATGTCAGAACTCTGGAGTAACTGTCGGCAGGTCTGCGATCCGTACGTTAAATTGTTCGCCCTCGCCATTGAAGAGCATGTCTAGCATTGCGGTTAGCCCGGGCTCTGTTGCTTCAAAGACTTTGAAGGACGTCGCTCACAAAGTCCAACAACGCTCAGCGCGGCGACTGCGCCGCCAGCTGGATAGATGAGACTCATCTTGCACCCAACTGCTTATGGAACACCGGGAATGGAGACGGAGATGGCGCTCGTACGATCAATGCTGTCTCAAACCGAAGCTCGCGTAGTTGCAGGCCACTGCCGACCCCAGTATACAACTGTACAGCTTCGAAGAACGTCCCCGGGAGCAGGAGGAAGGTGGCCCGAGGGCTTCGTCACGTGGGAGGCTGCCCCTCTCCTAGTATGGTCCAGGGGTTGTGATGGGAAAACGAGACTTGCACTCGTTCATATGCAACGTTGTACTTGTAGTATTCCACAGAAATGATGAGAGCAGGGCTCAGCTTTGGCAGTCGTTGTCATCTTCGTTGGATTACGGTATTTCGGACTTTTATCAAGAATCCCACTTTTAACATATCATGCTGAAGGTGTCCCAGCACGCATAATGCCCTGCAGTCATCGGATCCTGCTTCGTAACTCATTATTCAATACTCATTACTCATTCGATGGATTTCCAAATCGCATTGTTCTTTTCGATTTCCGCCCGCCTGTCAATCCCAGCCCTTTGGTCCATTTCGTACAATTTTTGCATTTCCTGCAGCCGGTGTTCCATGCTGTACCTCTGTTTCGCCGCGGTCCTCAATATCTCAAAATTGTTCTTGCTGACGGCCTCATAGAAGATCCTTCTCATCCGATCGCTGTAAAGTTGGCAACTGATCCCCGGCACGAGGTTATTTCGCCTCAAGGGAGGGACGAGCTTTAAAGTCTTGGACACGTCTCTCGCGATCGGTCGGTCTCTTAAAGGCCACACGACTTCTTCGAAGCATTCTTCGCATATGGTCAGCTCTGGAAGATCACTGATGTAATGCCAGGATGTTGTAGCCAACATTGTGCTTTTGGCACATTCCCGATGGCGAGAGATTCGGCGAATGAAGTCCACAAAATCCAGGATATCTCTTTGTCTGAGCTGTTCTTTCTCCCGCCGCTCCGCGAGCCTTTCCAGTTCCGATATGATAGGCGAGAAATGTCGGCTACTGGTATTCATGCTGCACACTTTCTCCTGACTAGGCTTGCTAGGCGGTCGATCGAACAGATGGGATTGGAGCGCGGGGAAGATCAGATCCAAATTCCTAACACAAGCCGAGCATATATCAAAATTCTCCACCGGCCTCCCAGTCCTTGGGTCAGTCAGATGATACCATCGCCTTATATCCGGTCTGTGACCAGAGCAAGGCCGTGTTTCTGGTGGAGGCGGAGTGCTGATCTGCCAGACAAGGGTAAGATCTTTTCTATCTTGCTTAATCGATTGCAACCATGCAACCCGGATCCATGGAAGACTCATGGCACAAGCAACGGGCTGTCTTGGATCCTTGGGCCGACTGGGGATGAAGTGATCCCGAAATCGAGTCGCACCAAGAAAACCCATGCACGTCGGGCAGAAATCGAGATAAGGCAAGTCACGGATCGTGTACCAGTCTTGTAGCCCAGCGACCGGTCGTGAACGGGGGCACGCAGGAGGAGCAGTAGGCCTCGATGACGGCGGGAGGAATGAAGCAGGCTCCGGTGTTACTGGGGCCGATGCCACCGTCTGGGTAGCCAAGAAATGAACAGGTGATTGATGCATCTGGCTTGATGGACTGGACGTGCTTGAATGTGCCCTATATAGGACAGGCGGTCTGGCATGATCAGAGGTCTGTGAATGTGAGTAGGAAGCCGCTCGTAAGCCGGACCGAGGAGGCTCAAGGCCCGTCGTCGGTGAATACGTCGCGGCTATTGGAATCGCACGACTCTCATGGACAGTATATGTAGTACGTGTCGCCCTCGGTTCGTCTCTAATTGCGGTTGAATTTGTTCTTGTGATGCTGTGAGATACTGAAGGTGGCTCCTCAGACACTGGTGAAGGTTTCCTTGACCGCTGGCCACTTCCAGGACGACTTTGAGAGCTACTGCGTGGGGTTTCGCTGGAGTGCGATGTGGACGATCTCGATAAGGCCGGATTGGCCTTCGCCGCAAGAGAAGCACCCAAAGTTGCTGCACCGAGCAATGATGTCAGTGGTTTGATGTCTTTGAAGTGGCTATCATCCCACGAAGGAGGACGGGATCGTTGTCGGGAGTGCTTCACAGAGGAGGTTGGAGGTAGCTCAAAATAATTTTTGGAGGAGCGTTCGCTGCGTGGCGTCCTCGGGGGACTTTGCGGCGGTGATGTCAATGGAGAGACTGCTCGTGACTGAGTCTCGCCATGCTTAGCTTGCTTGTGCTGGTTTGCGACGAATGCTTTTGCGAAATAGTCTTCCATGGCATCGAGACCCCTAGGTGTGCGACGCTGTCGCCTCCTGTGAGACTCCGAGCTTTGCGACTCGTCGGTCGAGTCATACGTAATCGCTCGGTCTCGGCGTGTAGACACGCCTCTGATTGACTGGGACTTGGCTTCATCTCCAGCGTGTGATCTAGAACCTCGTCGCGACCGACCTCTGCGCGTCGCTCGCCTCTCGTCATCCGATCTATGACGCCGTATGTGTGCTTCCTCAGCTGACGAAGTGCAAGGAGAATCAGCGACAATCCTTCTGCCGTCAAACCGACCGTGAGTGGTGCCAGCGGCAAGCGAATGGTCCACTACAGAAGGCCTTTCTGTCCCCAGCTTGGGTGTCTGGGGTGGGGTGATGTGTTCTGCTGTATAGCTGTACGCGGCGGAGCCTCCCAGGGACGCTGCAGGGCTGTGATGCCGATGTCCTCGACGGCTGTACGTACTCGGTGAGCGCTGGAGCTTCTCTGATGTTGCTGATGATTTGAGTCGCTCAGAGTCGGAACGGTCTGAGTTGGAGGGATTATATGCCTCGTGCCTGCTCCGGCTGCGGTGGGATTTCCTTCTCGATCTCAAGCTGTGGTCAGAGTCCAAGTCTTCATGACGTGCAACTCGAGAACTTGGACGTGCCGACAAGTGCCGTTTTGGCCCATTTGCATCCATCGGCGACAACAGAGTATTGCCGTTTTGAGCTCCCGCAGACAGCGTATTCGTCGGCGCGGATGGTCTGTAGGCATAAGGAGAAGGTGCACGGCCATGACCTGTGACCATCCCCTCGTGCCCTATACCAAGATCTGTCTGTAACCTTGGAATTTGGGGTCTTGCTTTGCGGGCCTCGTGCTCCGCAAGCCGGGTGGCAGATTTGGATCGCGGGATAGGCTCGGGCCGGTGCGCTGACTCCGTCTCCGAATCTTGAGAGGGAAGGTAGACGAATCTCTTTTCATGATTTGTGGCTGATGAAGAAGGATCCGTTCCACCCTCTGTTGAGGAAACATTGCCAGGCACCGGATTGAGGCAAGTTCCGGCTGTCTGTCCATCCGTGGGCGTGGTGCTCGGTTCCTGAGTGTCAATGATTATAGGAAACTGATCCACCGACCCGCGACTGGACGCCGGTTGGTCCTCGCTCTTCAAGTCACGCAGCTGGCTACCAGGTCCATGCTCCTTGGCCAGTGCCACATCTTCATCCTCGACGCAAGGGGATGGTGGCCACCGACGGGTCATTTCACTTTTGCTGAGAGAACAATGATTTCAAGAGGCATACACTCATTGCTGGAAGCTGCCTGTACAGCTACCCTCTTCCAGTGGATCCAACTTGCCAATCTTCCACGACGAAGAACTGAGGAGCCGAGGTGTGTTTGTAGTACTTTTTTCAGTCCGGAATCACCGTCACACGGTTGTTGGGCAAGCCCTGTCTTATAACGCAAATCCAGCCCGGGGCGTTCACGGTTGGGGCAGGCGATTTGGAAGGTTATGTGGAAGGCGCGGGCAGTGTAGGAGCGAGGACGGTCGGGATCGAAATCAGCACATCATCTGTGACAGGGCGGGCGAACTCATGGGAACCAGCGAACATACAAGGAGGACCGGAGCCAAGTAAGGATCGGTGTTGAGTTTTCCCTCAAACCTGAGACGTGTCACTGGACCACTTCGAGGAGAAGAAGAAGTATCCAAGAACCGTCGAGGGACGCGTGTCTGCTGAGGTACTGGTCAACAGCCTTTCAGGTTGTTGACGGTACAAAAGTGTAACCCTCAGTAGAAGGCATGTGAGAGTGGCTCTAGAACTGTAGCGGCGTCGATTGTCTAGTGCAGTGTGCTATAGACCAGGCCCTCTGGCGCAGTCAGCAATACTCAAAGGATACAGCACACGACGGATATGCGTTCTGGGCAGAGGGGCGGACGTTGCTGGCTGTGTTTGTGTGGCATCTGCAGTGTTTGAGGCGAAGTGGAGGTCATCAGTCAGTCCGGCCGTCATGTTACAGAAAGGCGGTGACCTCGGTAAGCAGCATCTTGGTCTGCAATTGTTTGCGATGGGAAACTCGATGAGAATGAAGCTGTCTTGTGCTGCAGACTTGCAACCCACGTTGGGAAGGTGTGGTCCTCCCGGTCTGTCGAGGACGGGTCGATTGGATGTAGAGTCGTGAAGCTGGGACTTTCGGTGAACATCCCACGCAACCTTCAAATCCTCTCTCGGTCTTTCTGCATCGTCGGCTACCGCAGCTTGCGCCTCACACACCTCTCATTAGCTGTATACAGCAGCGGTCGACGCCCGGCTGTGCCTAATGCCTAGTACCGGCGCCCATGCACCTCTTGCTTGCGGCTGCTTCGATCTTCTGCACGTTCAACGGGCGTGACTCGACTCGGCTTGGACCTGGCAAACGCTCCGCAACAAATAGCAGGATCCCTGTTCCTGAAGCACTGTCAACCTAAATGCAGTTACACACCCGCTGATCCAACCAGAACCATGTTTCGACGCCTTTTCGGCCGCTGCCAATGTCAATGATGATACAAGAAGAGGTGGGAAACTACGGGCCGCTGGTCAACGCATGACTGCTCAAGCATGACGAACCCAACCGGTGGCCTCTTCTACCGGCCCCTGCCGGTCTTCCCGTGCTTAACAGCCTCGAGAGAACCGGTGCTTACAAGGCATCGGATTCCCTCAGTCATACTTCGCTTATGCCCAGGACGCCATTTCCATTACTGCATAGTACTTCTGAGCATGTTCAAGCGAGGTGTGGCCGGGCAGGAGCAAGAGATATGAAAGCATATTAGTGACAGGTCGACGTCTGAAGATTGCAAGACTAAATCAGCTTCTACCACAAGGCAGCAGCTACCACTCCCTTTCAGCAGGGCACTGGCAGATCGCCGACTGGAGGATTCCCCCATGTATCCAACTGCAGAACAAGTGGCCAAACTATTCAACTGCAAGGGCAGTGCTGGAGCCAGTGGTAAGTGTCGCCATCGTTGCGGTGTCTGCCCAAGCCTTTTTGGCAATACATCAATGGCAGATACCTAGTACTCCCCTCTGATTGACTTCTTGCTGTCTCTGCATCCGCACCAGACTGTGCAGCAGCAATTTCTATTATGTTGCGGTTGATGCGCAATGAAACAAGAACGGTATGTTCCGAAACAATATTTGCAGTCCTCTCAGGCCACGAACTGGCAGCCTGCATGCGTGGACTTGAATGCAATCCACGAGTAATTCGGTATCAGGTGAGCCCATTGGTACGAAGTGGCCATCAGGCTTCTACATACTTAGGTACTTAGGTGTGACATTGTGGCTCGCTTACCAGGCAGGCCGGTTCAAAATGCTAGAAGGCGGCCACCACGGCACTTCATGTGAAGTTTTAACATGTTCATATTGCCTGCCACATCGGCTCTGCTATGCCCGATTATTCTCTACTTCTTACCGGCCAGTATCTCACGACGTGATCCAATCATTACTTTGTCTCAGCCTTCGGTGGCATACCGTTGTTCTACGATGGCCACTGCTATACCTCCCTATTTGCCTTGATCGATACGTTACACCGGTTAGGACCTCAGACCGAGGCATCGGTATAAGCCCTACAACTTGAAAGAATATATTAGTAGCGGAAGAACATGGAATCATGTCTGCTGTACAACGTTGTATCGAGATGGCTGCAGAGCTAAGCACACTTTGCAGAAACATTATGCTTTCTTTGTTGAAATCCGGATCATGACATGATACAGCTAAACATCGGTCATTGATGTGGCTCCCCGGGCTGCCATGTCGCCGTCAGCTCACCGACACGCTGCATTCATTACTTCAGAAGAGTCATGCCGGAACGAATGAGGGTAAGTTTTTCGGACACCGGCACGGCCAGGCATTGATGACCAACGGTCTTGTGGGAAAGAAGCTACTCAGACTGCTGTGGTATCCTACCTGGTAGTATTGGATGTGTGATGGTTAAGGGGAAAAGAAGAGCCGGACTCACGGCAGAGCAATTATTAAATAATAATAAAAATATTAAAATGCCAATGCCCAAAGAAATGCTTCTCTCCTCGTTGTCGCGGAACCCGCCAAACTCCCCGAGCTTTGCCCCGCATTGTGTCATCAACAGTTTGAACGGCAGTTAGGTAGTGAAATGTGTATGTGTGGAAAGATATCCAACTTGAAGCCGGCAACGGGATGCCGTACCTTAGGTACTAGTAGCTCCCGGGACTCGGACTGCTACAAGTCATACCTTACTACACACTCCTTGTGAGGACCAGGCACATGTGCCAGGTCAACAAAAAAACGAACTTGATCAGTACCGCAGTAGGCCACGCATCTCCCTTTCCAATTTCCGCTTCAGAGGAGCTTCCCACCCACCTGGGAAGGTAGGTATGGTTTCCTTTGCATCATCCGTGATCTCGCATCCGGTTCCCTGTACCTTCCGGAGCAACACCGCGACCTGCTTACGAATCCGAAGCAGGACAATTCCACAGATTCCACTCCTCTTGATCTTTCGTCCTGTTTCCCTTCCATCATGTCTCTTGCTCCCCTCCGCACTCGATTACCATCACTTTCGTCGCGGGCGTTAAATAAGGCCAGCTTAGACACCACTTCGACAGCCTCATCTCGACGCCTGCAAGCCGTCAGCTCTCATTTATTTTCCGCGCCCCTCTCTCGCCCTCACCCACAACAACCCGGGTCCCCCTTCACCTCCGTCCGCACCATGTCGTCAGTTCCATCGACAATGAAAGCCATTGTTGTCCCGCAGAATGGCGGGCCTGAAGTGCTACAATACAGCGAGTCTCACCCAGTCCCGCAACTGTCCGATGGCCAAGTGCTGATCAAAAACAATGTGTCGGGGGTCAACTTTATCGACACATACTTCCGCACCGGTTTGTACCCCGCGCCCGCGGGGTTCCCCATGATCCTAGGTCAAGAGGCCGCCGGCACAATCGCAAAGATCGAAGGCTCTAACCCATTGGGCTTCAAAGAAGGAGACCGGGTTGTCTGGATCTTCCGCGGTGGATATGCAGAATACACCGCCGTGCCCGCGGACCGGGTCGTGAAAATTCCTGCCGAGGTCTCGGACGAACATGCCGTCGGCGGCTTCCTGATGGGCATGACGGCATTGAGTCTGGTGCAAGAAGCATACCCAGCCAAGAAGGGTGACACTATCCTGGTCCACGCCGCAGCTGGCGGGATGGGGCTACTCCTGTGCCAGATCCTCCGCGACATGGGCGTCACTGTCATCGGCACCGCGGGCGGGCCGGAGAAGTGTGCGCTGGCCAAGGAGAACGGTGCAACCCATGTCATCGACTACAAAGCCACGGGCGGACCGAGCTGGGTAGAACAAGTCCTCAAACTAACCGGTGGCAAGGGCGTTGACTGTACCTATGACGGTGTTGGCAAGGACACTTGGGAGGGAGATCTAGAGGTGGCGAAGCGGAAGAGTAAGGTGGTGTATTTTGGAAATGGTAAGTCAAAACGGTCACATTCCTCGGTCCGAAGAGAGGAGCCCGTCATGATTTCATTTTCTGTTCTTCCTCGTCTCGTTGCAATACGCTACCACCGTGCTCCTCTTTGAATCTGTTGTTGCTAACGCAAATTGACCCACAGCAAGCGGTCCTGTTCCTCCGCTGAACATTGCCAAACTATCGGCCAAGAACGTCTCCATCATGCGCTCCACGCTGATGAACTATATCCTGACGCGGGAGGAATTGGAATTCTACGCCAACGGTGTCCTCGACCTGATCAAAGCCGGCAAACTTAACATCCGTATCCACAAGGTCTATCCGCTCAAGGATGCCGCTCAGGCACATAAGGATCTTGAGGGCAGAAAGACAACCGGGAAATTGTTGTTGAAAATCTAATCCGTATAACATTCAAAATCAATAAATTCATGATTATAACTCGAACGCTTTGAGTGTGTCTCCAAACAAGCCAGAAGCAATAATCGATCACATCGGCCGATATCCATAAAGTTAACAGCCTGAGCTCGTACGGGGCAGTCAGAATCTTGGTGAGAGACCGGACATACGACGTAACGGCGCTGCAACATACGCAAGCCCATTACACTGTGTTACTTTGACAGGAAAACCAGCTGTAGCTTGCCTGCGAGAGTACGACTGCAGACAGTCAGGACCCCCAGTAACATTACCTCGAGATGTACCTCTTTTTCATGCTCACTGGGTACGGTATTTCACAGCAGCTGATCATGATCATGATTTGCAAGGGACATTCACGTCCAGTCTGTTTCAAGGGCATGATTCAAGCTCACGAGATCGCAGGCTCATTGATTAGCATTGATTTGAATTGAACTGGAAGGCATACACCACTACAATTTGATTGTCAATTGCTAATCCCAGTCCGTGCGGATTTAGCAGTAGTCGCAGTAGTATCGCAGTAGTATCAGGACTCATAGTCCACAGGTCTGAGGTCTGCGTTGAAAACACCATGAGCTGGGTCTTCTCCTTCTGACCAGAACCACATCCAGTCCCATTCAAGTCCTGTCAAGACCATAATTAAACCAGTAGACGGGGCGACATTTCTCCAGTAACCCTCATGTCACGACCCCTGAGCACACGTGCCTCACACTAGGTATCCCATTCCGACGACTCTCGACCGACCGAGTATCTGGTCCGTCAAGCCGTACCAAAGCAAATACAAGCATTGAATCAATCCACTGTTTGTTGATCCGTTGGCGAAGAGAGAGAAAGCATTCAATACACTTGACAATATCGAGGCACTGGTACTAGTGTGGAGTTGGGACTGCAGATTCAGATTGAAGCTCAAGCTCTCCAAGGGAGACGAGCCTGAGGTGCTGCCGCACGAGGCTTCTCGAATCCGTGTCCGTACAGAGGTGTCACCAGCGCACCTAATATAGGAAAAAAGGTTAGTTGGGATGCTCTCTCTTCTCTCGGTCATTCTCTTCTTCGTTTTCGGTGGACTTACTTGTTTCAGAACATACACAACGTGGAGGGTAGTGACGATCTATGACAAAAAAAAGAGAAAAAGAAAAATGGTTAGCAATGGATTTCCCGGGTGAGAGGTGCCGGATGGTGGAGGGAGGGAGCAACAGGGAGGATTGTTGATGGTTGATGGTTGATATTGACTTACCTTGCTACCATCTTCCAATGGAGGAAGTTGTTCAGGTCCGTCGACTGGCGGATTTCGCATCAGGATGGCAAGGCGTTCGATCACTTGAGAAGTAGAACAAGAGGTTAACGAGCGTTGCTTTATGAAGAGTAAGGGGGAGACAAAGCCGTTCGTTCGCAGGGTGTATCACTGCAGAGATGGCCGAGTTGCAACCCATTATATAGGCAGCAAGCGAGAGGGGACACTTACCTCGGTCACACGAGCCTTCACAACATCCCGGACGGTGTCATAAACCTCATCCTCCATGTCACCGATGCCACCACGACGAGCAAGACGACTGCAGAAACAGTCTTGGTGTTAGTTCAGCTTCGATCAAAGTCTTTGCCACAACAGGTGGTTTTTTGTCTCTTCTTTTCCGAGCTTCTGGGGCGCCGTTGTACGGCTCGGGGGAGGAAACATACCGGATAGTTGGTTTGGCTGGATAGAGAGAACACAGACAGCATTAGTAATTTCGTCTCGAAGGAGGGAAAAAGCAGGTGGTAGTGATAGACTGGACTGGACTTACTGATTCCCTTGATGTTGTCGCGAAGTATGCGACGAGGACGACGACGAGGGCGAAAGGGGATTGACATTCCTTGTCCGATGGCGATTCCAGCTCCAGCTGTACCGCCAGCGCCAGCGCCAGCCTCGCCAGCGCCAGAGTCTGGGACGATGATGGGGGTTTCCTCTGCCATCTTGTTTGAATGGCGGCGATCAGAAAGACTCAGGTTCGGGCAATCTCGCATGTGCGAACTGGTTCGGAGAGGGAGATTGACAAGAGGGATGTGGAAGAGAGGAGTCGAGGTTGAAGGTAGGGAAGAGAGAGAGGTGAATGGGTGGAAGGAGGAAGAGGAAGTTGAGAGCAACAAGAGGAAGGGTGCAGGGTTAGGCCCAAAGAAGACTGCAGGAAAAGTGCAGAAGGGACGATGTCATAGACATGATTTGTGAGCATTGAGAGTGGAATGAAGTGATGATGATGCGGGTGATCAAGTGAGCTGAAAGCAAAACACCTGACTGATGAGTTTGCGGCGTCAAAGACCGCGAGTGTGCGAATCTGGGTGGTGGGTAGGCCTCCTGAATGTTGACAAGGTGCATGATGAGCGAAACGGAACGTCTTGGATCAGGATATTAGACATTAACAGGAGCTAGGTATCCAACAATTGGTCATCCAGCCTCCAATCTATCGGACATGCATCGTCTCTGGTCTCATTAGGATATGAAGGTCGCTTCGCAGAACAGTTGCCCAGGCTCTGTTATTTCCTCGTCCCCGATCTTCAACTTCAGGCTGAGTTGATCCTTTGAAGAATACTTTTGACGCGGTCAGTGTGTAATTCTGTCAAAAGCAACAGAAAGTACTTACCTGGAAGATATGTGGCTTCAAGCCAGTTGCGCCACTGATAAAAGACTTGACAAAGCCAGGCAAATGGGACAGCACATCGATCCGATCCGACCGAGCGGGCAGATCGCCTGTGATGTCTCCCGTGACCGGTTTGCCGCCCTGTTCTCCTTTCCATTCGAAAGCAACCGTCCTCGGTTCCGGCCAGTCATTCTCCGTCTCCTGATTCGACGTGACATGCTTCGCGGTACATTCACCGGCACATATCAGTTCGTTGTCTTTGGCAATCCCTCCTACAGAAACAACCGTTCTGCCGTATGATGCTGGGGTCGTATACTCCATGAGCACAGCTGAATACGTGGGTGTTTGAAAGTTAACAAAGTTCCATCTAGCCGCGAGATGGTGGGGTTTCATGCCCTGAAGTCCGTAGATATACAGTCCCCTGCCATCTATCTTGTATTGTTTCGTGGGTGTCTGCATGGTCCCAGTCACTGTACATCTCGGCCAGAAGGCATGTCGTAAAGAGCCCCATGGGTTTTCTGGGTCGGTGCCAAAGTAGCTGGTGCCATCCTCGCCCAACTGGAAGCCAGGCGCTGTTCGTTTCACAGTCAAATTGACAATGCAGTTTTCATTCACCGCCGACCTGATTGTGTAGGTGTCACCCGCCTCATTTAATTCCAACGCCAGGTTTTCCGCATAAAAGGACGTCTGGGGCTCGTCGAAGCCGTAGTCTGTCAACGGATCTGAACACCACAGGTGCTTTCCAGGGCCCTCGTGATCAAATATCTTGGTGTTGAATTGTGCAGTGGTGTGAATGCCGCTGTGTCTTTTTGTCAGCAATACAAGGCATGGAGGCTCTGGCGCACAAATTCTTACCCGACATTGCTGTAAATGACCTGCGCCATAGATACAGTCCCGTCGTCCGACATGAAGTAAAATGTCTCAGTCTCGACATTGGTGCTGTCCAGTGCCTTCCATTTCAGGTCGTTCTTATCAAGGATAGAGTACGGCTTTCGCTCAATCTGTTTGGTTACAGGCTGGATTGCGCTAGGCCCATATTCTGGTTCCTCAGTGCCGACGACATTCGCTAACTGTTGCTTGAACCAATTCATGTTGTTTAGAGAGATGTAGTATCGAGTCTAGGAAGTGACGCGCATGTAAATGGACTGTCTCGTGCGCAGGTATGTCGTCGGAAAAATACTTTGTGTTATTCAGGGTATGGATGCGCTCCAGGGGGGTGTTTTTGTCAGATTATTCAGACGTCACCACATGCAAATAATAAGGTGCACTCACTCTTTAGGAGCTTTGAAGCACAATTTTAAAGCCGCGGCGGCCAGTAGCAGGTTCCTGAAAAGCGGATAATGTCTGCTGCTCTCCAACTAGCAGAACGCTAGTGCTGATAGCCGGTTGTCTAGTTCTACTCTTCGGCGTCTAAGCTGCAAAGGGTAAGGAGCCAATGCTATCTTGCTCCGCCGTGGTCACGCTTCAAGTTCGTCTGCAGCCCTGAAGCTCAGTTTCTTGTCGGAGAAAAGTACTCAAGGAGCAATATCTCGACGCGCTGCCATCACCCACACGTCGCCAATCTATAATATTTTCATATTCGCGACTTGAATCCTCGGACGCTCCCTTTTGATCTTCCATCTGCAGCTCATATCTCTGGAATCCCGATCATCACGTTGTTGTACACGACCAAGCGCCCAGCATGTCTAGAAAAATACCAGCTCGCGACCAAGTGGTCAAATTGATTGTTGGTGCCGGTCAAGCAAGTCCCAGTCCTCCTGTTGGTCCGGCACTTGGTAGTAAAGGTGTCAAGAGTATGGATTTTTGCAAGGTAGGATGATGAAGGATCTTGTTCACATGGTGGCTTTGCTCATGCTCACGCTTGCAAAGGAATTCAATGCCCGTACCGCGCACATCACACCTGGGGTTCCTATCCCAGCCCGAGTCATCGTTCGCCCCGATCGCTCATTTACGTTCGAACTCCGGACGCCCATGACTTCTTGGCTTCTCCTCCGAGCCGCAGGCGTCAAAGAGATCAAGGGCAAAATTCGCGGCGCGCAGAAACCCGGAACCGAAACCGTTGGCACCGTCTCGCTTAAACACATTTATGAAATTGCCAAAATCAAACAAAGCGAACTGCGTCTTTCAGGTCTTAGCTTGGAGGGTCTATGCAAAAGCGTAATTTGGCAGTGCAAATCGATTGGCGTCAAGGTCGTGCCATGAGTTAGGGAGTTTCGATATGACAACTACCAAAGAACCTGGAGCATCCGTTACACTCTACCCAACACAAATACGCGTGCTCCGTGGGATCTCCTGCTGAAGCGGTACCGGGCTGTGTCGATCACTCAATCAAGAGACATGTCCGGTTAGCTTCCTGCAGAGGCTCGCACAAAGAACAAATACGCCCCTGGCGGAGTACGCCTGCATTTCACGATCTGCTGGCCTACGAGTCGACGTTGGACTCCGGCATCCGAAAGCACAGGTGCTTGGGCAACTCTACTCGGAACAAAGACCGGTGATCGGCTCCGGCGATTCCAAATGCGCTCCATTTCCTCCCTGGAGCGTCTCAAGCAGATCATTGACCAAGTCAATGTGTCTGGGGACGTTGTTCTCTCCGACAGTCCAGATACTTCACAACACAAGTGCTAGTACCGGCTTGATGAATGGGGTTGCTACTAGTACTAGCTTGTAGTGGTCAAGAGGGACCGAGAGAAACCCGAAGGTGGGCCTCTCGAAGGAAAGATACATCGAGGTTGGGGGTGAGCGTAGTCGAGCAGAGTGGTTCTCTTGACAGGGACCCCGACTTCTGTGCATGCATCACAAACTCAAGATGCTATATCCACTGCCCACTGCCCCATGGGGATAATAGCTGGATAGCTTAAAGAAAGACGCGATGAGACAGCTGGTGCAATCGCTGCAGTATCTGACGTCGCTTGAAGCGTCCAGTTGCTGAGCACGGCGGTTATGGGACGGCGGAAATGTACCTCGAGTGATATAACGTTGACGTCTGTACAACTCTTCTCATCAGAATATAGCTGTGCCTAAGGATGACAAGATAGTAGTACCAGATAATCTCCACTGATCCGACAAATACACCTACACTGCCTAGGTACAAAGGCAATCTCAGAGATGACGTTGGGTTTCCTCGGAGAAAGAGGTCCAGGATAGAACCTCTCCTCGTAGCCGTCGGTTGTCGAATGCGAGCTACAGTACTACTAGTCCCCAGTTACTGCAAATCATGTCATCCTCGTGCCCGGCAGAGCCGGATTACAGCTGAAGGTTAAACAGCGCAAGCCGCGGCGGTAAGGCTTCCGAGGAACGATTTACCTTCAAGCCATAAAGAAATGCAATGCAGTTCAGTCAGACACCAGGTCTAGTTGATGACCATTCAGGGGCCGTAGATACCAGGTACCGGGTAAGGAGCGCAAATCGTGGTAAAGGGCTATTCGCCAGTTGCGCCGCCAGGGTCTGTTCCGTCCAGGCAACGACTTGTTCAAGCAATGCCTATAATGATGGCGATGGTTAGCGGTTGGTGTCCATAAGACAAGGTTCAGGTCTACGGTGCTAGGGACGTTATAGTAGCAGACAGACGGGTGGCATTTTATTGATTCGCGGTCGAATTGACCAGTTTAGCGGTTTGTCTGGCTCGTGCTCGTATCGAACTGCTGGCATGGGCTCAGATCAAAAGTCGGCTTGTTCAGCCCAGCAGGAGTACGACCGGGGGCAGCAGCAATACCAGTACTAGCAGTCAGTGGCGGGGCAAATTCTGAACATCCCACTGCACCCAAGGCCTGAGTCAGATCCCTCAGCCCGTCAGCTTTGCTTTGTCTACAACTAGCAACAATCCAGAAGCAGCAGAAAGACCGATAGTAGTATAGATGACAGCCTGAGGCAGTCGGATCCAATATCCCTGTACTAGTACCGCCTGTACCGCGGGCTGACTTCACATTGGGGATCTTCGGGGACTTTTAAGAAGTCTGGCACTGACTTCTACTACCACGACACCACAAACCACATCCACGGCCACTGCGGTGCTGCTCAAATATTTCTTTGCCCTCAGTTTGTCGCCGCCTTCATATGCCACAGTCGCAAGCCTTTTCGCTGTCTGTCTCACTTCACCCAGTCCTCCTCGCTCCACCGGTCCGCCTCCCTCCTACTTCTCGTTCGCCTTGACGGACGCGTGTATCTAAATCTCGCATTCTAACATATGTGAGTTACCTCCGGCTCCACTGGTCCGACCAATGCTCTTTCTTCCCGCCTTACTTAGCTCATCTGTTCCCTGCGTTCCAGTCTGCCAGTGGCAGTCTTGTACTGCATCTCCCGATCATTTCTAACGTCAAGCCTCTCAGATTCTTTGTCTGTGCCCCTACGAGGTCATCCTGGAGAATCGACATTCCTCAGCTTGTCGCTCGTTCATGTAGTCACTCGTTTTTTTCTCCCTCAGCGATATCCCCGAACCACCTGAAGCCTCGACACGATGACCTCGAAACTATCGGCCATGTTTTTCCCTGGAGGTGACTCAAAGAAAGAAAAGGGTATTGATGTCTTCAACATGCAGAACCTGGGGCGGAGGCTGACTTCGGTGTCCTAGGCTCGAATGAAGACCAGGGTGATCTACCAGAGAACACAGAAAACACGCAATCTTCACAACCCAACGTGCGGTTTGCTTCGCAAAACGAGGAAATAGATCCGGTCGATGACACAAGGCGGAAGATACCTCAGGCTGACGAGGCGGAAGATCAAGAGCTCACCCCGGAAGCCCACGAGCAGATCAGAAATCTTGCAATGTCACTCCAGAAGTCGAGGTTACAAGAAAACCGAATGTCAAACTTTGCCTACGAAGCGGTGTCAATGCCGCCCTCTCGAGTATGTGTTGCGTGGTTTTCTAAACTGCGAAGCTATTGCTGACGAGACACCCAGGTCCCTTCCAGAGATAGTGATTCGCCTCAAACTCCGCGTGGATCAGTAGGCCACGGCCATGGTTCGGTATCCTCAACATTTCAGTCTCCTCCATTGACACCTCACGGTTCCAAAGACGGCCGAAATGATACAGGCCCGGCGCCCCGAGGCCAGCAAGCGTCAAATGCCATCACCCCTCAAACCTCTCCTCCTCCAGATGCACACGGCCGAGCTTTATCTCACTCAATATCTCCGACACAAGTGCCCGGATCGAAGCCCCCTCCCTCCGAGCAACAACAAATTGGAAAGCCCGAAGCAGGACACCACAAAGTGATACCCAGGTTCGAGATTGGGCCGTCGGAGTCAGCAAGTCCTACGGATGAGAGTCCTGCTGGAACCCCGAAACTTCGCCCGTCGGAACCGTCACAGGAAGTGAGACCGCCGACCCCCAAGGTCGAACAGCCTCAACCAAGAGCTGGACCACCCGAGCACAGGCACTTTGGAAGTACAGGAAAGAATTCATTGGCACCCGCCATCGCCGCCGCAGCCGAGAGGATTCCCCGAGCGGGTAGTAGTAGCGATCTTTTGGGTTCAGAGAAGCGGTCGATCTTTGGAAGCAAGAAAGACCCCTACGGTTACCTTAGTGACGCTGGTAGTGAGAAGAGTGGATTGGGCGAGAGGAAACATGGTTCAATGTCCGAACTGAAGCGTTTCTTTAGGCTGGGCGGCCATGGTCACAAACACAAGCATCATCATGGTACCAGCACTCCCAGAGACGAATCTCCAGCTTCCTCAGTTCCACCTTCCCGAAAGTCGACGAAATCTGGCACCAGGACGCCACCTCATCAGGCACCTCCTGCGAATGTTCCCTTTATGGATGAGCATAGCCTCGAGGCCAAGTACGGTAAATTCGGCAAAGTGCTGGGATCGGGTGCGGGAGGCTCTGTCCGGCTGCTGAAACGCAGTAGTGACGGCGTTACCTTTGCAGTCAAGCAGTTCCGAGAAAGGCATTCGTGGGAAAGCGAGAAGGATTACAACAAGAAGGTCACGGCCGAATTCTGTATCGGTTCGACATTGCACCATGGCAACATCATTGAAACCATGGACATCATCCACGAAAATAACCGATGGTACGAAGTGATGGAGTATGCCCCGTATGACTTGTTCGCCATTGTCATGACCGGGAAAATGACACGAGAAGAGATTGCATGTGCCTTTTTGCAGATCGTCAACGGTGTGAGCTACCTACACAGTATGGGTCTGGCACATCGTGATCTCAAGCTGGATAACGTGGTGGTGAGCGAACACGGGATCATGAAATTGATCGACTTTGGCAGTGCAACAGTGTTCAGGTATCCGTTTGAGAACGAGATCGTCCTCGCTTCCGGTAAGTTTCTTTTGGCTCCAGTGGAAGCACACGATGGCTGATAGTTTTTCCAGGTATCGTCGGATCCGATCCTTACCTTGCCCCCGAGGTCTACGAGGAGAAAAAGTACGATCCCACCGCCACGGACATCTGGTCCCTTGCCATCATCTTCTGCTGCATGTCGTTACGCAGGTTCCCGTGGAAGCAGCCACGGCTTGTCGACAATTCGTATCGACTTTTTGTTGCAACACCCACACCAGGCACGCCTGTCCCTGACTCCCGTCCTCGGAAATCTGCCCGCCTGATTACCCCTTCGGAGGACAGTCGTCGAAATTCATCAGAGACCCAGGATGGCTCTTCCTCGCATCACCATCAGCATCATTCGGACAACACAGGGAGTGAGTCACGACCCTCGACTTCCGGCGGAGACAAGCAAGAAGTGATCAAAGGTCCATGGCGACTACTTCGCATTCTCCCGCGTGAAAGTCGACATATCATCGGCCGAATGCTCAAGGTCGATCCTGCCGAACGGGCCACCATGGATGAGGTTCTTGAGGATGACTGGGTGCTGAGCTCCCAAGTTTGTTACCAGGAGGAAAATGGCGTGGTTCACCGCGCGCAAAATCACACGCATATTCTAGAGGCCGGGTCGGGGGGCCCTCCCCCAGCGAAGGTGTAAGGGTTACGGTTGAATCTTATGAACTGGGAGGGTTGGCTTCTGTGCACGTTTGGTTGGATATGTTCAAAGTTACAGCATGACGGTTACGGGTTTGACGAGTTAGATGTATTTTGAAAGGTTGAGCCGGCAACGAGCAGCCATGAACAGAGTCCGGTCAAGGATACAAGACTGCCAGTGCTGCAGACTGACCAATATAGCGGGCAGTCATTGGAGCAAAAAAGGCATATCATCCTGCTGTTGAAAAATGTAGATATTCGTGATCATGATACGCGGCATTCAAGTTGAGAGATGATTCAGTTGAAATGGGTATGTAGAGTAAAGACCTTTCCTCACTCCCACCATATCTACTGTGTACATATACTCTGGGCTGTGCTAGTCTGTATCCATGATACCTCACTGCCAGCGTGTGCGCCAAACTTGAAGATGCGGAATGACGGAGCGCGAGGGGCTGTCAGGCTTCGGGCTAATCAACCCCGGGTCTGTTATAGTACGGACCCATGCAGTGCCATGCAGTGCCACGCATTCCCACCCCGGCTTCTAGAACAGCAACTCTACCTGCGTACCACCTGCGACTAGTTCAAGGTCCCTGGGAACTAAAGTACCTCTGTACCACCTTCAACTCTGTACGTTCAGCCGACAGCTAGCCCCTCGCGGAGGAACAGTCCTTCCGCAACAGTTCCTCGAGACTTCGCTCATTTGACATCTCCCACTAACACCGGTCGCGGAACCAAGACTCGATAAGCACTAGACTTTGCGGCGACAATGGCTGGTTGAGGCTACACCTTTCACAGAGACATACTGGGAGCTGAGGCCTGGAAACTACCCGCATATGGCCAAGAAGAAGCGGCAAAGAATAAGCTATGGTCAGTCCACTGTGTTGCTTCATGCGGGGAGTTAGCACTTGAACTCGCGCATGCTGACGGACAATCAACCATAGTCTTGCCTCTGGCAAGTACACCGGGAGGGCACCGACTAGGTGTGAACGGACTGGCGTTCGACGACGACCGCAATATCTTGTACGCATCCCCCGCTCCGTGAGCTGAGGCTATATACTCGAACAGAACACTGAGAACTAATTATAGATACACCGGCGGGCGCGATGGCGTGGTGTGCGCCTGGGATCTCCACCTAGACGCGCAGCAAAGAGCCGTCAACACAGACGCAGCAAGGGAGAAAAAGAGCACTGTCAACTTCCGCAAGCAGGTGCAGGCGCATACCCACTGGGTGAATGATATAGTCCTGGTAAAGAACAACCTGGGGCTGGTGTCGGCGTCCTCGGACGTGACGGTCAAATTATGGCGACCGCATGGCCACGAAACCGCCCAAGCATATACTATCGGGTCCCATAGCGACTATATCAAATGCCTGGCCACTCCAGACCGGACGTCTGACTGGGTTGCGTCTGGCGGGCTGGATCACAAAATCTGCCTGTGGGATCTCAGCGGAGCCGGCAAGACACTCGAAATCAATGTCGGCAATGCGGGCGATGTGGTCAAGGGTTCTGTCTACGCACTCCGCGCTCGAGGGTCGCTGCTTGCGAGTGGAGGGCCTGAAAGTGTGGTTCGACTTTGGGACGCAAAGTCGGGAAAAGGCATCACCAAGCTCGTCGGACATACCGACAATGTGCGCGACATCCTGATCAGTGATGATGGCGATACCTTGCTCACTGCGTCGTCGGACCAAACCATCAAGGTCTGGTCGATTGCTGCCGGGCGGTGTATCCATACCCTGACCATGCACAACGACAGCGTCTGGTGCATGTACTCGAACGACCCGAACTTGGCCGTCTTCTATTCTGGCGACAAGTCTGGGCTTGTGGCAAAGACGGATACTCGCCGGGCTATGGAAATTGATGAGGGCGTGTCGGTCGCCGTGTGTCAAGAACATGATGGCATTACTCGTGTGTTACCGGTGGGGAATTCGGTTTGGACGGCCACTTCGAGCTCCAGTGTCAACCGTTGGCTTGACGTTGATACCGAGCTCGAAGTCGAAACCCCGCCTGCCTCGCCGCGTCAGGAGCGTACATTGAGTACAGACACAAGGAGCCACCTGTCACCAGAACCGCCGGAATCTCCAGGGCCCACCACGAACGGGGACAATGGCAAGAAGAAGATACCGCATAATGCCGTCCTGCGCATCTCCAACACTGCTCCACATCCGGGCAGGAAGAATATCGGCAGACTGCCCAATGTCTCGGTGACGAACGTTAGAAAGCCATCCGAAGCCATGATTGCGGATGATTTGAGTCTTGTCGTTCCTCTCCGGGGTCAACCTGCGGAAACCATCGAGGGACAGAATGGGTTGATCAAGCACGTGATGCTTAACGACAAGAAGAGGATCTTGACTTTGGACACGGCTGGTGAGGTTGTTCTCTGGGATCTATTGAAGGTGAGTTCCACAATCCTGAGTGTCCTGGTATTCAACTAACCACGAGTAGTGTGTCCCGATCAAGTCTTTCGGTCGTCGTCATCTTGACGAGGTCGTGCCGGAAGTGAACACCACGGAAAGTGTGGCCAATTGGTGCGCTGTGGACACGAAGACCGGCAAGATTACCGTCATGCTGGAAGAAAACTACTGCTTTGATGCCGAGGTGTATGCCGACGAGCTCGATTTGCCCAAGGACATTGTCTTCCGAGAGGATCAAAGAAGTGAGTACAGCCGTCACACACCCCAGAAGTGCAAAAGTTGCCCATGGCTAACTCCTTAATGTCCCCTTTCAGTCAATCTCGGGAAATGGGTACTACGCAACCTCTTTTCGAAACTGCTAGACGAAGAGATAGCCCGGGATCAGACCTATAGAAGCACTCTTCGAAGCCAACAGCCTCCAAACAGCGGCCTCAGTCGTCCAGGCGCGCCGACCAGCATCACTATGCCCGAGTCTCTCGGAAGCACCCCAATGGTATCTCCCGGGACCATGCCCACGCCGCGGGCGTCTCATAACGGCCATTCTGCCGTGCCTGCAACTCCCAACCTCGGGATCGGAGCTGCGACGCCAGGCTTCGCTCCGTTAAGTGCCACCTTACCGCCCACGGTGGAGGAAGTAAGTCGACAGCAAACTAATGGAGCGGAGCGGTCAGTGCAGCCCACTCCTACAGCCACAGATACACAGCACGACTATTTCTCGTCGACAAGTAGTTACAATAACAACGCTGCCAACGCCAACAATGCCCACGGTCATAACCAAACTGAGGCATCCTCGGAGAGTAACAAAATGCCCGAGACGCCGGGGGCCACCGAGCAGGCCATGCTCGCCACGCCAACTTCTCCGACGGAAGAAAAGAAAAAGGGACTCTTTGGCAAGAAGTTCCCCATGACTTTCCCCAAAAAGTTGTCTACCAGAACATCCACCGAAGTCAAGCCTCCTGTCACCACCGAGGAGAAATCGGACACTGCGTCCTTCAAGTCGTCGGAGAAAGAGGAGAAAATCATCGAAGACAACCTCTTCGGAGTTATACAGAAGATCCGTCAGGAATATGAAGACCATCTAGACTCGAAACCGGACCAACCTCTGCCGCCGGGCATCACTCCCAGCTTGCCCGTGGAGACACCAGTCTTGACCCCGCCGCCTCACACGACAATCATTATTCAGGAAGACAACCCGGAGTCCGGTGGGTTGGCAGACCAGTATCGTGGCGAAATCGGCAATTTAGGCGAGGAGGCGGACACGCTGGAGAAGATTGCGCCCATGTGGTTGGGAGACTTGTTGCTCAAGGTACGTACCAGCGTTTCGCTTGGAGATCACAGATCTGAACTCCAAGAGAGACCGCGTTGCTTCGTTGTGCGTATGCGTGCTAACCTATGTGATTAGAATCAAATCCCGTACAAGGACACAGTCAAAGTCTCATTCGTTCTACACCCTTACGACAATCAATTGCCGGCCATTTCCTCACCTGACGGCAATGCCCGCCTGAATGCGAACCGCATGCTGCGCGCGAAAAAGATCATGGCTTATGTTGCGGAGAGGATCGAGGCTCCTCCTTCTCCGCCTCATCCTGGTCATCATTCTTTCTTTCCGCATTTGCACTCACACTCCCATTCACACTCGCACTCACCCCATACGCCTGTGACCACTGACTCGGAGGGACATGAGAGTGGTGGTGGTGATGATGATGACCATACTAAAATCGGCGCAGCAGGTACAGGCACAGCAGAGACCCTTCCATCCTCTTCGTCTTCTTCCTTTGCCGCCGCGCCCGCCGCCGCGACGGCCGCGGATGAGAAGGACAAGGACAACAATCTGAAGCCAGAGGAGTATCTCGAATTATACTGTCAAGGCCAACGCGTCGATCCCAACACCACCCTTGCGACGTTGCGCGTGCATGTCTGGCGGACGGGCGGGGATGTGGTGCTCTACTACAAGAGTAATGGAAGGAAGAAGCTGAGGCTACCCCATCCTGCCGACGTGCCGAGTAGAGAGGAGAGTGAAGAGCATACCGGGGTGGTGAGGTAGAATCGAATAAATAGCCAAACAGCTGAGGATAGGAGAGACGGGAAAGACGGCAAAGGCGGCTACGGTACTGTACCTACGTCTGCCAGTGGTGGGTAGAAGGAAATACCTACAATGTAAGTAGTATCCAGGGGTAGGAAACGATGATGAAGAGGTCCAACACGTGCAGTACTGTACGAGGCACAATGTAAGCGTTACACAGTATAACAGTAGCATGTTGTAGTTGGCAGCCCGATCCGGGGTCGAGATCTCAACTTGAAGTTGGAATCTGGATTGACGTCATGGGAGAATCCTCTACCATCAGGTACACTGTATTGACTCCGAGTCATTCGACTGACTGCAGAGGTTGCTGGAACGAACTTGAACTCGGGTAACCAGAGTTTCTTCTGGCTTCGTTGCTGTCGAAACCACCTGAATGCCTCTTAAGATGCGGTGCAAGCAACTAAAAATAATACGAGTCATCAGAGGGAAGGGTTGTAGTAGTACAGTACAACAGACTCAGCCGGATCTCCGCGGGTCAGAATGGCAGTCTCGGAATGCGGAATGCCCTTCGAGATGTTTCCCCTGTTCTGCCGGCCGGCCGATCCGATCAGTGACACCCAGGGAAAATCAGATGAGAGAAAGAGATGCTGGGCAGGGCAGGGCAGGGCAGGGCAGGGCAGGGCAGGGCAGTGCCTGTCGTTGAAAGTTTTGATCATGCCAGTCAGTGTGTCGATGCGATGATGATCATGACGCGTTCGGAAGTTGTATCCTTAGCAGGTTTCTGGAGAGACTGGCATTGAGTAGCAGGGCATCTCACCAGGGCTCATCAGCTGTGGCATGCAATGATGAATCGGAGAAATCAACACGCAAAGCTTACCTCATCACTAAATTCTTAAACACAGCCCTCGATGACCCGTCAAGTTGTGTGTGTCCCTGTGGCAGCCGCTTCTTCCGGAAGGATCGACAGGTGAAGTCGGCATCTGGCAGTGTTTACATCTGCATCAGGTTCTGCATCTCCAGCTGCAGTGCCCGAGTGCCAACCTCCCCAAGACCATCATACTAGTACGAGAAGTAGACGGTACTACCAGCTGAACGATCCCCGGCGATTCCTGCCTCCCTTTCGATTGTTGCATTCCGCGGTCTTCCTCAGACTCGACATCTGCCAAACACAAACACATATATTCCTAACACAGTCCTCGCTGTTACCTCTTCTTCCTCCCCACATTATTGTCGTTCAATCCATCGACAACCAAACCCTAGAACTCAAACCTGTCCACCTGCCCATTACCCTACTCGACCCCAGCGCAGTCATCACGTCTCTTCGCATCGCTGGCCTCGAATGTAAACGGACCATGTTGACCTCTACGAATCCGGCCGTCACGGCCTACAAAGTCTACCACCTTTCTCAAATCAAACTCGACAATGAATGCCGCCGCCAGACACCCGACCTCCACCGCATTGTCTGCCATGCATCCATCGTGGACAACATCCGGCGATGGTCTCGTGAGCTCGCGGAACCTCCAGAAACAGTGCTCGTGGACTCTGAATCCGATACGGATTCGGATCCTTTCGAAGATCCAGCATCTGACGAGGAATCCGAGGACACCATCCCCTTGGGCAAAGTAACAATCTACGATGGCGACACCCATGACAACGACGAGTACCAGCAATACCACGCCGATAATGATGCCCAGGCCATCCAGACGGAGAAGACCCAAGACCAAGATTCGAAATCATCTATTCCTAGCCCCAAACGCCGGCCTCCCCCGCCTCCTCCAGCCACTTCGTGCTATGAATTCAAGAGCATCGATTGGAAACAGAATCGACCCATTCTAGTCAGGGAGATCGCCATCGAGGTGGACGAAGACGATGAAGACTAGACCATCTCGAGAGGCCCAATCTTTCCCTTCAACACCAACATGCTACGAGTTCGACGAAGTTACGACCACGGGTCTTGGTGATGAGATTGTGAGAAAACTCCAAGGCAGGATCCTTGATCTGGGCACGAGCCTGCGATCGGCGCGGCTTAACACCGGCGCTGCGAGGTGACAGGCCTTAGTGCCCTGTCAATGTAACCGAGCCTGTATGAGCGCAACTTTCCCCCAGACTTCCAAGCCGGCCTAAAGCCTGCGGCTCCTCAAGCCCGAACCCCACGCAAATCCATTGGCCGCACTCACCATCGAACCTTGAATCTGAACAACCCCAACTTGACTGCCCAGCTACTGCCTACACCGCCTACAGATGACGGTGGACAGAAGTGCATTGTTGCCGACAGGCATGTGACCTTTCCTGCTGGCTTGGTTTCACTCCCTCCGGTCTGCTGGCAATCGACCTTGACTGCGCAGGATCTGGCTCCTCTTCACCTCTGTGCGCCACGTCAACCATACCGATGTTGATCGGTCAAGAAACGAACCAAACCTTGACGAAAGCGGTGCGGAGGGAAGAAGAAACGAAATGCCAACTTTACCACATCACCTTGTACAATCCCTACCGTACCGTGGTAACTTACCACGACACTACTGACGAGCTCCACGAACCATGAACTTTCAGTTTTGATACCCCAAGAGCGTATGAAATTGGTTTTTTGTGATCGCGATTTGCGGTTTGGCGTTGATTTACATCTACTACTAAACAATTCATAATCCATATTTTATGAGTTCAACAGAGATTGAAATATCAAAATATCAAACATGACAAATGAACTATTATAATTCAGTCCTTGCCTGTAGCTGAATATGCAAGCCAACCCAAACACTAGCATCTACTACACTCTATGTTCGCTGTCCATCTGTCACGGTTCTTTCGTAGTGTTATGTTTTCCAAGCTTAACAAAATCGCACGCCTTACAGCCATTATCGTTGTCAAGATTGAATTACTTATTCAAGTGCATGCTAACTTCTGCCCATGCGGTGATGTATTGCAGGTCTTGAAAGTCCTAAAGTGTACGATCTATGAGATATAGTGGTTCTTCTTCTTCTAGTAGTCGCCAACCACTGCAACCAACAAGCCGACCACAGCCAGCAACCACCTTTCCTTTCTTTTCGTTTTTTCTTTTCGATTCATCATCTGGAGCTGGACCCAGAGACATTGGTTGACGTTTTATGGTCGTGACGTGCTACTTCTTATGCAGAGGCTTCGTCGAGATCTTGACGCCCTGAGGATGCCGCACGCTCTGCCACACGCTCGGGGAGACTTTGACGGGCAACTTGCGGCCCTTGAGGCGCTGGTCGATCAGCCACATGCCGACCACGAATTCTTCGCGGTTCAGAGCCGTGGCGCCAGGGCGGGCGACTAGATCCCACACTTCCTCGAGCACGTCTCGAGGTAAGCGGCTGCGTTCCCAGATATCGCGGACCACGACGTTGACGACTAGTTCGCTTGGGGACACGGACGACGTTGCCCTGAGAGGCTGCTGCTGTTGTTGCTGTTGCTGTCCTTGTTGTGACTGTGGTTCTGATTTTTCGGCGCTTCCCTCAAGAATGGCCAGGTCCAAATCAACCAGCAGACCCTTGTTGGCCGCCCAGACGCCTTCGTAGCGTTTGCGCTCGCGTTCCGTGACCCGGTCGCGCCATCGCTTGCGGTCACCTTCGTGGTGCATGTTGGGATGACGTCTCCAGTGCCGCCGACCTCGTTTGTGGGGTTCTTCCTCTTTCTCATCGTGGCCCGGTGAATGGTTCCGCAATGTCTGCCTCATAGGCCGCGGAGGTCGTGGTTTGGACTTGTTGGACGTCTGCGATCCCGATCCATTTTTGCTGTCATCACCGCCCAGTCCGAGAAATGGTATGTGCGGCTTGGCTCCTTCAAATAAACTTGCTGACCGAGACCGTCGCCGCGGTTTTGGTGGAGGAGGTGGTGCTGCTGCTTGAGATGAGGTGGGCGAAGCTACGCGCGATGCAAGGTTAGATGCGACCATGGCATCGGCCAGCGAGCTTGCTGTCATCTTCGTACGTGCGTCCAGGACCGGTGGCTCAGAGTGGTTGCCATTGGCTCGGTCCTGAGCGACGATTGCCGCCCGGCTCGGCCTGACTGGAAGAGGTGCTGGAAGAGGATCTGGCTGCGGATCTGGAATAGACTCAATGTCACGCGGAGAGGCTGTTTCCGCTGGTGTATCTGGAGGAGACAACTTGATTTGTGGCCAGTTTGAGCCCGTGGCCGAGGGCGGCGATCGTGCTGCGTTCCCGAAGAATGGTTCATGCCGCACACTCTCGTCGTCAGCAGCGGATTCGGCTCGTCTCCTCGCTGCTGCATCTGCGGCATTCCTAGTGGCCATGGCGGCAGCGGCTGTTCCAGACGGGGATGGAGACGGACTGGATCCAGAAGAAGGTTGGGACGACGAAACAAACAAGTGGCTGATACCGCTCAAGTCATTCTTGGGCTTGTCCACATGTACGCCCTGGCCATGGACTGAAGGATGCGCCATTGAAGCAATCGCTCCAGCAAGAGCATCAGGGCTCTTTTGGAGAGCAATTGCATTTTCGCTATGCGTGCTGCTGGTGCTTATCGACCGCGGTCTGGTTTCCCGTGTCGGCTCTGGCGTGGACAGATATGACGATGCTGCTCCCTCTTTTGGCTCTGGCTCGCGAGAAGGACTCGTAGCGGCCGATGCTGCAACCGCAGCGACGGCAGATGTGGACTGAGGAGGATGCGGCTGGAGACCAGGCTGCGGAGGTGACGCGGACGACAAAGTCGCAGCGGCAAGGGAGGCATTCTCGGTATGCGGTTGGCGACCGCGGGTCGGTATAGCTAGGTCTCGGGAGGAAAGGCCACCATTTGAAGCATTTTGGCCATGCTGCTGCGGAGGCTGCGGATGCTGCTTCTTGCTGGCGGCGGCGGTCGCTGCAAGCAATGCTCCTGCGGACGGATTGTGGGAGGTTGCAACAGTAGAGATCTTCGCTGGCCCAGGACCGAAAGCCAAAGTGGCCCCTTGAAGGGCAGACGAAGGTAATGGCGATATCTTCACCGTGGCAGCATCTTGCTTGATGAACGATGGCTTTGGCGCCACAGGTGGACGCCGTGCCTGCTTCTCACTCATCAATCCATGGGATCATGCGCGTACACAGATGCGCAAGCATCAACAGCAAACTCGATGCAACGAGCGTTGAAAGTCGGGTCAGCTCTATTGATACAGACGTGATAACAAGGAGAAAGTAACTCCCATGATTGTCGAAAGTTTAATAAAAAGCATGAACCAGAAGGAATGTTGACAGGAGACAACCTGTCGACAGGAACCGGTGGAGAGTTCAGTTGTCAGCCTCAAGCTTCCGTTGTCAAAATCGCAGGTTGCAGCTGATCGGCCGCAGTCATCCGAGAATAGATAGTGATCACATGACCGCGTGTGCTGCTTAATATCACGCGTTACGTGTCGCGTCAGGATTGTCATGTGACGTATTATGTCAGTGATATTACGGCAGTACTACCAGATGGTTCACTAATCGCAACCTCAGAGTGATTCCCAGCATCTTGACAACGCCACATCTACCAAGGTAGAAACTGTCCTAGAGGCATTGGGGTCCTTCAGGTCTGTCCATAGTTTCTCGTTTCATCTGTTTGGGACATAGCACCAGGTAAGGCTCACGCGCCGGTCGAAGTGTGCCAACGTCCATACATGTCTCGATAGCCATCAACTGTCTAGATGAAATGTCTGATGACGGAGGTTCTGACGGCGCTTCGGCGCATCGAGTCCCAAACGAAGATGCTACAGAACTAGAAAGACGGCTAGAGGAAGAGTATCCGAACCGGCCCAGGAATCATTCTCCCACGCTTCCATTCCACACCCTGTTCCGAGACCTGTTCAATCCTCTTATCGAGAACAGAGCAAACAAACCCGGTACAACCATTGCCAACCGCCGGAAGGTAGGCCCAAATGCCTCAAATAGTGTCTCTCCATCGGAAAGGCGCCGAGCGATCATTGAACGATATATTGCTCGGTGGCGGCGAGATGTCGGAAACGATTTCTATCCCGCAATGCGCCTCATCATTCCCGACAAGGACCGCGAACGGGGAGTTTACGGTCTGAAGGAGAAGATCCTGGGTAAACTGCTGGTAAAGATCATGAAGATCGACAAGAATTCCGAGGACGGCTTCAATCTCCTGCACTGGAAGATCCCCAGCCAAAGCAAATCTGCTGGAGATTTTGCCGTGCGATGCTACGAGGTCATATCGAAAAGGCCGATGAGAATCGAAGTGGGAGATATGACCATCGAAGAGGTGAACGAGCTTCTAGACAAATTGTCCGCAGCCCCAAGAGAAGAACACCAGTTGCCTATCCTAACCGAATTCTACAAGCGTATGAATGCTGAGGAGCTCATGTGGCTGATCCGGATCATCCTACGACAAATGAAAGTGGGCGCCACTGAAAAGACCTTCTTCCACATCTTTCATCCCGATGCCGAAACTCTTTTCAATGTGTCCAGCAATCTTCGTAGAGTGTGTTGGGAACTCTACGATCCCAGCATCCGGCTCGAAGGTGACGAAGCCGGGGTAATGCTTATGGAATGCTTCCAGCCCCAACTTGCTCAGTACAATATGGAATCACTCCAGAAGATCGTTCAGAGAATGCGACCGACCGAAGAGGATGACGAATTCTGGATTGAGGAGAAATTGGACGGCGAGCGTATGCAACTGCATATGATAACCGATGACTCGATAGAAGGAGGGAGGCGATTTCAATTTTGGTCCAGAAAGGCGAAAGACTATACTTACCTGTACGGCAAAGGGTTTTATGATAGAGAAGGGGCTTTGACACAGTTCATCAAGGACGCCTTCCGGCCCGATGTTGAAAACATCATCTTGGACGGCGAAATGATTACATGGGACCCCGAACAAGATGCCCCAGTGCCTTTCGGGACGCTGAAAACCGCCGCTCTTGCCGAACAACGCAACCCCTTTGCGGGAGGGCAGAGACCACTCTTCCGGGTTTTCGATATTCTTTTGTTGAATGGTCAGAATCTGACCAGGTATACTCTCAGAGACCGGCGGAAGGCATTGGAAGCGAGTGTCAAGTCAGTGCCCCGCCGCATAGAACTTCATGAATACAAGGTAGGGAGAACAGTGGAGGACGTCGAGAATTGCCTCCGTGAGGTTGTTGCCCAAGCATCAGAAGGGCTGATGCTCAAAAACCCGCGCTCCGCATACCGCCTCGACGATCGTAATGGGGACTGGCAGAAGGTCAAACCAGAATACATGACGGGACTTGGTGAATCCTTTGATTGTTTAATCATCGGCGCATTTTACGGCTCTGGTCGACGTGGAGGGAAACTGTCGAGTTTCCTCTGCGGTCTACGTGCTCCAGCCAACTACAAGAGCCCATTTCAGAGTCAGAATCGTCGACAATCTCAAGTGCAAAGTCAGAGCCAGAGTCAGGCTCAACCGGAAGGGGACGAGCCGTCGCAAAAGTTTGTATCGTTCTTCAAGGTTGGTGGAGGGATGACTGCCAACGATTATGCCACCATTCAACATGAAACCGACGGCAAATGGCTAGACTGGGACCCCAAACGACCTCCAACGCAATATATCGAGCTCGGCGGCGGATCCTCTGTGCAGAAAGAGAGGCCTGACGTCTGGATCAAACCTGAAGACTCTCTAGTGATTGAAGTCAAGGCCGCGCAAGTGACCGCAAGCGAGGATTATGCGTGCGGTATGACCTTGCGGTTTCCGCGGTTCAAAAAACTTCGAAGGGACAAGGATTGGCGGACGGCGTTGTCACTGGAAGAGTTCAAGGATCTCCGCGACAACATTGAGAAGGAACAAGAGCAGAAAATGGAAGTGGACGACGCAAAGAAGAAACAGCGGAAGGGGAATGCTCCAGCCCGGAAAAAGATGATCACAGTCGCGGGATATAATGCCAAAGCCGTTAACAATGCAACGCTACCCGACGGACCACGGGGCAAGGTCTTTGAAGGTCTGACGTTCTACATCATGACCGAATCGACTGCACCGGCACCAAAGAAATCGAAGCTGGAACTCGAGGCATTGGTCAAAGCCAACGGCGGCAGGATTGTCCAAACACATACCGTTGTTCCAGACACCATCTGCGTCGCTACGCGCCGTACAGTCAAAGTGGCTAGTCTGCAGAAGCAGAACAACAAAGAGATCGTCCGGCCCCTCTGGATATTCGACTGCATCGAACAAGCCAAAAAGGACTTTGCAAAGGGGTATCCGGAGATGGTTCTTCCATTGGAGCCCGAACGGCATTTGTTTTTTGTACCGGACGAGATGAAAGACAGATACGCCGACAACGTGGACCAATATGGCGACAGCTTTGCCAGAGACACCAGCGTCGATGAACTGAGTCGGTGCATGGATCAGATGGGTGACATTCAAACGGCCAACGAGAACGATATCCACGATCTATTTCCCGACTATCTCGACATGAAAGGATACATGTTTTACGGACTGGTTTTCTTCTTTGACCAGCCGGAGCTGAAAGCCGACCGGTCGTCCAAACAGACTGATACACGCTCGGAATCTGAACTGACCAATATTGACGATTTGGAATTGATTAAAACCCGCAATATCGCCCTCTTTGCCGGCGCAGAAGTGCTCCCCAAGCAGGGCGCACCTTCGGAAGTCTCACTCGCAACACTCCCTGAGAAGCAGAAACTCACAATCACGCATATCATCGCTCACCCGGCTTCGGATCTCCCTGAGCTCAGAAAGACCGTGGCGCGCTGGAAGAGTCGTAAGATCCCGCATATTGTGAGTGCGGAGTGGCTACGGACGTGTTGGCAAGAAGGGACTCGTGTGGACGAGGACGCCTACGTGGCTCGATAACAGGCCGGTCACACAGACGAGACTGTTGTTTTGTACAACTTGTACATGGTTTTGTAATGAATGACGACTTTATGTGACGAAAACCACCACACTTCAGCACGCAGTTAGCAGAATCCTTTGCTGATACGTTGAAGATTGATTGCTCCAGAACTTGCTTCATTTGGTTCAAACACATGTGGTGAGATGAGCGCAGTTTGTGTGTGAGCTGTACCACAGGCATTTTATGGAGACCTGCTAGCAACAACCTGGACAAGAAATCGGCCTTCGAAGAAGAAAATTCAAGCGTCTCCCTGAACCAACAGACGAAAAGAAAGAGAAACACACTCCTAGCACTCCTAGCACACCGCACACGACCTCAGAACTCGTAAACATGCAGTAATCATTGGGTCTGCCTGTACGGACCCATTTTAGTTCCCAACTGTAAGCTCTTCAGTGTTGTTACAAAAAGTATTCGCCGACGGGCTTTTTGGCAGGCATGCCCCTGGTTCCCTGCGGAGCGGCCTCGAAGACTCTATAGCGACGACCAGGGGTAGCGAGGTTCCAAAGGACATTTGAGCCGCCGCCATTGCCGTCGCCGCCGACGGGTTCCCTGCGGCCCTGGTCGCCGTTGGCACGGGCAATGCAGCCACCATTGCTGGCGTCTTCGCCGAGTTCAAGGATGGCAGCGACATTGCCACAGCGGTAGCAGTAGTTGGGGGCCGACCAGACGGTAACAATGGTCTTGTCGAACATTTCCTTGTAGCCTTCCATGACGAGCTGGTGGGCCCGGGCGACCAGCGACAGGTCGTTGTTGTGGTTGAAATGGCGTACAATGTCGGCGCCAAACAGGAAGCCCGCACCGCGGGGAGACAGACCCCAGCCTTCGATCTCGTCCGGGTCTGACCATAATAGATCGCACATGGCTCCTTCGTGCGGCACTTCCTGTTTCCGGTCAATCAGCCGGATCTTGTCTACCGTCTCGATCAAGGGCGACAGTCCGCCGTGTACGCACAACACCGCCCCGGTCGTCGAGGTCGGTGGTGTCCAGAGCGACTGCGTTTGTGTCGTCGTTCCAGGCGATGCTGAAGATTGCGACGGGAGACTCGATGGAGGATGCTCGGGCGGCGAAGGGGCATCGACGTCGGGAGCGGGCGATATCCGCGTCGCACTCGAGGTCATGGTGAAATTGCGTCGGAGAGTCTTGCTCAACACCTCACCATTGGCGTTGAGTACTTCGGACTCGACGTCGCCGTCTTCATCGTCCTCGTCCGGCGGAAGCGTCGACTGCGTGTTGATATCGTTGTTGTAAGATGAAGATGAGGTGTTGTTAGGTGGTGGTACGTCCGTGGTCGCGCCCAACACCAATGCCCCCAGGGCCAGGTAATCAAAGACCTCGCAGCAATAGCGCCAGACATTTGCACTGCCATATTTCCGTATACATTCGTCGTAGAACCCATAAACTGTGGTGATCTGCCTCGACTCGTGGTTGCCTCGGATGAGCGTGATCCGGTCGGGATACCGCACCTTTAGACACAGCAGCAACAGAAACGATTCGAGTGAGTAGAATCCGCGATCGACAAAGTCCCCCATAAATAGATAGTTCGTGTCCGGAACGTCGCCACCCACTCGAAACAGTTCCATCAAATCGTGGAACTGCCCGTGGATGTCCCCGCATATCGTCACGGGCGCATGCACCGATACCACATTTCCTTCTTCGATCAAGATCTCTCGTGCCTTGTAGCATAGTTCTCGTACTTGCGGTTCTGGTATGGGTCGGCATGCGCGCAGCTGCGCGATCGCTCTGTAGGTGTGGAAGAACCGTCAGCCACACTTGCGCTCAATCACGACAGGATGGTCTCCAATTTTCATGTCTGCCGCTGCAGTGCTTACCTGTCAAGGTCGCTCATCGCAAAGCAGACGAGCTAGACCTGAGAGCCCAGTACATGGGCGGTTGCGGGCGAGGTTTCGCAGTTGAAATAGTTGTAGGCCGGGGTGTAATTTCACACTTTGAGATGGTCGTCCGACACACACACTGCGTCTGTTTGCGTTTGATCGGCGGCGAATGTCACTTTGCTCTAGTGGTTGTGTTTGTCACCTGCGGACAAGACAAAGAGGACACGGACGAGGCATCTCATATGCGCGACATGCCAGCGAAATAGAGGAATGGAACAGTTGATGGCCAATGCCCCAGTTGTGATGCGACCGCGGTGCAAGTGGCTCAAGTTGTGGTAGTACAAGATGGTAGTAGTGGCGGTGATGCTGAACAAATCTAGACTGCGCCGAGTTTGGAACAAACCGGGAGATTAGATAAGATGGAGCAGCTACGGCGAACCATTGATACTGTATGCAAGGCTACATTGTGCACGGTGAAGTGTAGATACCTGAGGCGAAATGTCCCTGCGGCCAAATCCAGCTGTTCCCATTGGACCTGGACTCGGGGACCACTCCACTGATTTATTACTTGCATGCAACAAGTTGTATCTTACGATGCTTCGTCAAGTGGGAAGAGCTTGGATCGTTGCAATTGTACTATCAACTAGTAGTAGTCCAACGTCGAGTCCAAGCCTTCAGTCCCGTCACACTCATTAACCACCTCGACAAGCTCAACCCAAGCTCCGTGACAGTCACGGATCCAAGAAACACACCAATGCGCCGGCAGTAATAGCGCAAGTCCTGTCTTTTCTCTGCTTGAGCTCAAACCCCGAGGATGACCTCACACAGCACACAACCGCACATTATCTAGCTCCTTTGAAACTCCAGGCCACTGGCAATCAGGCGGATAAACAGACAGAGAACTAAAAAAGGAGCTAAATCTCAAAACGACCACAATGCCTCCTCACCTCCACCCCCGGTCGACCGCAACATCGACCCTCTTCGCCGGCACATTACTGACATCCTTTATCGTCATCGGCATCCCACACATATTCCCCTGCCCGAGACCGAGGACAGGGTACGCGGACGCAGCGGAGTCGCAAAGGATCCAATTCGACGAGGATGGACGACCGCTGAAGATGCAGCGGCGGCGATATAACCAGACCTCCTCAACTACCCCAGAAACACAGACCGAAACCGGACAAATCTCATGCACAAACGACCAAGACCGGTCACCATCTGGCTTGGCAGAAGTGCTAATGCAGCAACACACTGCCCGTCCACCACGAAGCAGTAACAGAGGATTGACGCAGTCTAAAGATCTGGAGGAAGAAGCCGCCCTGTTCCGCGAGCTGCAGCGAGAAGCGGCGGCATTGGAAAAGGAGGCAAGAGAATGCCCCGTGCCGAAACCGAGGGGTCTGATCGGTCGATTGTTGGGGTTCGAAGAGGACAAGAAGGCCGTGCCGGTGGTGAAAGTGGGAGTGAAGAGCTAGGAAGGGTATATCCAGACTCAAAAGGGCTTGATTTGAAAACACAATCGGGAAGAAACTCCTTACTGGAATGGGAGACGACCACCACCCATGTGGTCCCTTCGAGCCGCGCTCGTGCAGAGCAGCCTCTCCTCTCCACTTCCGAGGCTTCTTACAAAGGCTCCGTTACTGGAGAAGAAGTAGGACATTCCCCCAAAATCAGCTGCGTGTGCATGCACAACAGAAGCTACCGAGCTTGCCTTACTTTGTGGCAATGATCAGAGATATCTGGCCTCTTCCTCCAGAACAATGCCCGTCCCAATCCAACCCACCAGGCAGACCTGACGCGACGATCCAGCTCGAAGTATGGAATATGGGGTCTGTCAAGCTCTCACGACCGAATCTCTGCAGATCAAGAGGGTGGAATATCTCCCTCTCCTTGAGAAAGGTCCCCGCCACAACTCAATCCAATCCACCAGTCGAATGAGACGCGGTGAACTAGCTTCAAGGATGAACTACGCAATTTACCACGCTCTCTCACGACCAAATCTCTGCAGATCAGGAGGGTGCGTATCTCATGGGAGACTGCAAGCTCTGCTGGACTTGTTGCTGCTCCTGCTGCTGCTTTCAACAGAACAGTATATGGCAGGGGATGCAGTGATGCGGTGTCTTCTTCCGAACGGCCCCGACACGTTTCGGAGCCAGTGACTCTCATGGCTTGCTCGAAGTATCAGCTGAGCTGCTGTGGTCCTCCAGCTATTGAACATCGTTTGGCGGTAGAGCTGGTTGGGGAAATAGAGGACGAGAAATTTCGAGACTGTTGACCCTCATGGTCTGCTCAAAGCATCTTCTGAAATGCTGTTGCACTCCAGCTTCTGAACTCGTTTCGCGCCAGAGGGTTGAGAAAGAGTACCACACTTGGGTCTGAGCAACCGCGCACTTTGACAGCGACAAGCGGTCGACGGAACTCATCTCCACCAAGGAAAGGATAGTGTATATATCATGGAGAGGATATTGACCAGGATCGGGACCTGCAGTGTACAGTGTCGATACCTCGGAAATAATTGGGCATCCCCCAGGATGACTACATATGAGAACGAGGCCATGTACAGTGTATAACGAAAGAACCAGACTATTGTCCTTGAAGACCGTAACCGCTTGCTTGCTTACGAGCAGTACTAGCAATTCATGAAGCACCTCAGCTGTTCAGTAGGGTAACATGACCACCTTAGTTTCTCCCTTTGCATAAGGTAATCCTGCTCTATCCGCCGCAAGCTGGCCAGTGTTTTTGTTCGGTCGGTGACTTGTCCAACAAAACAACACACCAGAAAAGCATATCCTGTCCTTCTCTATGGCGCCGGGGTATCAATCCAATAATCAGACATAAACTTGGGCAGTCCAGTCCAGCCACCCACAAAGCTCCAAGTCCAGGTCGTTAGTAACTCATCTGCACGAGCCCCTTGTTTTCGTCAGAATCATCTCCAGCTGTCCAAAGTCAACATGGCTCCCATCGTGTCAAACGCCTTCAATGCCTTGTCATGCTCAAGTTGTCCAGTGCCATACTTTTCAACCAAGTCGGCCGTCCAGTAACAAACACCCCCATGGCCAGGATGGCGCAACTGCAAACCAACAACCAATAACCAAGTTCAATGCAACTTGGCTCCCGTTTTCCAATCCAGGTTCTTCGCAATCTCCGTCATTCTGTCGAACACGGCCTTGCCAACATATCTCCAAAACCCACCGGCTCGAACCCAAGTCTCTCGCAGTTCGTTTTCATGGCGTTCCAAGTCTTCTTTGACCAAAGCTTTGAGATTGGCCACGATGGCCGCGATCTCCGCGTTGGCGCCGGGCACATTTCCCATCCCACCACCCCACGGGCTTTTGGGTATGGCATTGGCTTTCCCGTTCTTGTCCGTGGGTGTGGGAATATGAGTAGAATGGACGCCTAGATTTGTCAAGACTGCAACGAGGAGATACTCTGCCTCGTCATCGGTGTCATCGGCGTCGTGGTTGTTGTTGCCGGACGAGCGACGCTTCTTGCCATTCTTGCCCCATGTCCCATTGTTGCGATTACTACGCCTTTCGCGGTCCGACTTTCTGCGCTTTGCAATACTCGCCATCAGGTCTTTGTTGTGGTCTTCCATGGCAGAGAGGAAGCCAAGGTTGCGCTGCATGACCTCTTCGATGGTCTTGTCTGAGGCAAGTGGGTGGTTGCTGGCATCGTTCTTAGCGTCGCCATGCAGGATTGTTGCCACGAAATCAATGTTTTCTTTGTGTATGCCCACATTGTGGTGTTTCGCCTGGTTCTTGAAGGCCTTGGTCTCCTTCTTTTCTTGTTTGGCCGCCCTTTTCATGGCCCGGGTTTCCGCCTTGGTCATCTTCGGTTGCTTGTTGGACGTCCACCCGTCGGTGCTTACGGTTTCATCGGTGTTGGCATCATGGTCATGGCGGTCGTCATACCAGTCATGTCGGTCGGCATTTTCGACATCGAGGCCATCTCCAGCGTCAACAAAGGGAAAAGCAACAGCATGATGGATGTTCACAGGAAGCTCTCCAAGACCAGGGCGGGACTTTGTTTTGACCCTGCACGATTCAAGGCTGTTGGACTCCGCCACCACTGCGGCATGGTAGTCGTTGAGAAGCTCAGCAATCTGTATCACAAGAAGGGATGTCAGTGATTGCTTTGAAGTGCCTGGTTTGGCATTTGATAATAGCGGGCGTTGAACAGTTATTGAAAGGAGAGTTTCCATGAGCCCCGTTGCAAACAGGGGACGCCTGAGCACGGACGTGCCCTGTCGCAGGTGAGAGAAAGGAAGGAAAAGGGGGCAATTGGGGGCTCGGGTTTTAAGGCTCGTGGGCACCGTAAGTACATGATGACGATTTTGAAGTTGGTTAAGGGGGGCAGGGGATAGGCAACTGTGAACAGAAGAACAGAACGCAAAGCGTGAATGAAGGGACCCATTTGTGCATGGGTTTGGTTGTCAAACTTACCCTCCTGTGTCTGCCGTTATGCATCTCGTCCGCCTGGATGCACGAGAAGCAGTTGTGGCTCGCTCCGATGGCATGCATTGTCTGATGATACCTGTAACAGGGCATGGAATGCGTCCCGTAACAGGTCTGTCTGGCTTTCGGATTGCTCATCTTCATTGTGCACTGGAAGCAACTGTGCTCTGTGTGCATTTGTATTAGCATTTGCATGTGAGGTATGTTCAGAAGAGGGAAAAAGGAGGGTGAAGTTGAGAAGCCGGGCGGTTGACAAACGGTGGAAAAGTGATGCACCCAATTCAATGCTCTGTGAAATCGTTATGGCTCTTCTTACTTCACGGCTTGTCTTCTCCACAAGTTTGTCTATGTGTATGTTATAGGGGAAGGTTGTGCTTTTGCAGGCATTTTGTTTGTGTATGTGTCTTCTCGGGGAGGCTGTCTTCACTTACCAAGGCCTGAAGCACCTTCCCACTTGAAGAGACTGTTGGGCGTGGCTGGATCCATGTCTTCTCTCTTTCCCTGTATCTACTTGCCTCGAGGAGATCTTTTATGGGATCGCTTATGATTCGCCTTCGACTGAGATCTTGCTTGCGGGAATTGTGGTTTGATTGAGGTAGAGGACGGTATGAGTTGCTGGTGGCTGTGGTGGTGGCTGTTGGATGCAATTGCAGTTGGGTTGGCAATGAATCCTCGCCTTCTTCGGGCTCTTAGACAATGAAGCAACAATCTTCTGAGAGGAGAGAGGATTCGATGGATTCGGCGGAGGCAGGTCAATGGCAATGACAAGGATGGCAGGAATCTTGGAGCACACACGATACAGGGGACGGTTTGGAGGTGGTTAGAGTCCTGAAAGAAAGCAATGGATAGCAAGGATGAGAGAAGATGAGTAAAGTTGTGCGCTTGAAGAGGACTAGGATATGTCAAAGAGTTGTGCTAGCGTGCGCCTGAACAGAGAGGATGAGAGAGCTCAGTCAGTGCGGTACATTGGTGGTCCTAACCTGGCACAACACCAAGAAGGACGTGTTGGCGCCATCCAGCAGACAAGATGGTTGTTTTGGGCCGCGACAGTGAAGTCGGTATAACTGCGCGATAGAGTGTGAAAGGAGGATATGGGTCTTCACTTTGCCAGATCCATGAACACCGACTTTGGCCAGCAGTGTACCGCATAGTACCTTGGGTAAGGAGGCAATGGTTCCAGAGTCGCGATCTCTTAGACCTCAACATCAAGCAGTGCGGGTAAGTACGGCAGCAATATACGGCAGGGGTCGGCCAACAGCCCGCTCGTGCCATCATGCCGAACAAAGAAGGTCTGGGACTGGCTCAAATAGATAAGTATATATGTGACAGAAGGGGGAAATCGCGAGGAGGTTGATGTTCTCTGCTGGATGAAGAGAAGACCCTGGTGCGGAGTATGGCTGGTTTGCTGTCATAAGATGTTGATGGCCCACATGATATAGGTCTGGATGATGTTGCAAGTCTTGGGGAATGGCGGAGAGCATTCCGTCCGCTTGAGAGGCAGGCGGCATGTCAGTGAAACACGGAACAGACCGAGACAAAGAAATGCTTCGGCTGGAGCACAGCTGCAGACGGAGAAAGGCGAGGGACTGAAAAAAAATGGGAAACTCTAGAACGGAGAGCCGCTGCTGGGTCAGGTGGAATGTCGATTCATGCAGGGGGGGAAGGCCCATCATAGATCTCAAAAGTCATAGATGGCAGGAGAATCTGAGGTGATAGGAAAAAGTCAAGACCACGTGACGGAGGTACAGGAGCAGACATGACCAAGACATAACAAAAATTCAGAGGAAATGGCTTTGCTGACTTGAGCAGCAATGGGGCAGTTTGACTGGAAGGGTCAAGCAGAATGGACAACGTCATCCAATGGGACACCAAAGACGGAACCAAAACAGGAACGGAAACATTCCTCCAGATAGCCTCTGGGCTTTTTGTATTGGTGGTGACAGCCTTGACAAAGTAGTGATTGTATAGGCGTCCAAGCCATAAAACGTGTTCATATCGTCCAGTCAGTCCCTCTTGGTAATGAACGACAAGTTGTTGTTATTACATCCAGTCATCATCCACGCCACGGTGGTGCTTCCCCACAAAGGAGGCAGTAACATAAGTCGTAAGTCGCAGGTTCCGCCTTGGTCATCATTTGTCGTTCTTGCTTTCCTTCGTGTACGGAGGTTCCGGTAGGGTTTTGTCAGACAACTGGGGAAAGAAACAGGCAAGGTCTAATTACTATTCCAGGTAAGCAAAAGGATGCAGGCGCAGGTACCCGTCCGTGAACAAACAGCAGGGCATGGCTGAACGGAAGGAAGCTCCCTTGGCTCAATTTGCGGGCAGTTGAGAGACGGGAAAACCGTCTCGTCCGCAAGAATTATGCGGCAATATCCCTGACAAGCCGGGCGGTACACCAGACATACGGGTAGTTTCTCTGGTACCAGTTGACGAAGGATCTGCGGCCGGCAATGCGGGGGACGGTGGCCCAGCTGCCGCCGAGACAGATGTTGTGTTTGCCATCGAAGAAGTCGGCTGTGTAACCTGGATACAGTTCCATCGGCTCGAACCCGTCGTGCGGTGCCAACGGTGTGCTGGTCCATTCCCAAAGGCCGCCCACGTCACTCTGGCCGCAGAGTCGTCCGCCCTCGCCCGTCACGGGTGTCGGATGCCAGTGACGGAACGCCACATTGCGACCAGAAAGATCGGTGAAAATATCATTAGGATCCGGCAAGGAGGACGATTCCGTTGCACTATCGCCATTGGCGACAGTGCCTTTGGGCAAGGAATGGCTGGATGGCGGCGTCTCTTCCACACCTTCGTTGGACAGATGACTACGGTAAGACAGGTCAGCAAGATATAGGAGTTGGAAGAAAAAATTGGTCCAGACTCACCCGTTCACTGCCGAGATCAACACGCTGGAGACCCTTTCAACGGCCGGTTTCTGCGACTCGACGAACTGATACAGACTTCGTGTCTCTTCAAGAGTTGGGATCCGACCACCTGACCAGTGTGCATAAGCGGCCAATTCGTCGTAGGATGCCATCACTGGCCAATCTAGGGCGTATTTGAGGGGAACAGGTCCATAGACAGTCCGGATAGCCTTGTCCGCAATGAAAGAAGAGCTCGCCATCTCGAGGACCGATGCGGAATCACCATTGGCTTCATCGGCTTTCTGTGTGCCATTGGTAGCGTTTATAGATGTTTCGGTTTTCGAGGACATCCACGATGCTGGAAGGCTCTTTTGCGTGACCTCGAGAAACCGCGCGTATTCACCATTGCTGATAGGGCGACTTTGGGCTTCGAACTCCCTCACGACCACAGTCCGGGCAGGGCATTCATTGTCCCAGCCGAAAAATCGAACCGGACCCGAATCGTCTTTGGGGTCGTCGAGGCCGATTTTGACCTTGTTGCTGGGAATACGGTGCCACTGATTAGGCACACGGTTGGAACGAGCTTCTGACGCCAGAGCCGCAAAATCCGGCGTCTCCTGCCCTGGCGGTGGCAGTACGCGTTCACTTTGAAGTAACATATAAAGAAACGTCTCCAGATGCATGGCTTCATGTTCATAGCCGAGCCACAGTGCACGGCTAAGCTTGCGATCGTTGTACGCCCGACCAGTATCGAGGCTATCGGCGATGCGGGCACGAACTCGCTGTGAGTAGTCGAGAATCTCCCCCAGGGGAGGCCATGTGTCAGGAATCTCGCTATGATCATGGCACACCTCAGGATTGTCCACATCTAGTGCAGAAGTCAGTTGGATCCCGAACAATCACACCAACATCTGAGCATACCTGGGTCGATTCCCCTTTCAAAAATGGACCTGTAGGAGGCGGGATCTGTCGGCTTGTCCCCAGTGGCCCGGGTGAAATGGATGTCTGTAACCTGCTTGAGTGATGGTCGTAAGAAGATTGGTCCGGTCTCACTCACCTGCAAATGTGGGGATATGTCCAAGGTAGAAGATGAGGTCGTTTCGTAACTTGATTGGCTTGTTTAACAGCTCGTTTCTCGGTACCATTGACCGTGTCACGACGTCCCAAGCCACCCATAGCTGTTGCCAGTCTCTCAACGATGGGACAGGGTGAGTCGCATACTCTGATGGCTTTGTGGGGAAGTTGATGGTAGCCGGGGACAGGAGATGGAGGACTTATGCCGAGTTAGCCAGCGGAAAGGTTCTCGAGCATTCACTTACAATAATCATTCCTCTTGTTGGAGTACGCTACTTGAGGGATCAGACCAGCCTTGTGCCAAAGTCGGTCACTTTCAGCCTCGGAGAATTTGTGAGCGTCTTCAACGTGGATTTTCTCTTCCTTGCTGAAAGAGAAGTCCGGAGTTTCGATGTCCTCCAAGGGGACATAGAAGGCCTGATGCTTGTTTAGCTTTGCGTCGTACTCGGTTGCGATTTGCCATTGCTCCTGCTTGAAAGCCTCGTAACCAAGCACTTTGTTGGCGTGATTCAGGCCGTTCCGATAGAAGTTCTCCGTAACCTTGGCACTGTCGTTGTAAGCCCGGAAAATCCGGTCAGGGTCCTGGCAGGCATCCAGACCGACTAGAAGGAAGTCGGATGGTGCCAAAACCTTTCTGAATGAGCCCAGAAATCGAGCAGCATCTTCCCGAGGAAAGTTGCCGAGGGAAGACCCTAGTGTCATAACACAAGTTGGTTTGCCCTCGCTGGCCGAATGAGGTAGCCATGACAAAGCGTCATCATAGGTGCCGTGGAGTGCATGGAATGTGACATGCTTGTAGGCCTTTGTATCGAGTTGAGCAAAGGTGCGTTTCAGTTCGGAGAGCGATAGATCCAACGCATAGTATTCGACATGTTTGCCGGCCTCCTCGAAGGCTCTCAGAAGGATATTCACCTTACGAAGGTTGCTGTTTCGGTCAACCATTATATATGTTTTTGCGTTGCTGATTGAACGGATTCTTACCCGCTTCCTAGTTCCACAAGGCGAGTTCCTCGAGGGACGCGTGAAACAATGTCCTTTGCGTGCGTTTTGAGAGTCTCTATCTCGGCATTCGTGAGATAATACTCATCGAGGTATGTGATCTCCTCGAACAGCTGCAGACCCTTTTCTAAATTCTTGCTTAGTGGAACGTCTCAAACATCAAGAACCTCTGTACCATCATAGAGCAGCAAGGTCGGAAAGGTGCGTGGCTCGCCCTGAGGAGGATTGAGAGAGCCATGCAGCCACTCAAGTAGCGAGTGGTCCGACTTGTCGCCGCGAATATCAGTAACCGGCACCCCGCCAGAACCGTGAGCAACCATGGTTACAAGCTGTTATTTTTTGCGAGTCAAGGAGGACAGAGCAAGAGCAAGGGCAAGCAACTTGAATCGCAAGGACGGAAATGAATCTTAATATAGAGCTGAATGAAATGGAAGGATTCGAGTGCATGCCAACATGAAAGGATGTTATGTGTTCAGTCCGGGCTCCACTTTTACCCCCGGAAGTCTTCTTCGGCATGGCAGTTGTAGTACTGTGATATACCAAGCACGGACGTATGATGACCGCCTTCTCCGTCGTAACGGCTTATGTTAGCAACGCTTATTCGGGGCCTAGCGGGAGGCATCTGTCCAACAAGTTCCAGTTCATTGACCTGTCAGCAGCTGTTCCTGAGCATCGATGGTGATGCAGTGGAGGAGCGGCATGGTTTAGAGTTTGACATTGATGACCCTGAGAGTGGATACGAGAGATGCATGATCAGTCAACAACGAGCGTAGAGAGTCAAGGTTTGCTGGAGCAAGGTGTAGCAAATGGATGACAGAGCACCGCAAACCGGAACGAGCACAGATGACAGGGTGACCAAGAAAGCCCCAGAGGACCAGACCGTGGCGGTTCAGCAAAGTGTACTTGCTCTTGCGGCCGAGAACAACCGAACTGAAAGCTCTCCGCTGACCACGACGAAGATGACGATGACATGCGTTATAGATGGCAAAGATCCATCGAGATGCATGATCTCCATGGCAAATTCTAGCCTATAGGTACAGAGGATCGATGGACTAAAGTCTGGTGGTCGCGGCTGGAAAAACACCGCGAATGAGGAGCATGCAAATGGAGGAGCGGAGGATTCGAGGCGTTGGAGACACTGGCACGACACCAACACGGGCACCACCGGCCTCGCGTCTGGATGCCGTGGAGAAGCAACTCGGTACAGAGGTGATGAACCAGCAACTGGAACGATCACAGGAACAGTGGCAGTATCTGGATCATACAAGGTACGCGCTTGATTTACAATGATGAACACGAGTTGTTCGTGTTGTCCATCAGGCTCCCATCCAAAAGGAGGCTCGGAGAAACGAAGCTCAAGCTGCTGACAAAGACAAATCGGGTTGGCAGCGGCGGAACGGAAGAACGTAAACCCGCATGTTTACTTTTGGCCGCAAACAAATGCAAGACATTGATTGACACGGCACTTGAACTTGAATCGCGTTGATGGCAGCTGTTGTATCAATTCTCATTTCATCGCCTTGAATTGACCATTCCGTACGTGTCGATAAACATGACCACTTCTGCATTGCATCGGTAGCCAGTGTAGATGTATTTACGTCTTCAACCTGCATAATACCGCGCTTCCATCTCTCCAGTATGGTGGTCCATCCTGGCATTCCTCTCATACCCTTCTGACAGACGGACGGCCCTTCACCACTCATCTCCCGTCAACCATGTCCAAGTCCGGCAACCTGGCCGCATTGTCGGCCATCCTTAATCCATCAGAGCGGCCGACGATATACTACGCAGAAGACCCTCCTTACCTCCCTCGCATTCTCATCTTCTACTACCCCGTCCAGTCTCTCGGTTCGCTAGCATCCACCTCGCGCATTCGAGCCACCATCCTCAGCGCTGCCGGGTTTAAGAGCTATGGAGCGTTTTCAGTCGCCCCGAATAGCAGCTACTACGCCGCCGTGCATAAACTCCCAGAAGACAAACAACGAGATGATGTCTCTCGAGCCATCGCCTTTGCGCTGTGCAGATACTTCTCCGAGGTCCCAACGGAGGTCAAGAACGCCATAGCCGACGAGAACCTACACCATGGCATTGCCTTGAAATGGGGCCAGACACACGCTGCACAGGTTACATGCCGGATGAGCAGGGTCACAAACCCGGAGGAGATTATCGAGGCCTTGCGTCCGTTTTCGAAAGAGCGACCTTCTAGTCCTCCGTCGCCGATCAAACCGCTTGCTTCAATCAGGAAGACCAGACCGTCATTTCTGCCCCCGGAATCTGGCAATAACGCAGCTACTCGGGCTCCACAAGCTTTCACGCCTTCGAAGAGGGTGCCCAGCTATCAGTCCAAGCGATCGCCTTCGGCCTCGACGCCCGCAAACCGCAAGGCCAGCACATCTCTCTCGGCACCACAGCATTCATTGGATCAGCTGGAGTCGTTACGGTTCAAGATGTGCGAGTTTGTAGATACGGAAGACAGATATATCACACGTCTGCAGAACTTGATAGATCTGGTTACCAACCAGGGCCGTACGCCCAAGTCATTAAGTTCCAAGTTTTCGAGCTCGCGGAACCAAAAAGCCGTCAATGCCATGATTCGCTTTCCATCTCTGCTGGACCAGATCAAGGATTTGAACCTGGCATTCCTAGATGACATTGAAACCGCTCTGTCAAGCTCAGAAGATGCCGCCCTTACATTTCTAGATTCTGCCCAGCAGGATCCTCGATTGCTTCAGACGGCCAAAGATCCCATGGGCATCTACAGCTTCGCCAAAGTTCTTCTCCACCACTTTCCCAAATTCCCCATGCCATACCGGGAATACCTTGACCTACATTCCCAAGTGGCTTCCAACCTCGATCAATTTCTCAAAGAAGGCACAACGTCGACCCAACAGGCCCCGTCTTTGCTTATGGAGCCAGCCCAGCGCATCTCACGGTACGGTCTGTACATTGACACGATGCTGCCTCACGTGCCGATCAACTTCACAGTGGCTATTCGAACACTCGAGAAAGCACGCAAGATCATTGCCGAAATATGCGAGATGGAGCCTGCCGCGTCGACGATTCTCGACTCACTACGCATCGAGCATGAAGCACGCAAAAAGGGAATGTCACCGACCAAACTTTTGTCTGGTCTCACCCGATCAAACGGCACGATAAGAGAAGCACCTGCCCTGACCGGGGGAAGCGTGAAAGATCGGGATGGCCCCCGTTTCTTCCCCAGTCTAGGCAGGAGTCTCAGTCGGAGACAGAAGAACCCCCGTCCCGGTCTGTCAGGCATTCTGTCCGAACAGGATCCCGAACAAGTCAGTAACTTGAATCTGTTTGGCTCCCTGGGCTCACGGTCCACTCGCACCGACGAGAACAGACCTTTGACATCCAGCTCCGCATTGTCTTTTAGCTCAGGGGGACCGGCGCCGAAACGCCCGCCAACCTCTGGTTCAACCACGACCAATCGATCAGCGCCGAGTCCTAGTCCAGCTGCCTTGAGGCCCGTTTCTGTCGTCAAGGGCGGAGGCGGCCCCGGGGCGACGTCGACATCGACATCGCCTGGCCCGGGTAACGTGGCTGCTGCCGTGGCGGCGGCCGATGTCGAGCATTACAGGGCTGAACTCATGCGCGTCGAAGAGGAGAATTACAAATTACTCCAGGAAAACGCCGAGTTGAAAAGACTCATTCGTGAATGTAGATGTGGTGGCGCCCAGCGGCGATGACGAGGACACAAATAAGAAGTCTGTCTCGAAAAGGGAGAAGAAAAAAGGGGCAAAAAAACACTGCACAACAGCAACAGCACATCAGAGTGCTACGAGTTTACGACAGAGAAAAAAAGGATAGAATGGGAACCATGACGACTTCAATTGAGTCCCTATTTTTGTTTTTGTAAAGAGTAGCTAGCCATGGCGGTAGTAGTGGCAAAAAGCGAATGAGGCAGGGCACATTACATGTTGTGTACCTTTCAATTGCACGGGGTATTACATGCTTGAGATTCAAGTTGCTGTTCAAGGTAGCTTTTCTATTTGTAGCTCCCTTGTTTTCGGGCTTGACTTTAACAGAAATTTGTATTTCTGCAGTTAGACAACTGCACAAGCAGTTACACAGCCGCAAGCACGAGTACCTATCTACCTAGCCGTCTAGTCAGGCCTGGAGGACCGATCTAATACCAGGTGTATTGACCTGGGAAAAGGTGCAAAGGCAAGATTAATCTACAAAGAGGACATCGCTTGCTTTTCGTACTCGTAGAGACATACACATGCACACTCTGGTATCCAACACTCACACGTCCTCCAATCTGAAAATGGATCCTAGCACAGCACAGGGACAAGCATCAGCCGCTGGTGTTGGCGTTTCTGCCTCTGCCCTAGTAGATGATGTACAGCGGAGATGTCGTGCCATCCATCCAATTCCGAAAATACCATCATTAGTCGAACTCCAGTGTTGCCACTGGTTGATAATGATGGTGATGTCGGGCATCGGTAACGATAATGATGGGATAAGTCAAAGTCTCCGATTCCAACAGAACACGCTTGCCATGGTTGGCGAGGATTGATCTGTTCTATTCAGCCTCATCGTCGTCGTCGTTATCATATCCCTTTCTCGCGTCCGCCCAGCCACTCTGGTACCTCGATAGATCACGATCCGCATTGAGTCGCAGGGCCCTCGCTTCTTGGGCATTCTCCCGCCAGCATCTGGATGTATAATCGTCAGCTGTGGTGATGAGATTGCCATTGACCGTCCATGCTACGGCCGTAACTTCCTTCGAATGTCCGTTCACGAGTGCAGTACCGTGGTAATATATGGGACAGTTGCCATCGCTATCTTCGGTGGCAGTGGTTGGCGAAGGCTGTTGTTGCTGTTGTCGCGCAATGACTGCTGCCGAGGATGCAGTGCGTGTAAGACGAGGAGGAGCTGCCGGGCCACGTGAACGGTTGGCGGATTGGCTGCTCAACCCGGGCGGCGGCCACCGCTTTGACTTTTTATTGAGGTATCGCTCGTCTGTGGGGAACAGTATGGCGCATTCCTCCCGCGTTCCTGTGGCCACTATCTCGGTGTTGTCCTGAGTCCGGTGCCGAACGGCCAGCTTGTCGTAGAAGGACGCCAGCCGTAAGGACGGGTGTCGGAATCCATATAATGGCCCTAGTCCATGACCTGCATTGCGGGATTGTCGAAATGGATGAGCCGAGGAAGGCGACATTTCGGGTGCCCCACCCAGAACCAGGTGAGCCGTGGAATATGCATACACGGTGTGGTCGCGGCACAGCGAGTACAGCCTGGAGCCGTCGGTACTCATGGCAATCGAAGTCACACCAAACTGTCGGTGATTTTCATGGCTCTTGGGTTCCGAAGTGGCAGATACAGGGGTAGGTCGTCCACTTCTTGACTTGTACGATGTCCGCATGTCCCACAACTTGATGATAGCATCATTCTCTGACGCCGTAGCCAGCAAGTGAGACCGACTAGGGCTGATGAAAGCACATGAGGTGACTGCAAAGTCGGACCGGGCAGAAACGGGCGTCTGCTTGCGCTTCGTTGGTTTCAACCTCCCAAGGAGATCAAGAGCAGTATGTGCATCTCGAATTTGATTCACGCTGTTGACATCGGCACTCTGACAGATGAATGATTCTGGTTCCCGACTAAGGTTCTGCTGCACCCACGCACCTCTGCGCGAGGCACACCGTAAATCCCACAAGCACACGCTGCCGTCTCGAGAACATGTTGCTAGAACATTGTTGCCTGACCCGGGCTGGAACTGGACACGTTTTAGGGAGCCAGTGTGCCCTCTTAGAGTGTATGTCGACTGTTGTTGTTTCATGTCAATGATCCGACAGGTTTGGTCCCCCGATGCGGTTGCAAGCAAGCTGTCATCGGGAGGAAGTTCCATGTCCATAATGGCATTGTCATGAGGGTACATGGTCATGAAGATGTCCTTGTACGGCACATTCAGCCCTTCTGCGTCGTGGATCCGCACAGTGCCATCCTCATCCCCGATTGCCACCAGTGGCACGGTCTTGAAGCCAGCGGCGCAGAATGGCAGTGCAGAGAGCCGTCGTCCGAACCGGTTGTAGTGGCACACATCGTCGGGTAGGCTGTAGAAGTTTGCGGTTTCATGTTGCCAAAGATTACTGTCGTTGGCCTCTATCAATGTCTTTCTGCCCTCTACTCGTCTGGAGAGCAGTCCGGCCGACGTGCTGATAGCCCGGTATGGTGTCAGTCGAGGGGGGAATGCTTTGACCCCTGGCAGCTCATCTTCCTCTTCTATCTCTGTTTCGTCTTCATCAGTGTCAACCCAGGTCGATCTATTTAGGGCACCACCCGTTGGTTGTATACGCTGTTCATGGTGGGCGCTCTCTTGGCTGCTCGAAAAGACATGATCCTTCTTGATCGGAGAAGAAGGAAGCGATGTGATGGATGCAAACGAGAGCTTCCGCTTCTTGCTGGTCCGATGAGTCTGATCATCTCTCGAGAGGGTCAATGGAATGCTCGCACTCGACCGGCTGTTGAGTCTGGCAGCAGACAAGTCCTGCAAAGCTTTTCTGGAGGTTCGAACGGCACGAGGGGAATTTCGAGGTCTGGGAGTAAAGAATTTGGTGAAACGTTTGGGAGTTATAGACGGGTTCTTCTTCACGCGGCTACTGCGACGAGGGCTCCTATTCTCATTGGGCTCGGCAGTGGAAGTGGTTGGCGCTGCAGGAGCTGTTGCTTCTGGCGAAGTATCCATTGTTGACGTGTGCAAACGCCTTTGCCGGGTAAGACGTGGGGATGGAACCGGGTCACCGCAAAAACATAATCATTCGGAGCTCGAGGTCGTAGCTGGCAGTAGTGATATATCAACAAGCAACTTCGTCGCAAAATGGCGGTAGGAGGCTAGTAGTAATAAGCAGAAGTGGCAGGGCAGTTATGTTCCGGCAATGTCACGCAAAACACTGCTTGTAGTGACAGCGGCCCCAAGTCGCGCCTCGCGCCGCGTAGAGTGCGTGCGTGGGACGCGTCGAGTGCCACTAGCAGCTGGATTTGCTCTAGACTCACCCAGGGCAGGTGAGCCGAGAGACGCATTGCAGTGTTTCTCCACTGCAAGTCCGACTCCACTAAAAAGTTCCCAGAGAACAACCACTCCAAAAAATTTCATGCCTGCAACATTTGGTGGGTGGTGAAAGTACACGGACCAATCCATACAGGATAGGCCAGGATATAGAGATTACCCTCGCCCTCAAAGAGGGTTGCTCTAATAAAGCCATCAGATTTCTTGCAAGATGGCGTCCGCAAAACGAAAATTAACAGGCGACGAGGCCTCGACAAAACCAGCGACCAAGCGATCCAAGTCCGACTCCAAGCCTAAAGCGGAAGCCGCAAGCACTTCCTCTGCACAGGACAAAAAGGCAAAGCCGAATTCAGTATCAGTCCTTGCCAAAGAGCAACCTGCTTTCCCCAGAGGAGGGGCGGGTGTGCTGACCCCGTTGGAGAGAAAGCAAATCCAAAAGAAGGCCACCCGCGACGCCGAAAGGGAGCAAAAGCAGGGCCGGGATCTTTTCGATGAAGGAAGCAAATCGCTACATGACACTAGTGACGAAGAGGCCCCTTCAGATGTCGATACGGAGGTGAAGAAGCCTACAAAGAGACAACGTAAAAAGAAAGCACGGTCCAAAGATGCTGCTGATACCACTGAGCCGGAAGTACGAATCGAAGGTCTCAGTTACAAACGGCTCACTACCGGGTCTCTGATTTTAGGTCAAATTACGGCTGTGAGCTCCAGGACGCTTACTGTCGCACTGCCAAACAACCTTGTTGGATATGTACCTTTGACCTCAATCTCGGCACAGTTGAGCGAAAAGATACAAGCGCTTTTGAATGAGAAAGATGAAGAGGAAGACTCAAATGACAGCGGAGATGAGGATGACGATGACATCGCTTTGACAAACTACTTCCACGTCGGACAGTATCTGCGAGTAGCAGTTACCTCTACCGAGCAAGATAATACTGCTGGAAAAGCACCCACAAAGCGGCGCATTGAGTTGTCAGTTCAACCTTCACTGACAAATGTTGGTATTGGTCGGGCAAACCTCGCTCTTGGAGCCACTGTCCAGGTAGCTGTGAGCAGCATAGAGGACCATGGCTTGGTGGCAGATCTGGCTCTCGAAGATCAGAATGTTCGTGGCTTCATCCCGAAAAGTCAATTGCCCGCCAGTCTGCCTCTTTCCAGCATCAAGACGGGATCAGTTTTCCTCTGCAGTGTCATTGAGCTCGGCTCCAGCGGTCGCGTTGTGAAGCTCTCGGCTGACCCATCAAAATGGATCCCACTTGCCACCGCACCGTCTGTAGACACATTTCTTCCGGGTACCAAGGCTGAGATCCTGGTCGAGAACAAGACTGAGGTTGGTCTCTCAGGAAAGAGCATGGGTCTTGTGGATGCGACGGCGGATCTTGTCCACTCGGGCTCCTTCAGAGACAAAGAAGCGTTCCTGGCCAAGTACGAGGCGGGCAAGAAAATTCACGGTCGCTTGATCTGCACGTTTCCCCTCTCGGAGACGAAAAAGCTGGGCTTTTCGGTATTGCAACATGTGTTGGACATGGAACCCACGGCGAATATGGACGGTCGCCCGGAGGGGACTCCGGCTTTGTCTTCCATTGTTGACGCCGCACCGGTCATCCGTGTTGAACCCGGGCTTGGGATATACCTACAATTAAGTCCCAACACTGTGGGCTTCGCTCATGTCTCTCGCTTGTCAGACGACAAAGTGGAAATGCTATCGGAAACCAGTGGTCCATTCAAGCTGGGGTCCGAGCACAAGGCTAGAATTATCGAGTACAACCCTGTTGATGACCTCTACTTGGTATCTCTTCAGAAGAAGGTGCTTGAGCAATCGTTCCTGCGATACGAGGATGTTCCACTTGGCGCGATCGTGAAGGCGACTATTGAGAAATTGCTGGTTGGTCCGGACGGCGTTCGAGGCTTGGTGGTCAATCTTGCCGAGGGCATCAGTGGTCTTGTACCACAAATCCATTTATCTGATGTTGAACTGAAACATCCTGAAAGGAAGTTCCGGGAAGGCCAGACCGTGACTGCAAGAGTTATCACCACCGATCCTCAAAAGAAGCGCATAAGGCTTACCCTGAAGAAGACACTGGTCAACAGCGATCAGAAGCCATGGTTGCGGTACGAGGACATTGAATCTGGTGATTCAACCCTCGGAACCTTGACTAAGGTCGACCCTCTTGGGGCAGTAGTCCGATTTTATGGCCCGGTCCGTGGGTTTCTTCCCGTGTCGGAAATGAGCGAAGCCTACATCAAGGATGCTACTGAGCATTTCCGTGTCGGTCAAGTCGTGACAGTCACTGCTATCAGCGTCAACCCTGCGGAGAGGCGATTGACTGTTTCATGTCGCGATATCAACAAATCCAACCCGTCCATTGAGTCTTCTCTGTCAAGTCTAGAGCCTGGGACCATTGTTAAAGGCACGGTATTCGAAAAATCACAGGACGATATCCTCCTCCGATTGGACGGATCTGACGCTATTGCACGGTTGACGAAGGATCATGTGTCTGATGGATCATCAAAGAAGAGAGAATCGGCCTTCAACAAAATCAGGGTAGGACAGAAGCTTGAGGATGTGGTCGTCCTGCAGGTGCTGCCCAAGAGGAGGTTGGTGATGGTGTCCAACAAACAAAGTCTGATCAAAGCAGCTCAGGAGGGCACGCTTCTCAAAAGTTATGAACAGTTACAGCCAAATGCTCTGGTGACGGGTTTTGTTTCCAACATCACCAGTGACGGCGTTTTCGTGAGCTTTGCTGGTGGCATCAGTGGGCTCATCACGAAGGCGCAGGTGCCTGTCGAGGCCACCGATGAGAGAGACTTCGGAATGACCAAGTTTCAACCTGTCACTGCCAAAGTCTTGTCAATTGACTACAAGGGTGCCACGCCCCGGTTTTGGCTGACCATGAGGGAGAACCCTGCCAATACTCGTCCCGAACCCGCCGCGGCTGCTGTTCAGGACGTACCGGCCCTTGTGAACCCTGTTGATACGGAGCTGAAGACTATTAACGACCTCTCCGTAGGTCGGGTCACGAAAGCTCGGATCATTTCGGTCAAGGACACACAGATCAACGTGGAATTGGCGAAAGATGTACAAGGTCGAATCGATGCTTCGGAAATCTTTGATGAGTGGAAAGACATCAAAGACCGGAAGCGACCTCTGAAGCAATTCAGTCCGAAGCAGGAGCTTACTGTCAAGATACTCGGGGCCCATGATACCCGGAACCACCGATTTCTTCCCCTTACGCATCGCAATGGCAAGAATACTGTGTTTGAGCTTTCTTGCAAACCCAGCACTGTTGCAGCCCCAAACAACAGCATCCTCAAATTGACAGACTTGTCGGTGGGATCGTCCTGGCTGGCGTTCGTCAACAACATCTCCGAAAATGGCCTGTGGGTGAATATATCGCCTTCTGTTCGTGGCAGAATCCGTGCAACAGATGTATCCGATGACTTGTCACTTGCTGCGAATCTCGAGAAGGCCTTCCCTATTGGGTCCGCACTCAAGGTTCATGTCCTTGCCGTCGATCCTGAAAAGAATCGCTTGGACTTGACAGCCAGATCCGACGGACTCGCAAGCTCTCTGACGATTAAAGACGTCTCCAAGGGACTTGTGCTCCCAGGACGTGTTACCAGGGTCACTGACCGCAACATATTGGTCCAACTGAGCGACCAGGCTGTGGGCGCGGTTGATCTGATCGATATGGCGGATGACTACAACGAAGCAAACCCGGCCAAATTCCAAAAGAATGACATACTCCGAGTATGTGTTCTCAAGGTCGATGTCCCGAACAAAAAGATCCAGCTTTCAACGCGGCCCTCCAAGGTGCTGAGCTCTTCGATGAAAGTCACCGACCCAGAAATCACTTCCATCAGTCAGCTTTCTGTTAATGATGTGGTGCGGGGATTTATCAGCAACGTATCAGACAAAGGTGTCTTCGTGACTCTCGGACATGGTGTTACTGCTTTCGTTAGGGTAACTCATCTCTCTGACAGTTTTTTGAAAGAGTGGAAGGACCACTTCCAGCGGGATCAACTGGTCAAGGGAAAGATCATCATGATAGACCAGGCCTCTGGTCACGTGCAGATGAGCTTGAAAGAGTCGGCATTGGACCCTAATTACAAGGCGCCATTGACGTTCAATGACCTACATGTCGGAGATATAGTCACCGGCAAGGTCGTCAAAGTTGAGCCCTTTGGAGTATTTATCGCGGTCGACAACTCGGAGAATGTGCGTGGCTTATGTCATCGAAGTGAGATAGCGGAGAAGCGGGTGGAAGATGCCACCAAGCTGTTCAAAGAAGGGGACGCTGTGAAGGCCAAGGTTCTGAAACTTGATCCCGCCCAGCGGAAAGTCAACTTCGGGATGAAAGCGTCTTACTTCATCGACACAGTCGACGATGACGCGGAAAGTGAGGCAGACTCGGATACTGAAAGTCATGTATCTGGCGGTGCTCAGCTGGGTGAAGACGAGGACGAAGACATGCAAGACGCAGACGACAGTGGAGAGGAAGAGGACGCAAGTGACAGCGATGACGATGAGGACGATCCAGACAACGCCAGTGAAGTCGATGGTGAGACTGGCGAGAGTGATGACAGCGAAGCTGAAGAGCAAGAGGTCAAGGACTCTGCCGCTGCCAGTCAAGGCAAAGGTCTCAATGTTGGAGGCTTCAATTGGTACGGGATGCCAGAAGCTCCAAGTACAACGGGCAGCAAGCGGGCGGCTGAAGAATCCAGCTCGGATGAGGATGCGGACACAGCGGCCAAGGTCCCCAAGAAGAAGAAAAAGCGAGCCGGAATCCAAGTCGACCGAACTGGAGACCTTGATGTTGACGGGCCTCAGTCCATCGACGACTTTGAGCGACTGCTCATGAGTGAGCCGGACTCGTCGCTCTTGTGGCTCCAATACATGGCGTTCCATTTGGAGCTGGGAGATGCAGACCAGGCACGGCAAATTGGCGAGCGAGCCTTGAAGTCGATCGGACTTGGCCAGGAGGCTGAGAAATTGAATGTCTGGGTTGCACTGCTCAACTTGGAGAACGCCTACGGAGACGATGAGACAATCGAGGCCATCTTCAAGCGGGCGTGCGAGTACAACGACCCCCAGGAGATCTACTCGCGCCTGACCAGCATCTACATTCAATCTGGCAAGCACGACAAGGCGGACGAGTTGTTCCAGCGGATGCTCAAGAAATTCGCGCAGGATCCGAAAGTGTGGATCAACTATGCCACTTTCCTGTTCGACAGGGTGGGCGATGCCGACAAGGCACGAGCGCTGCTCCCACGCGCCCTACAGACGCTACCCAAGTTCACCCACTTCGACACGACGCTGAAGTTCGCGCAGCTCGAGTTCAAGTCCCCCAACGGATTGGCTGAAAGGGGTCGAACCATCTTCGAGGGTCTGATCAGCTCGTTCCCCAAGCGGGTCGATCTGTTCAATGTCCTGCTCGACCTCGAGCTCAAGCAGGGCGATCGGGAGCAGATCCGCGCCCTGTTCGAGCGCGTTTTCAGCGGCAGGCTTAAGCCGAAGCAGGCCAAGTACTTTTTCAAGCGGTGGTTGGCCTTTGAAGAGGCCGAAGGAGACGAACGGCAGGTGGAAGCAGTCAAGGCTCGGGCAGCCGAATGGATCCGTGCTGCCGGGAAAGATGTTGACATCTGATTGAGAATGTGTTCTTTCCATAGTACAGTAAAAGTATCTGCCTATGTAGTTATCGATGCTTTGTGGGACAATGGTAAGGCAGACACTTAGCAGATACGTTCGATAGGACTTTCTACGGTAGACGTTGACACGGACGACGCTTGCACAGGATACTGGAATAGCACGCTCGAAGTGAATAACGCTCGGCAGGATTCTCGATTAATTATGTTCACACTCGAATAGAACATCCAAAAGTACGTCCAAAAGTACGTTCAATCATAGGACGCTCGGCAGAATATTCGGCAGGACGCTCGAGAAGGGTTTGGGCTTGAACAAGACCTTGAACGGGACGTTCATCTTGTCTCAGATCCTCAGACCCCTCCAATCACTGTTGCCGCACGGTCCGCTAGCCTTTTCGGATAACATCAACCTTTCGCCCAAGATTTCTCGAAATTTTTTCATTTGCTCGCCAATCGCGCGCGCTCGCCAAATGTCAGGCTGAGATGCTGAGATAACCTTCAACAGGATGTTCGGCAGGATGCTCGAGTAGATCAACGCGTGACAGGATTCGCGAAAGGACGCTCGACTGACCACCAGCAACAATGGCTGTGCCCCGGAGGCGTGCCTAAGCCTAGTGGTGCCGCGCCTATAATTGCTTATTCCCGTCAGCATCACGTGTGTTGGGTCTTTTGACAGCCGCCATTGGCTTTTTAATCTCCACGCTCATTTCGGAAGAGGCTTGACGGAGCGTAAGGAAGCCCTGTGCATCCCCCTGTCTCCACCCTGGACACAACAATTGAAAGATTTTAGATCAAAGGTCTTACAATGCTGTAGATCCAGGACCCATATGATTTCAGAGGATCGCGCGATGTAATCTCAGGCGGTACAGGTACTTTATCTACGACAAGCTCCCTTGTCGCTGTCGAAAAGATGTCTTCTCTCTCCAGCCAAGAATTCAGCCGACATATCGAAGATGCAGCCAAGCGGTCTTCGATGCGGCGCGTGGCCGGCAACCTGTAGCCTGGTCTTGTTGACCATCTCGACTCTTTCGTCGTTGGTCAGTGCCGAGTCAGTATGGGCACGAGACTCCTTGTCCGTGGTCAAGGAGCACCCTCGTCTTTTCGCCTCAGGTGATCAGTGGTCCAGCCTTGAGTCTCAGATTTCGAAAAACGACTATCTGCAGAAATGGAACAAGACCATCATTGAGCAGGCCAACGAGTTCTACGAGGCAGCTCTGATTCCTTACCCGGACGATTGCGATGTCAGTGTCGGCTGTACCCTTGAGGTCGCCAGATATATTCAGTTGAGAGTCAAGCACTGGGCATATGCGTACCGGTTGACAAACGACACCAAATATGTGGACCGAGCATGGTTGGAGCTTCAACATGCTGCAGGAAATGGCACCGAGTATTTTGGCAGACCCAACGATAACTGGAACTCGAGGTAAAACGACCTGATCCTTCTCCAATCCCCTTTTAGTGCAAGATTCTAATTTAGCATCAGACATTTTCTCGATACTGCCGAGTTCACGGCCGCATTTGCATATGGATACGACTGGCTGTATGATGCATGGAACGATACACAACGTAATGCTCTCATGTGGTCGATCATTGAATTGGGACTACAAAAAGGCATCGACTGTTTCGCTGACCAGGGAACTGGTTGGTGGACGGTCGTGCGTGGAAACTGGAATTGTGTGAGCAATGGAGGATTGATGCTCGGAGCCCTCGCCATCTACAACGAAGACCCAACGGGCACCGCCGCACAGATCCTGCCGGACACGATTGCCAACTCGCAGGAATACTGTGCTCATGCTATCAGCAGTGACGGTACCTGGCTGGAGACGCCTGATTACTGGTATTTTGGTATCCAGTCGTTTGCTCAAATTGCCGCCGCTCTCATCAGTGCAACTGGCTCCGATCAACAAACTCTCTCGGCAAATGCGGCTGTAAACAAAACCGGCTTGTTCCGCATCTACAGCCAGGGCATGGTTGACAAGTTCAACTATGGTGACTGTGGTCCAGACAAGATCACTGCTACTGCCAACCCACTCATGTTCTTTGGCAAACATCTAAGCAGTAAGTGTGCTACGTAATATGGACGAAACGTCCAGCTAACACCGTGCAGACCCCAGATGGACGCAATACCAACGCGATCAAGACGACGCGGCGGACCCATTGAGCATGTTCTGGTATGACACAACCACCGCGTCGGGCGAGTGGTCCGAGGGCCTCGAACTGGATCACTACTTCAACGACGTCAACACATCATGGGCATCCATGCGATCCAGCTGGACCGACAACGACGGATTGTACGTGGCCATGAAGGCTTCGACCCTGATGGGCCACCAAACACGTAAGTTTGAATCCATTCCCCCCTTCTTCCACCATTCTGACAAGGCCCTTTCTTAGACGGAGATCTGGATGCTGGCGACTTTGTTCTCGATGCCATGGGCGAACGGTGGGCCGGCGACCTCTGCCAAAACGACTACAATGGACCCGGATACTTCGAGAGTGAAAACCAAGATAGCCGACGTTGGCTCTACTACCGATGCGGCACTGAGGGCCAGAACACGCTCCTCTACAACGGCAGCAACCAAATCGTGTACGGAATTCCCGAGACGACATTCAACTCGACTGGCCTTTCGGACACGAACTCCAGCACGGCCTACTACATTGCCGATTTGACCTCGTTCTACGAGGCCACCTCGATCAAACGAGGCATCAGATTGCTCGACGACCGCAAACGAGTCCTGATTCAGGACGAGATTGTCAACGCAGATGCATCCAGTCAATGGAGAGTGCACACCAACGCCACCGTCACGCTGACCGACGACTCGAAGCAAGCCCGTCTGACTCTGAACGACAAGACGGTGTTGGCTGAAATCGTTTCGTCGGATAACAGCGACCTTGCTTTCAAGACCCTACAGGCTGTTCGCTTTGACACCGATCCACCCCTTCCTGTCAATGGTACCGATCTACCGAATACTGGCGTGACGGTGCTTGCCATCGATGTGGCGCCAGGAACCACCACCGTGTCCGTGATCTTCACTCCTCAATGGGAGAATTACACCGCGGCAAACACGACTACGGTCGTTCCACTCAGTGGCTGGAACTTGACTTCGCACGACGTTTTTAACACTCAACACAATACTACCACCAAGAATGGAACAACACACGCCCATAATGGAACTGATTCCAGTGATTCAAGTGACTCTGATTCCTCAAATGGAACTAGTTCAGGCTCGCAGAAGGGAACTGATGGAAAATCAAATTCTGCAGGCCAGCTGTCACCCATGGGCCTGTATGTGCCGGTCACGGTGATGGGCGCACTCGTTGCGTTGGGTGTTTCTCTCTTCTAGACAATTACTATTTGTAGTACTTTGATAATCTTATGATGAAATTAATGGCCTTTCAAAAGAACTTCAAGTTTGCAGCTTCGATCTTCCTACTGGTCCTGATAATAGTTGACAGTCCTACTGGGAATACGGCAAGTCCAGTCCGATATTGGTACGTACCGGAACCGCCCGGGTGGTAAGCAGAATCCAGGATCCGCCCGCAAGCGGACTCCGTCGGACTCGGACTTGCATGCCACGCGATGGGGCAAGTCCGAGTCTCGGATATTGCTAGTATTATTATTATTTCTCGCCTTGTCGGGTACGAATCAGGCGGTATCTACAACAATCACAATGCCATAGGTGTGGGTACCTGAGTAGTTCATAACACTTGTACAGTAGTCGTAGAGAAGAACAGCAGGTCAAAGCGAGAAAATGCCTCGTATTGTGGGGGATTTCAACGTGTACAATGTTGTAGACACACGACGATTACTGTTAGGTAGATGTGTTTCGTAAGTGCTGCAATGTGCGGTGGTATACAGTACCTACCTATAGGTAGGTATTGTCGGACATGTACCTTTATACACAGTACTCTACCCACAGAGGTATATGTACAGGTATACACGGCCAGTGTTGTATCTGATGCCGGTAGTAAGGTTCAGGAGGTGGTACAAACACATTTATTAGTATTCAAAGTCGGGTCGGATAGGCTTCGGGCAACTTGAAGGGTGAACCAGGCTCTCGGCCCCCGACAACTGCCCACCGATGACTGGCAGTGCCTGAGAGAAGAGTGGTACACGCTGCCGTGTGGGTAAGGACAGTGGGTGCCACAGGGCACTGCACAACACAGCACAGGCACCTTTTTTCTGGAAGCCGACCGTCTCTGCTTCTCGCGTCTGGCCCCCCGACACTGCATCAGCGGGCACGACCCACCAATCAGCTGGCCTCGATAGCCAACTGTGACCCTTATCTTCGGCCTGCGCACACGACCAGTCGCTATCTGCTGCCGCAGCTGAACTGCGCACTACCAGCACCAGCACCAGCACCAGCCATTACATAGCACCTAACACTACTCTCCTACTACTGACACCATATTGTATCAGCACTACTACCAACTACCACCTCAGCTCCATCATTACCGCGCTCCCACGCATCTGCTCCCATGTCTGATTAATCATGACATCCTGTTCATCTCTTCTACCACATCTTTTCTTACAACCTCTACCTTAAGGTCAACAAACGCAATTGAGCCCCAATACATCCTACACCTTGTTTCCTATCGCGGCCGATCACCGATCACTCTCAGCCATGACGCAGTAACCGCGTTCAAGCTGGCGTCTTCGAACAATCTCCCGCCTCTGCTCCTCGAAGATTATCCTTTCCAACATGATCGTCCCCCGCGTCTTTCCACAGAAGACGCTGGGGCAGAAACAGGCACTTGATTTTAACGAGAAAGATGTCTTGTCCAGACGAAGCACAAAAGATGTCAACGCAGGATGCCGCTCGCCTTCACGGTCGGCCCTCTCCCAAAGCCTCTCTAAACAACCCTCATCGTCCTCTTCTCTTTCATCCGCTTATAAGTCTGCTTCGGACCCGGTCAAAATCCCAACAAATACCGAAGGGCAACATCACACTCCGCCACCACACCGACCCAGGCCGTCGTCGATACAAACCACAAGCGAAAGTGCCAGTGTAGCATCTCAGCCTATACCCAAGAGAACGGAATCTGTGCATGAAATCCTATCATCTACTACAATCCCATCTCGAAGGAGACGGAAGCCCAGGCCGGGACAACGGCTGCCCAATTGCGACTATGTGGCCGACTTCAGCAAATTGCTGAGGGATGATGTGTTGTCCAGCAGGGAAACCAGTCCATCAGGGAGTTGGACCAATCCACAATTTGAGGGACTCTTCGGCGCCATCGATGGACTGATGGGATCTCAAATGATCATGGGCAGTGAAGGAGTTGACGCCGGGATCTTGTCCAGCCGGTCCATTTCAAGTGAATCAATGCCCTCGCTGGCTTCTGCCGATGATTCCAGTAGTACGCTCGATATGTCTAGCGTGTCTCCCGCCACCATCCGATCACCTTCTGCATCTGAACATCGGCTTCGCCAAATAGCGAGTTCCGAGGACTGCAGCAGCCATCACCCACTTCTGCCCGTAGACGACGAGGAGGACAACTGTGATGACTACAGCGGAACCACGACCCCAGACTTGGTCATTTCACCCCCGTCAAGACTAGAACGGAGATCCATGGTTGCCGGCAAGAAACAGAAACCCCCAACCAGTTCGTTCAAGTCCAGTCTGACGGCCTCGTTGAGAGCTCTGAAATCCGCGGCGCAAACAGTCACGACGAATCTCACCACAATCCCGCCCCTAGTCCAGCCGGACGATTTCTTGTCGAGATCCATTTTCGACTTTCAGCCCTCGTTGACCGACGATCGCCGTCCACCGCCCTCAGACGAGCCTCCTTCGGCCGCTCTGCGGAGGTATCTCAATCCGCACACCTTTGTCCCACCTGACTCTCCCGCCCAGTTGCATTTCTGGGTTGACGAGAAACAGACGCCCGGTCCGGACCGGAAGGAAGACGCCAGACCTAAACTGAAAATCAAGCGGAAATACCAAAAGCAAAAGGGGCAAAAACCATCGTCTTTTTCTGTCGACGACCAAGGCAGACTAACAGATCCATCGAGATCCCAACTCCCTCCCGTTGTCCCGCTAGCGACTTGCATCCCGTCGAGTATACGGACCGCCCATGCGTCGAGTCCGCCGACATGGCTCGAACCCGACGGCACGCCCAGTAACAAGCATCGCGCCGCTCAAGCCCTTTGGGACGAGACTACGTGTCAAGAAGGCCCAGCAGCAGCAGCAGCAGCAGCCGCCGGCGGACTCGGACAGCCTCGACCCCGCGAGCCACGCGAAAACCGCGATTTCTTGCGCATTTTCGTCTGCGAGATGAATATGCGCAAGGCGGGCAAATTGAGTCCCGACGCCTTAGGCCACGCCAAGCTGTGGCTGCCGCCTGTGGATGAAGGCCGTTGCGACAAAATTACCAAGAACCAGAATGGCTCTTCTACATCCGGATGTCCTGGAAAGGTAGACAAGTCGTCTTGTAACACTACCACTGGAATGGGGCAGAGGACAACCACTGGCAGGAAATCCGCCGGGGACCGATGGACAAGTCTGTCCGCCGACGATTTGTAAAATCATGTTTTTGTGCCTCGGTTTTTCGATAACGAATTCGACCTGAATGATGAATGAGATTATGATGTTATTTGTCGCTCTTCAAGTTGTGGTCCATTTTGTTTTTTCAATAATCGGTTTCCGCCAGCCATGGAGAGAAATTCCGAGTAGAGTGTCAGGTCATAGTAGTATACTTTTTTGATCCTCGACATGTACTAATTAAATCTCACCACTATTTTCTCACATCCCACACGATCTAAATTACAATGGATGTCGAAATGTGCAAACCGAATATTCAAATCTGTACACTTCGGCACAAGCGCGGAAAAGAGAAGACCAGAGCACACTGCAGCAGAGCCCATTCTATCATCTCTTCCGCGTCCGACCACCGGCAGAAGCAGACTTTGTGTTGGCCACAACGGGCCCCGAGCCCGACGAGCCGCAATCTTGCTTGACTCGCTCCAACATGTCGCGGGCCAACCGTTCTCGCTTGGCAAAGCCGCCATTAAACGCGGCCGGCAGCACACGGTGACTGTTGGCGTGGTCTGGGGCGAAATCCGGGCCGGCCCAACCTTCGGTCTGGCACAATTGAACCGCTTCCTCCAGCAGACCCTGGCCAACTCCTTTATGTCGGTAGCGTTGCTTGACGGTCCAGCCGCGAATGACGCCGTGGACGGGTTGCTGGTGGTGGGTTTTGCGCGACGACCGTTTGGTCGGGCTCGTTGAATTGTTGGCGGTGGTGCCGTCACTGCCACTGCCACTGCCGTTTTCACGCTGTCCACGAAGGATCAGAGTGCCAATGACTTCATCACCGAAGCGGGTGAGCAAGATCTCGTCTTCATCGCCAACACTGTTTCCGTCCTCACGGCCTAGATTCAACCACTTCCATGTTCCGATCCGCTCGGCCTCGACGAGATATCCACCCACAAGCCAACGGATGGTAACCAACACTGCCATCAGAACCCCTGTTGAAGTCGTGCCGACGAGCAATAGATCGCCCGTGGATCCCTTGTAGAAATGTTGGTAAACCAGACCAAACAGTAATACCAGGAGCGAAAGTGTCGCGGGATGGAATAGCACGGCCGTAGAGGCGATCTGGCGTTGTTGCGCGACCGAATCTGCCAAGAGATGTAGGGCCTCGACTTTGTCGTCTTCGGTGACGGCTAGGGTGGTTTTCAACTCCGGAATCAAATCGAGCGGAGATAAATGGGAGTTCTGTTGGTTACTGTCTGATACAACAGCATCCGACTCGGAAGTCTGGGCCAGGGCCGAAGGAGACGGAGGGGGAAGCGAGTTTGATGATGCCATGGTGACAGGGCGAAGCGAGTCCGGGGTATTAGAAAGGGAGGGCGGGGCTGAGTCGGCGTCTAGGATCAGATTTGCTCGTAGGGTATTGAAGAAGGCTGTTGTGCGACAAACAGAACTCGGAAAATTGTTAGATTAGGATGACCACCTAAACAGCAGACAACGTTCGTTTTGGCATCTTTCTGCAGGCTTTTTGGTTCTTCGTGTACAGTATGAGTCCTCCTTTTGTCTTCTCAGGCACAAACTACAAGAGAACCTCCCTCACAATACAACGGAACGCAAACTGTAAGGCGGCTGGATGGGTCGCGTGCTCACCGGCAGAGGTTTTGAAGCCAGGTATACGATCGCCGACTGCAAGGGCGGTGGTGCGACCGGTCTCTTGTAGCAGAGCGGCCGTGGAAGGATGATAGAGTACAGACTTGACACTAAGAAAGGAGGAAGTAGAAGGGAGAGAATGATGCTGGGACTGCGACTGCGACTGCGACTGCGAAGAGGATTGACCAGGGGGAGAAAGATTTCGAGAAATGTAAAGGTGTTCAGGAAGATGAGGGTGATGGTGCCGGCCCATCCTTGAATACAAGCAGACACCGTCGAGCAGCCAGCGTTGGCATGGCTTTTTTCGACGGCGTCGGCGTTCCCTGTGGGGAAAAACCGAGAAAAAATCCAATCCACCGAGATGGCGTTAGTCTAGAAGAAGCAAAGAACAAAGTCTAGAAGGTGAAGAATGAAGAGCGGAATCCCAGATGGCTCTGGCACCCTGGCACCCTGGCCCGCAGCACAGATGCAATAAAGGCAGTGGTAGGAGCGTCGAGAGGGAAAAGGAAAAAGATGGTGGAGAGAAAGTTGCGAGATGGAGAACGAGGGGCCGTTTTAGTAGAAGTTCGCCGGGCACGTTGGCGGTTGCGTTGCTGACACTGGCTGAGAGCAGAAGCGCAGGCGAGCCATCACCCAACATCCACCCCGAATGAGCCCATAGATACGACTACAGTGCTACCATCCAGTCCTTGCTTCTGCTCGTCCAATCCAGCCCATTTCTTGCGTCCAGAAGTCATCTCGTGCTCGTGATTTGCACTTCAGCCGACGCCGGCTCGCCTCCCACCTTATCGTCCCTTTTACGCCAGCAGGTTGCTGCGAGTCACCTACTCGTGTCAACGTATCGCGATCGAGAGGTCTACGCTTCTGAGCGTATCATCATGCCTCCCAACCCTCAGCCAAGCAGGTCTGATAACGTTGAGCAACAACATCTCCTTCTGTTATTGGCCACTGTGTGTTAGATGCAGGGAGCAAGCATGAAACAGTCGATATGATGCTGGTTGCATATCAGGACAGACGCGATAAGCAAGAGAATACTAGCAATGGACCTTGATCCTGATCATGCGCCAGTGCTCAACCAAGCAGATGTTAATGGTATCTCGAGGCAAGTCAACGTATTGTCATCATCATCTCACTCATGCTACTGAATCTCCTCTGCCGAATTGAATGCCCTAGACTCCGGCGGCAACCACTTTTCGTATCATCTCCTTTGCTCTCATCTAGTACGAACGACCAAACATACACCAGGCCTCGGCAGTTCTCGAGCAGTTGGGGTTCCCGCATTTGGTCACGCCCTTCTCGATGCCTTCAGGCTGCTCAAATGGAATGCAGAGACTCTTGGCTCCCATGCTTGGAGCCCGCTCGTCCTGCGGAACACCGCTCTGTTCCTCTGCCTTGCGTGCACTCAGGTCCTTGATTTGATCTTCGCACTCCTCCGTCAGACAATGGGGCAGGAGGATGACATTCTTCTCATTGAGTGCCGGCACAAATTCCTCCCAGTCCGTGATCTTTTTGATGTGGGATTTGTACTTGGCATTAGCGCGGTCGTAGAGGTCTTGTTGAATGGTATCCAACAGTTGAGGCACAGCCGTGTTCAGCTCGCTGATGGCAATCTGGCTCTTGCTCTCTTCCTTGGGGAGATCTCGTCGAGCAGCCGTCACGAAGTGACCCTTGCTCTCGCCCGGGCCGAACTCAAGACGCAGCGGAGTACCCTTCAGCTCCCAATCATTGAACTTCCAGCCTGGAGAGTATCCCTCACGGAAGTCAGCCTCCACGCGGACATTGACAGCCTTGAGCACTTCCTTCAGTCCTTCAATCTCCTTGTACAAGGCCTGCTTCTCTTCATCAGACATCTTCGCTGTGACTCCGACAGGCACAATCACCACCTGCGTCTCAACGACACGAGGTGGGAGAACCAGGCCTCGATCGTCTCCATGGATCATGACCATGACACCAATGGTACGAGTGGACAGACCCCACGAGTTCTGCCAGACGTACAGGTTGTTCTTCTTCTCCTCTTCAGTCTTCGCATTAGGATCTTGAACGGTGATGCCGAACATTTTGCTGAAGTTTTGTCCCAAGCAGTGCGACGTCCCGCCCTGGATGCCCCGCCCCGTGGCCGGAATGTAGCCCTCCACGGTAGTGGTGTACAGACCTCCCGCGAACCTCTCCTTGTCCGTCTTTCTGCCCTTGATGACTGGGACGGCCAGAAGCTTTTCGTAGACAGCAGCGTACAGATCCAAGATCTCTAGGACTTCTTTGCCCGCTTCCTGCTCGGTCAAATGTGCAGTGTGGCCTTCTTGCCAGTGGAACTCCCGCGTTCGTAGGAACGGTTGAGGATGCTTGAACTCCCATCGGACGACCGAGTTCCACTGATTGAGCTTTAGAGGCAAGTCGCGGTAGCTCTGGATCCATTTGGCGTAGTAAGGGTACATGACGGTTTCGGAAGTCGGGCGAATGGCGATCTTCTTCTCGAGCTTTGTGCTGCCGCCGTGGGTGACCCAAGCAACTTCGGCTGCGAAACCCTCAATGTGCTCCTTTTCCCGGTTCAATACATCCTCGGAAACGAACAGCGGGAACGAACAATTCTTGACGCCCATCTGCTTGATTTTGGCGTCAAACCACGCCCGAATTTCGTCCCAGATGAACTGCGACGCCGGCTTCAAGATGTAGCATCCCGAAATGTCGTAGTAGTCGAGCATATCGCCCTTCAGCAAGACCTGTTGGTACCACTCGGAAAAGTCGACATCCTTGGACACGTCGATACCGATCAATGCTGCCCCTTCCATCTTCTTCTTGGCCTTGCCTGCCTTCCCGCCCTGAGGCAGTTTGGCCTCTGCCTTGCCGATCGGCTTCTCAGGTTTGTTCTTGGCCTGCATCTTCTTCTCAGCCTTGGTCTTGGGTTCTTTCTCGCGGGTGGGCAGGTCAGCCTTGGGGGCTTCCTGAGCGTCGACCTTGGGGGTTTCTTGAGAGTCAGCCATGGTCTGTATGCTTCTGGCGACAGTGCACAGTGGCAGTGAGTCAGACAAGCAGGCTGCCCTTGTAGAGAGACTGCGCAGAGATGAACTTGAAGAGCGGGCTAGCAACAAAATAAAACGGGGCGGCGGGCAAGTTGTCGCACTGGCACAGCACCATACGCAGCGCAGTACAAATAATGTGTGTGACTGGCACACGATTCAAGTGGCACTGCAGTGTGACCGCCGCCGCCCGCGGAATTTGGGCTTGGCCGATGAAACCGCCCCGAGTTCACGTGCGTCTCAAGCATCAACCATGAACCAGGCAATACGACTATCACTGTTTACTTGGTAACGTGCCCTCTGAGAATACCTAATACGTAGACCTTATACTTATCAAGAGGATCCTCGCCATCAAAAGCGTTGTATATGTTATGCTGCTGGTATTTAGTACTGTAGCGTGCAGGGTGGTATTAGTCATCATAATCGGGGAGACTTCTCGGCCGCTTTTACCTCGCTCCTCTTGGCGCGATCCGCCGACTCTGCTTGTCTCGTGTCAAGTTGGGGTCGATTTTTGGGCTACTAGCATCGTAGTACTTGACATTTCCAAACACTTCCGCCGGCGCAGTCTACGTTCTCACAGCCTTGCACGAACCTCATCTGGACTCTACGAAGGGCACTCTATAGATGGCCGGCCTTTTCGAAGCCCCGCGCAACGCGGGCACCCTTTTCCTCGGGGGCACCAAGATCAGCGGGCCGGACATTCGAGAGCAAAATGTCCTGGCAACACAGGCGATAGCAAATGTGGTCAAATCGTCGTTCGGGCCTTCTGGGTTGGACAAGATGATGGTGGACGACATCGGTGACGTGACGGTGACCAACGACGGGGCGACCATCTTGAGTCTGCTTGACGTGGAGCATCCGGCCGGCAAGATTCTGGTTGATCTTGCACACCAGCAGGACAAGGAGGTGGGAGATGGAACGACATCGGTTGTGCTCATCGCGGCCGAATTGCTCCGGCGAGCCAACGAGTTGATGAAGAACCGGATCCATCCGACCGTCATAATCACGGGCTACCGTCTCGCCCTGCGCGAGGCGGTCAAGTACATGCAGGAAAACATCAGCACAAGAGTGGAGACGCTGGGGAGGGAAAGCCTGATCAACATTGCAAAGACATCGATGTCGAGCAAAATCATCGGTGCCGACGCCGACTTCTTCGCCAACATGGTGGTCGACGCCATGCAGTCTGTCAAATCGGTCAACCCGCAAAGAAACGAGGTCAAGTACCCGGTCAAGGCGGTCAACATCCTCAAAGCCCACGGAAAGAGTGCGACCGAGTCGATACTAGTCAAAGGATATGCGCTGAATTGCACGGTTGCCTCGCAGGCCATGAAGACCAGGATAACCGACGCCAAAATCGCTTGCCTCGACATCAACCTGCAAAAGGAACGGATGAAGCTGGGTGTTCAGATCACAGTCGAAGACCCGGATCAGTTGGAAAAGATCCGCGAAAGGGAAGCCGGCATTGTTCTCGACCGGGTCGAGATGATCCTGAAGGCCGGGGCGAATGTGGTCTTGACCACCAAGGGGATCGATGATCTCGTTCTGAAGCTGTTTGTGGAGCGTGGGTGCATGGCCGTGCGGAGATGTAAAAAGGAGGATCTACGACGGATAGCAAAAGCCACGGGCGCCACGCTGATCAGTACGCTTTCGGACATGAACGGAGACGAGAAATTCGAAAAGGAATATCTCGGCCATGCAGACGAAGTGGTGCAGGAACGGATATCCGACGACGAATGTATCCTCGTGAAGGGAACAAAGGCCTTCTCGTCTGCATCGATTATCCTGCGGGGTTCGAATGACTATCAACTCGACGAAATGGAGCGGTCAGTCCACGATTCGTTATCGGCCGTCAAACGAACTCTGGAATCTGGCAGCATCGTTCCCGGTGGCGGTGCGGTCGAGACGGCATTGCACATCTATCTCGAAGAGTTCGCCATGACCGTTTCGTCGCGAGAACAGCTGGCAATCGGCGAGTTCTCCCAGTCTCTGCTCATCGTTCCCAAGACATTGGCTGTCAACGCCGCCAAAGATGCTTCGGAACTCGTGGCCCAATTGCGCGTTCGCCATGCTCTCAGCCAGAGAGTGCAGGAAGGCGATGCTAATGAGAGGGAAAAGGATCTCGAGAAGAAGAAACAGTACAAAAACTATGGCCTCGACCTGACTAAAGGCAAGGTCACCGACGTCGTCAAGATGGGTGTGCTGGAACCCAGCATGAGCAAGGTCAAACAGCTCAAGAGTGCTGTCGAGGCTTGCATTTCCATCATGAGAATAGACACCTTGATCAAGCTAGATCCCCCGGAGCAAAAAGAAGATGATGGTCATGGACATTGAGAAGCTGTTCGGTAACGGATTGACCAAGTGATGGAATCATCCTCACGGGTGGTTTGAAAAGTCAGCAAACCTGCACGACATGAATTTGGACCTCTATGCTCTGTTATTACCGACAAACGAAGAAAAGATGCCGGCATAGCAAGCTGGGATTCCTACATGTGGACACGAGGAGGCTCAAGCTTACCAGCGCGTGCTTTCAACGCCGATGTGACAACAGTGCCGGCCTCAGAGAACATCATCCTAGTACGAGCCATTGGCAGTCATGCATCGGGTGCAACTAGCCGCTCGACATTTGCAGGGAAGACTAGATTCAGTGTCTGAGGTGGAGTGGACGTGAGTCTTGATACTGCAGCCAGCCATACCCTACCTAGGTATGCTAGACACCATAGGTAGACGATGAGCAAAGAACATGTCGCGTCCTTGCTCTGTATACAATAATGATACGATAGCACCACCAAAGACCTTTGAACTGTGTTCATTGTCGTTTTCGTTTTTATTTTCATTTTCATTTTTTGTAATTCTTGCCTACTTCGCTAAGCTCCGTAGGAATCATCAATCACTTTACCTAGGATAATCCTTAATATGGAAACTCTTCAACTTGACGAACTGGTCAAACCCAAATCGACTCAGTGTGACACCCTTTCCGGAATCCTTCCAACCGGTCCAAGCGAGATCGGGACTAGGATAGTCAGCGCGATTGACAAAAACCGTACCGGCCTCAACGCGACGAGCGAGCTGTTCTCCACGCTCCACATCCTTTGTCCAAATGGAAGCAGTCAACCCGAACTGAGAATCATTCATCAGGGCGACAGCTTCATCATCGCCCCCTTCTTTGACTTTCATGACTGGAATAACCGGGCCAAAAGTCTCATCTTGCATGACGGACATTGAATGGTCGACATTTGTCAACAGGACAGGAGCGACGAAATTCCCCTCCAGCGAACTTGCTTTCTCAAACGACGCATTCTGCGGAGTCGCGTCGACGGCACCCTTTGCTTTCGCATCTGCAATCTGTTGCAAAATCGCCTCTTTGGAGCGTTTCGAGACAACAGGTCCAATCTGAGTAGATTTGTCCATCGGGTCACCTAGCTTGTAGTTTGCTAAAACTTTCTTGACCTCAGCCACAAAGGCATCATGGACAGCAGCGTCGACATAGACTCTTTCAATCGCACAGCACGACTGGCCTGAATTGAAGATTGCGCCATCGACAATCTCCTCGGCCGCCCATGCCGGGTCAACATCTCCACGCACATACGCGGGATCTTTCCCTCCTAGTTCCAACCCGACGGAACACGAAACCCGCGAACTAGCGATCTGTTGAATCGCAAGACCACCGGCCACTGACCCCGTGAAGCAGATGTGGTTGATGTCAGGCGACAGAATCAAAGGCCTCAAATCCGTCGGGTTCCCACAGTGGAGGTACTGGATCACATTGGACGGTAGGCCTGCGGCGGCGAAGATGTCCGCAATGTGTTCGACGATGGTGGGTGTCTGCGGTGACGGTTTGAGGATGACCGCGTTTCCTGCTAGTAGGGCTGGAATCAGACTGTTCACTAGGATCAGGTACGGGTAGTTCCAGGCGAATATGACGAGAACCACTCCGACCGGCTCTTTGCGCAGGTATCGTTTGAATCCGGTCTCTGGTTCCCCTGGTATTTCTTTGCCTAGCACCTCTGGCGCGATCTTGTTTAGGTATTCGGCCCGCTTGATCGCGGTTGTGATTTCTTTGCCTGTGTAGGTGATAGGTCGGCCCATTTGTTCTGTGAGTTCGCGTGCCAGTTCATCTTGTCGTGAGGAAAGGATCTCGAGTGCTCGAGTGATGATCTTTTGGCGGCTTTCGAGGGTTGGGTGTGTTTCGTTGTATGATTTGAATGCTTGTTGGGCTGTCTTTCCTAGGTCCAGAATCTCGTTTGGCGGTAGACCATGCCGTGTTAGAATGGGCTTGTTGGTCACCGGGGAAATGGTCGTGATGATTTCGGCCACCATTGTTGGAGAGAGTCCGTGGCAAACACCACCGGTAGCAGACTCTTAGTAGGAGCAAAAGGAGATACGGAATGGAAGGAAAAGAATGGAACTGGGATCCAGGAGGCAATTGGAATCTTGTTTCGGTTCAAATGCAGAATCTGAGACTGTAAAAGTAGTTTGCTCTCGACTACAACAGTATATATTAATGTACAGGACAATAGAGTCCGCAGGATCGGAGAATGACGCACCAGGCTCGGAGGACCGCGCAGCCTCGTCAGCCTTACACGCCCCGCCCCTTGCCACAAGCACTACGATGTAGTAATAGTGGTGCTATCTCACATTGTACATTGTAGGTAGGTAGTCGAGAAGACTGCTGCTCCCCAGCTCTATTTGCATTCCGTGGTTCTACAAGGCGCACGTACATAGGTCGTTGTAACGTCCACATTGCTCAATATCTCGAAATTCGATGTGTCTGGTGGGGCTATGGAAATAGAAGAAAATACCCTTCCCAATATCTTGTCATAACCATGGATACAGGCAGATTTTTATTATTGTTGCTATTTAATCCTCGTCAATATCCACGTCGATGGCGTCCGGATTGGCCGCAGGGGCAGCAACAGTAGTCTCCACTGGCTGCTGTGCCTGTGTAACCCGGTTTCCACCTTCTGGCCCTGTACTGGCGGCGACAAAGCCGACAGGGGCTCGAGCCTGTCGCTCCAAGGCGGCCATTGCGTCGCCGAGATTGTTGTTGCCGCTGCCATCTTCTTCGACACCGTTTGCGCTTCCTCCCGCCGCGGCTGCCGCCGCTTCTTGACTTCTTTTGACAGCCTGACTGGCGATGAACTGCACATCGGTGTTGAACTGGGCCTGGACACTCCGCTTGATGCGGAGCATCTCCTTGAACGTGTCCTCGTTGCCGTGGGCGACTTCGAACTTCTCCCAGGTATCCCACAACTCCTTGTCGACGCGCGGGTCAGCAAACTGGCTGGCATGACCGTAGATGGCTCTTGCGCGGTCGATTTCGCCCAGGCGGCGTTCCATCTCGGCAAATCTCAAACACATTGTTTTGGCCTCGTTGTCCGGCAAAGCGGCAATCGCGCGCTCGTAGATGGGCCGCGTCGACGTCAGCCCGAAATTGGACGCCGACTTGGTAATATAAAACTCAAACATAGAAAACCGGTCCTTGTCGCTGACGGAGCGAGTCGCCCGTTCGTAGATGCGCATCGCCGACCGAGCCAAGCCCCTTTCTTCCTCCAGGTTGCCGTACATCAGATAGATGGGCTTGGCGAATTCCGGAGGACAGTTTTCCAGTGCTTGCTCGAACAGGTCGCGGAGTCGCTCCATGCCCAATTTGCGTTTTACTGCTTTCGTGAGGTACAGGTTCCACAGCTCGAATGCGACCGGGTATGTAAACACATCAAGGCCTCGCTCGTACACCTTGAACGACTCCTCAAAGTACCCGTGCTCCTCCAGGAGATTGGCATAATTCACCACTGTCTGCGGTGTCGCGATTCGAAGCTCGAAGATCCGGTCGTACACAGCCCGTGTTTCGTCTAACGAGCCCACTGACTCGACCAGATCCACGTAGAACGACCACACCTTCCACGACTTGTGCACTCGCTGCTGCGGCGACAAGGTTTCGTCGAAATAGTCCACTGTGCTCCGTTTGGGCGCCTTTGTCGCCGTCGCCATCACCTTCATTGCGCCGTCGAAGTTCTCATTGCGAAGCTCCATTTCTGCCCAGCCGATCCATGTATCCGCCAATTCGGCCACAGATTTATAAGGCACTTTGACGGCCTTGTCAAGGATGATGCGTGCGGTGTCAAGATCGCCCTCTTGTTCATAGAACTTGGCGTAGTTCAACCATAACTCGTGGAACTTGCCGACTGCCTTTTTGGGTGCAATTGCCGCAATGGCGTCCGCGTATGTCTGGACCACTTCTTCCTTGTTGTCGTTCCACAGGGCCACCCGTTTCTCCCATTCAACCACATTGTTGGGATTCTGTCGCAACAACACATCATTGACCAGGAACGGCCGTCGATCCATCAAATGCTCAAAACGCATCATCCTCATGTCCAGGTCAAAATCCTTTTCTGGGTCGACAATCCCTTTGGCAGCTCGCGCAGAGGCAGCGTCCATCAGTGTGGAAATGACCGATTCCTCGAACTCGACGTAGGCATCAAAGATCATCGTAAAGTCGCGCACCGTCATAACGGTTGTGATTCCCTCTTCAAACACGTCCCGAGCCCTTTCAAAGTCACCCCGCGTGATCCAGTACGTTGCAAGCCCCGCCCATAGCTTGCCACGTTGGTCGGCGAATCGTTCGATCCCGCTTCGAATGATCGTATCCGCATCAAACCCTGCCACTGAACTGTCCCCGATTTCTCGCGCCTTGTTCACCATCAACTCCACCATTTCGCTCCAGAGCTGGAACTCGCTTTTGATGTGTTTCGAACGGAACCTCGGGTTGTCCAAAATCTGTATGTACCGTTTGACAGCCTCGAGGTAATGGCCCGTCTCGATCAGCAGGTCGATGTAGTCTTCCATATCCTCGGGATGTGCTTGAACATAACGCGACCATATCCTTACGGCGGTCTCTCCCCCAGCAGAAGTGGCGAACGATTTGTACAGCTTCCAGATCCGGTTATGTTGGGTCACAGGTAAAGCTCGTAACGCGCGATCGAATGTTCTGCGGGTTTTTGTGGCATATGGCTGTCGTAGAAGAAATGAGAGATACATCTCCCAGATCACGGGCATTTTATTGAGTAGGACCAACGCGCGTTCAAACAGCGCATTAACTTTGTTGTATTCCGCCCTGTATTTGACCGGATTCTTCTTCTTGAGATGCTTGATCCGGAACTCCAGGTACATTTTCCAAAGCTTGTATGATCGTGGTAGTTGTATGCAGGCCCTCTCCTGCACAAACGCTTGTTCATGGATGGTGCCATTGCGCATTTTGTAGTCGATGTAAAGCAGCCATGGTCGGATACTGTCGGGATTTCGAAGGATATCCTGTTCGTAGACAGCATCTTGGTTCGAGATGAGGTAAAAGTCTGGTTTGCCCGGCGTGGAAGAATCCATGACGGCTGATTCTGCAGCAGGCTGGCGTACAATGCCAGGCATCGTCGTTGGTCGTGGGTCTTTGCGCAGGACAGGAGGCCCGATGTGTTCGAGTTTCGTGAACCGCAAGAAAAGAGGAGGTGTCTGTAAGAAGCAACTCTGCCGAGATGACTTCAGTTTTAGCGAGGATTACCGCATACTACCAAGTACTAGCAACACCGCCGCACTAGCAGCACTGCTCTACGCAGCCTTGCATGTGCATGTCAAGCTTGCAGGTGTGACATAGGACCAATTCCATTCCATTTCCTTCTGCCGTCTCGTTCATTTGCAGCACACACGTCGCTTCGAACACATCCGCGCAATGTCTGCAGGCGCAGGGGTAAGTCCTCTATCTCCCTCCGACTCATATCTAGCTTGACTAACACAGGGACACAGCGAGAGGCCGTCTTCCCCACGCGGCAGGCGTTGGGGCTGATGAACGCCAAACTGAAAGGCGCTCAGACGGGTCACAGCTTGCTGAAGAGGAAGAGCGAGGCGTTGACAAAGTATGTGGTGACCTCTTTCTTACTGTCCGTACTGACTGACCTGTCGATAGACGATTTCGAGGTACCAATGATGTCTGCTGATAAGCCGAGTCCTACGATACTAAGCTGTACACAGAGATTTTGAAACGAATCGATGAAGCCAAGCGGAAAATGGGCCGAGTTATGCAAATTGCTGCGTTCTCTCTGGCCGAAGTGACCTATGCCGTGGGCGGGGATATCTGCTACCAAATTCAAGAGTCCGTCAAGACGGCACGGTTCCGGATCAAGACAAAGCAGGAGAACGTATCCGGCGTCTACTTACCTCAATTTGAAGGATATACAATTGAGGAAATAAATGATTTTGGCTTGACCGGTCTCGGAAAGGGAGGGCAGCAGGTGCAACGATGCCGGGAAACCTACACTCGAGCTGTAGAAACGCTCGTTGAACTGGCCAGCTTGCAGACGGCCTTCACGATCCTGGATGAGGTCATCAAGATTGTGAACAGGAGAGGTATGTCGATAGCGTGTATTCCATGGACTCGGGCTGACTGCGTATAGTCAACGCTATTGAACATGTCATTATTCCACGGACGGAAAACACTATTAAATGTAAGTCGCCTGAAACTAACACGACCCACCCCAGGTGACATGCTGACCGTATGGTAGACATCAACTCGGAACTGGACGAACTGGACAGAGAAGAATTTTACCGGTTGAAGAAAGTATCGGGAAAGAAACAAAGAGATCAAGCGGCCGCGGACGCCGAGGTCGCTCTACAACGAGAAAAGGAGAAGGCCAAAGGTGTCAGCGAGAATGAAAATGAGAAGGAGGTGGAGTCGAAAGACGTCCTGGGTGAAAATGAGGACGAGGATGTCATATTTTAACACTGTCACAGCAGCCTTGCAACGCCGGAAACCCCCTAACCATGCATGGGTATCAAGTGTATGGTGATTCAGCCACTACCCTCCAATGAAATAACCTTACTTTTTCCATCCTCTTCAAGTTCGTGGCATGATCATCTTCCAAAAGAACAAGTTGAAAACATCATGCTCGTTGATAAGTGACCCTAATCCCTTTGCCCTCATCACCAAGCTGCATGCCAGCGGTGGCTTCTTTGGCACTAATCGCACCGGCCTCGGACTCGTACTCGACGAATGCGATTCCTTTGCGCCCAGGCACCATACGGACTTCTTTAAATCCTTCAAACCGGCTGAATATCCTCGACAGACCATCGGCATCGTAGCTGTCCGGTAAATCTCTGATAAACAAGATCTTGTTGGGTGGAAGATATTCGTCGGGGATGATTGCAGCGGCATTCGTGCCTGAAGGTTTGAGACCGGCACCCTTGGCCGTCTTTGCTGGCCGCCCGGCCAAGCCAGCACCTTCTTGAGCGCCAGCGGCCTGCGCCGGCCTCTTGAGTTTCTGCTGTGTCGCCTCCTGCGCTTGTTTCCGTTCCTTTTCTGCTAGGCGTGATCGCTTCCACTTTTCCAGACCCTGCTCGCCTTCCTCTTTGAGCACCGTGGCATCCGACCGCGTGCGCGCAAAGTCCAATTGCATCGGCTTGTCGAACAGTTCGAACCCATTCACTTCTTCGATCGCCTTGGCCGCACTTTCAGCCGAGTCGAACACCACAAAGGCTTGTCCTTTCGCCTTGAGGTTTTTCTTTGCGACAAGGTCGATGATATTGCCATATTCGGAGAAGATTTCAGTCAGAGCTTCCTTAAGTTGGTCGATCTTTATGCGCTCCTCGAGGTTCTTCACGTAGACCCTGGCAAACCCGTTAGCTTGTCCATTCGCAGCAGGAAGTGGCCCAGTGAGACATACGTTGAGCTCGGAGGGTTTTGCGTCGTCGTTGTAGTCGTTGTGCTCATGGCGAAGGTTATGATACAACAAGCTGGAGGAGATTGACAACGTCTACCCTACCACCGACCTGCCAATGCACGATAAGATGCGTTTCGGCGATTCCTTGTAAGCGGTATCAAGATTCCAGACTCGCGCACTATACGCTGGAAGTGGCCAGCGAGAGTATGGCCCGCGCTAGGCACGTGATTGCTTATATCAGCACAAGAGGATGAATACACCACGTGATCGTGAGCCTTCCAGATCATCACGTGTCAGTGCCACTCTGCCGTGAAACATGCTCACGCTGAAATTACGGCACGAGAGTCGATCCGGAAAGGCTCCTCACCACCTCAAATTCGCTTCCCTGGTTGCCTGAACAGCCACTCCAACCTCTTCATATCCAGCACTCCTTCCAGCCAGAGATGCCTGAAGTCAAATGAGGACATTGGAGAATGATTATTTGCTGCCCGTTGTTTATGCATTGTATCCTGCAGACCAGCCGATCAAACGACTCCGAATCTGTTCGTCGCTGGCGCCGGTGTTTTGAAGCTTAACCACGAACCAGATGCAGTCAAAAAGCTTGGGACCACTCACAAGCAATGTTATTTTATTATTGCCACGTCCGTGAGGTTGGCAGAGGTTGGTATCAGCTTCCACTCTGCCGCACATCTTCCTATTCCTGTTCGTGGTGTTTTGCTACGCTGGGGATCAGGTATACAGTCATGTCATACCACCCACTTGTCGCCTGCCGGACTCGCCATGCCAGCCATCCACTCCAGTTGCAAGGGTACTTTGGGCCCTGGAAGCCCCGTACACAATCTGTTGGGCATGTCTCGCTTTGCTACGGGGTTTCGGCATTGAAAAAGAAACATACCTCCATAATAAGATTGTGCAGCTCCACATGACAATCCACTGTGGCTTGCACCTTGCCCCTGTAGGTAGAGCCTTATGGACCCTGCACGCCAATCAGAGGAGTGTTCCTGAGGACAATCTGACAATGTCCCCTGACACCCAGCGCAGGAAGCGAGATCTAAAACGATATTCTTCTCGTCGCCAACCGCAGGCTCGGACGGTGGGTAAACTCAATTTCGTGCGGTTCTAGCGGCGATCGCTCCTGCTTGACTAAAAGGCTTTGACTTGGACGCGTGGAAAGATGGGTGTATCACTATATCTAACTATTGCCGGGCGGATTGCTGCTCCATTCTTCCTTTTCCAAACTTTTGTACAGACTAATTCTTCTTCTTCAACACCGTTTCTTTAGTTTTTGTAGTGTCGCTGTCGCATTTTACCACCTAATACGCCATGCGGCGCGATCTATTCCTCGCTGCGGCGGTCGTCGCTGTGGCCGAGAGAGCACTTGCCATTCCGACGCAAAACTGGGCCGAGACAGAGCCGCAACGACTGTCGGCACGAAACATCGTTGATCAAGTGGACGAGGCTTACGACTTTGTCATCGTTGGAGGAGGTCTTGCAGGGCTTGTCCTCGGCGCTCGTCTGTCGGAAGACTCGAATCATACAGTACTTGTCCTCGAGGCGGGCGGCAACGGAGACGAGTATCGAGATCAAATAGGTAAGAGGCTTGAAAATGGTCAAAGATCTGTGAAAGCTGTTCTGAGTGTCTGACGCTGGTATAGATGTACCCGGAAATGCATACTACAAATCCCTATGGCCGACCGACCTCAACTGGGATTTCTACACCGTCCCGCAAGAAGGGGCCAATAACACTTCGTGTGAATGGCCCCGTGGCAAGGTCCTTGGAGGTTGGTAGCCTGCACTGTGCTCTGGCAATCCAGGAAAATGCTGACAATCACCTTCCACAGGCAGTTCTGCCATCAACGGGCTGTACATGAATCGGCCTGGCCAGATCGAGCTTAATGCCTGGCAAGACCTCATCGGTGACATGGACGGCGCTGACAACTGGTCCTGGGCTTCGTTCTACGCAGCCATGAAGAAGAGCGAGACGTTCACTGCCCCAGTCGATGATGTTGTCCAAGAAGCCGCCATCACTTGGGAAGCTTCGAGCCATGGTACCAACGGTCCTATCCACCAGTCGTATCCCGGATACACGTTCCCTTACGTCGGAGAGTGGTCTACCGCTGTACAGACCGTTGGTGTCGAGGTGACTCACGATGCTTATGGTGGAAAGAACTGGGGCGCTTATGTTGCAACATCCGCAATCAACCCGACCAACTGGACTCGATCGTACAGTCGTTCCGGATATCTTGATCCTCTCCCACCTCGTGCCAACTACGATGTTCTTGCCAACGCTCAGGTTACTCGAATCGTCTTCAATTCCTCGTCGCCCTCGGGCAACTTGACAGCCAGTGGAGTTGAGTACACGCGTGACGGTGGTGCCACAAAATTGACCGTCGGAGTTAAGAAAGAAGTTATCCTGGCTGCCGGCACTGTTGGCAGTCCCACAGTGCTCATGCACAGTGGTGTCGGCCCGAAGGATGTTCTCACTGCTGCTGGTGTGGAAGTTCTGTCTGAGTTGCCTGGTGTAGGCCAACATCTCCAGGACCATGTGAGCGTCAGCTTGCAATGGAGCACCGACAATCCGACCGCAGGTTCTATGTATGCCGACAATGACACGGTTACGACTACGGCGGCGTACCTTTCGTACGTTAACTCTGCTGTGGCCTACGTCAACTCGTCTGTTCTGTTCGGCAACTCAGTAAGCAGCCTGAAGTCAAACATTCTGAGCCAGTTCTCGCAATTTGCCACGAAGGCTAGCTCCGATGAGAACGTTGTATCTGGTTACAAGGCCATCTACGACACCACAGCCAATGATATTTTCAACGGCCCTACCGGTCTGGTCGAGCTCTTGGTCGGCAACAACGTCGACGGCGCCATCCGTATCGGCGCCGCTCTCCAGCACCCGTTCAGCCATGGCTCAATCACCATCAACTCGTCTAACCCCTTGGATTACCCTGTCATCGACCCTCGCTACTTGACACATCCTGCTGGTACGTTTCTCTCACTGGTTCCATTTTGTGGCATTAATCTAACCTATGTTTTCTCCTTGTACAGACGTACAAATCCTTCGCGAAGGCATCAAATTGGCTCGACGCATCGGTGAGGCCCAGCCCTTGGCAAGCGAGATGAAGGAAGAAGTGTACCCCGGATCCGCCGTCCAAACCGACGAGGAATGGGAAGAATGGATGCGCGGCGGTGTCTTCACCGAGTTCCACCCGTCCTCGACGTGTTCCATGCTTCCGCTCGACCAAGGTGGTGTGGTGGATGCCAACCTGCGCGTCTACGGTCTAGCCAATGTCCGAGTGGCCGATGCCAGTGTTCCTCCCATTGCATTCTCCGCGCACTTGATGGGATCAACGTACGGATTGGCCGAGCAGGCGAGCACCTTGATCCGGGCATACCACAACAAGAAGATTCCGGTTATCGCACACACGAGCTCGAACAATTCGACCGACTCGAGCCACAACAAGGCCGCATCGACGACAATAGCCGTTTCGGCATCAACTGCGACGAGCTCTTCTTCGGCAACTGCCACCAATGGAGCCTCATCGCTTGATACCCGCTCGTGGTCCGTTATCACCACTGTGGCTGCATTCATGGTTTCGGCGTTTGTCTTCTCCATGTAAACAGTCCAACTCTTATTACTTTTCTCCTATCCGATTGGGCACATAACTTTTGTCCAGGATGACACCACCGGTCTTTGGTGATCCAAGTTACGACTATTCTTCTTTCTTCCACACGACCTTTCACTTTTCCTTGGCCGACAAAAGCTGCGTCCCGACTTTCGATTTCGAAGTCTTTTATTTCACGAGGCTAGGCTTTTTGAGGATACATTATCTTTCTGTTTGTTGTGTCCAGTACGACTTACAGATATGACCATTCATTACTTTTGGATACCGGGTTCGGCGTTCGGTTCAATGGAAATTCTACAAATACATATTTTGCTTCTACTATAACTATTAATCCAGTACAATTAATGGACTTTGGGAGCCACAAGGCACGAGAAAGAGGGCCGGAAATTGGCCGCCGAAATCGTTGAAGGAAGGGATCGAGCGTTGATGTGAGTCCCATGAAGCTGGATGTCACCAAGCAACCTGATTGTTCTTGTCAGCAGCCCGGCATAGAAACAAAAGCCTGGTTTGGAGGACATGGAACCCTTGGTGCAACGCCCTGCTGCTGGGTGGCTGGTACAAGTGGATTACTCCAACAGAGCCCATCCTCAAGACCAACCGCTGGCTACGGTGGACAAAGACAGAAATGGTCAGATCAAAGCCGCCCGGTGGTTCAATGGGCACTCTACCTACCCTCGCAAACTGGTTGTCGACGCTGGTAAAAAAAATGTACCAACGTCATGACCAACAAACAGATTCCGATGTGACTTATGCTCGCCTAATGGCCCGAGACAGATATCGAGGCTGATCAAGGGGGCGGAGGATCGAAGATCGAGGGTGAAGGATTGGAATTGAAACAAAAGCGACTAACATTGGGCTCGTTCTGAGTAGTGATTGACGACAATTGGAGAAGAAACAATGGAACCAGTGCAGTGGTAACTTGGTGTATGTACCGTGCCTTACAGTAACTACCTCAGATAGGTAGTAGGATCCAGGCAACCTCAATCGAAGCTGTCCTTGTGTATATTCAGATTTCTTTAAGTCCGCGATCGCAAGCTAAAGTGTATAATAGTACCTTGCTTACTCGCGACCAGGTAGCAGGTAAGGTACCAGGCTGGTGCCAGATACTTGTGGAAAATACCTAGACAGCAAGGCGGCGTGGCGTAGTCCAAAGGTCAGTCGGGAGCAGGGACATGGTCATAGATATGGTGTTTACCACACTACCTAGGTACTACTCTAGAGCTAGACAGTCACCTAGAGAGTGTCACTCCCTAACTTCTCACATCCGGTGATGTATCAAGTCATCGTTGCTTTCCCCCTGACCACTGTCAACTTATCCGTTTGAAAATGATAGGACACATTGATTATCATATCAACTCGGAACAAATTGAAGTATGCAACAAAGCTACAAGGCAACAAAACAATAATGCGTACTTCGCTCCGCTCCGTAGGACAGGAGGACAAGGCTGGACAGTACAAGTCTTTCAGCAGCCTCATAAGTGCCTATTTCTTCCTCTTCGTATCTGCAGCTGAGCTCAACTGGACGGACATTCTGCATCCCTGCCTTTTCTTCATCTCAAAGCTCTCTCCACCCCTGCCTACAGTACCCTTACTCTTACCCATACCCCGAAACAAACACAGCGACCAGCCACACAGGCACTGCACTGCACATCATCCCAACCACCAACCTTCTCCTTTGGTCCACCCATTCCAAGGAATTCCAAATCATGATATGACTGGAAATGCAGTGCAGTGCGTTGGCGTTGCGGTAGCCACTCCATTCACTCTGTACCGACAACTCCGTTTCGTCTGCTATTCATTCAAGCTATTCAAGCTATTCAAGCCTGACCCTCCCTCAAGGTCAAGTAAACCAACAACCCCCACTGAACGACAAAAAAGCTGGAATGATGTTCGAGCGGCTTACTCGGATTGACCAGCTGGATGTCGTAGCGGCGGAAGATCTGGGGGAGGACCTTGTTCATTTCGAGCAGGGCTAAATGGCGACCGATGCAGACGTGGGATCCGCCGCCGAACTAGATGTGCACCGACAGAGGTTGGTTAGAATGGTCGAACAAAACACAAAGACAAATAAAACACTCCTGCAGGGCTGTCTGGCAAGAGACTGTCTGGCAACAGCCTCTGTGTGCTTACCTGAAACATACACCTATCCATCAACTTGATCTTCTCCTTATCGCCCTCCAACCACCGTTCAGGCCTGTAAACATCGGCATCTTCCCCAAAGACAGACTTGTCTCGATGCAAGACCCAACCATTGACAGCGACCTCAGTCCCAGCGGGCAGTTTGACACCATTGATCTCAGCACCGCCGGGCGGGACTTTTCTTGTAATATTCAATCCGACGGCCGGGGCAATCCTCATGGCTTCTTTCAGACAAGCCTGGAAATAAGGCAGACTCTGGGCTTCATTGTAGGTGACCATCTCGGAAAGATTCGCAGTCAATAACTCCTCAACCAATTTATCATAGACGCGTCGGTTGGCCAGCACGTACCAGCAGAAACTCTGCATGGTACTAGCCGTGCTGTCGCTGCCCGCAAAGATGGCCCCGTGGGCAATGGCAAACACGTCCCCTGGACCTAATGCTTCGGGATGTTGGCGCTGAGACTCGATCAAACTGTTGAGTAAATCTCTATATTCCTCGGGTTTCTTGCCCGGAGGCGGATTCTTGCGTTTCTCCAGCTGCGCCAGGGCCGTGCGTGTCACGAGTGCATTCTTGGTCGCCAGGAACGGAATGAATTGCCACAGTGGGTTTCGACGCAGTAGATGGTCCAGCCATGGGACCTGGCCGACCAGCCCATTATACCATTGCGAGTTGTCGATTGTGCGGATCGCCCCGTCGACATCGACCCCGGCTTCGAGGAAGCCAAAGTTACTCGAGAATGCGACTTCGCCTAGGACCTGGGACATCAAAATCTGTTAGCAATAGAAGAGAGGAGAGACAGAAGAGTGGAGCTGTGCTGTATTGTACATACATCAAAAGCAAAATAATGCAACCAGTCTCCAAGATCGCAGATTGTTTTTCCATCGGCGAATCCATCCAGTTTCCGAATCAGGAGTCTTTCGGTCTCTTCGATGCGCGGCGTGCTTTGCATCATCGATGCCAGACTGTAGGGCGTCGCGGCGTAGCGCTTCTTGACGCCATGCACGGCCTCGCGCGTCTCGGTGAAGATGTCTGGGTTTTCGGGCGGTGGGAACACGCCGTAGAAGTCGGTCTTGTGGAATCCTTTGCCCGTCTTGAACAGTTCAATGGCCGCATCGGGTGACGAAAACGATACCTCGTTTGGCGCAATGCGCACAACGGGTCCTAGTAATGTCAAGTTAGCTCCCTGGTTCCCGTGTTTCTGTTTTGCATATCATGCCAGTTGTGCCAGTGCCAAACATACCGTATTTCTTGTGGAGCGCGATTTGATGTTGCTCGTTTTTGCCTGTCCAGACACTCCATACTGTAAAACAAACGCGATCAGCCATAACTATTCACAAAGTATTGCCCGAGACACATACCTTTCCATAGCCTGGTGCAAGATGCGAGAAATGGACCGGGGAATTGTCTCAACGGCGACGAGTATCGGTTATATAGAGGTCGGACGAACAGAAGAACAAAGATGATGAGGAAAGGATGAGCCTTTAGGAACTGCCATACCAGCAGAACGGCGGACTGCGTCACAGGTCTGTCGTCGGTCGCCGAGGCTGCCATCTTGATTCTTGATATGCACGGACACGAAGCTGACGAGTTCCAAGTCTGGTCGAGAGGCGCGCGCCGCTGCACGGTGTGACCTTTATTGAAGCAGAGACGAGTCGACGACGAGGTCTGTCGGGTATCGTAGTACTCAACAAGTAGGTGTAGTACTAGTGATCTATGTAGCAGGTGGGTTGTCGTACAAATAAAGACCCAGACCGAACTGACGCCAGCTGCCACACCACTCACTCCCGATGCTTTGTTTCTCTGCGTGTGTCCACTTTCCAGACTCGTTTATCGATTCGATGACCATCCAGGGAAAGAGAAACCAAAAGAAAGGAAAAGGACCGCCACTTACTGGCGCGCTGAGCGGTCACAGAAAAGGACCACGGGCACGGCACGGCAACGGCAAGGCAAGGCAAAGGCAATTGGCCCTCTCCACACATGGGAGCTGGAAGCGGGAGGGAGGAAACCAGACATGATAAGGACATCCATGTTCATGGATGGGATGGGTTCTCGGGACTGACCCTGGGTTGTCCACTGCCACTGCATGGCAGTTACTGTTTGTTACTCCGGGTCTTTTGCCGTACAAAGGTGGTGGTAAGTGGTGCAGTGGTGGTGGTGGTGTTCGGCTCATGGTTCAAGCTTGGGCTCTCACACTCACTGGTACGCTTCCCCCGGTCACCTACCTTCCCCATCTTCGATCCCCATCCCCCATCTCCATCTCCGTTCCCCAGCTTGGTGAAAGGAGAGGGAGAGGGAGGAGAGAAGACATAAGGTTGGCCCCACCTCGTACCTGGGAAGCTCAGGTCAGCTCAGCCCCACGATTGCCGGGCCGGGCTGGTCTGAGTGAGGTAGGTCCTGTCGGTTGGGTCGATCGGTCGGTCAATCAATCAGACGACTCTGGTAATCATTAATGACAACGGGGAGTTTTGCCGGTGGTGGTGGTTTGAGATCTGAACTGGCCTTGACTAGGGGCGGTTCATTGATTGTGGTGGTAGTGGTAGAAAAGAGATCAGCCGTACATATCGGGTACTCTAGGTAGTGCTGCCTTACAGTACAGTGGCACGGCAGCGGCAAAGGCAAAGGCAAAGGCAAAGAAGCAGTGCAGACTAGACAGACCATATCCGTGGTTTGAGGCCGACACACCGACAAAAAGATCGTGATGCGGCTATAGCGCCGGTGGACCTCCTTCTGAGTTGTAAGCAAACTACACTTTTTAATTCTCACACGACATCAACTCTCTTCAAAGTAGAAACAAGCGTGAGGTAGCTACCACGCCTTACCTCACCAGAGCAGGTTACCTTTAGCAATCTATCAAACTAGGTACATGGGTACCTACCGGTGCCATGGTTCAAGTTTTTCCCCTTGCCAATCTGAGTGTCTTTGGCTGCCAGTGCCATCGTGATGTGTACGACTAGGACAAGATATCTGCCCCACAGCAACTGTCTGTCTCGTCAGTCTGTCTTATTATCAATTTGGCTGGGTACTAGTACCCCACATTGCACTGGAATTCGGGTACAATAATGTGCTACAAGGTGGTACCTATAAACGTTCCTGGTCGACCTTATTTTTTAGTCGTTTGGCAGATTCTTATGGACGTCGATCAGGAGAGGCTGGTCATGGAAAATCTCGCAAGGCTGATTGATACATGATACTAGTAGCGATACTAGTACTGCCATCATACATGACCTTCATGTGATACATCATATAGTCGATCATCGAAAAGGGCAGTGGTGGATAGACTGGAGGATAGACTGGAGGACAGTCCTCTTAAGTTCCCATAGATGGCGAGTAAAGGACGGACTCGGTTGGAGAGTACAATAACTGGTCATCTGCTTGCTGTATGACATACTTTCGCTCGTTTTCATATCTATTTTCATTTTTTTTTTGAAACAAGGTGAATATAAAATATACCATAATTGTGCAAGAACAAAATAGTGTCCAAACCCGGGACAAGTATTAAAAAGTAGGTAATTAATTTTTCCCCTTCCTCTCGCCATCTCTTTTTCCGTCTCTAACCCTTCCGTCTCCGAGCTCGAACCGCGTCTTGGTTGGGTTGGTCCTCCACAGGCTCGCCGTTGATCAGGACCGCGGGCGTGGTTCCGTTTATTTGGACATCTGCTTCGCCGACTATTTTTCCATTGGACTTGGTGTCGTGCTGCTGCTCCTCCTCGTCCTCATCTTCGTCGTCGCTACGCTCATCCGCGACAATGTTGGCAAAGACATAGTTCTTGGCGATGCGCAAGATCAAAAATAGCCAGAACAGGTTGACGGCCTGCAACGATGCCAGCAGGGCAAACGTGATGATTTGGCTGATCCAGCATTTATACTGCTGGGTTTCCCAGTCCAATTCGTACGGGCCGACCGTACGGAATTCAGTCAGGGTCGCCCACAATATCTGGAGGTTGATGTAGTGTCGCAGATAGATCCAGACCACCATGAAAAGCCCAAAATATGGTCCCACGATAGGAGAGTCGAGGTAATTGAGTGTTTTGGACGTCTGAAAGACAGTTAGTATACACATACACAAGAATGCTGTGCTTTAAAGGGAGTATATCAAGATGAACATACCGCCAGGAAAAAATCGCTAATGTCATGGGTGATATAGACAGCAATCCCCATGTGCGTAAAGTGAAAGCGATAGCTGAGGATGATGAGTGCCAAAGTGACGATGTGGTGCAGAACCAGCTCCTTGAAGTCCTTTCGGGGCTTCTCCAACTGCAGCATGAGCACAATCGCCTGCTGGGCCCAGTACGCAGCCTGTAGCAAGTAATAGGCCTTGAAGAGGGCCTCGTGTTTGCGGTGTGGAAACCCTTCAAACATGGCGGTCGTGTTGAAGTACCAGAGCGGCCCTCGTGACATGACGTACAAGCCAAAAGGTCCAAATATGGAAAAGTAGATGGCCGTGTACACCTGCTCCATGAACCGGGCCTGCTTGGCCTTCTTCTTGATGCCGCATTTCAAGGCCAGCGGCCGAATCATCCTTTGCATCAGAAACTCCCGCGTGAAACTCAACACCACCGTGTAAAAGGCCACAAAGGCAATGTCCGCCTTCCCCTTGCCGTACATGTTCGGTCCTCCCTCATAGTCCGGTCCGAGAGGGTACGAAAGGAAAATCGCTTTATGAAGCGGGTTTTGCTCCCCAGGGTTGATGAAGTACGCGGCCAGAATGGCAACCATGATGACCAGAGGATTCAACCACGTGTGTCGCGTCGATATCTGCATCCATTTGCGAAATGCCGATCGAGCCTTGCGCCGCTTCGAATGAGGCTTTAGTTCCCGCTCCTTTGCCTGCGTGTCTCGGCTGTCAGCATCGAAATGAGCAGTAGTAACAATGCTGCAGTGTCTACCGTACAGATGGCTGTGAATGACTCCTCTTGGTCATCGTGGCTAATGCCGGCGCACTCGTGTCCCCTCGAGGGTCTCCCCCGAGGTTGCTGGATGCGCGTCGTGGACGATTCATGGTGAGGACGCGACAAGATTCGTGCCGTGGCTGGTGCAGTTCAAGTTTGGTCTGGAGGGTGAGGGGAGAGATTGTGACAATTTGGAGACGGCCAGTTCCTCTATCTCAAAGACTCAAGATACTAGTACTCTTGGTCGGCAACATATAACAGCACGTGAGCAGACGAGAGCAGACAATACATGGCCGTCGTCAGTAGCTGTTTCGAAGTGCAGCACGAGAGTATCTGCTGGTTGGCAGTAGCAGCAAACTGTAGTCGGCGCCGCCAGGGGGATGCTTGGCACATCATGATGAAGTCAATATGGAAAAAGATGCTGATAGGTCGAGCAGTAACAGAGACCCTTTATCACTGGCTCTATACCGCCATTGGAGACACTGATAGAACGCAACATTGGGTACATCTTCGCACCTCTCATAGAATCATTTTGAGATGACATCCACCGAGACAGTTCCGCTTCTAGGAACACCTGTCCGCGAGTCAACCCCCTTCTGACCTTCTTTCCCTGCCATCCACGTTCTAACGCAGCCTCACCCTCGCAGTGACGGTCTAGCAGCCCCCTCGTGCCCCCTGTCCCGTGACGAGTTCTATCATTGGCGAGGACTTGCGGGATGAAGGGGCCAAATGGGAGCTACTGTGGGCGAAGATGGTGCAAACTTCAGGTTGGTGACACAGGCTAACAGCCTACCTGGTATTTCCACGACTGCCTTTCTGCCGCGCCGGTCAGGCCAATGGCTCTGGGTCTGTGAGTGTGCTGCACGCTGTTACAATCGCTTATTTGTGGCCTGGTATCTTTGCGCAAATGGCTTTCAAAGCGACGGGCGTTTGTTTTCTTCTTCTACCCCTCTCCATCCGTCAGCTTCAGCCTGACATATCAACTAAACAGTTTGGATTGTGCTCAAGACGAATTCTCTTCTTGATGTTAGTTTTTCAAGTCATTCCCATGTCCAGAGTCCACAGCTTCCCTGAGTAGGGAAGCAGACCCCCGAGTTTACAATGCGAGTCTCTCAGTTTTTCTTCTTTTGCGTTCTGAAAGCCAACTCCATAGCCTCTGCGATCTCAGCCTCAACTTCGAGTTCATGTCAACAACTACCTGAAGGGCAAGAATGGCAATGTTTCGACGGTGTGGCATGGTACCACGTAGACAGCGACGTCAACAGCAGCACGACCTGCGCCATTGCCTACATCAAAGACAACAAGACGACCAATTTATCATTCGAAGATATCCAATATTCCCCATTCAAACCCTACTTCTGGCTACCATTCTACGCGCACGACTCGCAGAACTGCTGGTTCTGGGCAGAATGCGTATACGACCGAGCACAAGAAGTGCGGAAACAACAATTCGAGGCGACGGCACTGGTCATGGGTCTCATCCCACTGACGTTGAAGGACGTTGCGTGGCCGAGTCGTCGAATCGTATATCTTGGAGCGAGGCTCGATGTGCGTCGAGAAATCATTGTGCGAGCACTCGGGCTCGAGCCGACGGTCGTGGACCCCGCCAGACACACCGATATCGTCAAGTGGTGGAAGACGTTCTTTGTCTTCGACTGGGTTCGCAAGTACCCTTGGAGCATGATCGGCTTGTGCTCAGCCATGATGCTCCTTACGATAGCAGCTACGGCATTGACCGAAATATACTCGAAACGATCGGCTCTTGGTTGTCCGTACCCGATATTTGTTGTTACTTTCTATCTGGTCGCCATTTTCCCTGCGGCTTTCCACGTCGCTTGCACGAGATATCGGCTGAAATATCCTGAAAGATATAACGTTCGAAAAAACATTCAGCTTTCGGAAACCACTGGCAGTGGCCCCGCTGGAAAGTTCGTTTCCGCTATCCAGGGTGAAGATGAATGGTGGATCGTCCAGCTTTTTTTGGGCCATATACTATGTGGCTGGCACGTTGATATATACCTCTATCATGGCTGTCACGGTACTGGAATTGTTTGTATGGGTCTGCGTCAGTGTCGCCTTGACGGCCGCCTGCAAGTTTTCGGCTTTCACCATCTGTATGTTGTTTCATGCTCGGGCCGAATCACAGTTCACCCAGTTACCTTCGGATGATTGAGCTCTTCAAGGTCCGATTCTCAGACTCAGTGGCTTTCACCTATAAGATGGGGCGCGTTGTGCTGGCACTTGGAGAGGGTCCATTCTGTTAATGCATGGAATCACGTAGACGGCTTGACTGAAGAAGAGGTGGTACTTTTAAGTGAATGCGACGGGAGACTGATAAAAAAGTATAACTTCGTCAAGGCGCCGGGCCAGTATCCAGTAAGCCACCGGTGGAGGGTTTCAAGTTCAAGATAAATACTGAGAAGTCCAGTAGTGGTAGGGACCTTTCATCGCTAAAGTGTATACCGGAACTGGAGACCCTGGTAAGGGTAAAAATTGGAGGAATGTTCACACTGCAAGTTTCTCATGGAAGCATCATTCAAGGGAATACACCATTCCATGCATTTTCTGACCTTGTAGCCAATGTCACAGTCTGTCAAGCGAAGGGCGTAGCAGTATCTGTGTTGGGACTAGTAGTAGGTACAGACCATTAGCTTCCAAATTACTGTGCAGCACACTTGGCTGGGGTCAGAAAGTGGTGTGATGCTGACGGTTTGTTCGAGGTTGCTTTATGTACATTAACAACAGCTAGTATGGAGAACATTCCATTGTCCTCTGGACATGCATCGCATTGCCGTGCTGAGTTGATGGTGTTTCTAGACCAGCAAGATTGCAATTTAGTTGGAGGTGTCGTCGTCTCCTTGTTCCTTGGACTTGTCCGCACCCTTCTGGCTGGCGCCGGTAGGCCGTGATGGATCGACTGTGCCCTTAATCTTGGCCGTCGCAGCCATTCCCTCAGGCTTCTTGCTTTCTTCATCCGCACCCATAAACGGGTTGCTGGCGCCAGACACGTCTTTTTGAGCCTGTCATTGATTTAGTAATCGATCGTCTAGTGAAACTTGTAGATGCTGCCTTACGCCCTTATCTCCTTGCTTCTCCGAAACTCGGCTCTCACCCTCGGGCAATGATCCCTTGGTAGTCCTGGCGAGGATGTAAGTATGACTGCAATAACGCCCACTAATTCACTATGCCACCACACGACACTTACTCTTCCTCGCTTGTTTCTGATCGCCCATCACTGGTTTGGCCACCCTCCTGGCCAGCGTCTTCCTGGGACTCTTCGCCCTTCTCTTCGGTCTTCTCCTCAGACTCTTCCGTAGGTTGTTCGGTGCTTTCTTCCGCGGGTGCCTCCTCGTGCTTTTCGGTGGCATGGCTTTCATCATGGTGACCGTGGTCAGACGTCTTCGGTCCCTGACTCAACAGCCATGATGCCGCCGGAACGGTGACGGCGACGGAGCCGATCAACCTGTGGTCAGTCTCTGTTAGTATCAAACATATATAACATCCGGCGAACTTGAACCCGCCAATATCGACGTACCATGGGAGATCACTGCTTTTCTGTGTGCCATGCTCGCTGGCGTAGCCTCGACGGCCGATCGCACGCAGGTTTGTTCGAGCTTGAGTGCCGGCTCGTCTGAGCGTAAACGACCGGATGCTGCCCCGGAGGGCCGACGACCGTGGTAGCACCATGGGAAATGTAGTAGGTTTATATTAGGGTTGAGGAACAGTGGTGAGCTGTAGAGTGAGATGCTTCACGATAACCTCTCTATACCGGGCCGGAAGATTGAGGTAATGGGATGGAGAGAGCTCAGGAACATGCAGTCTTGGTCGGCACAGTTACTAGTGGTGGGCGTCCAGCCTTCGCACAAGCTTCTAGCATCATACTACGGTTACGCACATCCTATGAGCTCACACCAGCTCCGAGCTCCTTCCAATGGTGCCTGAGCAAGAAGGGCAGGTTTGCCGGTAGAATACGAAGTACTAACGAGGCTGGCGTCGTGTTAGTAATGCTAGTCGGCCAGACGTAGACTGGCGCTGCATACGGACGTCACTGGGGGCCAGAGACAGTTTGCACCACCACTGCACTGGCATTACTGGTACCGCAGTGCTACCACTACTAGTACTACAATGTTGTATACTTTGCACGGCGAGTTTCCTCGATATAATCCCACCACGATACAAACTCGAGAGGCCGTCCGATCGTGAGCCGCTCGTGGACCGCAGGCTGCCATCCGCGACAACTTAAACTCCAATTCAGCGATCGTTGAGCCCCTCGCCTCTAACAGCATCAACATCTGGCAGGATCGAGGCCTTGCCAAACCCATTCCGCCTCTCCGCATCTGAGCGTTCTTGCGAGTCTGAATATTGCGCAATAAAAAGTCACTTTCTACAACATCGTCTGCGGATCTTAATTTAGGGTCTCCAGATGCGTTGAGCCTGACTCCTACAGGCATTTACCCAAACAAATTTCTTCCATCGTTGCGTCTACTCAACCACGCCAGGGTTCATTCAATCACCATGGCGAAAGACCGGTCGGCCGCACAGCAAGGCATCTCCTCGTTACTTTCCAAAATCAACGACCCTGACCCGGACATACGTTATATGCAACTGAGTGATCTCATGAACATCCTGCTGGCACCGGCATCCGACTACTTGCGAAATGATCCCCATACTACCGCACGGATAGTTGATGCCCTGCTGAAATCTTTGGCTGATCAACATGGTGAGGTTCAGAACCAGGCATTGAAATGGTAAGGACAATTCATTGCCCTCGTGTGTCAATACTGATGACTTCTAGTGTTGGACCGCTCGCCGCACGTACACCAGGCGACATCATTGCTCCGTTGATTGACAAGCTGACGGATCTTACCAATACCGATATCGACATTTCCGTCCCCACCACAGCGCTCCGGACTTTGATTGCCGCGCTGCCTCAACCCCAACATGCAGGCGGGGCTACTCAGGAAGTCAGAGAAGCATATAGTGCAGTCAGCAGAGTCTTGATACCGAGATTGGTAGGGCACGTCGTCTTGCCGTCAAGCAAGCCTTCACCCCAGCTCCCGACCGGGTTGCTGGACAAACAAAAAGAGAAGGGCTACAGCAGTGATGCCGTAGACGTCATGATTGAGGTGGTCAGATGTTATGGGTCACTGTTACAAGAGCAGGAACTGGTTGCTTTGGCCAGAAGTGTCATGAACATAATCGAAAGCCCTCAGGCAGGAGGTGTGGTCAAGAAGCGAGCCCTCGCCGGTGTAGGTGCACTGATACCACATTTCAGTGACGCCCAAATCAGCTCCTTCGTAACTGCAATCACGCAAAGCTTTCAAAATCCTCAACTCACTACCGAACATCGGAAATTCCTGGTTGCTACAGTTGGGACACTGGCACGCTCGAGTCCTGGGAAGTTTGGTCCTTTTGTCGACACGGTCGTTCCATTCGTTTTTCAAGTACTGAGCTCTGATGGGCCGTCTTCCACCATGTCAGTGTCGGATGAAGATGGTGAAGTGGACCCCGAAGTGGAAGAGCTCCATGAAACAGCGCTTGTTGCCCTTGAAGCTCTGGTCGGATCGTGTCCCACTGAGATGGCACCCCATCTTCCTGAAGCGGTTGATGCGGCTTTGAGATATGTCAAATATGATCCCAATGTGGCAGAGTCGGATGATTTTGAGATGGAAGGTGCCCAAGACACTACCTCGGAAGATGGCATCACGGAGGAATCTCCGGATGATGACGAGGATGATGAATACGCCGAACTAGATAACGAGGATGCATTCAGTGATGTCGATGACCTCAGCTGGAAAGTCAGACGCTTTGCAGCCAAAGTGCTGTACACCATCGTCATGGGTGTCGCGGCAGCAGACCGAGCGATTCTCTTTGAGAAGATTGCTCCTGTCTTGATATCGCGATTGTTCAATGAGCGAGAAGACAGCGTGAGATTGGAGATTATTGCGGCCTTGACTGCATTAATCCGCAAAACCGGATCTGGCTTGACCCAGCCGCTTACACGAGTTGAATCAGCAGATGACAATCCAGCTGCTCCTACCAACACCCGCAAGCGCCGACGGCAGGATAGCGAGGCTGACCGGCAAGACCCAGATCTCAGAGGCTTGGTTGCGACCCGTTCAAGTCCTCCCATTATCCCTGCATCACCGCCGAGTGGCTCCCAAGCTGAACTCATCAATCTGGTGCCGAATATCGTCCAAGCTCTCTGCAAGCTGTGGAAGAAGGCCAGTATGGCGCTAAAACAAGCTTCAGTGGTCATGCTCAAGACTCTTACATTGGCTCGCAACGGAATACTGTCCGATCATTTACAACAATTAGAAGATCCTATTGCGGACGCGCTGAAACCCTCTACAGCATCCACCTCGGGGGGCACTGGATCTGGAACGTCTGCAACAGTCGCCAGCCTTCAGATTGAAACGCTCACTTTAATCAGTGCCATTGCGGAGACTAACGGTACCACGGTGTTGATTCCTTTCGTCATTGCTCTGATCCCGCCAGTCATCGCCATCGCCCGCGACACAAACTATAAAGTCACGAGTGAAGCACTTGCCACTATCGAACAGTTCATCAAGGCTCTAACTCCTCCACGCTTACCTACTGCCCACCAGGACCATGCTATCCACATCGGAAAGCTGTGGGATGTGATCATGGAGCGAGTCACCGACAATAATGCCGACCTCGAGGTCCGTCATCGCGCCATTCAAGTGTTTGGAGTTCTGATTGCTCGGACTTCCAACACCCAACTTCTATCTAGCTCTACACGAATGAAGAGTCTGGGTATACTTCACGACCGCTTGAAAAATGAAACCACCCGACTTGCCAGTGCAAGAGCCATTGGCCTTATTGCCGAAGCCGCGGGAGTGCACGATAACATCGGCTCTGCGTGGATTCAGGATGTCACGCTTGAAATGGCTCATCAACTTCGCAAAGCCGATCGGGGTCTCCGTGGGGCATGCTTGGAGTCCTTGCAGTATCTTGCCCTCAATCCCGTCACGGCCTCTCAACTTGAGACAACTACGATCTTGGAACTCCAGAGCTGGTTAATGCCGTTGATTTCTATCAGCGATCTGCATCTATTAACACCTGCCCTAGTCATTCTCTCAAAAATTATCCCCACTAATCCAGAGGCTCTCGTTAACGCGGAACTGGTTCACGCCCTGCATGAAATCACGCATACGCGACTGGAAGGACCACCCTTACGTGCCTATCTGCTCGTGGTAAAAGTCATTGGCGAGAGCGGAGTAGGTGCACCTCTCATGAAAGGGCTTTTGGCAGTCGGGGTTAAGGGCGAGACTATGGTTCTGGGAAGAGCCATCGGCACCTTACTTGTGTATGGTGGGGACAATCTCGGCGTGACGATAACGGACTTCCTGAACGAGCTGCAAGCCTCCCAGGATGTTCGCGCGGTTTGCCTAGCATTGACGGTGCTGGGTGAAGTCGGGTTCAGAATGGGTGCTAAGTCTCCGGTGAAAATCGACACCTTCACCAAATGTCTATCTGCAGAATCCGACAAAGTCCGCCTCGCTGCTGCTGTTGCACTGGGCAGTGCCAGCTCCAACAATGTTTCCGAATGCTTGCCAGTCATTCTGCAGAGCCTCAACCAGTCTCCCGCCCAGGACTACCTCTACCTGCACTCCCTGAAGGAGATTCTGGAACATCACTCCCAGAGTTCTTATGGAGAGGTCGCACCTTACGCATCCGAGCTCTGGCAGAAGTTGTTCGTGGTGTCCCAGGCCGAGGACAACAGTGCTGTTGGTGCCGAATGTATCGGACGGCTGGCGACCATTGATCCAGACACCTATGTGCCTGAGCTTGCCAAATCCTTGGAAAACCCCAACCCCTCCATTCGCGGAACTGTTATTTCCGCATTCCGGTTCACGCTGGGTGAGGCGAGCAACGCTTACAACACTATACTTGTCAAGATGATGACGCCCATGCTTCAAACAATGCTAAATGACCCGGACATCGGCAACCGACGTCTCGCCGTTACTACCCTCAATGCTGCTATTCACAACAAACCGGAGCTCGTGATTCCTGATATTAGCCAACTCTTGCCACCTGTCTTGGAAGATTCAAGAATCAAGCCTGAACTGGTCAAGACGATTAAAATCGGGCCGTTTACGCACAATGAAGACGCAGGTCTTGACGTCCGTAAAGCCGCTTACGCGACCATGTATGCATTACTTGACTGTCCCAGCGCCATCCCGCATCTTCCCATCTCCAAAATCTTTGATCGCATTCTGGATGGCATCGCGGACGATGCGGACATCCGCACTTTGTGTCTTCTTATGCTCGGACGCCTGGCGGTGATTGACCCAGACGAAACGCGCCGACGCCTGTCCAGTCTGGCCGAGAAATTCCGGGTCGTACTTGGAGCCAAGGTTAAAGAGACAGCCGTCAAGCAGGAGATCGAGAAGGTCAACGAGGCCAATGCCGCGGTGATCCGGACGACTGTGGAACTCGACCGCAAATTCCCTGCGACCAGTACCGATGCTAACGGCGAAATGGTCGCCTGGAGGAGCTACGTCGAGTATGTCAAGAAGGAGTTTGCCACAGTGGCCAGAAATGCAATGGCAGAAAGTGGCTAGGAGGGCTGAGCGTCAAGAAGTTGAATTCCATTGAACGGCAGCGAAAGACACGGCCATAAGAAATGCAGCGGTACGAGAGAGCCATCTTTACACTGCGTGGTTAGAGACTCGAACTGAACATACCGTTCCCACTAGTATTCCAATTTGTCCCTCGTCTAGGAGTAGGGATTTTCCTATCAAGCCCGAAGTGTCAGTGAGGGAAGGACACGAAGGGACGCGTACGGGTTTGCTGTTGCCCCCCCTTCTAACAAAGGGCCCCTGAGCTGCAAGCAGCGTCGTTGAAGACGTCGTCACGCAGCCCACCATCCCAACACTGACGAGAACCATGACCCAAAAGAGAACATGGGCACCAAAAGAGTTGAGTCAAGTGTGAAAAGCATGCACACATCTCTTTTTAGCGTTTCTATAGCATCACGTCACGGAGCAGAGAGACGAGACGGCAAAACATGAAGTATGAGCCCATGAAATATGAAAAGTAAGCACATGTGACAGTAGTAAAAGTATTACTAGTAGAATACAGAGCTAAGCTCAGCGTTGTGTCTCAGCACGCATCTTGCAAGGCTGTGAAGACACCCCATGCCGGCTGAGATTTATGGGGCTAGAATACGAACAAAAAGAAAGCCTCGTATGGCACTTCAGCACAACTCTTTATCCCTCAATTTTCCCATTTGGAATACAGGCCGAGCGAGCGAAGGAGTATCCATATTCCTGCGAATGCAAAACACCGTCTTGGTCGATTGACCGATGCCGTGCTGCCGATCCTTGACCCTCATGCAAAGGATGAAATGGACCCCTTTCTCTTCATTTCATCCATACATCCAGCCCCTCCAATCCTACTCTCTTGCCCCTTTTTTCCTCTGACCGCCGCCCACCACCCCTTGATGAATCGAGGCTCAGTGATGCCCTGCGGACGCCGTGATATTTCTCCGGGAAAGAGTGCCAAAGTGTGTTATTCACAGACAAGTGGAAAAGGATGGTGGGTACAAGTGTCTGACATCGTTCGTTGTCACGGGCTGGCATCGTACACAGCGCTGACATGGATGGATATATGTCCTCGGGTCGACAATCTCGTAGAATAAATAGGTGGCTGATTGGGAGGTTCCCCCGAAATTTATGTGCGGGCCGCAGGGTCATTCGTGGTAATTTGGAAACTCTCCCCCTTTTTGGTGGTCTCGTTGAGCGAAACTTGGTTTGTTGGTAGGTATCTCTTCTGGTTGGGATGGATTGATAGCAGTCGGACATGTCAAATGTACCAAAAGTGACAACATGTTTCCAAAGGCAAGAGACAGACTTGGGATAAGAAATCCCATGACATTGACAAGACCTTCTTAGTGGTTGAGCAGGCTTGCTTGTAGTCGACAGACCGGTCGTTTTAGACGGACTGATACAAGAGCAGGGGTTCGCCAACATTCTCGATTTCGGGGATGGTGCACTTCAGATCAAAGGCTTTGGAGAGAACAATTTTGAATATTTTCTGGACGTTGATGCTGTGGCTGGTACTGCTGAAGATGAGGCTGGCACGCATTGCTTTTGCAAATCGTCGGGCCTATTTTTGGATTAGTTAGCCATTAGGTTCTTCCCTTCTGTCTCGCGGGCTTAAGACCGAACAAAATCGAAACTGTGGTGTAAATCTTACCTGATTGCTTATCTCCTCTTGGTCCTCGCGTGGAAAATTCACGAAATGATCGTATTTGGTCCCGATCAAGAAAGGGATGGCTGTCTTGTTGAACCCTCTGCCTTGCCTGTACCACTCCTTGATGCTGTTTAGGGTAGACTTGCGAGTAAGGTCGAACATGAATAGGATGGCGACGGCGTCGTTGCACACTAAGGGGAGCATGTTGACGAATTCGCGTTGACCGCCCAAATCCCAGATCGAAAAGGTGATTTCGGTATTGCGTATCGAAATCGTCTTTTCCATGAAATTGACACCTGCAAAGTCCGGCCGGAGACCATATTAGCTGGCGTCCACCTGGGGAATAGATACAACTTGACCGGCCACAGCCACGTACCTAACGTTTGAATGTAATCTTCGTCCCAGCTGCCCTCGACATATTTAACCATCAAGCTGGTCTTGCCTATTTGGGCATCACCAACCATGCCGACCTTGATGACGACACTGCTCTTGTTTGCCGGTTGTGATTGTCTGTTTTCTTGGTTGTTCTGTGTTTGTTGTTGTTGTCCGCCCATTCCAGAGCCTGGTCTTGAATTGGATTGTTGTTGTTGGTATAGATTCGGTGAATTGTATCTCTGGGCCGAGTCGTTGTCTATGGGAGGAGTGGCGGCGGAAGGAGCTTGAGATTGATGGCCATTCTGAACCAGTGCGGCGTCTTGGTCCTCTCGTTGTTGTTGGTGGTGCTGTTGTTCATGATCGTTGACAATATGGGGGTTGTACGCCGAATCGGCGGGGTAATCGTTGTTTTGACCGTAGAGGTCCATGGCTTTTCAGTGAAGATGATAGAAGCAACGAGCGAACGAGGCTGGGGCCGCCAATGCAAATGACGAGCAACTTGAACAGCGTTACAAGCCAGGAGACAGTCCTGCAAATGGGATCCTGGGTCGATTCATCAGCGGGCGGTCGAGGGATGGGCCTGCGTGACAGAGTGATGCTTTTTGACTGCGGCGTCTGCGGCTTGCGGGTAAGTTGACACAAGGGCTGAAAGCCAATAATAACACGATCTGTCAATAACTCTAATCGACACTGCAACTGACGCGCAACGCGTCGATGGCATCGGTTCCAGCGCTTGAATCTACGGCCAAGACTGTCATTAGGTCGCACTAGCAACAGGCTAGTCGGCTAACAACTACTACTACTACTACTAACTACTATCACCACCACCTTCACAGCTCACACGACTTGAAGATGCGGCTTATAAGAGGCACGATGTCTGGAAAGATAATAACCTGGTTCAATGTACTACAACACCTTCATCGCTGGCCATACTAGCTGGTTCCCTTCCTCTGTCTGGCGGCCTGCGCTTCTGCCCCGAGGAATAGAGCACATGCCGCAACAATAGCAGTGGCCACCACTCCAAAGATGATTTGCGTCTTGATTCCCGATTGCACCAGAGCCCGTCGTCCTGCGTACTTCGTCACTGTCCGCATATAGTTGGCCATCCCACTCCCAAGGCAAGCCAGAGAAAGCACCCAGAAGATAATCCCAAGAGGATGGGATAGTTTCTGCTCAAGCGGGCTGGGTTGATTCTTCAGATGAAAATTGATGAAGATGGCAACGGATACAACAGCCATGTAGACCGCCAAACGTAGCCATGATAGAAATGTCCTTTCGTTGGCACAATGATCTCGCGCATCAGACGTAACATTGGAAAACAGCAATGGGGCGTACAGAGGCCGTTGAAGGAACAACTTGACAGGACTATCTGCATGGATCCTGATCTTGTTAGACTTAGTGCTCACTTCGACCTGGGCCGTAGATACTCACTGGTCCACATTGATGGTCGTGGTGAAGGGATTGTAGAGCAAATGCCAGGCGTCTTCAGAGCTGGGCTCCGCAGCCGCGGTGGCCGTGGCCGTGGGCGCCATCTGGACGCCTGCTGATGGCCAGGTCGGACTGAGAAGATGTTCTCCGCCCAAGGGACAATCTGAATAAATGGAAACTGACTGATATTTGCCAGACCGGCAATGATTGACTCGTCCGTAATGGCAATGCTGTTGCAAAAAGAATATAGAATGCGCTCCGGTTAGTCGCTTGGTGTGGAAGCTTGATAGGACTACATCTATATCAACAATACTATAATAAATAAATTCGCAGCGGCGGGATGTGGTCGTTATCCCGCAAACGCCAATGACGCAAGGTGCACGCTCGATAGTGCAGTGCGATAGTACAGTAATGTCTCCCGGACGAAGATGAAGGTCTGCAACAGGCGCACGCTCCTCCAAGACGTTAGCCAGATAAAGCCATGGGACTACCGGATGATACACTGCAGACAGCGAATACAGCTCTCTTCTGACATGTTAATAAGGTGGTGTGCCGACACCAGCCTACAACCACACACGTCTTCGCTTATCTTTGCTCCAGGGGTTGTTGATTGCGGTGGGCCTGTCCCCGTACAATGTCCTGAACTGGCCATCGCAGCCGACCGCCAAACTGACTCGCAGAAGAGCGGGCAGCGGCCGCTGCGCTTTATCAATGAATCAAACCACAACTTGAACCCGTCCACCGCTTCCCTCCTAACCTTTTGGAACTTGAAGCCCACCATGCATAGTTGTTGACTGTCAAGGGACACTAGCTTCACGAACACATAACTCCCGCCACACCCAGTTCACCACGACACTCTGAGCATGCAAGCAGTGGCTCGGGATAGTGACGGAGTACGCCGTGTCCACTGAACAACATAAACACCCAGCCATGACTACACCAAAGAGCACCGGTCGGCTGGACCGGGTTACCAGCATTACCAACAGGGTGTTCTCCAGCTCTTTACCCAATGCTTCTCCTATCGTCCAGGAATCCTTGGCCTGGGACATCGCAGAGGATGAGTCCGACGCCGCCATTTCCGACGACGACGAATCCGAGAGTTCGACTCTACGCCCTTCCACATCTGCTCCCGGCGGAGGATATTCATTTGTGGGATCATATCGGAGACCCAGCTTTGCAGGAGCCGGAAATAGAGCTACTGTGCTTCCACAAATTGTACGAGACCACGATAGATTATCCAAGGAGGAAAGAAAACAAGCTCTGGAGGAGGAAAGAAGCCTCCTTCGAGACAACAACATCATCCCACCAAAACATCCACTCAGCGAAGAGGGTGCGAGGAAAAAGAGTTTGTTCAAGATCCCTGGCGGTGACCTTAAGGTTACACGAACACGAACTGCAGAGGGTGCTGCTCCATCTCAAGACGCGATCGATGTTCCCTCAGAGGCCACTCCTCTGCTTGGAGACCCAAATCTGCCATATGGTGGGCAAGACGACCCCGAGACAATCAACGCCAAATGGGAAGAGGCAGTGGCTGCGGGCAGGATTCACACGACATGGCAGCGTGAAGCCAAAGTCCTTGCCCGTTACTCGGCACCGTTGATGGTGACGTTTGTGCTACAGTATTCCCTGACCGTTGCCAGCATATTCACGGTGGGACACATTGGCACAGTCGAACTGGGAGCAGTCAGTCTTGCCTCGATGTCGGCCAACATTACCGGGTATGCAATCTATCAAGGCCTTGCGACGTCTCTCGACACACTGTGTGCGCAGGCCTACGGGTCCGGACGCAAGAAACTCGTCGGTCTGCAAATGCAGCGAATGATCTATTTCCTCTGGACCATCTCCATCCCAATTGCCATCATCTGGGTATTGGCCGAGTACATTCTCCTTGTAATCGTTCCAGAACCCGCAGTTGCCAAGCTTGCAGGACTATATCTGAGGGTTGTTCTGTGTGGCGCTCCCGGCTACGCGGCGTTTGAGGCAGGCAAACGGTTTGTGCAAGCGCAAGGGCTGTTCTCGGCCTCGCTGTACGTTCTGCTCGTCTGCGCCCCTCTCAATGCGTTCATGAACTGGCTATTTGTGTGGAAGCTGAATTGGGGCTTTGTGGGCGCTCCCATCGCCGTGGCAATCACGGACAACCTGCTGCCGCTAGGTTTGTTCATCTACGTGCGGTTCTTTTCCAAGACCGGCATGTCATGCTGGAACGGTTTCACCAAGAAGGCCTGGCGCAACTGGGGGCCGATGGTGAAATTGGCCTTACCTGGAGTTGTGATGATAGAAGCCGAAGTGCTGGCGTTCGAAGTCTTGACATTCGCAGCCTCGTATTTCGGCACTACAATCCTCGCAGCGCAGTCGGTGCTGGCCACCTTGACATCGCTGACTTTCCAAATCCCGTTCCCGCTGTCCATCGCGGGCTCAACACGAGTCGCAAATCTGATCGGCGCCACTCTTGCCGAGGCCGCCAAAGTCAGTACCCGCGTCACCTTCACCGCAGCCACCATCGTGGGCATCCTGAACGTGACTCTTCTGTCAACATTGAAGGACTTTATTCCGCGGCTGTTCACCTCCGATCCCGAAGTCGTCAGGGTTGTGTCCAATATTCTTCCTCTCTGCGCCGCTTTTCAACTCTTCGACGCCCTGGCCGCCAACTGTAATGGCATCCTGCGCGGTCTCGGTCGGCAGGAAGTCGGTGGCTACGTTCAGCTGTTCTGCTACTACGTGGTGGCCATGCCGATCAGCTTCGGCACCGCGTTTGGGCTCGGCTGGGGTCTATGGGGATTGTGGACCGGCGTGGCCATTGCCTTGGGTTTGGTCGCGCTCATCGAGTTTATCTATCTCTACCGTACCGATTGGCAGCGGAGCGTGGACGAGGCCCGGGCAAGGAACATGGAGGGTGTTGCGTGAGGTCGACAGGCGAACTTGAATTGACCGACTGCGCACTGACATTGTCATGGTCTGAGGCGTCTTCATTTGATGTGCGCGGTTACTAGTAGTAATGAAAGGTGTTTTGTTGGCCAGCGGTCGATTTCAGCGAGTTATATATGTTTTTCCATAGTTACAATACTAGGTAGAAAGAGACATAGACGCAGTCAAGATCATGGCTCTGTCTCGCGTCAAAGTTGAAGGTCGTCCTTCATGTACACCATGTGAACATGTAGCACTTAGGGCTGCCAGTGACTTGCAATCGTCTCGCGATACTTGTACATGAACCCACGAAATCCAGTTGGGATACCGATGGCGACATCCCATCTTGTTGGTTGGCCTTTGCGTCCTTGATTGCAACCCGCCAGTGGCTGCTGAAACCGATCTTCACGTAGGCCCATGGCAGAAAGACACTGTGGGTTCAAGGTGTGAGGACAAACTTGTAGAGGAGGAGCTCTTAGACGTGGATACCAGGTTTCGGCTCTTAGAGAATGCGGTGCAGCTCAAGTCTCACGCGCGCCGACGTTGGGGTATTGTCGCTACACACTCGAATAAACAGGGAAATAGAAAGACAAAGAATAATCATAGGAATGTAGAAGAGAAAACCTGGTCACCAAAACCAAGCCAAACCAAACCAAGACCAAGCCAAACGACGCGCTGCTAGCTTCTATCTTGAATCTGGGTCTCAACTTGTTCTTTGTTGTTGTCTATTACATTCTTCGAATCTCCGTCTCGCCAGCAACTTCCCCCAACCGGCCCTGGACCAATTTCTCCCACCAATCAAACAACATACCCTCACAAATGAGCCTAAACCAAGGCGTATATTTGAGAGCCTTATCCTTCCCACTCTGGGACTCGACATCCCTAAACATCTGACGCAGCTCATCCGGACTGACCCAGCGCGTATCACGGACTTCATTCTTATTGATATCGAGTGTGACATCCGCCTCGATGAACAAGATATAATCGATTTCATGTTCGCCCCATTTCCCATCGCTGGGCGCAAGATAGTGGATTCTCGTGAGGTAGTGGAAATTCTGTATCGGCACCTGGTCTGCTGGGATGCCCAATTCGTGGTTTAGTTTGCGCACGGCGGCGCGTTTCGCTCCCTCGACGTTGCTGGCTAGGTCGCCGTGGCCTGTTTCGCTGGGGTGTGCGAGCGGGTGCGAGCAGCAGGTGTTGGTCCACATGTCGGGGAAGGTTATTTTTTCAGAGGCCCGTTGTTGAAGAAGCAGTTTTTTCGTGGTTGGGTCGAATAGGAAGACGCTGAATGCTCGGTGTAACAGGCCTTGGGAGATGTTGGTCATTAGGTGGCATGCTTTTTTGGATGCTGATCCGATCGGTTGGTCGTTGTGGTCGAGGACGATGCAGACTTCGTCCATGAGTCGGATTTGTTCTTCGTCGTAGCCGGCCAGACTGTCGTCTGCCGAGGAGGAAGAAGAAGAGTTGTTGGGTGAGGTGCCATTGGAAGTGTTGTTGGATGTGGCAGTGGAATTGGGAGCCATGTCCGCTCCGATCAGTGTCGTGCGCACTTCGGGGAATAGAGTCGTTACGTTTTCCCGTGTGATTGGTGTAGTTATGGTCGTTGTTGTGGTGGCAGGCATGGTGACTGACTGACTGTAGATAGATGCGAGTGTAAAGGGAGGGAGAGGAAGGCTCGGACGGGGTGCGAACGGGCTGGTTGAAGCGAGGGTAAAGTAAGGTCAGAGGCGAACACGCGGGTGGTGGAAGAACCGTGGAAGAACCGTTGTCTATCGATGGTGTAACGAGCGTCCTGTGTAGTGCGACAGCACAGTAGTGGTGAAGAATTGGAGGGGGCAGGTGTTGTAGGATGACACTGTGCTACCTGCGAGTAATGTAGGTGGTGGTTGGTATATTATGGTCTGTCGGCAACGGCGAAGGGTATGAGGAGGCTGCGCGACTGGAGATGAGGCGGTTCAAGTGGGATCTTCAAAGGCGGTCAAGAGAAAAAAGTTGGGCTCGAAAGGGGGAGCAAATACTGCCGCTTAATGGCAGATCGAGTCACGTGAAATGGGTGGAAAGGGCGGCGACCACGATGCCGAAGTGAGCGAATGGTGCCATACTACTAGTAGTTAGTACCTTATTTTATCAACGGCAAGGGACGAATAAACAATTACAACAAATCGACGGCATAACCCTCGACAATATAACTATCAATGACATAACGACTGTCGGAAACCCGACGGTAACCCAACGACCACCTTTAACAACACTATTAACAACACAACTATTGACGACATCGGCAACGATCCCACGGAGGCATCGACGAGATAATCAGCGGCGACGACATACGCAACGATAATATAGCAATGTCGATATGGGGGACTGACGATATAAGCGACCGACGAGATAAGCGGCGGCGAGGATATGCGCGACCGACGACATAGGCGACCGACGTTATAGGCGTTCGACGATATAAGCGACCGACGATATGATCGATCGATCCCGAAGACATAGGCGTTCGACGATGTGGGCGATAGAGGACATGGGCGACCGACGACCATCATCTCGACAGATCATGGTCTACAATCTGTCTGTTGTCTAATTGAGAGGTCTTGGTTTCACAGCCGAAGCTGCCACTCACGCCCTGCACCGCGTGAAGGTGCCTCTCATCGCAGGGCTCCCCCTCCCATACGCCGTAACGGCAATGCCGAAACTCTCAAAGCAGAGCCTTTTTCTGTAGGTTTCTGCCCTCCAGGCCTTTTGCCACAGGATTCTTGACCTGCTCTCGGTCGAGCTGGCTCCGAAAACCGTCCTTCTCTCTGGACAAAACACGCCGCGGTCGCCTTCTCTTTGGCTTTTGGCCCGGCGGTGGTGCTGCCAAGGTCTAACAGTGCTGGTGCTGTGGCTGCTGCTGAGAGTAGGTAGGTACTAGGGGGCGGCAGTAGGAGGTGGAGCCATGACTGGCTCACGCTGAGCTCTGGCTCTATGCTGAGGACTAGAAACTGTCCTTTTCATTGGACAATAGAGCCCTGAGACATCTTCGCCTGGGCTTTCCGCCCGGCGTTTTGGGTGGTAGGAGGATTGTCGATGGCCCGAGTGCTGGTTTCTGTGCTGGTGTTATTGTTGGTGTTGTCGCCACCGAGGACGACGGAGGGGTCACCCTCGCAAATCTGCTGCACATGCAGCCCATTGTCGAGAATGGAAAAAGGGAAAATTGTGTGAGAGAAAAGTTTTTGGTGTCAAGGTCAAAGACAAGTAGTCAAGTCAAGTCAAGTCAGGCCAAGTTGTGAGTGTGTGTGGTATGAAGGAAAGAGAAAATGTGTGCTTTGTCAAAGTCCTCGCTGATGCACTGAATGCCGGTCCAGGTGATGAGCTCGCCGCTGCGCTGTACGCTGTACGCTGTTGTGGGTACTGGTACTGGTACTGGGGCTGGTGTAAGAGTGGTAGAGTTGTAAAGAGGATGTAATGTCGCAGGAAGATATAGGCCCCTAGGCATACAGGCGGCAGGTGCCAACAACCCCGGTGCGAGTCTCTGGTCTGTCTGTGTCTGGTGCCTGCCGTTGCACTAAATGCTGGTCCAGGCGCTTGCTGGTCTCAACGAGACTATGAAGTGCCATTGCCTTGTTTGTGCTTGGCTTCGAAGTGGTGCCTGCCCGTCTCAAGAATCCGAGATGGTGTCGGTGCAAGGCGGGAGTGTGTTGAGGGCAAGGATTCAAGTTGAAATACGAGTGGTGTCTTTTCTGGCACAAGTGCTGGGGAGGTGAGTGGTGCTGATGTGGTCCTGGAGGACTCCGGTGTCAACAAGAGTACAGTGACAGTGATCAAGGTGTCTTCTTGGGTGTCAAGGTCAAAGCCGAGTCAAGTCAAGTTGTGAGTGTGTCGTGTGGTATGAAGGAAAGAGAAAGGAAAGATGTCCAGGTCGAGAGAGGAAGAGGTATTTATAAGCCGAGCAGTTCATCAGAATCCCGCTGCTTCAAGGTCCTGGAGGCAAATTTCTCTTTGACTATTCTTGAGGTGAGTTCTATGGTACGAGGAGGCAGTGCTGACCATGAAAGTGTGATTGGTATCCATTCCAGAAGGTCTAGTATGGGTGGAGGAGTACGTGGACTGGTGGCCAGTGGCTACATCGCTTACTGGCCGAACAATTCACAGCTTCACTCGGTTCAGTAGGCAGATCAATGAAGGGCTACTCCGTTGGACGGAATATCAAAGGGCAGGAACATGATGGAGTAGTTGATTGACTTCACTCAAGATACAGAAAAGCGGAGCAGGAGTCCCATGGAGTTGCTCTGAACTTTGAAGTCACAGCATCAAGCGGGGCGATGATCATTGGCAAACTTTGGGCGAGGGGTTCCATTCTTTCACACTCCGGGGCATCCAGGCTCTCTGGATCGGACCCCATCAGCGCCGGACTGGTCTCTTCGATTCGAGGGACAGGCATTTCCAGATCAGGCCATTGGATCACTCAGAGACTTGGAGAGAAAAAGGGCGAAGAGAGGACGCTGGTTTCGTTCAGTACCAGTGATTCGAAGGCTGAAACAGCACGGAGCAGGGGATGCCATTCTGTACAAAAGGGAGGAGAGCGAGAGCAGGTGAGTTCGGTACAGCATAGTTTTAGCTTTGCTGAGGAGTTCTTGGACGAGCTGATATCGGCCAGATGCACCGGTCATCATTGGCCATTCACCCGCAAACTTTTGGACAGCATGGCTCCTCCACTTGACAAGGCTGAAACAAAAGCTGCATAGCTACCTGCATTATATCAGCCTATGAGGAAACACGCAAAGCTGATGCAAGATCCCCCGATACAGAGAAGTGATCGGTAGCTTGAGAGTTTGTCGGGCGAACCTTGTGGAGGGTGGTCCATGAATACGGCGAAAAGAAGTGGAGCATCACTGCGACGACGCTCGGACCTGAACCAGACAAGGCTGAAACTCTCCGGTTTGAGTGATCTGATTAGCCCACCCAACCACCTCCCCTTTTTACCTTCCTGGTCCAGAAAGCTTCCCATGACCTCTCACAAAAGCCAGTCAATGCTCGCCATCTGTCCTTTTGCAGCAATGAACAAGGGAAATCTCGGAAAACAGCAGTTCTTCTGCCTTTGCCACTTGTTGTCTCCAGTCGGATTTCCAGCATCCCACCGGCCATTTTAGCTTTGCTCTCTCGTTGCAGCCAATTTACAAAGGTAGGTCTTACAAAGGTAGGTCTTACAAAGGTAGGCTTACATCCACCACAATCATGTGCATGCACGGTCTGGCTGAACATCGGCTGTGCTTCAAGTGAAGTATGTTGCGTGCTATGCCTGGCGCCACCATTAAAAGTTTCCAGGTACGGGACCACATAATCATCGAGTACCAAGCACACGCTGTTGAGGCGACACTCTGTCTTCATTGAATCGGTATCCACCACATCTTCCTCCCATTGAGCTTGCTACAGGTCCCGCCCACTCAAGGTTTGCAGCAGCATTGAAAGTTTGCTCATACTCGGCGCCATGATGATTGAACCCCCTTTGGAGGCGACACTTTGTCGTGATTGAATCTGTATCCACCACTTGCTTCCATTAAATGCCAACGAAAGTTCAGAGAACCAAAGTCACCGTTGAATCAAGACGACATGCCGATTGGGTACCAACCAACCCCAAATTTGAGGCGACACTTTGTCTGCATTGGATTGTATCCACCATTGTCTCACCGAGAATGCCTCATTGAAGGACCAAGGTTTACAAGACCAAATCCTCCTCATCGCAACGGTTTCCAGACCATGCAACGGCCGCCTATCGCAGATCCAAAGGCTTTTGTATTGCCCGAAGTTTGCACATAACGGGTGACATGATGATTGACTATCCAGACCCACTTATTGAAGACGACAATTTGTCTTCATTCCATTGAACTTGCATCCACCACTTCCTTCCATTGGGCTTACTACCATTGCCACCCCGCCGAAGGTTTACAGAACCTAATATGGCAAAGGATTTTCACACTTGCGAAAGGAGTGGCCACCTATGCCGAAGCTGAAGCTGAGGCCCAAGGTTTTTGCATTCCCCGACTCGGAGCACAGCCCTACCGACTATCGTCTGCAGCACGCTCTTTGGCCTTGAAGGAACTGTGCCAATGGCCTGCAAGGGAGCAGGCGGCGATCTTGTTCTGCAAGTACAGTTCCGTCGTCAATGCCCGCCATAACGCTGCTTGAAGCTTCAGAGTAACGCCACCATAGCTACTGCCACGAGAGCAAACGCAACAGTTCCTACTCGGTCATGCTTGAGAGAATCAATTGTTGGTATCTGTCTTACCTCTGCACAACTTGAACTGCTGATATTCAGCCCGCCTGCGGCGCCTGGTTTGTCCTTTCCAACTGCCTGGCATGCTCTTGTTCATCTATAGCCTGCAGTGGCTTGCGTCGCGGTTTGTAGCAAAAGGCAAGGCAGTGTGTCTCTCTCTGTTTGCCGAAAAGCCACTGTAAGTTGCACATCTCTCTATATCGGTAGCCTGCTCCATGGCTCTCAATTCGATACCTCAAACTGATCAATCATCTGTTCCTCTATCCATTTGGACTGTTTCGTCGTAATGCTCCAAGATGTATCTAGCTATGCTAGTAGCAGTGGTCTCTCGTCTAGTCCTGCCCTGATGTAGTCTTGTAGAGTTGATGCTCGTCTGTTTACATCTCGCCAGATAGTCGTAGACATTATTTTACCCGGTAGGCAGCATTACAGCCGTCCAGGCCTGACTATTATTTCCCATGTTTTCTCGTCCGTTTCGAGGGCCATCGAACTCCCGGGCCTTCAATGTGGACTGCTCTGGCAAGATTCAAGGAGGCTGGCCTAGTTGTTCTCTGAGTGTTTGGTAGAGTGTGAGAGAAGTTGCTGTTTACGCTCGCCGTCGCCCTAGCCACCGCTATCCCGCCCATTGACTGGCAGCAGTCGATTGTGACAGTTACTGCCTTGGACGCCAACTCTCTGAACGAGAGTCATTCCTATCTATGATTCACTAACTACATTCTGACCGCTGTACAGTGTACGCCCCGCCCCGTAGATGAAACGTACACATCGAGATATCATACTTGAATATTGATTTATGCTATATTCCGGTGTGGTTGTATCGTAAATTGCATGTACAGCGTCGTGATGCCAGCTGGTCCCAAACTGATTCCCTATATTAATTCACCTCTATATTGATTTTGCATACTGACAATGAAGAGCAGCACAAGTTACAATACAAAATCCGAGTCAGGTACCGCCAGACATCATGCACGATTCGAACCAGTTTTCTGGAAGATAGATACACCTTACAATCAATCAATTGAAGACTAGTACTTAGGTGTCTATCTAGGGACCTACCTACCTACCTACCGATGTAACGCCTGTACCACGCCACGCCACGCCATGCTACGACAAACAATCGTCAAGTCAATCTCGATCGTCTCGTCTCATCCGTCCGTCTAAAACCATAGCAGTGACCCTGACCATAACCACATATACGTACTCCTTTCCTTTCCCCTTCCGAGTCCTGACTCCTGCTTTGAAGCCTGTCCCAAAGACCTCTGAAGACGGAAAGCGAACATCCCATCCGCCGCGCGTAAGGTATCGATATGAGATATGGCAAAAGCGAGCGTACCAGTAAGTAATAGCAGAGGGCTGCTGGCTGAGTGTGTTGACAAGAGAAAACAAGAAAAACTCCTCGCTCCTTGCTAAATAGCAAACCCCGTAATTGTCAATCAACTTGATGAAACCCATTCATCCCACGGATTGCTCCTCCCCCGGTCTAATAATGAACCAGCTGGTAGAGCCCAGACTTTTCCACACTCCGGGCTTCTGGGCGGCGATGGTCGTCGCAGCATCCTATCATACCATATCATGTCATGCCATGCCATGCCATGCCATGCCCTGCTTTCCAGTACCAATTCAAACACTGACTTCACCCTCCTCATCTTCCAAATCTTCAATTCCGTTACTAGAATTGGACAAGACCTTTGAGCATTCATCGTCTGCATTATTGCCCGTTAATTCCTCCCCTCGACCACTGGACTCCGACATGTCCTTGTTCTTAATGTCACTCAGGATTCTAGCAAAGTACGCCTTGAGCGTCCTCAATCCTCGTAGATATCCACGGTCCACATCGTGCGGATGCGCCGGGGGAGCTTGAGCATTTGGAGGGAGTTCATCCTCGCCAGTAATGCAATTTGCAAAATCGACAATCTTGATCTCAATCGGTGGCGGCCATTTCTTGCCTTCTTTCTTCTTCAGTTGGGCAATGTCGATTCCGTTTCTCGCCGCCTCCTCGGCTTCACGAGACTTGTCCGGCTCTGCATCGTAAAGCATCAAAAGAGAGCTGGCGTAGAACCGATATCCAGGAAGTCGTCGGACCATGCTCTCCAATTTGGACAGTTTGTGCAGGATGGTCGGAATATGTCGTGCCACACTGTCGTAGCTGACGCCGTCGTACAAGAACCTCGTGAGAGCTTCGCGGAATTCACGGCCAGCTTTGAGATCCCGACCATAGTATTTATCCTCGTACGTGACCTTTTGTGTTTTCCGATTAAATGTCTGCATCCCGCAAATCCGAACCCCCAGCTGTTGCGACGTCGTGGTCTTGCATTTGCGACGTTGCGATTCCATCTTTTTCTTGCTGGCTTCCACGCCAAACTGTCTCGTCCCCATTTTGAGATCAAGCACACAAGGTCGTCCCATTCCGCTGGTCAGATCTTCCAACAGAATAAAGTACACGACCCGATCACCACCACCTGAAGATTGTGCATCTTTGGGATTGGAAGGTACCAACTCGGTTTGTGGTGGCACGTCATTGTCTCTATCTCCGTTGGTAGTTGCGTGGACTGTGGGTGTGGTCATATTCTCGGAAGTTTCTTCCGGTATGTCTGCGGAGCGTGGAGCTTCCGCTACCTGACCATTTCTTTCTTGATCCTGATCCATGGCGAATACTTCATTGCCAGTATCGGGACCAATATCAGTGGCGTAAGCCTCATCCTCAAAATATTGGAGATCAGGCTCTTTGTCGTTGACTGATTGTCGTCGTCTCCGGAGACCCATGCCAGAATGACGTCGCTTGACATGGGGCTTATTCTCAATGCTGGACGTGAGGGACATGTTTGACAGGTCGCTGCCTGTAGTCTTGACCTGTTCAAGCTTGTACTTGAGGTCGTCATAAGCTGATGCCGAAGACGAGTACAGCCCGTCCACGGCTTCGTCCTCATTTGTAGACTTATTGGCTAGTATGGGTTTCTCCACAGGCTTGTTGTCTTGAACAGGCGGTTGGGATCGATCCTGTGACTTGTCCTTGGACCTCAAATCTTGACCTGGTACAGAATTCACCGAAAGGTTGCTTCTCCTTCGTCGAGGGCCATGATGGCTCTTCAATCTCGGTACCGTGCTGTGCGAGGGGAGATGTCGACGGTAGTACTGGATGGGAGGTGGTCCAAAGACTTCACGGAGGATTTTGTCTTTCAAACCTTCATTGACCGAAGTATTTCCCCAACTATTGGAATGCTCGGGCATCTGTGGCCGGACTGCGGACTTTTCTGGTTTTTGGCCATCCCCTACCTGCGGCTGGCACAAGTCAACGTCATTGCTGCGTCGACGGCCGTGGTTCGGGTCAACGCTTCGAGGTCGTTCTGGTAGAGCAAAATAGTTGGACGGAATAATGTGTTTATTTTGTTCGAGAATCACCTGTGGGATACTACCCAGCTGTTGCGAGTGACTGACGATGCGTGGTTTCTCCATGGCCGCTGACATGTCCGGCATGGCGTCGGACTTTGGCGATTGGTTCCTGTCCATATCGGCGGCGTCTTCCGACTTTGATTCTTGGTTTTGTGACTGCTTGGGCACTTTGGAGAATGTGACATTGAGCACACCAATGTATCTAGGAAGGAATTTGAGCATATCGGGATGTCTTTGCTCGATCCTTTCGTAAAACTCATTCTCTCTGTTGTTGAGCTGTTTGCACACCGCTCGTCGTGAGAAGCGGAAGATTGTTGAGTGACCCCCAACTTGATGTTTGTAGGGCTCAAGCACAACCTTTGCCTTGGTGTTGGGAACAGGCGCCTCACTGGGTCGTTTGGCAAGAGCACTTTGCTGGGTTGGCGTAGTGGCCATATCATCATGTTGACTTTGGTGGCCATAATCATCCCCGGACTCAACTTCTGACTCTGACGTGCTGAGTGTGGCACTACTCGAAACCTCGTCCACCGGTGACAACACCGAACTTGCCTTGTCTGACGGTGTCTCATCAATAGGATGGTAATTACCGTGAAAGATCTTTTTCTCATTCTTAGAGACGACTGAGATGTCAATGTGCTCTGGGCCTCGAGACTGTTCGAGTCCCTTGGTGATACCGGATGCGGGAGGCTCCAAAGTTGAAGTTCTAATCTCCTTGTTAGGAACCACCTCTCCAGGAGACGCATATTGTTCGATTTCCTCGGGCGTAGGACCCGGATGAGGATAATAGACCGCCGCGGAGATATGCTCCTCTTCGTCTTCCCGCCCTGCAGGGGCGCGAAGGTTGACAACGTCAGAGCTGCGCGGTTCGTCTTGTTGTTTGGACCCATCGCGAATTCCCAGCGGCGTCTTCTCCGGTTTTTCTGTCTTGTACGCGCTGCGAATCTCTTGCAACAACGAGGTGGGCAAATGCGGCCTCTCCTCGAGGTCTTGTTGGCGAAAGTATGGGTCATGGTCATGATGTTTCTGCGGGGAGGGGGCCCCCAAAGCCCCGAGATTGACGGCGAGACCATCATCTTGGGTCGAGGAGACGCTAGCAGTATCCCCAAAGTCTTTGGACCCTTGACGGACAAGCCGGTCCCGTGTGCCAGGGCTCGGGGGCCGAAAGTAGGATTTCGAAGACTCGTTTTTCTCATCGGACTCAGCAATACGTTCACTAGGCGTACGAACCGGCGTGGTTGCGCCAGATCTAGGATCGAATATACCCATCATATGACTGGCCTTTCTGCTGCGAGCTGTGCCACCTGTTTCCGGATTCTTCACCGTGGCCTCAATGGTCTTGTCAACGTGAGCCCGACCACGGCTCACGCTTCGTTCTGCACGAGGCCCTTCTTTCAGAATTGCCCTTATGGAACCACTTCTCTCGTTTCCTGCATGATGGGCAGGTTCACGCTCCGAGGCAGCGGCCGCATAAGCTGGTTTGCTGTCATGGTGTTCTTGTTGTGTTTTTTCGTCCCCACCCGCGTTTGGTAGTTCCTTTTCTCCCACAGTTACATGAAATTTATTGGTCCACGAATACCCGTCAGACGCTATTCTTCTGATGCCTTGTATTGTGCCAGCGGAAGGGCGCGACGGCGGCAGGGAGGGGCTGTCCTTTTCAGAGGGTGAATCAGGCCTTCTCATCCACTCAACCTTCCTAGGTGAGTGAGGATGGGCCACCCTGGGAGTATCTGGAGAAGAAACAGGACGAGCGACGACAGTGGACATATTGAAAGGAACAGAGCGTGGGGAGGTCAAAATCGGACTCTGCGTTAAGGGCTGTATGGGAGAGGAAGGCTCGTTTTGAGGCGAAACATAATGGTCGGCGAAGATGCTGTCTCTTTCTGACAATGGAGGAGTTTGCGGGCTGTAGGTGGCTGCCCGTGAAAGATTGTAGAGCGCGCCTCTTCCATTGTATGTCTGCGTGCCTTTTGTCCCCCGTGCGATCGGTATCGGCTTTGAGCTCGACGAGGGACTGGGACTTTGAAGGGCGGAAGAGGAGCCAGAGCCAGACTGTCGGTCGGGGGAGGAGTGTCCATTTACGGCGGAAGCACGCGCAGGCGGTCTTCCGGCGGGCGCACTATTCGACATGGGGGGGACATCTGGCACACTGTTGGGTGGCAGGGATGGTCCTTGGGCGTGCGAGGATCGATTCGCCAGGAGCGGTTGTTCCTCGCCGGGCGGAAAGGGGAAAGGTAGAGTCGGGCAGCGCGGACGTGGAGCTGGAGAACGTGCGGCGAGCGAGGATCAAGAGGCTGACCGACAGATAGAGAGTATGAAACTCATCAGGCGTTCTAGCGGAAGGGTCGAACAAAGGAATGAGGACGGCGTTGGAGAGGCACGTGGAGGAGCGAGAGGCTCAACAGGTCGAGAGGGCGATAAGATGATTCGATGCTCCGGGGCGAGGCTGTGTGAGTGGATGAGAACCGAGCGCGGATGTACACAGGGTGCTAGCCGTAATATTGGGATGTGAAGCGCACGGCACCGGGATGAGATCAAGATGGGTTCAAGTCAGTTGTTCGGTTGAGATGCGGTGCGAGTGGTGGAAGATGTGGACGAGGTGGATTTTGATTGTCGTAGTGGGCTGAAGGGCTGCCACTGTTACTCGGCTCTGTCTCTGTGGGGAGCCGTGGCGCAGGACCCAACTGAAGTCAAATCGTCGACTCTCTTCGAACTACCAGCACATCCGGCACACTAGTATACAATGTTACAACTTGCTAGAAGTCTTCTCGTTGCGGACAGTGAAGACAACAGGCGGTGGGAGTTGTGCTGCTGTCTGATCTACGCGTCCTTCCATTACTACAGCACCGGCCTTCGACCGCTGAACTTTGAATACTAATGATATCTCAACTCCTCCTTCCCGTGCGACCATCATGACGTTGACTCGACCTGTGCATCATGATCGAGCAACTTGAAGGGATTGTCTCTCTTCACTCTCTCCCTCCCTCCCCTTCCTTATTACTCAAGTCCACCGCCACCAGTTACAGACCCTCCCGCCCTGTCGGCCACGTCCTTCGTCTGCGTCCCGTCTGTCTGCCGCTCTTCCCCGGAAACGATTCGACGCTCCGTCTACGGGACCTCGACCAGCATCATATCCCCTGCCAGGGCCGTCAGGTCTGGGCTCCGGTGCCTGGACCAGGTCCTGTCCATCTCTCCTGATATGATCATTATTATTATTGCTTGCTCAGCGTTGATCTTGTTACAGTTGTCGCGGCATCTTCCCACGTCCCCTCCCCCCAGCTGGCTTGGCCAATCGCTAGGCGCCATCTTTGCACGTTTCTCTCTCTTCATTCTCACTATCGCATACCAGACAGCGGAAGACATGGTCCGTATACGCCGTCCAGGAAGGCTATGGAGCCACGTCGTCCGGTCCGAAGCGGTGGCACAAGTCTCCAGCGATACTATTTCACCACCAGATTCGATCCGGACTACGGATACCTGGAGCATACCCCAGTGCCTGCTCCGCCAGTGGCTCGGGAGATAAATAAATATGAAATATATCAAGGCAGGAAGGACACTCTCCTTTTTTGGACTTATGCAGTGCGAGGTTCTTGTGCTACATGCTTTGCATCAACGGCACAATCCTGGTCTATCTGTCACCGCTTCTGTCAAACGGGTATTGGAATGCTGCCCAACAGATGCACCAAGCGGGATTTTTCAATCCCCGACGCGTGTTGAGTACTTGGCTGTTTCGAAATTCCAAAGATCCGTGCCTATTGATCAGTCCATCAAGGTATCAGTATCCGGAAACATTCGCCGCCGACAGGAGTCAATGCCGGCGCAGAGGTCCAGAGGTGCCACTGGTCTTCCAAGAAGACGTGCCTGCATTTCCCTGATGCCTGCATTTCCCTGATCGGGTCAAACCGTTTGTCCGACGATTAGGTTCTGCTCAATTGCCAATTGAACTGACCAAGCATATCGGTAGGTAAGCAGAGGCACTCAATACCTGATGGGAATTGCACACAGAGCGGTTTGATTCGGTGTGATAATTACTTCAGGTAGCTGATTTATATATCCTGAGCGTCAAGCAATAGATCCGTTGCCCGTATCATGCACCGTACCCACACCAGTTCTTGATCACTCACCTCTCAAAGAGGATACTGTCTCTTGCCAAAGATCATCCACGATCGTCCAATATCTCTTCTCATCTAGCACAACGTGCGCAACATGTCTGCTTGTGACGAAGTCCTCAAGTTTGACCCGGTCCGCACCGATAACTGCCATTGCCTCCTTCGCGTGCGCTTCCACATCAGCAGCGGGTATCAGTTTGTCGGCCTGAGAGTAGATATATACTCTCTTGACCTTTCCCTGGGTGAAAGCGCCATTAGGGTCGTTGAGTCTCCTTCGCAACGACATAGTGATATCCTCGCTTCCGGCTAGCTTGCCAACCAGCTTCCCAAGGCCGATATATGCCCAGAGTGCAGCGCTCAGGAGTGCAAAGACAGGAGGTGATTTCGGGAGGTATTCGCTAAACGCCTGATGAGTTCTGACAATATTCGGGAAACTGGGAGTACTGTCCAACACCAGTGCCGAGACAGGCAGAAGTTCACCTGTGGTATTTCGGTAGGCATCGGCGAACTGGCAGACTGTGTAGGAGCCTCCATTGGAAAAGATGTGCACCAGCACGCGCAGACGGTCTGGCTTTCTCTTTTCAACGAGATTTCTCACCGTCTCTACCGCTGGCGCTAGATTCCTCAACTGCACACTCACGGGCCGCCAGAAGAGGTCGTTTCCGTCCTGGCGAAGCAGAAGGATCTTTGAAGTTGGAAACCGCGTCTGGATTGCCGTCGTGTACTTCTTGATGTTGCGCGACCTGGCACCCATCCAGGAACAGACAATATATAAATGCGGATGTGTGGAATCCGTCGAATCTGCATTGGCGGCCGGCACGGCATTCGTGTCCAGCACTGGCGGGGTGTACAGAAAGATCTGTGTACCCAAGCGCTCGAATTCAGGGAGGAAAGGGTCCCTGTCACGTTGAAGGTTCACATCATGACCCCCGGACTGGAGTTCGGGCACTGGTCCCGCCATTTCCATGGTTTAGCACACCGTGTAACTCGAACAAACAAACAGTCCGAATCCAATCGTGGTTGAAAACACGCTGGAATTGATGATAGCACTGGCAAAGGCGGAACGTTTTTCGCACAAACAGGTAGAGAGATTGACGCAATCCGTGGCCTGAGAAATATCAGCCTGTGCCACATGATACATGAGATGTCGAGAAGCCCCTTTGCCGTGAGTGTTGTCTTTGGAATGATGGGAGGCCTCAACTCACACGCGCGGCCCAGGGCTGTACCCGGCAGTGTATATATCTATATATATTCTCCTTCCCACCTTCAGATCCTTGGATCAGGCCATAAGAGTCTCGCCAAACGGTCAAGCCGGCAAGAAACCTACCAGATCTCTAGCACAATGAGAAGCAATTGACGCCGTACCAGCATCTATATAGGTGGTAGCGCTTAGTTCCGGTTGAAACCTCAATCCGTATATATCGACGAGACACAGATTCGAACACTGGGAATGAAATTAAAATGTCAAACAACCAGTCCGTAAAACAATAAGTATGGACGTCTATGCAGGAGGAGAAAGCCAGATAAGTTCCATCCTGTCGAACATCAAGTTGTACACAAGGTGGCAGGATCCGGAGTGTATAACTATCGTCCGGCGGCCAGCAACGGTACCGAGGGATCCGCAGTATGAACACAAAATACGAATTACGGTGAAGCATGCAGTTTCAGCCTTGCATGTGCACCCACACTTTACGCGTGTGATCAGAAACCGCGTCTTCCCACTCAATTGCGCGTCATCCTCTGGGAAATCTTTCTTCGAAGCATAATCGGAGAGCATCAACGACAATAGTCACAGTCACACTCAACCGCCAGGACTCGTCAATATGACCGATGACTTCAGAACGTACCTGGCGACAGAAATCCTCTCTGAACAACGCACATTATCATATCGCAATGTCTCGCGCGCTTTACGAGTCCACGTCAACGCCGCCAAATGCATGCTGTACGACTTCTACCAATTCCAGAACGAAAAGAAGCCCTGCTCCGTATATGCTACGTACTTGTTATCTGGGCTGAAGAAGCAGCAAAGAACGATCGAGAATGACACCAATGGCGCGACAGACAAACATCAATACAATGAGGACGAACCTATACCGTCAAGTCCGCCTCCATTCACCAGCTCCATGCTGGAACCTAGTCAACAGAGCAACGCCGAGCAGGACGAGCACGAACAACAGGTGTCGGTGGGCACAATTACGCTTATAAGGGAGGAGGATCTTGAAGGTATAAACTACATATTTGATAGTCTGGTTTACGATTGACACGGGCAAACAGCAATGAAAGAGCAGTACGAGACGATCACCTCAATACACATCTACAGTCTATCCCCGGCTCGAATTCAAGACCTAGTAACCTTAACGGATATCAACCGAGGACTATTCCAAGAGACATTTACAAAGGAGGATCCGCTATTAAACAACAAAACATACGGCATCATCCAGAATCAATATGTCCGCAGACGGAAAGGCAAGAAACCTGTGGTGCCCAAGGGTCCGCCGCCGAAGTTGCAGGCCGTCAAGGAAGACCCGAAGCCATCATCCAACAAGCCTGATCCCAAACCCGCAGTTGCTGCTGCTACTGCTGCTAAAAAGGACGATCATCAATCACGGCCCAGTTCTCGCGATAGCACATCTACAGCCGCTTCAGGCCAAAAGCCCGCTCCTCTCAAACGCGATGCCTCGGATCTATTCAAAGCATTCGCAAAGCAGAGCCAGCAAAAGCCCAAAGCTAAAGCCAAACCGACACCTACAGCCACAGCCACACCTCCGCAAACAAAAGATCCAGATACACCCATGTTCGACGATGACGAAGAGGGCGAATCTGACGACGAAGCATTGTTCCTACATACCGGGACGCGCAAGCCGGCCACGACCAAGAAACGACCAAGCGACGTGAAGCAAGAGCGAGAAGATAAAGCGGCCAAAGTGCGCAAGTTGTTCGGTTCAGACGACGAAGAGGAAGAGGCGGAGCCGGCTGCAGTCCCGAAAGTCGAGAAAGCGGCGGGCCTCGAAGCAGAGCCTGTGATCGCCCAGAAAGGGACCGATGTTAACGATGATGATGATGAAGTTGCATGGTCCGATTCAGACACCGAACGGAAGAAGAAGAACGACTCAGGCGCCAATGATTTTGATCGAACTGGAGCTGGAGCTGGAGCTGAAGCTGGGCATAATGTTACCTCCGGACCCCGCCGACGCCGCGGGAAGCGAAAGGTCATGAAGAAACGCACCACCAAGGACGAGGATGGATATCTTGTCACTAAGGAAGAGGCTGTCTGGGAAAGTTTCAGCGAGGAAGAAGAGCCCGAATCTGTACCGGCAGCCAAAAAGCCGACGCTGACGCCGACGCCGCGGAGCAGCTTGCCTACTGGCAGCGGCAAGAGTCAGAGCCAGAAGGGAGCTGGAGCTGGCGCTGGCGGCAAACCGGGCCCAAAGAAGGGAGGGACTATTATGAGTTTCTTTGGGAAGAAGACATGAACATGATCCGCCACTGTGCATTATCATCCCGGTACAACAGGATAGTACCGGTTCTAGGAATACACAGTTGATTTGTTGTAAAGTGTTAAGTGGCAGAAGTAGGTATTTTTGCACCCACTATATGGTTCCACTCAGGTCAGCATCAACGCTGGTTGTAAGTTGTTCAAGATTCCCAATTTGAACATCGGCTGACCTGACGAATGGCCCTCATCTAGTGTCCCAAGGAAGCTAAGGCGGGGGCTTAGGACAGAGTTGTGGCTCCTCTGGCTCTTTGGAATGTGGATGTGGGCGCAACACGCCTCGGTGCAGCTGTGGTATCTAGGAAGTACGGTATAGGGATAACTCCACCTGGAGCGACTCAAAACCAGGAGGAGCAGGAGATGAAGCTATAGGCTGATGACCATCTCGGCCCAATGTCAACGTCAATCCACCCAGCCTTTTCCGACGATATACCTCATCTTGCCGGTCCCATCGTCATTCAAGACCAATTCAGGCTTGTTTTCGACGAGCCATAGGATGGCCTGGGCAAAGACACTGTTGGCCCAGGCAAACCAGCTGCGAGTCATACCTTCACCGCCGGGCCTGACACCGCGATGGACGTCGACACTTTCATTAATAAGACCTAGAACACTGACGTTCTTGACGCGGTCAATACAGTCAATGATCTCGGCATCATCCGTGCTCGTCATGGCCTGCACCAGAACAGACATGGGCCAAGCGTTGCGCAGCCCTATATGAGGTCCCCCTATACCGCTGAATTTGGAGCCGGAGAGAAAATAGGGGTTTCCGCGCTGTGAGAGGATCATGCGTCTGGTATTCTGGTAGATGGGGTCGTCGGCGTCGACGAAGCCAAACAGCGGCAGCGACAGAAGCGACGGAATGTTGGCATCGTCCATCAACAGATGCGAGCCGTAGCCGTCGACTTCGTAGGCAAACACATCGCCGAACTCGGGGTGTGACACCACCGCATGCTTGTAGATTCCCGCTCGGATCGTCTCGGCGCGAGTTTGCAGGCCCTGGGCGACCTTGAGGAACCATTTCGCTTCATTGGGCGCCGACCACACGGCCGCGGCGTCGCGCAGCATCCGGGCTATATTGGCCAGCTCGACCGACATCATGGCGTTGGCAGGGATGAAGAATCCGAAAATCGTAGCATCGTCCGATGGTCGGAATGCTGATCGGATCAGTCCCGTGCCGTTCGCCAGAGGATTGCCGATTCCGTCGAGATTGAGCGTTTCGGTGCCCAGTCGCGTCACCCGCGTAAAGGTGTACTCGTTCTTTTCGTACCAGCCAGAGGTGGGGTTGAAAGTTGGTCGCGCTTGTGTGTCAAGTACATGGAGAAGAGATTCGATAGCCTTAAACCACCGATTCGTCAGAAACGCTGTCGAGCCCGTCGCCGCGTGGTATTGATGCGTGAGGGCAAGGAACGATGCCAGACTGTCCAGCTCATACTTGCATTCGAAAACGACGCTCGGTTCGTAGACTGGGTGAACAATATCCTCTTGTCCTGAATGTACGGGCGGCAGGCGAGACGGGTCCGGAGGCTGGAAAGCATTGCAGTATGGAGATGCGATGACAAACTCGGCCTGGGTATTGATCGCGCCCAGGATAAGATTCGAAATGTCCGGTGCAGACCTGGCAAGACGCTGGTATTGCGCCAGTTGGTTTGTCGAATCCCGAAGCCACTCTGCGTTGATGTCGCCCGTGACTATGAACGTCTGGGCGCCTTGCCATTTGTCCTTGTCTCTGGCAAGCCGCGAAGCGGGCGCATGTGTCTTCACCCCGTCCACATGCCAAAGAACCGTCGTGTCGAGAGTGTTGGGAAAGGCATTGCGGAATATTTGGGCTAGGTCTCGATCTTTAAAGCGAGGGTATAGATCTTCAATCACTCGTTCGACGGCCGGCGAGGAGAATTCGCGACAGTGAGCATGTGGTCTCTGGAACGGGAGTTGTAGCGGCCCTTCGCTCAGAGGTGAACTACAGCGGGATCAGTAGGCCGGCACAAGTTCATGGTGATTTGGCACGTACTGCTTGTGACGAGCATAGTTCGTGTAATCCGGACAAAGGCCTGCAAGAATTGCCTGGTCCGAGTCTTTGCTCTCGTACACCAACGGATCGTGGGCTTCACCAAAAGCTGCTTCAACACATGCGATGAGGAGGGCCAGAATCAGGCCTGGGAACAAGCCTGTCCATTCAGAGAAACGCATACTGAGGGAATGGGCCCGCTCGCCAGACCTGGTGGAGCACGGAGCACACCATCAGTTCTTGTGAATAAAGGATCTTGCGAGATGTACACTTGCAAGCCCCACGACATCGAGTCCCAGTTGTCAATGCGACCTGAATCCGGGGGAAACATGCCAGTGGTTGGCGCAAGGCTGCGCTGACATGGTGATTCTTATTGTTTCGCCGTAGTAGATGTACGGCGGACCCTGTAAGCTGAAACCGCGAGGCTGGACAGCAAGCCGATACTGTTGGGAGCCGTGGCCAGGTAGAGTATCATCGTTTACTTTGTATTTTATCAATTCAGCGATTGGGGGACGCGTCCCTTGCATCATTTCAATAACTAAGGTAATTGGCTTTGGCAAAACGGCACTGCCCTTCTTGATAATGCTCTTCTGACACCCGCTTGATGGAAATGGAGACATCTCATCTCTCAACCCTTTTAGTTTCCCTCCCACAAGCATAGGTTATCCCCCCTCAAACTCCATGTAGGGCTCTATGCCTCAATGCCAGCGCTGTCTGAGCAGCCACCGTCTCCGGACACCACAAGTCAAAGCCATGCGGTACACCCGGGAAGACATGAAGTTCGAGATTAATATTTTCCTTCGCCAATCGTCGAGCATATTCCAAGACCTCATCACGGAAGATATCCAAGTCCCCCACCAGCAAGTAAGTGGGCGGAAGACCAGCAAGACTCTTCGCACGCGCGGGAGCAGCGTAATACGAAACATCAGCATCTTCTTTGCCCGCCTTGTCTCCCAACAAGGCCGTCCAGGCAGTAATATTATCCTCATAAGTCCAGACCGCGAACGGCACAAGAGCAGGATCCGGGGTCAAATTCCGATCGTCCAACATAGGGTAAGTGAGAACTTGCTTCGCCAGGGGAGGTTGGAGATTTTTGTCGCGTGCCATCAAGGCCACACCCGCAGCGATTCCTCCACCAGCACTCTCTCCCATGATTGCTATTCTTGCCGGATCGACATTGAACTGCTTCGCATTCTGGATCAGCCAGACCAAGCCGGCGTAGCAGTCTTGCACGAGACTCATGTCCTTGGCTTCCGGTGCCAATCGGTATTCGACGCTGAAAATGGACATGTTGACCATGCCTGCTTCGATGGCGAGCGCTTTCTTGAACAGTTCCACCGATCCCAGAATCATCCCGCCGCCATGGCAATGAAGTATCGCTGGACCTGGATCGGCAGCTGAAGATTCGCCGCTGGCACTTTTCTTGGGAATGAAGCTATACACGGAAATCCGAGTTCCGTCATGCGTGTCGATCTGGTGCACTGCGGTTTCCACCCTTGGGCTATCCGGAAGAGAGGACCCCATTGCATGTATGCTGCCGTCAAATCCTGCTCGCCGAGCGGCAATGTCGTGTAATGCTGGCTTTGGCACGCCTGCTATCAAGGCGAGCTTCGGGCCCCATGATTTGAAGTAGTCCGGGTCGTATGAGAGAGGCATTCTGGTACTGCGTAGACTGAGCCAAACTGAAGACAAATGTGTTGGACCAAAACTGCTGGAATCAATTGAGTGATATCGGCGACAAAACGAGACAGCGGACTGTACTCTTCCTTTATAGCAGCTCGGATCGGAATGATATCTTACCGAGGGATTTCATCAACACAATGATCTTAGTACTAGTATCTTTGGCTTCGGTCGCGGGCTGGACTTCCTGGATCACTGCCGCGGTGACAGCATCAGTGACCCATGTGCAAAGCAAGTACTCCAAGTGAATCATCCATGTGGGTTTTTGCTTCATAATCTGACAACAGATTGCTATCGAGAACGGCTTCGTAGATCCAGCTAGTATTGCAAAAGCTAACAGTGTATGGAGGAGTTCGGCCGAAGCATTTCCCAATCGGGCAGGTGGAGCCTGGTGCCTGGTGATGGAGCCTCGTTGAGGGTCATTGAGTTGAAACCATCATGATGGGTGCCACTGGAAGTGTGTAGACAGTGGAATGAGGTGTACCTCAATGTCTGACATTGTGGATTTTGAAGCTGACAGTGCCTGAGTAGGTACTGTATTTCAAGTAGCGTACGTAGCACAGCAGACGGACCGCACGGCTACAGACACTTCCCGCCCTTCGGGGGAGAAACGCCTTCCCGCGCCCGGCTTCAAGTTGCCCTGACAATAATCAGTCATTCAGCATCTTCTATACACATTCCATGCGAAATGCAGGCTCTTCCAAACGGTAAGACGAGTGAATTCTACGACTATAAGCAGCTTCTTGAATCAAATGTGAGGGCCGTGGCTGTGCAATCTGTCCACAGACCCACGATGCCATGCCACTTTGCTCTGTATTTGGATCTATTCTACAGTTTTGACCTGATTCCTTCTAGGCGAAACTTAACATCCTTGAGCGCTTTAGTCGTCGGTCTCCAATCGTCAAATTGGGCCAGTAATTCCCGGGCTTCCTCCTGAAGTTCTTTCTTAACATAGTCCTCCTCTAGAATCCCTCGCATAGCAAATGGCAGGATGTACGGGTTGGAGCTGTTGCTGTTGCTAGTCTGTCGCCTGGTGAGCGGCACATCTTTGAGCGAGGTCGTCTCCAACGCAAACGAAATCGCGATGTCGTAGACGGCATCGTCTTCATAAATCCTTGAATGGCCTTCCCCGGAATACAAACTCCCCGCCAGAGGTGACGACAACTCTCTGAGCAGTCCATGATCGGGGACACCAACATTGCGCAGTTTCAGCGCAAACCCAACCAAATGGGACAAAAAGTTCGGGGCGTGGATCCGAGAGTCGATGAATACCGCTCTGTAGATGTGAGGATGAGATAGTGGCGCAAAGATGGACGACTCTAGTGACACGAGTTGGTCGTCAATGCTACCAACAAAAGTCACCTTGACAAGCCCAGACCTCAACACCTCTTCAATGGCGGCATGGTAAGCTTTCGAAACTTTGCTGTCGGGATCCGAAAACTCAAACAGTTCTCCAGCTGAACCACTGATCCAACGGGACTTGTATTCTTGAAAGGGGCCCAGGTTCACGCCAGCCATGGCGCAGATACCTACCCGTGCAGAACTGATACATCCAAACTGTAGCAGTTTCGCAACCAGCATGATTGCTACCGGAACCCCTTGGCTGTGGCATGCAACCATGACAAAATCGGAGCGACGTATTTCGTCAATCCAGTTGAGCAACAGCTTCCACAACAGCTCCACTCGTTCTGCGATGCGGCCCTCACCCTCGAGAGCGGCGCTCTTGACTTCGCAATCATAGCCTTGACTTCGAGTCCAGTTTTTGATACATTTCGCCGCCATGTCTGCGAATTTGATAGACGTGCCAGTAGGCTGACCAAGAACGGTACGGATAAGAGGCGCAGGGAAATATCCATGCACGCCAATGGCGAGGGCATTTCTGATTCGCGGGGGATCTCTGACAAGGGAAACGTGCTTGAGCTCAGGCTCCTTCGTGTAATAAAGAAGCCTAGTAAGCTGCTGCAACAGCGAAGGTGTTTCTTCGTAACTTAAAGTCTCCTTGATCGGTGGGAGCAACAGATTCGGGGACTCCTTTGATGGAGCTGGTGATGCTGTGCGCGGAGTGCCGACCTCAACTGGATCTCTTACCACCGCTGCTGCATTTGGAGACTCCACTTTGGTAGTTGAATCTTTGACTGAATCAACAGGCTTCTTCTTTGGCTTGTAAGCCTTTGGTGTTTGTTGTGCCACAGATTTGGGAGTCGTCGAGTTCTGCGCAGCAACATCTTTGGACTGCTCTGCGCGGAGGGGTGGTTCCACGACGGGTTTGGTGGCCTCGTCCTGCAAAGATATCGAAGCACGTCTAGGTCTTGTCTGAGAAGGTGTATTTGACACTGCAATCTCTCCCACATGCGGTTCATTTTCCGGCCTTGTTGACGAGAGTCCCTTTCGATCCCGAGACCAAAATACCCAGCCAGAGGACTTCGTGCCATCTTCGGGCAGAACCGGCGGTGGGGAGGTCTCCAATGAAGATGCTTGAGAAGATGTCTTCGTTTGAGCCGTGTCAGGCAGAGGAACTTCCCGACTTGTGGAAGGCCCCTTCGCTTGCTCAGGTCGGTCGGCCGCAGAAGGTGGCGCAGCGGTTTCCTCCTTTTTACTCATTGAGTCCGGGCTGCCGCTGGACCACATCTGAAACCAACTCCGCTTGTTGTTCGCATTCACGGTTTCCTTTAGCTCATCTTCGGTAGGCGGCTGGGCTTCCTCAGTGTATCTTGTCTGGGTAGCCGCTGTTGGGGCTACTGTCGTTGACGACCGAGATTCGGGGTGTTGCTCGTGTGGTTCTGTCTGACCCGATACATTGCCACCATCTTTTCTTGACAACCAACCCAACCATGTACTCTGAGATTCGTGCGCTTGGTTGTCCGTGGCAGCACTTTTCGCATCCTCTGTGGACTGTGGCGGGTCGCTGTCCGCCCTGATAGCCTTCTCGCGCCGTTGCTGAGTGCTATTCGAAGAGTCATCGGTTGTGCTTTCATGGCGGACATCAGTTGCAACGTCCGAAGACGAGCTCTTCTTGACATTTGGCGAGGATGATTCGGAAGTGGCGTTAACTATCGTAGTTGTAGCATCAACAGGACGCGATCGATTGGCACTCGATCTTCCCAGAGTCATTGCCAGAGATGGCGACCTCGATGTTTTGGCTTTGTCTTTGATGATTGACGCTGTCTCTTTAGCGACGCTACTGGCAGACGATACGCTCTCTCGAGCGACCTCTGCCAATGGTGCGGCCTTACGGGGCCATGTCAGGGCAATCCAGGACTGCTATATTGCCATCAGTCAACAGCATATTCCAGACGCACTATACTCTTACCGGTCTTTGTCCTTGCTGGCTCGTGTTCCCTGATTTTGATTCGGGTATATTAGGCGATGCGTCTGTAGGAAGGGGTACATTGGCGGCTTGCGTCTGGGTTGCATCAGTCTTAGAGTCTTCGGTAGGGTTCGTTTTCTGGCGTTTCAGTGGTCGTGGCGCCATTGGCCTTCCCAACTCGCGAACGCTCCGAGACGCGGCAGGTATCGTAAGTCATAGAACGAGGATTGAGAAACGGTATATAAGAAGGCTCCAAGAACCCGTGCGGGAGACGGTGTGTGTGTGTGTGTGTGTGTGTGTGTGTGTGTGTGTGTGTGTGTGTGTGTGTGTGTGTGTTCCTGGATGGATAGACAGACACAGGCAGCCTTGTTGGCAGCACTGGCACTGTTCACGGCATGATAGGACTGGACTGCAGCGCCTTGAAGTTGCCGTCTGGCCTGAGGTTCGCAGGTCACGGCTCAACTTCGCCTGGCACCGCATGGGACTCCAAGTTGGAGGTGGCTACGTCACTTTCTCACCGCCCGCACTCCAACGAATCAGCGACATGCGCCCATCAACATGCACTTTTGGTGCACTGCAGTTCAAGTTGGTGCCCCGACCACTCAATTGTGCTCCACCAAAAAAGTGCGTTGCACTGCAGTCTTCGCAAAAGAGCAGAACGCTTGTTTGTTTCTACCGCAAGACAGGACACACCAAGCATAACCTAGGTACAAAAGAGTACAGCGCAATGGCAAAGACCGCCAAAGTCAAGAAAAACCCTACTGGTACGTCTACCCACCCATAGTGCCTCAGGCTGCGCTTCGTGCTGACTTGCAGGAAAGCCAACCCCAAGTCTCGGGCATCGAGAAGAGAAACTTCTCCGTCTATAGATGTCGACAAATCCGTGAGAGACGCCCCACGCGCCTCAGATGCCACCCCTGTCTTGGCGGCACGTCCCAGTGCCGGTGTGACCAAAACCAAGAAAAAGCAGAAACCATTGACCAAGGGTCAAAGGAGGAGACATGAGCAAGGACTTGCGAGGGCGGAGATCGTGCAAGACCAACTCGCCAAAAAGGTGAATGACGCATCCACACGACTCAAGAAGAGAAGGGAACGGAAAGGAGTGTGGGATGAGATTAACGGGGGCACCAAATCTGAACAGATGAGAGCGATTCTTGGACAAGACATGGACCAGCCAGATGGCGACGACTGGGAAGACGAAGCCATGGAAGAGGTGGAAATGGGTCAAGAAAGTGAGACCAAGACGGTGGAAGGGGTCGCTATGTCCACGACGGCGGTTGCTAGCAAGGTAACGGTTGTCGATCAAACAACCTCTGCTTCTGTGCCCGCAACGGCCGAGGAAGATGAGGCCGACAAAATCACCTGAGATGCTCAGCCAGCAAGCCTCATTGCCCGTTGAAACCTCAACCAGATACCCATGCCATCACATCACCTTTTCGGCCGAGCTTGTGTGAGCATCCGCTCGATCTCCACCAGCTGCTGTCCGTTGGCCTTGTCTCGTAGAGACTCAAGGGCATTAATGTCTTTCGCCTTCAGAGCTTCCTCGCCCGCTTTGACAATCATGCCGCATTTGATCCACATCTCGATTCTTTCGGCTGGTTGTAAGCCGGTACATTTCGGGATAAACGAGGAGGCAAGTCGAGTATTGCCAGCTCCGAGGACCTCGTTGTAAAACGGCTGGAATGACCATCAGTTCATGGGCGATAACAATCGTGTCAGACAACTACATACCTCCCATCCGATAGGCGACTTCTTGTTCTTACCAATTTCTTCGACCTCCCCCCAGAGGCGCGCCGCAGTCAAGGCGCGAAGGCGAATCCACCACCATGTCTTTTCAGGAACTCTGAACTCGCTCTGCACTTTGGCCGCCCGCTTGCTGTAACCGGATTTGATGAGACGATACATAGTTTCATTGACGCTCAGGCCGAGATAGCTACCACTACTGTCGGTGATGTCCTTATCGAAGGCTTCCTGCATCTTGAGCAATTGGACCGCCTCGCCAAGAGCTCTGTTGTGAAAGACCGCAGTTGGATCTTTGGTGTCCGTAAGCAGTCTCGAGGCTAGCTTGAGTTTGTCAATGATTGCTTGCACCTGTGTTTGCTGCATGGCCTCTTCCAATAAGAGGTTTGACCCCTGTACGGGCCTGTCGTCCTGATAGTACAGGTCCTTCAGCAGCTCTCGGTCTTGCGTCTTTGCCGAACTCTCCACCAGGGCTGCAGCGACGGGCTTATCGCTAATGGTCCGGAGGAAGGCAGCGAGCGGGAGTTTCTTCTTCATCTCCAGCAGAACGAAAAATATCAGATCTGGATCTCCGGATTCGATGGCTTTGTTGAGTGCAATATCGTCTTCTTCCATGCTAAGCAACAATGGCACCTGCTTGCCTGCTCTTGGTTCATAGTTCAGCAAACTTGTTGCCAGATGGCTTCGACCCTCGTCGTATGCTGCTCGAGCAATAGTCTCGAATGAAATACCAGGCTTTCCGCGCAACCTCTCAACAACAATATCTCGAATGGCATCATCGTCCGCGGACGATGCCCGAACTTTCTGACTGGCCCAATGGACGTAGATCTTATTCAAAGGCAGATGAAGGAACTCGGACAATTTGATTGCCAAAAGGTACTCGCGTCGATTCACCAGTCTTGCAATCAGTCTTTCCGGTGTGAGCCTGATGTACTGCTCATATGACATGTAAAGGCCGATGCGGTAATCTCGCACGGCATTCAAGACGCGAAGGTCTTCGCACATGTCAACGAACTCGTCGCTGCTGTAAAGATCGAGCACGGACTTGCCGAAGGAGGCAGCGCGAAGCAACTGCTTCTGCAAGCTCGGGTTAAATTCATGGCCCGCAGCCTGAATACAAGTTTCGACAGCTTCTGGGAGATTCGGCTTGATCCGCTGAATGTTCTCGTCCGCTTTGGGCGATTTCTTCTCCAGCAGGTCAATTGAGTCGAGAAGTACAGATGCGGCCGAGGTCGCTCCCAGCTTGAAAACTTCTTCTAAGGGGTCCGGGACTTTGTGCAGGAACTCGCATGCCTCGTGGGTAATAAGACGAACGCCATCAATGTCGGGGACAACATGTACCTGGTCATCGTAATAATACTTGACAGCCGCGCCGTTGGGCCCGACCATGTGAACCTCATCCTCCCAGGCCAGTAGCACCGAGTCATTTCCACACCAGTAGACATGCGTCGGGGTAGTTTTGGCCTTTGAATCGTATTCGCTGTACTTGTTCTGGAAATCGCTGCCGACCACCCAGACTTTGCCGTCCTCTGTAAACAATGCGGCAAATCTTCCATTCGGAGATACACAGACATGCTTGAATGGGCCGTCGGAAAGACCTCTGTCTTCGGCATCAGTCGCGTCAACGACATATATGGTCTTGTTGAGAGCGAGCAAGACCTCGACAGACCGGGAAAGTGTATAGGCGGGCGGAATCAATGACCACGAGTGAACTTCGCCCTCGGGCGGCTGCGCGAGAAGCCTCGGTCTTGGTTCGTCGAATGACGAGACTGCCACTAGGGCATTGTTCGACAGTAGAGCAACGAACCCGTGAGACCAGAAGCGACACGATACAACGCCAAATTCCTCGGCGCCGTGTCCCAGTGAGAACGGTTGGAAGTCTCCATGGAGTCCAAAATAGCAATGCACCGTCCCGTCCTCGGTGATGACCAAAAGCCTCTCGTCGTCAGACCAGCCCAGGCCTTTAATGGGTCCTTTCTCCCAGTGGATATTGCTGATCAGCTTTCCGGCAGACGAGTAGATGTCGATGGTTGGCTTGGTCGACTGGCCTGTCCGATAGCGAGCAACTTTTGTCGAATCCCGCCATAATGCTGCAACATGAAGCATTAGGTAAACGTATAGCATTAGTACATGAGCGTGATCTTACCTAGAGCTCCGCCATACGGCGCCCCGGCGACCAGATAGTTCTCGAGCTCAAGGTCAGGGTCGAAGACGGACTCGTAAAGCTGGACTTTCTGGTAGAACTGATCGCCTATTTTCTCCCAGCCAGCCCTGGGATTGTGGTTGGTCATGAGGATGAATCGCCCATCAGAAACTAGAGTGTATGCACGGAGGCCCTGAGTGATGAGTGAATGCAATGAAGTTCAACGGGGGAGGCTGAGGCTCAATGGGAGACTAGGCTGGCGGTTGGATGTCGTCCTGAATCAGATACAGTATCGCTACTTCCGACTAGTCCCTCATGGTTTGCTAAAGCAGCACTCCTTGGAGTCCATATTTGGATCCCATGCCCAATGCGTTCAACGGCTTTCGGTTGCTTCGGTTCATACAGGTTGTGATTTCACGGAGGACTTGTCCTATTTCAACGGGGCCTGGGGCCTCGTCAGACTATATACTTTCTAGGGGTTATACGATAGCGTACGACGCTAGTCGAGACCGAAAGACGATCCTCGATATCTTTATAATACTTAGTACGTAGGGTACCTATTTTATTATATCCTCCTCTATCTAGACCGTCAAATAGCCTTATTCGTCGTCGAAGAACGTCGAGTACCTTTATTAGCCTTATAGTAGAGAATAAAATAGTATTTCTATATTCTAAATACTTCGTTTCCTAAGTAGTTCTATCGTTAGAATAAGTATCTATAATATCTATATCTTCGGTATCGATTAAGATATATAGAGCGAGTATATATCTCTTATCTTTAGCTATAAGAGTAGTATATACGCCCGAAATAGTAAAGCTAGATAAATCGATAGTAAATTAAGGTTATTAAGACGATAAGTAAAGAGAGTCTATACGCGTAATAGTACTCGCTATTACTCTTCGAAGCTAATCCGGGGTTAATCCGGCGAGATTTTAAGAAGTATAAGTAGGCGTCTCTTACTTCTTTTCTCCTTATTTTCTTTTATACCTCTTTCTAGTCGTTTATATTTCTAAACCCTAAATCTTTTATCGATTAAAGCTAAATCTTCTATAACTACTATTATAGTTATTATATTATCTAGATAAGTTAGAATACCGACTAGGCTATAAGTTCTAAATACTTAGTACTATCGACGAGTTAAGAAGATAATTAAAGACCTACTAGTAACTAAGACGACGAAGATAGCTTCTTTTATAAATATACTATACTATATCGAAAGATATAGTTACTAATTCGTTTCTAGATCGACGATAATATTTATAGCGTTAAGCCTAGCGATATAGTAGTTAATCCTATTATCTAGGCGAAATAGTACTAGAAGTAGTTCTTTTTCCTCGATAATAGCTTATCGATTTAGCTATATAGCCGTATTCCTTAGAGACTCGTTAAATTTTACGATTAGAGAGATATTACGAATATATATATTAGAAATACTCTTATAGAGTATATAGTAGATATCGGAAATAATCTATATTACGAAATATATCTTCGTATAGTTAAACTAGATTTATATTAAGAATTAGTATTTCTAGAGTATATTTTAATATCTATCTCTAATATATCTATTTCTATAAATTCGATATACCTTTTCGGCGGAAAATATATAATCTATACTATTCGCGGAGTTAATTATTCTTTATCTAGTAATCGAGGTATAAGTAGCGAAGCTTCTAGTTATTATTAGTCTACTACGTTAATATTAATATCTATCTAAACGCGTAGTATTAAGAAACGTCGTACTCGATTCCCTAAAATATAAGAGAAAGATCTAGTAGAAGGTATAAAAAAGATACGTTTTAGCGAGAGGATAAGTAGTCTATATATAACTAACGAGACTAGAGAGATAAGTAGTTATATAGCTATCGAGATTAAAGGTCTAGAGAATAGATTCGACTTCGTATTATCGCTATAGACGGATATAGAAGATCGACGTTAAAAGATATTAATCGCTATCTAGAAGATAATATAGTAGGCTTTAGACCTATACTATACGCCGAAAACTATTAAAGTTATTTATAGAACTAGTAAATCCGATATACGTATAGAGTAATATTCTCTACTAATATTAACTTAATAAAGTTATTATTCTATAATATCTATATCTTTAGTAAGAATAGAAGTCGTCGAGACTAGTCCGGAGTCGGAAGAATACGACTATATAGCTAATAAGCTACTATTAAGATATCGTTAGTATACTATCGATTCTTCTTCTAAGCTATTATTATAGATACGAAGTTTACCTAGGCGTATATCGGAAATATATCGTTATACTAAAGAGACTATATAATACGTACCTACGCCTTCCGAGCTAGTATATAATCCTAAGCGTAGTTAGATTATAATATAGTAACGATTCGTACTAGTCTCGTCTTCTATAGATTTATCGATATAGTCTATATAAGGCTATATATCGACTTACCCGGTACTAGAATATTCGTCTTTTTATTATCTAGTATATAGATAGTCTACTACTTCTACTTATTCTATATATAATATTCGTCCGCTATCTATCTATATATAGTAATCGGATCCTACTTCTAGTTTAGGCCTTTTAAAGTATTCTTACTATAAAACGATAGCGCTAATAGAAGTACTACTATTAAGACTAGCTCTAACGATATTATAGTAAGAAGATCGCGAAGTATTACTATTTTCTTATACTACTACGGTAGTAGACGATACTCTATAAATAGTCTATTTTATAGATAAACCTTCTAATACGATATAACGAGTAGAGGAGCGCGAGCGAGGTTCTTCTACACCTACTATATAAGGCGATTTACTATAATTTATTAGTTATTTTAGGTTTTTTAATATATCTAGAGCGCTTCGTAGAATATCCCGATAACGTATAGCTAAGAGTCGAGACCTAGTCTACGCTCTAGTTTCTATAGATTATCTATAGAGAATACTATTATTATTAGATTATTTAGTCTCGTACTATCTTTAGCCTAGAATTAGATCTTAGTAAGTATCCTTTAATATATTATTAACGAAGAACTAAAGACCTAGCTATATTATAGTTAATATTTTAGACTACTAACGAAGATAATAAATTATCTCGTCTCCGCTTCTTACGGAATTTCGAGTATTCTTAAGGAATAAGATTCCCCTCGAGTATCGAAAGAGTTATTCTAGTAGAACTAGAAGATATTATAAATATACTTTCTATAGTATTAGCGAGTATCGAGAAGAATAAAGTAGATATATTCTAGTCTATAAGATCCTATAGTCTTATATCTTTAGGTTAATTTAATCTACTAACGGCGTATAACTTCTTCTTACTCGGGATAACTTTAGCTAACTTATTATAGCTATTCTTTATATAATTTATATAGAATAAACCTACTATATTATCTATATACTCTACGATATCGATAGAATAGATCTCGATATCTATCGATATAGATTCGAGTAGTTTAGTATAGAATAGAATAGAGATATCCTATATAATAGCGTCTTAGTACGGTCCGATAGAATTACTCTTATTTCTTAAGATCTCTTATCTATTCTAAATATAGTCTTTCGTTCTTTTCTAGGATATCGAAGGGGTTTCGAAAGAGCTAAAAGTCTCTTCGTTCCCTATTCTTCGCGTATCGAGAGAGTTAGACTATAGTAGTCTATTACTACTCTCTTATTTTTATCTAATCTAGGCGTATAAAGGAATAAACTCTATTCTAGCTATTCTATTTAATATTCTTAAAGTACTAATATTCTCGTTACTCTTTCTAGCGACGAGATATTATCTACTTAAAGGCGGAGTAATCTACTCTAGAGAATTAGAAGCGAGAACTACTCCAATTATAGTTTATCTCTCGTAGACTATCGTAGTCTTCTCTATCGGTATCGTACCGTAGAATATTAGCTTCTATTCTCTATTTCGCCGACGTCTATTTACTAGCGTTACTTTAGCTTTTCGGCTCTTCTCTATCTTACTTAAACTATCTTCTAGTTATTCTTATAATATCTATTATTACTTTAATATTATTAATAGCTCGTAGTATATTAAGAGATTAGACTCGTTATTAAGTATCTAAAGTACTTTATTCGAAGACTTCGTTATACTATCTTTAACTATTTAGAGTTATATTTACTATACTCTAGTAAGCGATTAGATCGTCTACTTATCTAAATCTATCGAGTAATACTATATTAGACGGCTTCTATAGACGAGTAGATATAAGATCTTCTAGTCTATTATTTCTAATATATACGTACTAAACTATAGCTTCTTTAGAATCCGAAAGAGTTCGAAATAGTTAGATTTAAATTTTTACTTTAATATATTATTTAGAAGAACGAAATCGTCTTCTTTAAGTAAAAGATATAGCGTTTCTAAACGCGTTAATCGTAGTTTTTAAGAGTAGAGCTCTTTCTCGACTAGTAGCTTATTTACTTTATAACGTATAGTATATAGCTATTCTAGTCTTAAGATAAAGTCGATATTAAGATTTAATAGATCGAATTCTCGTTAATTATCTATTAATTAAGATTCGAGTCTATAGACGAGCTTATATAGACTTATTCTAGTTATTATATAGAATCTAATACGAGTTACGAATAATATTAATAAAAGATACTTATTTTATAAAAGAATTTATTA